TATTTCCGCAGCTGTGCTTGGTTGTGACCGGTCTTGGTACGGCTGGCCGGTCATCTCCTGACGGGGTCGAGGCATGCTGTTGTACTCTCTCAAACGTGGGTCATCAGTGGTGGTCGCCATGTGGATCATTGGGAGCGGCTGCGAGAGTGAGACCGACGGCGGTGCGCCGATCGTCATGCTGCTCGGCACAGCCTCTAGTGCGTTGCTGTAGATGACATCGCCATGAGTCAGGGTGGGCAAAAAGTTGGCAGCGCCCGCTGCCTCTGCTGCCGCAGCATCGCGTGCTTTGGTACCACCACCGGGGCGTTTTTCGCCTGCGAGATCGTCCTCCGTGAATCCCTGCTTTCGCGCTTTGCCCTCCCAGTAATCATCACGCACCCGTCGTCCGTTTACAATGACGCGGCTGCCGAATTGGCGGAACATGGACTTGGCCGTCACAATGGCAATCTGACGAGAGCGGTATGAGTACGGCAATATGTCCTGTTGGATCAAATCGTCCTTCTCAATCTGGGTAGCGATTATCTTATGTAGAGACCGATTCTTGTTGAACAGGAGATACGAGTCTCGGTAACCCAGCACTCGCGCACACTCAGTGGCCAGCATGAACAGCTTGGTTCCACGCAGGGGCACGCGAAAGGTGCGGCATTTGTACTCGCGACCACCCTGGAGGTAACCCATATCATCGACCTTCTTCTCCCCAGCATCGTCGAATTCCTTAGGCACATATTCGTCACCGGCCTCGTTCAGCTGGTCGGTAGTGTGATCGCGCACAGTCGGGAGAGCCTTGACCAAAGCAGCCTTGGTTGGTGTGCTTTTCTCGGGCGGAGAAGCTTGTGACGGGGATATATTGGCGGATGTTTGGGCCGAAAGAGGCTGGGTTTGCATCCGCGGGGTTTGAGCATGAGCATTGGACGAGACTGGCTGGTCACTATTGGATGCTGTGGCTGGTCGTGGCGTCTTAGGAGGGCGACCCCTTTTCCGACGACCATGGTCGTCCGCTGTTTACAATTTGCACGTCAGTCCACGATCCCAGTAAAAGTAGATGTAGTGAGCGTCGGGAGCGAGCAAAGAGACAACACAAGACGACGAGCGCGAAAATCAACATGGTTCAAACACAAAGCTTCGGTGAAAGAAGACAGGATGCATGCGACTAAGTACGCTGACTTGTACGTCCTCCATCCGAGCTCGACAAAGTGAATTGCCGGACAATCCAGCGCACACATACCATCGTCATGATCCCCATCTGCGCGCGCATTCCCTCGCTGATCTGGGGTACGACTTCGCTTGACACCACGAGGGGCTATGCTAGGGTTCGTGGGCCCGAAGGATGAAGGAGGGATGCCAACGGCGACTAGGAGAAGGCCGTCAGTTTGGAGGTTGTCGCGGTGGACAAGTAGAAGAGGAATGGACACCCATAATGACCTCCATCAGCGGCAACAGAGCGGCTGCACCGCTGTTGACCGCGCCAATAAGATGCGACAATCAACTTACACCTTGGAAGCAATGCGCAAACAGAGACAAACTAGGTTGGATTGAGAAGAGCATCAAGGCACGGGACAGGCAGGTAGACGGGCATGTAACAGGATGAGACAAGCAGAAAAGCAAACACATACCGTTGTTTAAGGCTGCAGGGTTAATCGTGCCCGAGCCATCAACAAGATCTCCACCGATCCCATTCATCGGAGCGGGGACGGAAGAGTGGGAAGTGCTATACATGGCGGGCCAAGAAAGGACGGGAGGGAGGCGAGAAGTCGAGGGAGCCGTCGCAAGGCGGCGGTCGCGTCAGGCGAACGCGACAGGTATCGATCGGAGTGTCAGACGGGGTGGAGGGGAGGGGAGGACGGGGACTGGGTTGGCTCCCTGTGATGGGTGGGTGGGTGGGTGGTGGTAGGAGTGGTGCTGCTGCTGCTGCGAGACCCAAGGAAGAACTAGAGGGCGAGGATGCAAGTGATGACGAACAAAAGGAGGACGGACGGGCCACGAGTCGCGCATGCAGTGGTTGCTGGAAGCGGATCAGCGGAAAGGCTGGAGCAAATCGCCAGACGGAGATTGAATGAATAATAACGAAGGATGATGGGAGGATGGGGGTATAAAGGCGGTGAGAGGCAGAGCGGCAGAGAGGCGGTGAGGGATGGAACCACTAACACCAAGAGATGATGATACAAGTTGATGGAAGGTGGTGAAAAACAAACGAGAGATATGAGATGAGATGCAAGAGTCAAACAGTCTCAAAAAAGACAATACGAATGGATATGCACAGAAGGCTTAAGATACGAACACCCTGCAAGCAAGCAAGCAAGCAAGCAAGCAAAGAATGCGTGCAAGTAATGTGGCTGAATTGGATGATTGGGGGTGTGGCGAGTGAGCAAGTAGGGAAGTTATTGCCAGACAATGCACAGCCACATGAGGCTTACTAGCTGGCAGGGGGAAGGGGGAAAGGTAAGATAACAACACAATGCAACAATCCAAGGTTCCCCCGGTCTGCAGAACGCAGCGGTTCCTAGTTCAGGTGGAGGTACCAAACCACTAGTAGATTCCTGAGTCGGTACACAGCTGGAAATCAGCCGTGGATGATTCACAGCGTGCCGCTGATGGAACCGATCAGTGGGGACGGGGATGACGGGGGAAAAGAGGGGGGGGGGGGCGCGGAAAGGGGGGGTGGTGTGTGTATGCCTGTGCCTGTGCCTGTGTGGAAGGGAACTTAGGGGAAGGGAGGAGGAGGGGGGCGGCAATGGATTATGTGTGACCAAAGAAAGGATAAGGAAGTTTAGACGTGCGTGGGTGCAAGGCAAACTGACCGGGACGCTTGGTAGTTGGTACAAAATGAGGTTGAGTGGAGTGGGGAAGAAGGTTAGGTTGGAGGAGGAGGGTTGGAGACCGGACTGGAAAGGAAGGAAAAGAGAAAAAAATGGAAAAGAGGGAAGACGAGGGAGGGGGAAGGGGGGAAACAACAGGATGATGGATGATGATGATGATGAGGGGAGGGAGTGAAGAAAGGGAACCGGGACTAGTTCAGACGGGGAATGGGAAAAACAAAAAAGGAGAGTCAAGACTCAAGACTCAAGAGAGAGGGGGAACACAGAGAGAGGAGGTGCAGTGGAAAAAGGCGGGAAGGCGGCGCCACTCTTGCGCGCATTGGCTACCCGCTGCCACTCGCATCAATCCCCAAGAATGAACATAACAATGCCAAATGACGATAATTAACAACAAATGACACGATAAGTTGGAGAGATAATGTGGACGGGCTTCTCTTGCCTTTTCTAACCAAAAAAAAAATATGAAACAAAAATCAAAAAATAAATCCAACCAAAGGATCCCAATAAATGAAGAAACAAGGTGAAGTAAGATATGAGTAAGCCAGTCAGGAGACTGAAGAAAATGTGAAGATTACGTCGTAAGATGCCAGATGAAGAGGACCTTTCTCTTCAAACCGTCATTGCGCTTGCGGAGAACAATGGAAAAGAGCATGCAATCACTCTCCAGGGCGCGCTTCTTCAAACAAACGAAGAACTTGAACTTACGTTTCCCTCAAGTCTGTTTGTTGCTTTAATCGCATTAGTAACATGCATCCAGCATGTGGACGATCGGGTTGCGCAGACGGACAGCCAGCAGTCTCTCAATCGGAAAGGTAGAACAAACCAGAGGCCCTGTGCTGGTATTGAACCCCGCGCTCCCTGCACGTCTGATCGATGATAATGATAAACACCCCGGGCTACCACTTTTCATCGGCCAGTCAGAGCCAACTGTGCTTCAAAGACGTCCGAAAACCCTCCCCGAAGACAAAGGAGAGTCGGAGTCAGCCCTGAATGCGGCACCTACCCGATTACTGGATGGAGGCCGCGTTCTTTGTGCCCCAGCCCACGCAGATGATGAATGCACAACTTTCTTTCCTTGTGGCAGCCAGAGCGCACTGGACTTAGCAATGATGGCGTGGATTTGGCCGAGAATTGCGACGTTCGATTCCAGGTTCATCTACCTCGAAGCTGGTTCCAAGGAGCAGCTGCGCGAAAATGGAACCGCGCAATGGAGCCACGAAAGTGATACTATGTGATGTGATAGTTATGATCCGCCGCTGGGCCGACCGCGACCACAGGCGACTAGTTCGTAAGACAGCCAAGATTGTGAAGCGTAGTGTCTCGCGGGCTAAAGTCACTTTCCGCGCCGGGGGGAAAAAAGATGCGCGGTTGAGGGACTGGGAGCAATGCCACGATGCGAACGGTCGCGTCCGCGTTGACTCTGCACCAGGTGGGAGAAAGGGTGTGTAAGGAGAGTCGAGGGTGTCGCGCACGGTGCAGGTCAACACGAGGTGAGATAAGTGTTGGCCGGAGCAGAAGCGGGTGTGGCTTGGACCGGTGCTGGAATGGAGGAGCACATGCAATTCCACGAAACAGGAAGCTCGTCTAGGAGCAATTCGCGCCAGACCAGACAGCCCAAAAAGGGGACTGAACAAATCGGCAGAATCAACAACAACAAGGCCAGATAGGACGGGCAGGGGGTGGGGAATGAAAGGTTATCAAAGGGTGCTGCGAACGCGGACGATTGGCAAGCTCCGGCGTGTAAGATCCGAGCCTAACGAAGTCAGCGAGACAGGGTCCGTCTGGTCACTGTAGTCTCCGTACCGGTAGTTAACTAGTCAAGCCTTGTCAAGTGTCTGCAAGTGCACCCGGTTCCGCCAACCATGCAATCGCTTTGGATGGTGATGATAACAATCCCAATAACAAGTGATAATAACAAGCCAGGAAATCCCCCGTCGACTAGCTCACGGATGGATGGCTAGTCAAAATGGAGAGTAGCGACCGTCTTGAACATTGATAAGAGAATCGGAGACGGGGTTGAGGTCAGTCGACAGCGATGGGGGAGGAGGTATATCTACGGCAGATCACTTTGAAGGTTGTGATCGCATCATCGCTTCTCAGTATTCCAGCTACACTGCATTGTGTTAATGCTGGTAGGTTTCTGTATAGCAGGGTCGAAACACCAAGCTATGTATCTTCTTCCTCTGTCTCTGTCTCCCTTTCCCTCCTTTTTCTTTTTAGGTCTCTTTGTTCAATTGTTCAACTCTCTTGCTACTACAACGACTACCTTACTATTACCACCTAGCTAGCCTGCCTTTTCCGAAACGACAACTACCCCCAGTACTACTCCGGAGGACTATTCTCCTACAGCCAGTCATCGACCGTGAGAGATTCCCTGTTTGGAGTCTCACGCCTTTCCCCTTCAGGACCAATCACAAGACAGGCGCTTCTCCTCGCTTCTGGTTCGTATGAAGTCCGGATGACCCAGTCGGGCAAGTATCGTCACTGCCTGGGAGCTCATCGGGCCTGCAATGATCGAGCAACCTAGCTAGCGCTTGGCCCTGATCATCGGGGATGTTCATCATGTTCAAACCGAGTGGCGATCCGCCATGGCAAGGTGCTATCGTGACCCAGATTGCAGACGGAGCGAGGTTGTAGAGATGAGCCATGCTAGATAGTGATGATGAGAATGCAGAATCGAGCAATGTAAACCATCATTGTCGGGTTTCTCTGATTGAGTTCATCTTTTTAGACTTGTGTGACTTTCGTTCTAAGCCTTGGTTTGCGTGCCTTTTGTTCTATTTGGAGAGGATATTTTCAAGAGCTCGTCACAAAAGACTGATCGAGGGTTGGTGACTGGTCGGAGTGAGAGCTAGCCACCGAGTAGACAGATAGCTAGCTAGTGGCAGTAGTGTGTAGTGCAGACAACGAGCTGCAATCGGAAAAAATCCCGGTCCAGAGTGAGGAAGTCTAGTCAACAAAGGTTTTTTTCTTTTTCTTTTTTTTTCTTTTCTTTTTTGGTTACATTTCACAGCAGGCTGAAGAGTAACTAAAGGGTTTGAAGATGGGATGAATGATGAATGGATGGATCGACTCCAGGAATCCCGTCGTGGCTGAATTGGGATGGGACATCATGGCTGGCACTATGGCAGATGACCCTCTCGGGGCGGTCGGACGGGTCACTTGAGCGGGCACTAAAAAGAGGGGGCGATCAGGGACCGTGCGTGCTTCCGGGAAGATTTCTTAGTTAGTAGTGGTAGTTAGTAGTGGTAATAGTAGTAGTAGTAAACACGAGAGACATACTTTTTGACATACAACTACGAGGACATATGGATATACGCACATATAGACATACTCACCATCCCCACCATGACATAATTCTACATAGCTCCGATAAAGGTTCTCTACTCGAAAGAGGTCATTTGGCTCGTCTTGCGATCACCGAAGAAGAAATACTACAAGCTCATCCGTACGCACTGCTCGCCTTCGCCTTTCTCCTGAAAACCATCCTTGAACCAATGACGGAGGATATTTTCACAAGGTATGCAGGCTGCAGGCAACGCAGCCTAGAGGGTAAAAAAGAAACGTACCACACATCCCCCTCTCGAATCCAGAATGGCAAATGATAACCCACATCAACTCTCTCTCCGAGCCAGTCAAGGGATAATGTTGACTCAAAGATCTCCGACTTGTTGCGGCAAAAACTCCACTCATGCACGACCGGACCTCCGTGCCGTCGGGCCCAAGCTTCAATCCTCATCTGCACTGAACATTCCATAAGAGCTTGTTGTGAATAGTAACAGCCAGGTCGAGGGGAGAGCACACCTGGGAAGGCGATCCAATGCTAGCTGAAGGGAAAAGAATCCCGTCTACACAGCATATCGTGCAAGAGAGGTGGGTTGCTGTATCTTCCCTCCCCCCGCAAACGGGGTAGGTCAAGCTTTCTCTCGACCCCAGAGCAACGCAGCTCATCCTTGCACAAATAAGAGTGGTCTGAATCAACAACGTACTTCTTGCTCACTGTGCTCTCGAGCAAGCGCCAACGGGGACGCACAACTCCCCAGCTAGAACAGTCTCAGTTCCGATTGGGTGTGCCAAGCGGCCAAGATCTCACCGGCAAGGACGGCGTATGCAAGTCATCAGCAGGACAGTCTCGGTCGACGTCGGCGTTGGAGCTGGACCGTCTGGGCAAATCTCTAGACACAGTCGAGGGCCTCTGCTCTCACTGGATGGGCTCATTTCCGAAGCATCACAGACCCTCTCGTCTTACAGCATGGCCTATCATAGCTGAGGACGGAGTCGGAGCACTACATCCAAATTTACTGCGTCTCCATAGTGCTCAAATCTTAATGGACTAGATATCGCGATGTCGTCGACATCATCAACGGTATTCTTTGTCTCGCAGGACTCAAGCTCTGTCGTCACTCAAGTCGAGCACGAGATGAGGCGTGCATGTTGACAACCATCCTAGGGTCAATCCATGCATGGAGGGGCGTATCGACCTCCAGGAATGTCTTTGCGTCCGGTGACCCTTTGGGTTCAGTTCATGTACGCCATTCATCTATGCTCCGGTTGCACATCGACCGCCCGGCTCACTGTTTAAGAATCCTGCAGTATAACATGTATAGCCTCTGAGCATGCCCAGATAGCCGGCTCTGTTTGGTCTGTATCACATTGAATCGTTGTCAGCCATGAACGAACGGTGGCGGGTGGCATGCGGTACGACGTAGTACGCCTGGACTTCTTTCCTAACGGGGATCGCCAAAGACCTCATGGATTCTTGTCAGGTCAGGGCAGCAGATTGAGTTCACTTGAGGTTTGGTAGTTCAGTTCGAGCATGTCTGCCTTAGCGAAGCTAGTTTATCGGCCAGCAGCTCTCAAGGTCTAGTCTATGGTTGACCATCTCAATACTTTTTGGCCTGGTTGGCTATCCCAGTACTTCTTTGGCCTGGTCGGCCGTCTCAACGCCTGCTTAGTCTCCGGTTGTCTGATCAATATTCCGACGATTGATGCTTCGTAGCGCCAGTAGTGATGGTGTATCTGATGAAGATAGCAATCTGCTTCCAAAACACCTGCAGCTCTGCCCCAACTGCTTTCTCACGCTGGGTCCAGAAGTATCGCCATTCAGCTACCATGTAGCAGCAGCAGCCCCCAAATCCTCTCACGTGAACACTCAACAATCAGAACCGAACAGTATGAACAAGTAGTATGCATCTCCAATGCCTATACCTATGATGACACCAAACCCCACTTCCGGCAGAGAAAGCACCAGATCCAACACCACCTAGATCATCGACATTGTCACCTACATGTATAGCCATCATACCGGCCTCTAGTCCCGATCCGCCACCAAACAATCAAGCCCACCCACCTACAGCACATTACCTCTCGAACCACCACCACAAACCAAACCCACCCAAGCACCGCGGCGAGTCCTCTTTCCTTCCTGATCAACTTTCATTCTCAATCAATCACATCAAACCCCGGGGACTCTTCCAGTCACAACGACCACACAACCCGACCTTCACATCAGCCCACCCACTCCCTCTTCCCAAAGCAAAACCATCATAGATCCAACCCTGACCACAAACCCGACCAACAAAACAAACCAGCAAAACCGGGCAATCGACCCTTCCTCCCCCAGCCATCATTCCCCTCGATCCAGACCAAGCCCTCAATCGAAGAATAATTTCCATCCCTCCCTCCCAGCAAGACCACAACACCAGATCCTCCAGACCCCAGAAGACGCGTCTCCCCACCGCACCAACCGACCCCCTCCCCCGGCGCAGCTCTCGCGAGAACAAGAACACGAACCCACTTCATCAGACAATCCATCACAGAGCGGGCGCCATCAACGCTGGATGGGAAGCCAGAGAACGGCAGTTACACTTCGCGCATCAACCATGAGGCGGGGAGAAAAGAATCCCGCCTCCTTCGAGGAGAAGAAGATATGCTATATCGCTTATCGTCGGGTTCGTGCGGGCGAGGAATGGGGACTCTTACCATCAGGTTCTAGGTAAGACCGCCTCCACAACGGAAGAGACAATCGCGGCTCTCCAGGTGGGATGTGAATTCACTTGTCCCGGACACTCCGCTCCGGACAAGGGTACGTTATAGGATTTACTTACTGCATGGCGTGTCGATCGATAATCCAAATCGATGGTTAAGCACCGAGTATGGTTGCGATTGCGCCGGGGAGCGGCTCTTCGATCCAGAGATGGGTCTACAACTCTCTTCCTGTCGACAGGAGTGGGAAGAGTAAGCATTTAGCCATTGCATAGCCCCCCCCCCGCATCATCGACATGCACGATCCAGTGAACTCCAGGCTCGGCGCTGGGGGCGAGTTCAAGCCCTCGAAGCACAAGAGCCCAGTAGCTCTCCTAACGCTGCATGACGTGAGCGGGACTGTAGTGTCGGAGTCTGCCTCGGATGCTATATACTGCCAGCGCCCTTGCCCAGAGGGAGATCGATCGGCTCCCGCCACTAACCCAAATGACCCGAGAGAAGATCCGATGGAGAAGGGAGTAGGGGACAGGGTCTCTGCGGCGATGGGTGGGATCGAGCGTTGGAGATGACCGGTCCGCTTGACTACGGGTTGGTAAGCTCATAGGCGCCACTTGCTATAACTACCATGCATGCACACACAGTACTGTACATGCTCCATTCACAGGTAGGGCGTGTATGATATACATCAGATTCTATGGATGTGATGGTTCAGGTGGATATGTAGCGATTTGATAGAGCTCGGCTCAGGGATGGGCGACATGGAACAATATCTTGGATTCTTGGTGGCAGGTTCAAGTTGGTTGACTAGCTAGCTAAAACAAGCGTGAGCGGGGGACCATTGCCCCCCACTCCCTAACACAGTCAGTCTGTAGTATTTTGAAGGGGGTGCGGCAGTCCGTGCGAAGGGCGGCAGAACGACCTTCTAGAGCAAGCGGTGAGGTTGTACAACTGTACAAAAGCATGCCTGGTGAGCCACCCTAGATCACGTGGTCAGGATTACTCAGGAATGCCGACCAGTCGCAGGAGTTCTAAGGAGGCTTGCCTCATGAACTGAGGTTATCTTGAAGGGAACCCATTCTCCCCGGATAAGTATGCATAAAGAGCCTTTGTTTCTTGGATCTCCACGTAGTCTAGGCTCATAGTGCCGGCGCAGTCTGTTTAGTAGGTCATCTAGCTTGAGCTTGTCGGGGCAGCACAATGGTGAATTCAAGCTCCTGTTCGAATGTTCAGCTCGGCCACCGCCATAATGAGGTGGTATACGATGCTCATACGTATCTCTCCGCATGCTCAGTCCAGTGGGCGACGGCTAAGTCACCGGAAATCAGGATTTTCCAGTCGTGATCCTTGAACGATTTCAATGAGGCAACAACCTCTCTGAATGTCCCGAGTAGTTCCACGGCAGCTTGCTGAGCCAAGCCGCGCGCGCTATGAAGGTAATCAGCAATCGCAGATTCTATAAAAGACGTGGGAGCAAAGAATCATACTCAAGGACATCAACCCCTGTTCCTTCATTTTTTCCTTCATTTACGGAATGGGGAACAGAAAATCTAGCGAGATAGCAGCCAGCGATAAAGGAGAAGAGGATGAAGAGAAGACCAACAAGAGGACGGAGATCAACAGCTGCAAGCATCTTGGAGATAGAAAGTTGGAATGCAAGTAAGGTGTGAGTACTGCCTGTCGTTCAAGAGTAACGGGGAAAAAAGACTGCCCGATGGATTAGTGGATGCTAACGGGCGCTGCCTGGCTTGATTATATCCTTGTGTTCTGGCATTTTACTTCGAGAAAGCGAACAAGAACAAAGCCATCTTGTCTCACAACCTGTCAAGCCTTCCGGCGAGCAAAAAGCTCGTTTGTACAGAGACGTCGACAGGCCTGGAATCAGAGCAGTCTTGCCTTTCCGGGGAAAAGAAAAAGAAAAGGAAAGGAAAGGAAAAAGGCTCCGTGACAGTGCTGGTGGCACGGTTTGCATCCTTGGGGAGATCAAAGGTACTCTTTGATTAAACTTGCCAATAGTAGAGCTGTGAGGGAAATGCACGAGGGCGCTCAGGTGACGAAGTATTCTCATACCCAGAATTCTGTGCTGCTTGTTCTATTACCATTTGACTGAATTCCCGACAGCAAGGACACATTCTGACCTATGAGGAAAGGCTGCATACACCAGGCGTTGGTATATGCCTGGACTCCATAGACAGTGCCCTTGGGACTAAGATCTAGCAAGATCTTTTGGTAGGAATTCGCATCATTCACGTAGACGAGGGAGCCTTGTTTTTATGTATCTGCGCTGGAAGGACAGACAGACCATAGACTGCTTTATTCCAGGTCCGCGGAGTTGTACTCGATGTCGAGCATCTCTAACCACGACACAAACTTCTTAAGACCTGCTGGGTGAATACGTTCTCCCTCCGGGGGTGGAAGCTCACCGCGTCTCTTCATGTTGATGCATAGCTCGTACAGGTACTTTTGGTAGTCGCTATCCATCTGCTTCCTCCGGGAACGGCGATTCGGATAAGGCTTCTGGTTGTCATACTCCGGCGAAACCTCCTGCGCTAAGGCTCCGACAGCTCCGTGATATCCACATTCATCTGGTACCGCACCAGCAACAGTATGTACTTATGCGGCCTGGGAGCGCTTTCCCAGCGCACGCCCATAACTTCACCATCAGTTTTCGCGGCGGGCAAGTTGCGGAGAATCCGCAGCTGGTGGACCTCCACCCAGCGGGCCAAGTGAGGGATCTTCACGGGATGGAAGGCCTCGTGATCAGACTGACTCCCCAGGGGCCACTTGCTATCGCAGTGGGAAAACAACCGAATGCGGTCGTCCGACGTGAGCCGATAATATGGATCATTGCGAGGGAGAGCGCCAATGGGTGGGATGGGAAATGTCGGGAAAAGCCGCGGCATGCGGTAGAGATGAATAGGATGTGTCGGTGTACCTCGAGGGTTTCGGTTAGCCGAGTCAAAGCTCAGGTGGAAGTGATAGTCCGGTTTATGGAAATCGACACTGTAGGGGCATGGATTGAGCTCTCCCAACGGGTCGGGTTCGGGATCGTCGAAATTGTCCAACAACCCGAGTTTGCCGAGTCTTTCGTATTCGCTCCGATGTGGACATTGCAAGAACCCAGCCTGCATCAAGACTTTTATTGCCTCGGTGATATGCTCATCGGGGACCACTCAGTCACGTTTCGTAGCCTCGTGCAACGGTGCCCCATAGATAGAGAGCGCATCGTATCCACACATTTTAGGGATCTTGCTTAGATCGAGGATGCGAGCCACATGGGAATCCACAATTTGATCACCAAGATCACGGCGAGGTTCACGCTGCGCTTCGAAAATCTCGGTGGGAATACTCTCAGCCATGTTTCAAGAAGTTACTTACGTTCGCCAATGCTTTCGAGACAGATATAGCACTCACAAAAGGTAGAATCCCGTCGACTTGCTGGAAATATCAGGGTCAGGGTGTCTTGGGAGATAAGACGGTGTTTATATAGACTTCCACTGCCGCTTGGCTCAACTCGCTCGAGAACTGTTTACAGACTGGGATTTCAGCAGAAGGGCATGTCTCATTTCACTGTCTTGGATTCTGCTCCAACTAACTAAGATGGGTCCCGCTACATATATTTTATAAGTCCTGGTGGTGCTTGAATTGAAAATGTGGCTGTGTACATTCAGTCCATTGTACGAGACTTTAACATCTCCTTTTCAGACCTGGCAACTTGGAGAAGAACAGCCATACCTGCATCACGTCCCTTTTTGTGTCTTGTGATAAACCTCTGGCCTGCGAGCTTCACCCAACCCTCAGTTTCTATACCCACAGACTTTCTTTCTCGTCTCGTCTGAGTTGGCGCTTGAGATTCACAATCTGCAGCCTTTCGCCAGCTAGGGCTCCAATAACATAAGCATGCGTCAATCTTCGATGGCAAAAGAGAATAAATCAAATCTCCCAAGATCCAAGGGCTGTCTCTGAAAACATCGTTAACTACTGCTGGAGCTGTCAAGTCCAAATGGATTCAACCACGTCCGATCAGTCACCCACGGTTCCTTGCCTTGTACTCTTTCAACTTATGGTGGGATCTTCCATCCATAATACATAATTATTGAGCACATCTCTTTTTTGCATTCTAGCCACCAGTAGCTTGTCTTAGAGTCCGATAGTTACCAGATTGGAAGCTTACCCGAAGGTCATACATTAACCAGCATACAGTTCAGCGCTTATGCTACCTATAACGAGACCGATTTCTTTGGTCGACATATCATCCCTCGATGATACCTAGTAGTGACGGCAGAAAAATGGACTAATCGGCTGCATGCACGTAGTTGGGCCGACGTGCGCTCAGGTATAATTTAGTATGTACTGTAACTTACAGTACACCGCCAAGTCTTCTCAGCCCGGGAAGTCAGGTGGTCCGAACAGAGGGTCGGTAAGAATAGTAGTGTAAAGTGAATGCATGTATACTACTATCTTGTTTTTATTTTTCCCTCTCTCCTCCCCCTCCCACCACACACCTTCTCTATTTTCCACCGCACGTATGACTTCGGAAAGCAAGGACCCTGAGGTCGAGACAAATGATTCCTTCCACGAGCTAAACTCAACGGTAACAACCATCATGTCATGCCAAGTAGAAGGAACCGCCTTGATCACCGGAGCTGGCTCGGGTAAGAGAGAAAGCTTACTGACCATGTACTCCGATTTCTGGAAGCGAACTGGCCCCCAAGACTGACTCTACAGGCAGGTGTCGGAGAGCAGACAGCCCTGCACCTCGCTGCGAACGGCATTTCAGCACTGACCTTAGTGGATATCGATGCGTCGGGCCTGGAACACGTGCACCAGGCCTTGCAAGCAAGCCACCCGACTGTGCAGGTGCTTATCGTGCCGGCGGATGTGACCGATGAAGCAGCCGTTGAGGCCGCCTTCCAAGAGACGGTGGCCGCGTTCCAGAGAGTGGACATTGTCATCAACGCGGCTGGCGTTGGCCAGCCCTTCCAGTCAACGCCCGACCTGAGCAAGGAGGACTGGGAGAAAGTCATTCGAGTTAACCTGACCGGGGTATGGCTATGCCAAAGGGCTGCTATCCGGCAGATGCTTGCGCAAGAGTATAGTTTCTTCTCCCGTCTACCCCAAGCTTCCAATCACTGCCCCTGAGGGTTTTGCCTGAATTCTGCATGGTCTGACTTGTGCGATGGCAGACCCCGTAATGTCCGCCAAGGCCGAGGCGTCATCGTCAATGTCGCATCGGCCTTGGGACTTACGACGCCGTCGACTGTGCTCCCCACTACAGCTTATGTATCTTCCAAACATGGTAGGGGTCCCTGTAACTAACGATATGTGCATGGAAAGCCTTTCTGACAATATCATGTAGCGGTTATGGGATTGACAAAATCGGTCAGTATACTCCCTTTGCTCATGAAGAACGGTCCACACTGATCATCAACACCTTGAAGGATGCCAAAATCTACGCCGCAGAGGGAATCCGTATAAATGCAGTGTGTCCAGGGTGTGTATATCGATCTCGGACTTTTGTAACTACTTTCTCCAGATTGCCTCCGATACTGACCTGATCGCAGCTGGTTTCGCACCTCATTGGTTGAGTCAGAGCTGGACTCCGGCGAGCTGTCTGCAGAGATCCTCAGCGCCCCGGTGCAGAGAGTAGCGGAGACTGAGGAGATCGCGAGCGCCATCTTATTCTTGGCATCGCCAATGAGCAGTTTTGTCTATGGGACCGGCCTCATGGTTGACGGGGGGTACAGCTTGTGACCAGTCGGGCTGTGGCAGAATACAGCGGCTTGGGTGTGGAGAAACATCAGGTTAAGACTTGCGGATGATGATTTCGGTTAGCGTTCTGTGTTTTTAAGGTGGAAAAGACCTTTCTTTTTTGGGAAACGAGCTATTCTCAATTCTCCAATCAAGCATCTAATCACCCAAGCACCTCAAGCACTCATGTCCTACTCAAGCAGTCATCCATATCTCTTATCCAAAAACCTGCTCATGGAATTCCCCCAAGATCCTCAATATCTTCAGAGCCAACCATAACCATCGCTTCATGTCTCTATCTTCATGATATCTCATTGTAGATATGGCCCGACAAGAGCACCTCGCGGGACATAAGGTTGGAACTGGAATTTCTCCCCGTCCGCGTATCGCGCCGGCAAAAGGAACTATATCGCGGCCCGATCCCCGCCCGCCCCGCTTTTCTCCAGAACATACTAGGTACCTAGTACCGTGACTCATCTCATCTTTCTCATCCCAGTGTCTCAACCAATCACCATCTTCTGCCACTACAATAAGCATGAGCTAACATGCCAAGCACGAACAGTTCCCTCGGGGTCCAAAAAGTCGGTATCAACTGACTAGTAGGTATGTCACTAAGTACTAGCCCAAACATACATGCAAGTCAGCGTATGCAACAAATTGTTGAATCTCTGTTCCAGCATTTTAGAGCCAGTGCCCTCTCCCTTAGGGACTGTCTTATCCAGCATCGGATGCTCAAGTGTATCTGCCTCGCCCGGTCTACGACTTCCAGTCTCCCGAGTCACTAGAATAGACAACGAACGAGAATGGGCAATTTGGCTGAATCGAGGCCAAACGGCCGGGTGATAATACATACTCACGCCAGGATTTCACGCGCACGACATCTTCTCCCCGGCGCCCTTGCTATCTCCGTACAGAATAAACAAACCCATGTTCTCGGACCCTTTGCTCTTGTTGCTTGCCTTCCTCATGCTCCGATGACGATGCCTCCCAGAAAATATCACCTCAAAACCTAGCCCTCTCAGCGCCTAGTCGTTTCACGCACGCCACGCTCCAGGCGGATCATCGAGCTTGCGGCGCGGCATACAATGGAGGGTGCAAATCGAAGAAGGCATGAAAACCTTTGCTCGAACTGACCTCAGACGTTTCTAGACATCATAAAACCACGAGATAAAAACATGAAATGCCCACCCCTTCCAAAAGAGGAACAGAAAAAGGAAGTCGAATGTTGAGCTGACCCCTGCCGGAAGAGCAACCATTCATTCAAAGCTACGTACTTACCTATCTATGAATAAGGTCTCCAGTACCATTGTCCCAGTAATGTATCTTTCTCGTCTCCTCGCGGATATAAATCTTACCCTTTTCTTCGTCGAGGCCAAACTGCAAGCCTTGAGCTCTGTATGAATATCCTCAGTTTCGATAAGAACCTCCCACCCTCCCCCCCCATCTTTCCATATTCCTGTACAAGTGAGGAAATAATGCTCGACACGCAACGAACAAGACCCTTTAAGAGCTACATACACACTAAGTATACCCAAGCTAAGACGGCAGAGCCATGTGCACAGGGCACTATACCCACAATCTAGATTCCCCTCTTTGCACTCAAGACACTCAGAGAGTCTATTTACGATACTAGCTCAATCCCAGCAAGAAACCCTACCCAGTAAACACCCAGACTGTCAATTCTATTCGTCAATCGAACGCCAAGGAATCATGGCACCAAGGCCAAGGGTCCAAGCCACTGCACTGTATCCAAAACCACACCACCACCACGCGCGCATCGCACCCAATCACATCCCCCACAAAGACACGATTTCAACCAACACACAGATCGACAATGATAAGCGGGGGTCTAGAAAGGCCCTTCCTAATCCCCTCATCCCCTCACTATTGATAACAAACCTGCTTTACTCGAAACACGATCAACTGCTCTAGAATAGATCGACACAGACAATGGAAACCTTCATGTCGCCAAACTTGTTCTAGCCCGCGCCGCTCCGGCAGAAACCTGGAGACGAGGGAAAATTCTCGAATAACAGGTAACTATGTGCCACCAAACTCGCCAATCCTTCTACTCATAAGTAGGATTTCTCTGTCCGCCCGTCCCGGGGGATGAGGGGGAGAGGGGGAGGGGGGGGAGGGGGGTCGGTCCTACGGGCTTATGCTCTCTCCGCCTTCGGGTAGTTTGACTCCCATCCATCCCGGATAAAGGCATTGTTCTAAGATGCCCTCATATGAGGACTATGCTGAATGACTGGACAAAGGCTGTGGCGGCGGCAGCGGCAGCAGCAGCAGTCCGGCATGGCCCGCCCGTGGTCTCAGGCCCCCTTCCCTGTCCACTGCTGTACATCTGTGATGCCTTGTGATTCGGTGGTTGATGGACCATACGGAGGATCTGGAGGGGCCCGGCTCTTCATTAATCTACTCAGTATGTACAGACGGTAGAGTTGGGCGCCCAAGATCATGACCACGACTACGACCACGACCAAAACCGAGCTACGGGGACCGACCGTGAGATCGAATCGAATCGGGAGCACACGATCGAATCGAATTAAATCAGGGTTCTTCGTGATCGAATTGTACGGCACGCCATACAGTAAACTATTCGACTCAAAAAGAAAGTATACCTGCAGCCACACATGGATGGATGGCGTGAGCGGCTTGTAAGAAGAACGCTGCAGTTACCGTACGGCCGCCGGGAGACGGATGATGGGCTCTGGACACTAACTTATGTGTGGCTTTTTCGGTCCCAGTCAAGTGAACTGTGCTATCACCGAAAGATGAGGTGGATGGCGGTTGTGGCGTGTCCCGAATGAGTCGTAGTGCTCTATTGTTGTTGCGGTGCTGTGATCAAGGCAGTGTCGTCGGAGGACTCCGGACATAGTTGGCAGAAACATCGGGTCTGGTCGGGTTCTGCGGTTTGATGCAGTGCTGGCTGCCTGAGTGTCACCGTAAATCCAGCGCAGTTGTTACACCAGTCAGCGCCCACGAGCTGATCCAGGACGACTCCCAGTGGTGGGAAAAATGCCACGGGAAGGCATGGAAGACATCCTGGCATGATTAGCCGGTGTCACTCAGTAACACCCTAGTTAATTTACGTGGTCTATTCGAACTCGATCCAGGCTAGGCCAGACCAGACCGGGTCAATTACGGGAATCTTAGTTTGATACCGGGCATTACGGGGGAGGGCCATTGTGGTCTATCTATCTCACGATGGAGACTAATTTCTCCGTGGCTTGCGACTGCACACTCAGGACACCAGCCAACAGCCAAAGGACCAAAGAAATCAAATCGCCATGCTCGGTTTCCAAGGCAAATGGCGTGAACAAACACAAAAAGGCTGTGTCCATGATAGATAACATGGTATGCCGTCATCACTGCGCTTGATGTCCATCATCAACCATGAGATCTGACATTCAACATTCGACATCGCAAAGTCACCCCATACTCTGCTGTTGCTCATCCCTTCCCTTCAAGGTTTCCCATCCTCCCTTTCTTGTCTCTCTCCGGATCGCATTCCCCAGAACCCACTCCAACCGAAGGGAATGCTTCCAGTCCAATCGCTCTGGAACCGGACGAAACTATTGGAGAGTCAAACCAAATACCAAAAAGTCCAAAAGTCGATCCACGAAAAACCTTCTGATTAACCTTAAGGTTCGCCTCCCGAGTCGTTGTCATGTTGTCAATCATGAACAATAAATGAGATCATGTTTTCGTAACCCCGGGGGCGCAGGGGGAGCTGAATACATTCGGAAAATGTTTACTGCGCCGACCGTAGGAGAACTTTTTTGACATCATGCTTGTTGTGGTGTGATGAATCGGGTTAGGCGACTTTTTTGGCTTATTCTTTTCTTGGCGGCCTTCTGGGAGAAAAGGAAAGGAAGATTAGTCACGCGCCACTGATCGGCTTCCATAGAGCAGAAAACCGATCCCGAGTCGTTCATCATTGACTCGGGCGATATTGCTGTTGCTAAGCAGATTTAGTAATCTATGTGGAAAGGGGGAATAGGAAAGTGCAGCGAAAGGGGAAAGAAAAAGGATAAAAAAAAACCAAGATGCGCGTACCTGACTACGAGTCGAGGGGCACTCCGAAACTACCTAGTACCTAGTCCCCAACCCCGCCAGGTTTATTAGGAGAGAAAAGCGCCGAAGGAACAGCACAGAGCAAGTGTTAAGGTTCTAGGTCGTTATAGAATCACCTGGACACTGGATTTTTGCTCTCCCTTCCCCAATTCCCACATGCACATCGGCGAGCGTTTCCCCTGCAACCCTAAGCGCACAGGGCACTGAGGGTTGCTCTAGGGTCGATCTGGATTAGTGTTACTGTCTTTAGCAAGGGGCACTAGTCCTCTTTCAGATCACGACCCCGCAGATTTGAGCCAATCACGCGGACGGCCACGCATATCCCTTGCTGCTTGTTCAGGCATTCTAAAGTTCTGGAGCTGCACATGGGACAGGGTCAATGGCCGTTGGAAAACCGACCTGCTTACCCCTCATTTTCGTGGGTTTGTTATCGAGACGGAAGATATGGGCTTTTGTACGGAGTATAGATGAGAGACAATCAAAAGAAAGGGGTCGCGAGAGGTTGACACAATTGGAGATTGAAAAAAAAACTCAGCGGAAGCCCACTCCCGGAAACGCGCGCGCCCACAGCCAACTCACTTTCTTACTAAGGCAGAGAACCTCGCTCCAGTTCCCAAGCCTGACCAGACTCGCTCGCCGGTGTCGAACATTCCATGGATTGCCGTCGGACCCGGACCCACTACAAAGGTCAGCTGCCCGACCAGTTTTGTAAGGTGGAGTCAAGTCGAGGCCCTTTTTTGACTCTTCTTTTTTTTTTCTCTGCTGCTTTCCCCGGTAACAAGGGCTGGAGAGCAGTAAAGATCATCCGAATGCTGACTGTACATCGTACATACCTTTTTCCATGTGGGAAGACGTGCGCGTTCCCTTTTTCGCCTCCTCCCAACTGGGTTTTACTCATAACACTCTCTGCCGTCCAGATTTAATCCCTGTCGCTCACCATGACTTTCAATCATCACCCGATGGAGGGAATCGATAGCATGATGACTGTAGCGAATGTAGGCAGGGAAAACAATACATACCCTTTCGTACAGAAAACGTGGTGGCTTGATACATACAATAGTGTGGTGCACAGGTAAATAGGCGCGTGGTGTAACGAGTCTAGACCCGGGGATCTTCCGCTTGCAGAATCTGCCAGATCAGATGGTCACGACTCACCAACCCGGATTTCTCTTTTCGGAGTTCCGTCACCACTACTGTGGTAATTTTCCCACTGTGCAGTGCGCTGCTGGGCGCGGTTCCTCCCTCCCCCCCCCCTCCCCTCCCCTCCCCTCCAGCTCCTCCAGAACCGTCTGCCGACTCCCCTCCGCCATATTTCTTCTCTCTACCTCCCCCCTCTCCTCTTTCAGGCTCTTCCTCTTTTTCCTTCTTCTCTCCAGATTTTCACTCCAGATCACTCAAAAAGCCAATCTTGCGCCTTCAAGCCACTCTCCTCCTAGGCATTGTATCCACATCTACTACGCTGCACTCGCACGCGCGACTAGCACTTAATCACATCCTCCAAGTAATTGAGTCACATCTTGACACTCCCACCTAGGGAGTATTCACCCAAAGTGATCTTGAATCATCCTTATCATCATACCTATTATATCAACCATTCGTCAACACAATGGCGGTTACAACCATCGATATCATCCCCAAGACCTCTTCCTCTCCGCTATCCTCCAACAACCCTTCCATGAATAAGCGCTGGCCCCCTCTCGCCGACAAGACCTCCCTCCCCTACAAGCTCACCACTCTGTCGCGTCAGAAACTGGCTCGCGAGGCTACTGCTCCCGACCCGGACATCCGTCGCTGCCTTGGCCACTTCCGCCTGCACTGCCGGTCCATGGAATGGGCGCAGAAGGATATGTCGACGCGCATCAACTCGTTCGAGATGGAGGACGACGAGTCCGAGGATGAGGAGGACCGGGACGATGAGAACAAGAAGCTTCCCGACGACCGCAAGGACGAAGACCAGACCTTGATCAAGCCAGCCTCGACTGAACCTGCCGACAAGGCTACCTCCGAATTGGAGACCACCACAGTCCACGTGAGCTTCCACGTCTCGGCACCCCCCGCTGCCGAAAAGGAGAAGGAGAAGGAAGGGCTTCTTGAGAAGGGCCGCAACTGCTTGGAAAAGACGGTGCAAAGGAAACACTTCTGGCCTTCGCCGGGTCAATGCCTGCCTGTTCGGATTGCAGGTTGATTTTCCACGCCGCCATCAGCTTCTCAACTCATATCTCAACTCACTTGACACCTCGACATCCTATCTTCAAAACAGCTCACCTCTTCTTCTACAAAACATGTCTCAAATCCGACCAAACAAAACCTCGAAAACCCACCACCAACCCACCTCAACCTACCACCTCTCTAATCTCTAATTATGACGTCACGAAGCCACGATTTTCATTATTTTCCTTTCAACCTGTTACCACCACCATCTATTCATCTATACATATAACCAGCGGAGTTCGAATTTCGATCATCATCTCTTTTTCTTGTGGACGGGTTCCACTACTAGCTTGGCGTTGGTGTGCAGAGCTATCTTACATGATCAACGGTGTTAATTTGCAAGAAAGGATCGGAGCACAGCGAACTGGGATGCGGCCAGACAGCACAGAGCATTGGATATGGATTGGGAATGTATTTACATATTTTTTTTGTGTCTATCAAAAAGTCAAACCTCTAGATCAAAACATCACAAAATGAACAACAAAATGAAAAAACAAGTCAAACAAACTGGTCCCTCCAATGATTGGGTGTATAGTCTTCTTTCCCGTCAATCATTCCTGATAATCGTCCGATTGGTTTCTCCTACTCAATGACTCAAAACCCCAGACCCGACATCCCCAGACTTCCCCCGGTCAACTCATGTGACCCACGGAGGAAGTGCATAACCGAAACCAGTCTAGCGCATAAAGGATGCATACCTAGTTTAACGCACCCGCTTAATCAGAACCACCTCCTAACTTACACACAACTGAAGCAAACTCAGCAAAGAGGTAGTTAGTATTCATGTATGAGTCAAATCACGCCCACGACCCAACTCAATTCCACGTACCTACCCTCCCTCAATCCAAAACCTACAATCAAAGAAAAAAAAAACTCAACAAAAACCTACTCCACAATCAAACCCCCCCCCTTCCCTCCCGCCGGCAACTCTCCCAGCGAAACCCTCGCCTAAACAATGAGTAACTTACATACTGTATGTGAAAAAGTTCAAGGTCCCGTAACGCAACGATGATGCAACCCCCGTCCGTACCTTATCGACCGCCAATCGGGTGACTTGCCCATCCTCCCATCCAATGGCCATGCCATGCCATACCGTCAACAGTTTTTCCTTTCATGTGTACAATTCACGGGGTAGTTAGTACCCACTCACCTTTCCCGTAGCACCGCCGCCCGGGGCTCAGCTTGTATGGCCGAATTGCCACATTTGTGTCATTGCTTCGATCATTGAGTTTGATGTTGAGTGGGTGTGGGGATGGGGGTCGGGGGTGATTGGGTGGGTGTATACTTGGTTTGAGCACTAGGTGTGCGGTGGAGGTGCTGGGTTGGTCTGGTTTGAGGCTACTAGTAGGTACTGTGCTGTACCTTAGTTCGGTTGGGGAAGGATTCGCGGGCTGCCCAGTGGATGGGGCCCCGATGCGGCTGCTTCTGCTTTTCTTGTGGGGGTATCTTGACTTCGGGTTTGGGGCGATGGGTTGGGTTGGGTTCATGTGATTGTGTGGTGTGGGATGGTGTGCTGTGGTAGGGCTGATTGAGGCTTTGGGGGGCGTTGGGTCCACTTCGTTCAGTTGCTTTGGTTTGTATGGATGGGGGGACGGCATGGATACTCGGAGGAACATGTGTACATACGTAGGGTATGATGTTATTCTGGGGCCCCGGGTCCCGGATCTCGGGCCCCGGGCTTGATGGGAAGGGAAGTGGTGTGAGGTGCCACGGGGATGTGGTGATGCATATGTACTGTACCGTACCCGTAGGGGGCAGTACTTCGGGACGGGTAGGTTGCCACTTGGGACTTTTGATGATGACGGGGAGGTATTTGGATGAATATGATGTAGGGGTTGTTTGCTTTGCTTCCCTGATAGCTTGAATGGAGGGAGGCGAATTCTTGAGGTAGGTAAACTTGTTTGATGCGGTGAGAATGTTGGTGCTTAGCTGGAGTATACCGTGCTGTTTGGCATGTACTATACTTGCTACCCATTCAATGCAATTGAGTACACTCACTGTATCTCCGACCTCGGGATACATTCAAATGCTTGTTGCTTACAGAATATACACCCTTTGTATGTGTCACCTCGACATGCCGATGATTCGCCGCAGTCGCCTTGACGTCGATCCATGCCTCACCCACCGGAAGGCATCATATGGCGACGTCAGGCCATGCTTCTCACCCGTGGCGTGAATCACAACCAAGGCTTCCAACAAACGCATTCGTCGAGGTATTGTGCGGTATAATTGCACAGCTCTCGTATCTTGATCTCTACTCTTAGGTACAATACAGCCGTCGTGAGGTTGTCCGTAAACGATGCTGGTCGGTTGGCCGCGTGAAACAAAACGTCTGTTAATCGCCGAAGATGCAGTCAGGGCCCAAGCCATAAGGATGAGGTTGTTGGATTATGCTGCAGTAGCCATAGTGGCGAGGTTTCGGTAGGAGATGCGTAAGAACAGTTTAGCCTGTAAGTTATAGCTAAGAAAGGAAAGGAAAATTTGAATGAGATAGACTTAATTATGCGGTAGGATGAGAGCGATGCTGACTTAAGCTCTAGCCGGAGCATAAAATGCTTGGAACACTGCTTCAAGATGTGTTGATGCTATTCAGACCTGCCCACGAGAATTCAAAAGGCGGATGTGGAGCGGAGCAGGCGGAGCGGAGGTGCGACGGCAGTTTCATGGCGAGCCGCCGCCCTCTCCCAGAGATCTCCGGCGGTTACATCATCGTCGCATCTACAACATTAACAACAACGCAGGAAGCATCATCTACACCAGCGTCTCGTCGATTTTATCCTTATGCTGCGCCCTTCCACCAGCTCTACAAAGACATTGCCAACGAAGCATGACCACCTTCAATCCGAGTTCCCCGTCCACCGCTCCCGATCGACATCCCACCCGCCGACCAAACGGTGCGGGTCTCCATCATCGACAAGCACAGCAGCCCACTTGATAAGTGAGTGAAGTACAGCCCAAACCCAATTGACCACCACTGACCCAAACATCAAACCGCGGTGGCTCGCGCCTCGACCTAACATCCGTCCCTACAAAGGCTGCGACCGCTATTGGGTCAGTGCCAACCAGGGCTTCTCCTTCCTAGTCTCACACATCCCCTCCTCCCAGACCTCCTCTTCGACCTCAACATCCTAAGCGGCACTATCGACGCCGTAATATAGAGCCACCCACACTTCAACCACACCAGCGACCTCCCCACCTTCCAACTCCCGACAATCACCGCCCTCATCGTCAGCCCGGGCTTCCAACCAACCTTTCTACCAGACAGTCCACACAACCAACCCATCCCCCTCCCCTCCACCAACATTCCTTCATCTCCACCAACCGCAGCACCATCCACGAACTCACCTTCACCCCTAGCGCAAACGACCCCAAAATCTGCACCGCCCATTTCCAAGCCCACAAATTCCTTCAACAACGGAAAGCCTCTAGTAGACCTCCTCCACACCCCCAGCCGCACAGTCGCGCACATCTGCGTCCTTCGCGCACCACCACCAACCCGTCAAAGTTCATGCCCCTCTCGAGGAGACTCAACCCTCGCCTGTGCCGGAGTGGGGAGGCGGATTGATCGCTTGAGGGGTTGAAGGGGCCGATGGAGTTGGATGCAATGCCAGAAGTGTGGAGTGTTATTGCGCATGATGCGCCGATGGTAAGGGGTGGGCAGGGCATAGGCAGGGGGATGAAGAAGGTAACTACCGTCGGGTGGGGCTCTTCCACGGGCAACGATTAATACGGTGGTTCGAGGAAGGGTGGAAGAGAGGTAATCGATAGAGGTTTCCGGGGAGGATGTTGAGGTCATCCTTAAGAGGTTTCGTAGGGTGATGGTCACTGGTTTTGGGGGTTGGTCTTGGAGATAGCGAACATGATTCGATTCAGTGAACAGTACTGAGTTCAGTACACCTGCCTAGGCACTATATATGGATACCCCGTACAGACCCCACGCAAGATCCTATAGAAGAAACGGAAGCCCTCCCCAACTTCCATATGATTCTGCCTCCCTTGCCAAATATATAGGACAGAGCGCTGGTCAAATCAGCTCGTAGTACTCCGTACACACCAAAACATCCCTGCAACCAACCCGGCCCAGCCCATCCCGCTACCTAAGACTGGTCTTGCATGCATAAAGCATCGTATTTCTTCCTCTCGTTAGGGCGGGCTATCGACAAGAGTAATAGGTAGCTACACAGGATTAAACACGCATCTACTGTCCACTCGTACAGCAAATACTAGCATCTAGTCAACCCTATGGGTGTTGCTGCTGGCACCCCAAATCTATTCCTTTTGGACTGTACTACCAAGAGCCATCCGCAGCGACTAAGACATCAAGCACTAACTAACACCGACTAGACTAGCTAGCTCCACGCCACATCTCTTGGCAGAACGACGTTGTTCAGATCACAGCAAGTTGATTCTGGGCTGGAAGCTGATAAATATCTACACGACCTTTTCTGATCCTTTGTTGTTTACTATTATTATTATTACTAGAAAGAAAGAGGGATGATGAATACATATGGATGGTACATGGGGGGGTTGGTATACGGCGGGTATAACATGCAGGAATTAACTAACCCTAAGTTTGTCCTAAAAATGTCAGTGTTTCTGCCTGAGGCATCAACCGGACTCCATGTGACAGCCTTTGGTCAGAGGAATGTTCTTGGTGGTAGGTAGCGGCCATAGTCTGTTGCTGATGATGCATGCGATACATTCGTGATATCGCCATCGCTCAATGTTCTCTAATGGGGCCAGTCGATTTATTCGTTGAAGAGTATCATGAGAATAGTAGGAGAGAGGAGATATGGAACAAACACCAGGTAATGCAAGTAATCACTAGATTCTTGTTCTGGAAATATTGTAAGGTACTAAGGCATCAATCGAAGCAAGTGCCAGGGGTTCGAAGTTCGCTCGCCTCCCTACCGTAACGGGACCTATTCCCGCGCCCGGAGAAAGGAAACTACCCAGATGTAGTTGATGCCATTATTCACCATCTGTAATTAAAGTGGACCCGGAGCATCTCCACATTATTCACATAAAGCTTCGGCGGATGAACCCTGGCATCCACAAATACCTGTCCTTTCGTCACATCAGGTGTGACGCGGTGAGACATATACCCAACTTCTGACGGTACAGTCCCCGGTTGCGCATCAGTCAGCATTCTCTCGATAAGGCTCACTCTACCAGGGAGCGCCCACGCCCGGATAGCGGGGCAGATGGCATCGACGATCGCATATTTTCGAGGCGCCGCGGGGCTTATCGTGCGGTGACACACTTCCAGAAATGTATTCATCGAGTTCCGGGTCACTGCTTCAACTGTCTCGTTGGGCTCGACGGGGGCAGGAATGTTTGCGAGCACCACGCACCCGATGCCGATCATGACCACGACCGCGGCAGTATTGCTCAAGAGCTTTGCAGTGCCGATGGCCCTGAATTCCATCTCGCCATTCTTATTGCCCTTCTTGTTCTCTCTGGGGTCTGGGCCTGGAGCGGTGAAGGTAATGCTGCCCACGGCCCCGGGTCCGATGACGGCCACTTCGTCGGCCAGGATGGCTTGTTCGAATCTCTGAGCCATCTTGTCTCTTCCACTCGAAAATAATAAAGATGCTGTGTGATTGAATGGCCCTATGTTTGAGCTGTGAAAGCGAGTCTAGTGTAGGAGTGTATGAATGGTAGAGTCGGGGGTTTATGGTGTTGAAGTTCGTTGGTTTGAGCTGTGAATTTATAGCAGGACTCGATCCAAACAGTAGGGGTACGGGGCTTCAAAGGGCATTGTCAGGTGCATTTCAAGGTTGAATCGACAAAGGAAGTTTGGAGAAGTATATCTGTAAGTGGTTTTGGGAGTAAAGTGCGATGAGGTACGGTCGGGCTCAAGCGCTTGGGTCTCAGGAATGACATTTGGATCAACGTGTGTAGGATCTCCGATCGCATTGTGGGGGATTCAGCTGCAGGCTTTGTTTGCGACAAGGTCTCGGAAGATAAATCTAGAAGAGTCTTTGATTTAGCCTTGTAATGCATGTGTAGAGGTTTTCTTGGTGTGGAGCTGAAAGGAAAGGACTGGCGAGAGCTTGGTCGAAAGAATGAATGCAAGCAAAGACAAAAGAACAGCTGAAAGGATGAGAGAATAATCTCAAGGTCTCATCATGGAGGCCATGGAGCTCCTCATTATGATGCTTGCGCACCTGCCAAACACTTCAGCCTTCTAGTAGGAGATGATCTGAGCGCTGTTTGTTGATGCGACATGTGCTTGGTGATTATGGAGGGTATAGCTGAAAAGGTTCGTCTGCTGGCAGGGAAAGTCTAGTACAACATAAACGAGGGGTCTGTTAGCATACAAGGGTTGTTGTAGAATCAAAAGGACTGGGAATCAGAGAGCTAGGCCATGTGTGTTGTGTAAAGCTTTTTCTTGTTGGCGAAAAGGGTTGAATCTGAACTCTCAAATGTCTTCAAATGCCGGGAACCTCATGCGTGTCGTGAGAAAAAGTCGTACTCGGATGGATGCCTCCTCATTTTGGGATCACTCTGACATGTGTGGGAGGAAGTGGCTACCGACTGGAAAGTCACGCCGTCGAACTTGGGGATGGCGATGAGCCAGGACGATCGGTGATGCAACACCAAATGCGGAGCGAAATTGCTAGATAGATGAGGATGGGCAATAGATCATCTAACAAGAGACCGACTTGCATGGTAGTATCCTAGGAGCCAAGGCAAAGTCCGTCACCGCAGCTGCAGAGTGTAAAGAACAAGAAATCCCAGTGGTGACCTGACCATCGCGAATAACCTCACGTTCCCTCCCCCTGCCTTCGAGCACAGCCCGCCAACTAAGCCATCAAAAACGAGCACAAAGGACGCGCTGGGCGCCTCACAGACATCAGGTATTATCCCATCAGTAGTAGTGGTGCTACTACGATCATATCCCCAAAGCAAAAAGCTCACCGCGCCCCTCCTCGCGCAAGCCGGGCTGCGCGTGGAGAGGAAAGGCTACGAAAACCCCCGGGGTGGTTTTGCAGACGAGACCGCGCACTGTCGGTCTCGTACCCAGGACTTCCAAAGCTGGAAGCGGAGGCCAACCCGCTCAGCTATGGTTACCCTGGTGCTTGTGAGCTATACATAACGGGGGGGTATATGTTCGCACTGGTTCGCCGAAAGGGGAAGCCGTGGAGTGCCTAATCCGCCAGGCATACATATGTTGATGCCTGATGTGGGTATTTGGATGCCTTGGAAATCAGGCATAAACATCCCGATGCCTTAGGCCCCGGCTCGCTGCCTTGATATTGTCTCTTTTATGGAGTTGAAGGTGTAAAATTTACTCTGTTCTTGAATCTAAACAAGTGATGAACAGCCCTAGATGTCTAAAAGCTCGAGTTTCTATTCTCGACCAGCGATGCTGAACCCAAGTCGCACCCGCTTCGTCGGAGCAGCTGTATGCATGCAGCCCAAGATAACGCCCGCGCTTAGGGCTAGATAACAAGGAACCTACTAACTTCATGCCCTGAGCTTGAATGCCAAATTCCCAATATCATTTTATAATAAGATATGGATATCAGTCAATAACGATGAGAAAGTCAAGAGGGGTAATTCCACTTTGTCGAATGCTGAGTTCAAACTGGATATTACCATTGTTCGTGGAATTCTCGGTGCTCGCCTGTTACAGAGGCCTGTATGGACTCAATATTTTTTGACCAGTCAATTGACCTGAAACCATCTGTCAGCTCTCATATGAGACAAGGATATGAATGCAGCGACCTTACAGTTTCAAAGGCAGTTCAGCCTTTTTCAAAAGTGCTTAATTCCTGGCGAAACTATCGCCAGGCCTAGCGCATCCCGAATCGCCTTTGCCTTTGCCGGTCCACGCAATACTCAAGCTCCGGCATGATATTGCCACAAGCGTGAAAGATACCTATCCGTCCCTGTGGGTTTGTATCTGATCCACATTCCATGTCGAGATCTATGTGCCGAAGGCGTGTCGCCGCACTGTGTGCGAGCCATCTCAACACATTGCGAATATAACAGACCACTTCTTTGTGAAAGAGGAGTCATATTAGTGAGAAGGGCTAAGACTTCTTTGGAGTTGACATTTCTTATCTCAGTGACGACAAGCTGCTCGACATTATCGTTGCCGTCGCCATAGCATAGCGACCAGTCAACCTTCCCTGCGAATTTAATACCATAATCATCGAACCGGCCCTATCTGAGGGTCTCATACTCGTGGTAAAGAGCCCTAAAATGACCGAAAGTCGTCTTTCTTGCCTATCACCTGCTCGAGCGGTCTGCTAAGCACAAACCCGTAATGCTGAATACCTCTGTCACTTGGCGAAAAAGCTCCAAAGCGCATATCAATGTCTGCCTTCTCGTCATTCTCCACCCCGTTCACCACAGACTTCTTCTCTTCCTGATCCTTCTTCTTTGCGAGACGTTCCTTCTTTCCAGCCTTGGGCAATGATATATGGTTTTCGTCCAGTTCACTGCAGACTAGCCAGGAACATTACTAGATTGCCTGAAGGCAAGGGATCGCGTATCATCATTCGGCATCGGGACGTTTGAATGCAGATTGTGGTGCCTCGTATTCCCAGTGTATTGTTCCAGACTGCCAGTCCTAGACTTGTTCGGTGAAGCCGCTTAGTGCTTTGGCAAGCTCATCTCTCCAGGTTTCATTAGTTCCAAGACGTGTTTCTGGAGCATGGGCGGGCTGGGGAAGCGTGGACCATCTCATCACAAAACGAGGCAGAACGAATAAATGCACAGCCTGCGTCACAGCCCTGTTGGTCAAAATCTGGTGGATAGTAATGGGCTCTGTCCGCAGTAGACAGTTCGTTGATGGCAAGTAACGCCCACGCGTCGCTGAGACGGGTGCCCAAAGGAGGCCAGTGGCGTTCCTCCGGCAAAACCTGCTGGGGATTTGTTGCGGTCGGCCACTTCTCTTTACTGTGGTAGCCCAGTCAGGATCTGTTCACTTGACGCTTCGCTGAAGTGCTCACCGAGATTTCGCGTACCGCGATCTCTAGGGCTGGCTTCACGATCTCGCGCAGCCGCTTGCGGTTCTCCGTTTGACGCTCGTTTTTCCTCGCGCGCTGTTGTTCCTCCTTTTCGGGCGACCAATTCGGGTTGAAGGAGCATAACCCCTTGGTCTTGCTTCGAATGCAGTTTGCACACACCGCGAGGTGCCCCATGCGCTGGTCCTGGAGAGTCCGGTCTTCTATTGCGACGCAGTCTTGCCAATACCCCTTCCTTTTCTGGCAGGAGGTGCATTCATTCGGCCCGGTTCTGATCTCCCCCGCCTGCATCATTAGGCTGGCCTCCCGTTTGTCGGGGCGCTGGGAGGAGATATCCTTGTCCGTGAAACTCGTCCATTGCGATAAGGGCTTTGCCGCGGGAAACCCATAGATGCAGTAGAGACATGTGTAAGCTGCACTTTGCCCATCGACTGTCATCCCAAGAAGTTATCAGAACGCCGGACAGCCGCAAAATACGTGTCAAGGTCACTTGCATGGCCAATAGCTCACAGCTCAGAACTGGCCATTTTGTCTCGTCAGTGGTATCTAAATCGTACCGGTCCTAGACTTTACAAGCCCAAAATACTCATGGTAGCGAAAATGGTATTGGGCTTCCATCGGCTTTTTATTGGCTTTGTGGACTATGTCCATTCCTTCTTCGATGCGAGGGGGAGTTCTCGTCGACAGATCATATCGGTGCACCATTGCTTATGCAATGGTGGCCAGAGAAGTTTCTCCAGGGAATTGCGTCGTCAATAGATGGACCCTGACTCTGTTATAATATGAAGGCACCCACCCCCCAGTAGACGTGCAGCTTCTTGCTCAAGGTGATGATATGATTTGCAAGGGGTGAACAGTAACAGGATTTGGCTTCAATGGTTGATTCCGTCACGACGAGCCAGGTTATAATCCCTTCAACCAACGGGCGCTAACTCATGACATGGCAGGACCGGACCGGCTGGGGCGGGGATATGACCGGGTGCTGTCCTAGATGCAGTAGCAGACCCGGACGATACTGGCGCAACAGGATCGATAATATTCGCTGGCCTCGATGTTGACTGGATCAATAGCGGCGGTATTAAGGAAGAAGATTCTAGTTATCGGAGCAGTGGTCTAGCATGTTTCTTGTCAAAGGCAGCTGCGAATCATTCGCACTCGTGCTCCGTAGCCACTTGCCCTCAGCCCCCCTTCAGAGCTTGTGATCAAGCACTCCATCCTGAATACGGTCACTTCCATGTGACTTATGGCTTTGTGCTATTGGAGAATATGTTGAGCAAGGATTTCCCTGCTGAATCGTCTTTCATAGACGTCCACAGCATTAGCCAATCTTGCTTCCCTTCAGTCAATCTAACGATGCAGCTCTAACAGTGTGGAAGTTGTCGACATCACGGCTTGCAGTCCTTCCATTGCATTTCTCGAAGCCCACTATGAGGGCTGATATCACCTTCAGGAGATGAATGTGACTTCTTCAATGTGCGACTTCTAGATCCGAGGTCAAGAAGACTGTTCAATGGCTTGCCGATCAGACCAATAAGCCTCGATAGCCTGTCCGAGTCCGAGCCTTCCCTCCAACCTCATTCTTTTTATCAATCGCAATTGCCTTCTTTCTCCGTGGCTGCTGCTTCTTGGGCTTTATTGGGTCTTCAAGAACCACACCTTCGAGTCAAAGAGTAAGTGCCTCGAGCACCTGCTCAGGTCTTGAGAATAGGTTACCATCCCGGTTGTCTCTGATTTCGGATTTGCAGGAGCGTAGGAGCAGCATGACGACAAGTCTAGTCCATGGTGAAGGTGCTTGTGCGGATCCATGCTCACTTCTGCACTCCGATTTCTGTTCACTCCTCCCACACGCGGACGTTCCTGACCTCTGCAGGGATCGTCATCGTGCCGTGACAACCGATAATGCGTAGGCTGGAGATGTTGGGTCGTTCTTCACGAAGTGCCTCCCAGGCCGTAATTGTCTGGTTCTTCATGGGCGACATATGCTTCAAAAATACGACTCCCTTCATAATTTCTCCCCAGAGTTCCTGGTCGAGTCCTAGATCCTTCAAGACAGCGCGAGCGCGCGTGAGTATAATCAAACCGACGCGCAAAGTTCCAATCTTTCCACACCCGGACGACCCCTTCTCATTCACCTGCTTCTTGTCCAGCTTTGACCGTGTGAGATCTGCTCCAGCATCCCACGTGGTAGATCTTGCACCAAGCAGAAAACTTCACATCTAGCCCTTCGCAAAGAAGTTGGGTCACGTTGGCGGCTTGGAATGTTCTGTCCTTCGTATTTACCAGACGCAAGGTCTTGTAAATTTCATTGTCCCCAAGCCAAAGGATAGGTCCCAGAAGAGCAGCTGTGGCCTGTCGCCTTCGACCCACGCTTCCGTTGCTGGTAGGAGATTCCAGTAAAGCAGACATCGTCCTAGGCTCGAACACTTAAGTTCTGTCTTTTGAAAGATCGAGTACCCGGGTAGTAGTACGCCGACGATAAAGAGGTAATCTCCACCTCTTCTACAGCTTGCTGAAGTGCTGGTCCAGCCGCTGCAACAGCTTCTACTAAGTGGTACATGGCGGTACACATGACTGGCAGAAGCCTCGCTTTAGGCCCCTGACTGTGATCAGATCATAACTTCCTGTCTGAAGGTCATGTCGATTTGCAATGATGTAGCCCACTTTAGGATACTAGACCTAATGATGCTCACGCAAAGACTCTGCCATCGTTGTAGATATTCTGGATGTAGGCAGTGGTGTTGGTCCTTTCTTTCATAACACTCCGCAACACACGTTGATAGGGCGCTGCTATATATCATCGGTAGCACGGAAATATTTGATCCCAAAAGATGTAGCATCTAAGCCACGGCTAGTGGGGTTCGTTGTTATTGCGTGGAAAGGATTGCTTGGGGCACCCTGTCTTGGCCTGAGTTGCTGCAACGAGTGTTTTATATCGTCTTGACCCGTCACTTGACCAAGGAAGCACAGGTACAGCACATCTTCGTAAGCAGACGCCATTTGTTGAAGGCTCCCTGCGCGAATTAGCAGGTCCCAATGCGGGACAACTTGAACACTCTAGTACCGGGTCATGCTCAAGAATAACGGTATAATAGACGCTTCTTCAATGTGGGTTGAGTTTGTGGCTCTCAGAATGCCAGTTTCCAATTAACTGTCTCAAGCCTCCTGGTGAGCCGCAGCGAGTGTCCTCACGCTAAAGACACTTCACTTGTAATGTTGGACTTTGTGTTTGTGGGCTTTGTAGGGTCGCGATGACAGCTGCTACATAGCGCTGTCTCGCAGGATGTTGCTCAGTGGCAGTTTCGTATGCGTCATTGTCGTCGCTATCCTCGCCGTCACTATCTGCTCCAGGGTGGGTCCGACCGGAGATATGAGGTTAATGCACAGGCACCAAGGACGTGGGCGTCCAGCATTCCCTCTTTCTGCTCATGCTGCTGCTGCTGCATGATTTCACGCGGAGATTTGTCAAGTAGGGCGTCATCAAAGGACAGGTCCTCCATCATTGCTCTGGTTGTACTAGTCAGGGGTAGTCCCAATGCTCGAGCGCCTGCTTTAGCATAACCCATCCACACCGACCCCTGATTAATAATATGGCTGAGGGCTAAGCTTGGCTAGTCAATATTCAAGCTTGGAAGAGAATATATGTCGTTGGGTTGATTCCCTTGACCACGTGTAGTCCAAAAGACACAGCACTCTGTTTCACTCGTTTGATTGAGAGTCCATGATTGAGAATCGCTGATCAAGGAAGCTGACAGGCAGACTCTGGATCAGACCAGTTCGTAATGATTGAGAAGTTCAGTGAACGAAGAAGGATTCTGAACCCTTCCTGGTTCTGACGCGCAACTACTCAGCAGGCCACAAACACCATAATAAAGTGGCAAGTAATTGAGGGCTCGATCTGTATTCTTGCACCAACGCTTCATTGCTCAGAGCATATTGCACCCTCTGCAAGGACCAGGACTTGTGATCGATCTGAATACAGTTATTGCACTCATGTCCACGACCGCCACCGACACACATCTCGAAGGCGTCCATGCAGCATATGCCGCACACCAAACCGAGAGGAAGCTGGTCAGCGCTAGTCACGAGGATGTCCTCGCAGAGCCGAGCCCATATATTCATCAGTCAGCAGCACTGACTTGCCAACCAAGAGGGTGCTTCCTCTTGGGAAAAAGTACTGCGCATTCTCGTCGGTGACACCCGCGCGCGGCTGGACCGTGCGAAAAGAGCGGAAGTCAAGACTGGCGACAATATCCAACAGCGCCCGTGACCTGACAGGGGCTGCAAAACATGTCCGCGGCCGCTGCTTCGATTTAAGTATAGTCGAGATCGAATAATTTTATACTGTAGGTGGTAGAAGGCGAGGCGGGCGAGGCTTCAGTCGACATTTCCGTGAGACCAATGATATTAGCGGCATGGAGGGGGAATTAGCCTCAGGGGTTCCCAGCAGATGGAGCATACTAGAGGTGTAGGTCCAGCTTTCTTTGCGAAAAGAGGTATTGGACTACCGGGCCAAGATAAGCAAGTGTCTCTCACGCAAGCAACAAACTGGCGCGTACCGGGAACAAGAGCACATTTGTGCAAGTCATTCTCGCTGGGCTTCTGTCTTGTATCACACAGGCTTTCGACGATGGGCCAAAGCCTACGCTCCGCCTATCGTGTTTCTTCGATCTGGTATTCAGGCTCTTTCCCGTCCTCGCGACTGGTCCAAAGCTCTCGGTTTCGCTCTTCCCCGGACAGCCTCAGAATCCGTGTCAAAACGACCTGCATACGCAGAAGCTCGCAGCTTGGGAGGGGCATTGCAGTCGCGTCGGGAGTACTGAGCGTGTGCCAATCCCCCGTTCGCACCGACCCGGAATACATGCCGCCATATGGACGATGGTAGTATGCCTCCATGATTCTGCCATCTGCCTCGGTCACCTTATCCATCCCTCCTTGGAGGCGAGGCGGGGGTTCGAGGAGTGGAACCTTATTGCTGCCATTTCCCTTTGGTGGCGGTAGCCAGACCATGCATACCTTTAGAGTCGCTTTGTCACGGGACGGACCGCATGGGTCTGGCATTATCTGTATCATTGACCTTCGAGAAGCCATAGCTAATGCGTCTGTGCTACTTGGACTCGCACAGGACGTACCATCCTTTGTACTGTGGGAAGAACAAGCGGCCGTGCAACTTGAAGAGGATTGTGTGGCGGGACTTACAAATGCTTCATCTTGAGTTTGTACTGCTTGATCAGGAACACAAACTCCCAAGGAAGTCTTCTGAGCGGGTCCATCCTGGCGACCCTATTCGCTACCGATTAGCTAGGAGCACAACCCGACCATGCAGAGAGAAAAGAGGATTTGCTATTTCTTCCAATCCCATAAGGACAGTCGAGGTTACTATGATCAGGTTGTTTGTGTTGCAGTATGATCATCCGCGTTCAACATGCTTCCCTAGAAGTTGTCAACAAGGCTAGAGACATCCTCACTATCCTCGAAACTGACAGGAACAGGGATTTTTCTGGCTGGGAACCATGTCATTCTGTGAGACATGACTTGGTGTTTGGCACAGCAGTTGTTGTTAGGATGCTAGAACGTGACCTCAAGCAAGCAGACTTGGACAAGGGGGTGCGGTCCAGCTCAGATGGTCTCGCGAACGGAAGATGCTCAACTCAGTGGTTTTTGTGGTGTTTTGCTCAACATGAGATACATATCAGAATATCGAGATAAGGTCATTTAGCACCCTGTTCCAAGAGCAGTTCTATTTTTTGTCATTAAATACCGGGAATGCGCAGGTGAACGTCTCATACAGACCGCAGCGTCGAAGTATTTTTCAAAACAGGCATGAAGTTGTCCAAGACCTGTCGTATCCTAGAGCTTCAGGTCGTCTCTACTCCGCAGTATAAAAAGTTGTAGACTTTCTCGGTCCCCGATAATCCATAGTTGTGCTGTTTCAGTACGAAGCCGAGCTTGTTCTGGTCTCTTATTTAGAGCATCGCTCATGTCAGCGACAAATAGCAGGACCTTCTCTTGCTCCTTAGAGAACATTGCCCAGACCACTTGCTCAGAAAGAGCCCCAGGTGGTCGGAACGTTCAATGAAATAGGCCGTTATACTCAAATTCGGTTGATTGAGACCTTGCACGAGGATTGGGCTACCGGTGGTTGTCTTTGCAGTCAATGCTTTGCGGTGATCCGGGTCCATGAAACGGTTCTGACTTGAAGGAACAAGATACTGGCACTGGAATTGACGGTCTACTCAGCCAACAACTGCGTATATCCAAGTGTCAGAGGTCAATGCGCATCAGTCCCAAGGTTCATACCCGTGACCAATTGGCCAAAACAAGAGCTTCAGGCTGGACAATGCCGAATCGAGCGATCTAAACCCCTTGTTTGAGCTGATGAGTGCAAAGTCGGGAACTCTGGGCTATTTACTGCCGCTGCACTTAAAGTCGCCGAATTGCTGACCGGTGCTTTGGGAAGAGAGGCCCATTCCCATCACCTGGCTGATATTTTGGTTACACCTGCCCTGCAGCCGTGCTCATCGCCAACTCTGACGTGCTCTTGGTTCATTCCCTGGGGGCATCAAGATCGAAGATTCCCCCGGTCTCTAGCTGCACTGGTAAACACTGGATGAAATCTTTCCCACGGGCGATCCACTGGAGTCAACGAATGGAGTAGTAGCAGGACCACGGATCTTTTGGATTTTTCTTTGCGGTGTTTTTGAGGAAGCCCTGGCTGGTTTGTCGGCTTCCTAACTGCAAGCTAACTGTACCAGATGAGTTGGCAATCAAGGTACTCTGTCTCGGTTCGATTGTAGGGCTGCGATTCTGGCCGGCCTTCCTCGCCCTCCTCTCCTCTCCGGCCTGCTTGTAGCAACCACTGCCCGAAGACAGCGGCCAGCTTGCAGCTGAACCCGTACGGCTCGTCCAGCGGCTGCCAATGGAGTTTCTAGGATGATCTTCTGCGTTCAGTTTCAGCTGTTGAACCACCTCATCAAGCCTTCCATCAACAATACCCTTCTTTCTAGGTAGGTAAGATTTGCTTTCTGTTGTTGTTCAAACAGGGCTCAAGTATATCGCCTGGTCCTGTACGAGAGATGAAACCCGCAGTGCCGCTTGGCAGAGGTAAACTTTGAAGGTTTTCGCGACGATAGGTTTAGCTAATCTTCGGTTCTTGAGCCATCGATATCAGATTGCTGCGTAGAAACGGGTTAGACTGCATAGGTAGAGGTAAAGAGGAGTGGCATACGACTTGCTCGGCGCTGATAATGTCCAATATAGACGATGTCTTGCCCTTGTTGGAGCGAGGCTGGGCGGTGGCAGGCTGGGCGAAAGCAAGCTTGGGGGTGGTAGGATAGAAGGGGGCAGTCTTCGCAGAAAGGATCTTGCTGGTTGGCTTGGTGCTGGTCTCGGACATTGAAGATGTAGAGTCCGCACTCTGTGCCCAGGGCTCGGCCTGAGGGGTGGGCGACTTGGAGTTTGAAGATGGAGCCATCTGGCGGAGCAGTGGACAGAAAGAGTCTGGAAGAGTCTGGGAGAGTCTGGAAGAGTCGGGAAGTAGCAATCTTGCTAGACTTTTTCCCCGATTGTCTGCTACTGCAGACTGGACGAAGGAGTTGGACCTGTGCATAACATAGATACGAAGCCCCGATGCTTCAGTGTGCCGCTAATCAACGGTTGTGTCCTTCGTCCACCGCAGGCCGTCGGTGCGATAGTATCGATTTTCTCCCTTTTGAACAATCGGTAAGGATGTGAGACCTCCCGCAATTCTCAAATCGACACTAATATTTTCCTATGCTGCAGGCGCTTTGCGTTCAAGGTCGTATTCTGATGTTTGCCACCTGGAAGAGCCATTTTTTGTCGAAGCTGACTGTGAGAGATATCTCTTGTCCTGTCTCCACCCCCCCGCACCTTTCGCGCAGCGGGTACATCGCTCTTGCCCCATCATGACCTTGCCCCGTTGCTGGATTAGCTTTCCCACCCGGTGGGGTTGACTGTCGGATGGCATATAGGCACAGCTGATGTCCCCAGCCTTGGCCACCGGATGGTCCTGTGCCGCCGGCATCTCCAGCAGCTGGCGCTCAAACTGGGTCGCGTCCCGTGCCCAGTATTCAAATGGTACCGGAGTCTTCTCGGTGCACAAGGGAAGCCCGTCGGGGGCGGGTCGCCTGTCGCTGGGGTTTTCAGACGTGGCCATTTGGATTACGCTGTCACAGTCGTAGATTAGCGTCCAGCCTCAATTATCATTTAGGGGTTGGACGGGTCCAAGCGTTCCTGGGCTGGCTTACCTGGCAAGATTTAGATCCTCTTTCCGGCACGAGGGAGGATCTTGTTGGTGCTGATCCTTGAAGACACTTTGTTTGTAGTCATGCCGACTGGTTTAGTGAGAAGATGGATAGCCTTCTTGTGATCTTTCTTTGGTTGAACCGGCATACGTGAACGGCATGTCATTGTCGACCATAAAACGGTAAGGTAGTTTGAGAAACAGGAAGGTTCAACCGTAGTTCAGAACATTGCTGTGCAGCTCGCGAAAATAATTGTCGGGTTTGTAGTTTGGCTCCTGTTTTGACTGGCACAGCCTTGGTCGGACTCGTTCGATGTTGGCATCGATTTGAACGGTTACCGGGGGTTGTTCCGTGGTAAGTAGTCTCATCTTCGATGCAAAATCCCTGGATGTAGTTATAGTAAAACACAGTCTGATTTAAGCGTGTCCTGGCCGGTTTGCAAGTCTGATGGGGCAGTCTGCAGCCCGTCCCGAAATCCAGGTGTTGCACGTCCAGCCCACTGTGGTGACCAATATCACAAAATCCCAACCGTGTGGGCTGAAGACATTTCTGTGTGATACGGCACGGCAAGAAAAGAGTCGCCCAAGAAACGCACGCAGCGCAAGGAGCAGGAATCGACTCTCCATGCCACACTCCCGCAGACCAACCCGCCCTGAAGCTGTCCGTGGTATGTTTTTAGGACATGAGTCGACTCTTCGCGCCTTGTTTGCCCTGGTACCATTCCCTGGTACCCAGCCCCTGTGTATCAAACAAAGCTCACTCAACCTCAAAAGACACTGGCTGTAAAGGTATATCTCATCTCCGTGGGCTCAAACCCACTCGCAAGAAACCCCCCTGCGTCACTGGCGTGCAAACTGCATCGAGGTTAATCTCTGAGATCGGTGAGGAGATCTCAGGACTTTCTCCCCATGCATCTCTGGCTCGCACCCTGCATAAAACCAAATCACATCTGCGCTATGCCTGGCTCCATATTCGTGGACCGGTCACCCAAAACAGCATGGGAACTTCCTCAGAGAGGCCATCGGGCCTTCGTTGAAGTAGCGTGAATACACGGCACTCGCCGTCTTCAACAAGGGCTTTCACCAACCATGCTTCTTCCGAGACTGAATGCGGTCTTCTGAGAGTGCTCGGTCGCCAACGCAATAGGCTCAAAGCGTTTGAAGTAGAGGTGGCTCCTTCCCACCCCGATAACTGTCTTTTTCTTGGCCCATATCTTTCTACCCTGGAGAGTAAGAGACGGGCTGGATGACCCAGGACCTGCAGGATTTGCTTCTTCTTGTCGGCTGCCGGTTGGAAATTCTGGTCTTGACGGGAAGGCCCATCGACGTTCCTTAGGCGCTTGAGGGTGGTTATGTTGGACGTTCTTGTGGAAGGCCTGACATATGCTGTTGTACGTGCGACACGGAGCCATAGTCCTCTGCGTTGCTTCATGTGGCACCTTATCAGACACAACCCCTACCGCACCATCCCTACCGAATTATTTGTAGGTCTCTGAGTGGTTTCATCTTGGAAGATGTGTCAAACCTCGAAGCCGCTCCGCATCCGCGTCTTCGAGGCAGAGACTGGTGATATTGGTGGTCAATAGATTTCACATCGCAGGCTTAAGGGTAGGGCATCTAGACTGATGGAGACTTCATACTAGGATTATATTAGTATCCCAGATAATATGACTTCATGTATAGAACGAAGTTGACAATGATACTTCTGATACTTGACAGGGCCCATGGCTTCATTTTCTTCTCTCTCTGCTGGGGTCTTGGAGTAGTATAGGCTTATTATTCTTGAGGCTGGTCCCTGGGTTGAAGTCGCTGGGTCTTGGATAGATGATATGGTTGACCTTTGGAGTCAGTAGATGAAGGATTTGGAACATTTTATCGCTGGTTTGATGGTGTGGGAGAGAGGATGGAGGATGAAGGATGGAAAAGAAGAAGGAAGGAAGGAAGAAAGAAAGGAAGAGAAAAGATGGAGAATGAGAATGGAATATACAGAGGGGGTGAAAGACGATTAACAGGAAAAATCTAGGTAATGGGGAACAAGGAAGAACCAGAAGAAGTTAATATACGGTACAAGCAGAAGAATGGAGCTATGGTGAATAAGACAATTGACTTGACCACAAAGAGATCAATGAGAACCATTCACTACAGGGCTTTCGTGATTCACTAAGCAAGTGGAGAGCCTTGAATGAAACCTAAAGATGCTTCTCATTCTATATACCTTCACTACCTGGATATATCAACAAACTAGTACGCTGAGACCAGAACGAAAAGAATGTGCCCAGTAGACGCCCGCTGAATGCATGACAAGAAAAAGCACCGCCAACGTATCAGTAACTCAAGAACAAAGTGTTCAAACGCCTACATTGCAAGATCATCATCATCCCACCCCAGTGCCGAATAAATTGATTTCTCCGGCGTGACCGGGACCGCGGCTGAGGTGACCGGCACCATCAGCTTGGCAGCACTGGGCTTTCGCACCGGCGTGCTGAACACGGCTGCCGGCGCTTTGACGGGAGTTTCAACGGAAAGAACATGGCTGGGGACCGGGTTGTCTTCAGGGATCGGTATCCCAGCGGGAAGAGCGGCGGGTATGAGGGCCGGTTTGGGGGGTGTCTCCATCACCATCGATGGCTTGACGCGCGGGAGGAAGGTGTCCACGTGCCGACGAGACTGAACCGGTGTGGAGGGGGCCATGTCCACAGGGCGCGGTGCTGCTGGCAACGCCGATTGACGGGGCGGGACCCTGAAGAGGGCACCGGAACCACTCGACAAAGGTGATGCCGTGGGATCAGCCAAGAGTGGTTGGGCTGGACGACGAATTGGGGTCTCCTGGACCGTGCTACCTGCGCCACGACCGGAGGATCCAAAGAACAATGAACCAGATCGAATAGTCGAGCCAGGGATCACCTGGGGCTCACTATTGAAGGGAGAGGACATCGAGAACGTGGGTTTAGAGATGGATGATGACTGCACGAAAGTCGTGGGAACAGGGGGCATCCCCACGACAGCATCCTTCTTCCGACTGCCCTTCTTAGGTGTGGCTGCGACTTGCACTCCTTGTCCCATAGGATTGCGCACAGGGTTCTTCGGCTTCCGGGAGCTGGTGCTGTGCACAGTACCAGTCGAATGCCGCTTAACGGCATCATCGGCAATATCCTTGGCCACGAGTTCGCGGTTGGGCTTGCGCAGAGCATTGATGGCCGCATCCAGTTCCTTCTTCTGCTCTACCAGCATCTGCATCTTCTTGAGCTTCGTCTCGTGCTGACGCGTGACGGCGTTCAGGTCGACTTCGCGGTTTTCAGCGCGTTTGGCCTTCTGGATTCCCCCACGCACGCTTGCTCCCGCGATCGGTAACAATGGATCCAAGGAATTGCGTCTCGCCTCGGCCTGCGCTGGCGTAGTGTTGGACCGGCTCAAAGACGGGGTGAGGCGAGGCTGAGACGTCATCTGATCTGTAAGGACACGCTGGAAGGTACGACGACGAGACTGCTTCTGCGCCTGTTGCCGTTCAACAGGAGTACCAGGCTCTCCCTTGGGCGCTTTCTTGGTCTGAGCCTGCTTGGTGAAAGGTGAAATAGCACTAGATACGCCCAGTTTCCGTGTGATCGACTTGCACTTATCGGGCAGACGGGGGGCATAGAAAGGAATAATCACTTCCGTGCAGAAGTCCCGCACAGCGTCGCTCTCGACCTTCTTTCCGGAGAGGTGGTTCTGGCCGTACGTCGCACCTGCATCGGGGACAACGGACTCCTCAAAGCTGACAGCGTACCAGATGCACAGTCGGTCAAGGTGAAGTTCGAGCATGGTGTTCAAATCTTGCTGCTTCTTGTTTTTCGACTCCTTCTTGACGGGTGCCTCTGGCGCACCTTCAGCATTGTCAGTCTGTTTGCTCTGCTCTCCCTCAGTGGCAGCCGCTTCAAGAGACATTGTTTCCAAGATGAGAAGGATTTGCAATTGCGTTTCGCGCAGGCGTAGATCGGCAATCATCCTCTTAGACTCCGTCTCCCTCGACGTTGGGCCTTCCGCGGACAGTCCCTGATCGCTGAGTGTCCGATTCTTCCACCACTTGCGCACCAGATTGGTTTCTTCGGGGTAGAGCCCATTCTTGCCAAGCTTCTTCTTTGTGCTCTTGCGTTTCTTCTTCTTGGTTACCGCTTCATCATCTGACAAAGTAAGTAGCACATCACTAAGTATAGCAGGTAGGGTCTCGCGATACTTGAGATCCATCTTCTTAGCGACAAGGATAGCTTCCCTGTAAAAATCAATCAAATCCTGAGGTCTACTGCCTTCGGACTCGGACGATTGAAACGCAGCCCGGCAGCGCGCAAGAGGACCTTTAGCAAAGTACGCCACAGACGTCTAACACTCCCAGTCAGCATATACACCTCCAGCCGAAGACACATCAAACTCACCTTCGAGATATAAAGCGCCTGCAAATACTGCTCGCGCAAGTTCTCCAAGAAGTCCTGCGGGGACCGTAGGGCATCCGCAGTCTCCTGCGCCAGCGCCTGATGAGCAGCATCAACACGCGCATCCGCATCAGCAACAGCAACAGCACAAGCCTCCACCCCAGAAGCACTCGAGCTCCTCTCCAACGGAACGGCAATCTGAGGCGTCACAGCCTGCGAGTCCTGGCCATGAGCAGCATCCTTCCGCGGCGGCACCTCACACTCAACCGTCCCAGCAAAAACAACAGCAACCTCCACCTTGGCCATCTTCCCCACCTGCTGCAAGCCCTGAGAATCAGGGTCCTCAATCCTCGCCGCAGCCCACCACTCACCCCCTCCAACACTACCTTTGCCCTTACTGTCCTCTTCGTCCCCATATTTCTGCACATCATGACCGATACCCTCACCATAAACTCCCCCACCAATCTCAGCACGCACCCCCTCCTTCCCCGCAACAACCAACTCCCCCTCCCCAATCGCCTCGACGACCCTCAACAACGCAAAGATTCCCCTCTTCACGCGCTCCACAACCACCAGCCCGCCACCGGGGTCCATCCTCGCAGAAAGCACCATCTTCTCCCGACCCGTCCGAGCAGCAGCACCGCTATCATAGTATTCAAGGATCGGAATATGCGCGACAAAAAGACATCCCGACTGGACTTGCGAGGACGACGACAACGACGCGGAGGTGACGCTGTGCGGTGCGTACTCCAACCAGGCGAATGGGATGCGAGAGCGCGGGATCAGAGCAATGGGCGCGAGGACGAATGGTTCTTGGGAGAGAGAGGTGGTGGGTGCCTTGACGCCTCAATTAGTTTTTCCATAGACCGTAGAATATAGTGTAGTGTAGCGTGGGTGTCGTATACGTCGTAATGAATCAAGAATGCAAGTGAGGGACGCTACCAGCGGAGCATCACAAGCAGGTATTGCGGGGGAGGGTACAAGTGGTGGAAGAACACAAGAACACAAGAACTATAGAGCCAGGAAGACATTCCAACAAAAACATACCCGGATCGTAATCGGCCGCGAGATCCAATCAGTTGGTGGCCCGGAGGAGCAGGAGCCCGACGTAAGAGCTGGGTCGAAGCATGTTTTGCGCTTCTTGAGCGGGGGAAGTGCGCTGCTGCTTTCGCCGTGGTCTTTCGGTTGGTGGGTTTGGGTGTGAGGGACTCGGTTCAGAGGGATGGGTTGGAGGGCGCCGGAGGACAGGAGCGAGGCCATGGGCGTTTGTTTTGGTCGGCGGAGAGGAGCGATCTAGTTCATGCTGTGGGTTTCCGTTTGATAGTATCCGGAGAGCAAGACCCAGACAATGTAGTGCAGTCGGCGTGCAACAAGGATCTAGGTCTATTGGGTAGTGGTAAGTAGAGGAAGAAAAGGGCTCTTCTTGCGGTGACGCGCGATGCTCCGTCCGCCTTCACGCGTCCGCGCGGCGGAGCGCGGTGTATCCCATTAAGAAAGCGGTCTGCGAGGCGGTCAGGTGCCGGTTTTTGCATATTGGCACGAGCAGCTTGCACTTATACGGTGGGCTACTCGTGCCAATCTGCAAATATGAACTACCCCAGAAGAAATCATGAAGTGTTTGTTTGGGCTATCGACCAAGACTTCAAATTCTCTCTCAGCATTTGCACATTGCTTCTTTTGAGGAGTGTTTATTTCTCTCCTTTTTTCCTTCTGTTTTTCAAGAGCTGATTTTCACAAGATTAGAGATATGTGGCTACATTTTCGATGTTAAGACTCCAGTCCAGGCTAAAGCAACTTACTCCTACGCGACTACAAATGAAAAAGATCTTCACAACACAGACATAGCCTGTCCTTCATTAATCTATATTGCTAATTTTAAATTAGCAGCTCATGATGACCGAAAGAACATCCGTTCCTTCCCCATCTATGCGATTGCTCCTATCGGAAACTTCCGAAAGTCCAGACCGAGGGAGCCGACGGACAACACCACATGCCGGAGCCACGCACCGCGCGACTCCGAAGGCACTCGTGGTCTGGCCCATCGAGTCCCCCGGGACCCTGGAGGAGGCAGTGTTGAAGACTTTCGCTCCCGAAAACGCCGTGTAACAACCCTCCCAATATATGAAAAGTGGTATCATGTTGAATTTATCCTCGCCGAACCCGCCTCTTGTGGAGACGACCATGCAAAAAGTGGACAAACAATCCAAAGGAAACAATTGCTTTTTTTGACATGTCTATGCTCATGCTTTGAGTTGTTGAAAACAAAGCAAAATCATCACATTCGTAACGCAAACATACTCACAAGAGAAGCAGGTGCTCGGGTACAGCGTTTGACACGCTTAGTACTTGAGAGCCTTAGGCTTCTCCCAGGAGAAGGACTGGTTGGTGAAGTGACCGTTCTTGGCGGTCTGGAAGTAGATGGGCTTGGCCAGGTCGAGCTCCTTGACGATGACACCGGGACGGAGATCGAAGTTGTTGCGGATGATCTCGACGAGCTCGTCAGAGGACTTCTCGGAGGTGCCGTAGGTCTCGACGAAGATGGAGAGGGGCTCAGCGACACCGATGGCGTAGGAGAGCTGGACGAGGGCACGGCGGGCAAGGCCAGCGTTGACAAGGGACTTGGCGATCCAACGGGCAACGTAGGCAGCGGAGCGGTCGACCTTAGAGTAGTCCTTACCGGAGAAGGCACCACCACCGTGCGCACCCCAGCCACCGTAGGTGTCGACGATGATCTTACGACCGGTCAGACCGGCATCACCCTGGGGACCACCGATGACGAAGCGGCCGGAGGGCTGAAGGTGGTAGACGGTGCGGTCATCGAGGAGCTCGGCGGGGATGACCTTCTTGATGATCTTCTCCTTGAGGACAGCACGGAGCTCCTCAGTGGTGACGTCCTCGCTGTGCTGGGCAGAGATGACGATGGTGTCCACACGGAGGGGCTTGACGGCACCGTTATCGTGGGCGTACTCAATGGTGACCTGGGTCTTGGTGTCGGGACGGAGCCAGGGGATGGAGCCGTCGTTGCGGGCCTCCTTCATGGCGCTGTTGAGTCTGTGGGAGAGGAGAAGGGTGAGGGGGAGGAGCTCAGGGGTCTCGTCGGTGGCATAACCGAACATGATACCCTGGTCACCGGCACCGAGCTTCTCAAGAGCCTCCTCGTAGTGGAGACCCTGGGCGATATCGGGAGACTGCTGCTCAATGGCAACCAAGACGTTGCAAGTCTTGTAGTCGAAACCTTTGGCGGAGTCATCGTAGCCGATGTCCTGGATGGCACCACGGATGACCTTCTGGTAGTCGAGCTTGGCCTGGGTGGTGATTTCACCGAAAACCATGACCATACCTGGGGGGGCTTGTTAGAACAATAGTCACGTCAACAAGGGAGAACAATCCATACCAGTCTTGGTGGCAGTCTCGCAGGCAACCTGAGGGATGCGCGTTAGTGATTTATTCGATGCACGAAAGAAAAAAAAAAAAGACCCCGCGTCGATAACGGCAGCCAATCAGAGGGGAGTATGCGCAAAGCCCCGAGATGGAGGGGCACGTACCTTGGAGAGGGGGTCCTCAGCAAGGCAGGCATCGAGGATGGCATCGGAGACCTGATCGCTGTTGGATTGTTAGCAGGAAGAGTCTGGCAATGCAATTACATTCTTCTGAGCGAAAAAGAGCGAGAAACGCACGCAATCTTATCAGGGTGACCCTCTCCGACGGACTCGGAGGTGAACAAGAAAGTTCCGGTCTTGGGGTTAGCGACGCTGCCCATTGTGATGAGAGGAGATATGTGATGTGATTAAAGACACAAGAGGGGAGGAAAGAGAAGGAGAAAGAGATGGAGTTGAAAGAGGAGGAGGAAGATGAAGAGAGAGAGAAAAGGAGAAGAAGTAAGCGAGGAGGTGGAAGGAAGGGGTAGAAATGAAAAGAATAAAAAGAAGGGGGGGAGGGAGTGGGAAGGCAGTGGGAGAGGGGGAGAAAATGAATGGGAGCCCCGCCGGTCTCTCTCCCCTCCCCGTATTAATGTCTTTCCGATGGCGCGATTTGGCTCCGGCGGTGACGGATGGCAATAGCAGCGAGGAAAAAAAAAAAGACTTTTTTAAAAGCCGACAAGAAGAAAAAAGGCCGGGGACGCAAGTGGGAACCAATCGGAGAGATTGAATCGTCCACCTGCATGCGGTGAGGACTGGCAGTACCCGGACTTTTCGGTTCTCCTTTGCGATCGTCTATCCGCGGCGGCACTTTCTAGTCTCTCTGCACTGGACAGTAGTCACAGTCTTTGGAACTAGTCTAGCACTTCGAGACGAGTCTACCGGTAGACGGACGGTTCATCTGCTTGTCCGCTTCCTGCTTATCCGCATTATTGCACTGGCCGATTGCCTTTCTCCGAGTTCCCAGCTTATCCAAATTCAACCCGTGGGGGGGCTGGTTGTTGTTGGTTGCTAACCAAGTTGCGTTGCTAACTCAACTCAACTTTCGGGCCTTTTTCTTTCTAGTCCGGTTCCTCTCTCACTCTCCCACTCGCCATACTAGCTTGCGCTTACGAGCGAAACGAAACATCCCTGCGTCCATCTCCGACTTTTTCCCCCATCGGAGATTGCTTTTCAGGTTTCCGTTTTGGGCTTCTTCCCAATCGATTTTTTCCCATCCTTTTTTTTTTTTTTATTTTCCTGTTTTACAAAGATCGGACCCCCTCTTCCAACATGTCCAAGTTCGGCGTCCTAGTGATGGGCCCCGCCGGGGCCGGCAAGACGACCTTCTGCAGCGCGGTGATCCAACAGCTCCAGAACACGCGACGGAGCTGCTTCTACGTGAACCTGGACCCGGCGGCGGAGACGTTCAGCTACGAGCCGGACCTGGACATCCGGGAGCTGATCACGCTGGAGGACGTGATGGAGGAGCTGGGGCTGGGCCCCAACGGCGGGCTGATCTACTGCTTCGAGTTCCTGCTGCAGAACCTGGACTTCCTGACGGAGGCGCTGGACCCGCTGAGCGAGGAGTACCTGATCATCTTCGACATGCCGGGCCAGATCGAGCTGTACACGCACATCCCGCTACTGCCGTCGCTGGTGCAGTTCCTGTCGCGCGCCGGCCCGCTGAACATCTCGCTGTGCGCCGCCTACCTCCTGGAGAGCACGTTTGTCGTGGACAAGGCCAAGTTCTTCGCCGGCACGCTGAGCGCCATGTCCGCCATGCTGATGCTGGAGATGCCGCACGTGAACATCCTGACCAAGATGGACCAGGTCAAGGACATGATCTCGCGCAAGGAGCTCAAGCGCTTTACCAACGTCGACGTCCAGCTGCTGCAGGCGGACCAGGACCGCGACGAGGAGGAGGCAACAGGCGGTGGGGAGGTCGTCGTCCAGGGCGATCCCGCGGCCAAGGAGAACCTGCTCAGCGGCGGCTCCTTCAACCAGCTCAATCGCGCCGTCGGCCAGCTCATCGATGACTTCAGCATGGTCTCCTTCTTGAAGCTCGATGTCCAGGACGAGGACAGCGTCGCCGCCGTGTTGAGCCATATTGACGATGCCATCCAGTACCACGAAGCGCAGGAGCCGCGCGAGCCCAACGATGCCCAGGAGGTCGATTATGAGGATGGCGATATGTGAGGGGGGGTGGGCTGACAAAGGGAGGGGGATGTGTGCGAGCGGCAGGGGACTGCAACTGAGGAATGAAGCGCAAGCCGAGATCAACAACACATCAACCGGTCGTCGCCAAACACCAGTGGATTCTCTTTTACCGACAATTCGTTATCGCAGGATGTCAATTGGACGTGCCCACCACCACCACACTTATTGCAAGTCTCGTTTGCGAAAGGAATGTCACTTCCACCGCTTCTTTCACGCAAGCTGCATGTAACGTGCCAGGAGAGAGATTCAGCAACATGAATATGGCCAGATAAGGGAAGCCAGAGAAGAGAAGCCAGAGAAGAGAGGATATACAGAGCCAGACGGTCAAAAAGCGACGGCCAAGCATTCTGCCCGATATCGGGACATGTGGAATGACAGCATCAGAGCTTGGGTCTGTCAGCCAGCCAGCCAGCCATCAAAGGCTACAAGCCATGCATGCCATGTTTACGAATGTAAATAATCAGGATTACACACAAAACCGAAATATGAAATAATAAATAACAATAGTGATTCCAAAGAAATCTAAACCCAAAGGCAAGGTGAAAATCCAGCCCGAAGCGCAAGCCACACAGTCATGCCCATAGTATAGTATACTATAAATAACCATAGCATACATGCACATCCACTGGGTGGCCTGGCTCACTTGACTTCACACCAAACGCCCACCAACCCGGCAAACACAGCAAAATGAAAGTGAAAGAAACCAAACAGAGGGAGAGGTTCAATACCTCCCCAGAGGAACCTGCTGGCCCCTGCCGCCAAACCCCGCAGCATTATTTCCCCCAAAAACCCCGGGCTGCCGTCCTCCATGTTGCTGGGGGTGGTGCTGCCGCCCCGCGCGCTCCAGATCCTCAAAGAGACCTCCCAGCAGCCCCCTGGCGAGGCCGACCAACCACCCGACGTCGCGGGCGGCCCGCTCGACGCCGCTGGTGTACAGCCAGACCCCAACGCCGAGGACGGTGCCCCACCAGAGCAGCCACCACGCGAGGCTGACCCAGAACATGACGACGCGGCGGGCGTAGTCGAGCAGCTTGAGCGAGAGGAACAGGATCACCAGCAGGAGGGTGACGGAGATGAGGTCGGGCATGGCGCCCGAGGAGGCGGCGAGGTAGCTGGCGGCCGGGCGCACGAGGTAGGGGTCGATGTAGGCGGCGCGGACGTGCGCGAGCGCCGGGGTCAGGTACGAGGTGTTGAGGTGGGCGGTGAGCGCCGAGAAGGAGGTCGTGGTGAGGTGCTGCGTGATCGAGTCTGGTACCACGATGGGGGGTTGGTCAGTATACTCGTAGTTGTTGTCATAGTCATCATCGGTAGTGGGGGCAGAGGCCGCGGGCAGAGTGAGGAATTCTAGCGGCGGTTCGAAGAACCTCGCCTCCTCCTGCTGCTGCTGCTGCTGCTGCTGCTGCTGGGCCTGGTGATGCGGGTTGATGATGGGGAATGGGTTGGTTTGGGACGGGGTCAGGTCCGGGAAGACTTGGATGTAGCTGATGCCGCCGGGGCCATCGTCTCCTCCTCTCCTAGCGCGAGAGAAACCACCATTAGGGAATGGGGCTGGCACTGGGGCCGGTGGGTTGATGGCGTTCCGTCGCGTGGAGGATCCGGACGGTCGGCTGCTGGGCTTCTTCGACTGAGTCTCACCTGGAAGATATTCCATCCTTGCGCTTATGCTTCTGCCTTTTCTGATCCTGGTTATCCGGCTGATTACGATGTTGTTGCGGTCGAGGCGGTGCGTGAATGCGGTCCGGGTAAGGTGAGTTTTGAGTGGAACAGCCGAGGAAAATTCATAGACGTCGTGATCTTTATATAGTCATGATCGTGAGGTCTGGCACACAATGCGATTTGAAAGAGACCGGAGGATTGGTGGTGATAAAGGATGGTTGCGGGGGACAAATAATGAGAACAAACCAGACAAACAGATCTGGCGATAAGTTCCTTTTGTTGTTGTCGTTTCAGCCTGGGTCAGAGTGTCATTTCCTTTCATCACCGCCTGCCTAAAAGGAGAGGTTCCGTCTGGAGTCCTTGAGACAATGCGAGGTGATGCTGGACAAGGTTCATCCGGCCTATCTATCCATGATGTCTTGCGTTTAGACTTTTTCTGATCGTTTCGATAGAACACCCCAGAGAATCCCCTTCAACCGTCGGCAGCACTTTGCTAACAGCATCACTATCAGCAACTCACATGTCTTACTGAGGAATTCAAGCATTCCACGCCCGCTTACCAATTCTGCCAGCTAGTTCCACTTGTGAAGGCGGTGATGGTGTCTCGGTCTATAGCCCGCGTGAAAAGGCAATTTGCCCCGGTCATCATCCCTTGAAAGATCATAGAAACTGAGAATGCGATATTAGTCTATGATATTATACATCTAGATCACTGATGATGGTCATTTATATACATGCGCCTCTGGTGAGGATCTTCCAACCATGTACAAGCGGGATGGATGCACAGCATCCGCATCCACGGTTTACGTCTTAAGAAACAATCAGGGTCTTTAATGCCTCGCGTTCAGCCAGAATCTCGGCCTGGAGCTTTCTGGTCTGGCGTAGTGCGTCATCCCTGGGAAGAGTTAGTTGAAAAGTCATTTATCAAGGCCAAACTGAGAAAAAGGGTACAACTCACCGATCGGACTGCAGTTCGGCGACTTCAATCTGCGCACGGTTCATCCGACTGACCACCTCCTCCATCTCCGAGTCGGCGTCCCGGAGTAACTTCTCCAATTCCTTGACCCGCTTCGCCAGCGTCTCGAACTGAACCGCCTCGTTCAGCGCCATTCCGTCACCACTCGTCGTCTTGTCTAACCGCGGTGAACGCGCGCCGAATGGGGTGTTCGGCGGCTTCGGAGATAGGGCCATTGGGCTGCGCGCGCCATTCTTGACGCGCGTCAGTTGAAGACTGTGACTCTCCTGAAGATTGCGGACTTCTTCCTCATGACGCGCCATCTCGTCCTCGGAGAACTGCTGTGCCATGAGAAGGATATCCTCCATCTCCTTGAGCCGGCTCTGCATCTCGTTGATGCGCGCAGCCGACAGCTGCTGCTCTTTCTCGCCCTTACCAATCGCCTCGGCTAGGCGGGCACGCAGAGCAATGTTGTTTGCAAGTTGTTGCTGCACATGATCCGCTAAGCTGTCGGTCCGAGTGACCGATTCCGCCAGCATGGGAGACTGCGCCACAGTGGCTTCAGCCTGATCCCGGTCAGCCTGGAGCTGCTTGTAGGCAGTCTCCAGGGAGGTCGAAGTGACCAAAACTTCAGCAAACCCGTCCCGGTCGCTTTCATAGTCCTCAGGGACCGTGATGTCATGCTCCTGCAGCAGGACTCGCAATGAAGTGGTCTCCTGCTCGGCGCGGTCCAGATCCATCTTCAGGCCTGCGAGTCCCTTTTCGCACTGCCATTTCTGCTCCATGGCTTCTTCCGCACGGTGGCGGAGCAAGTTGACCTCCTCTCGGAGGTTCCGTACCTCGCGTTCGTAGCCGATCTTACGCGGAGACTCCGCCATCTGCGCACGAGCCAGCTCAAGCTCCATCATCTTTAGCTGTTTCTCGTACTCGCGAGAATCGTAAGCCTGGCGTTCCAGCAAACGTCGAAGAGCTTCGTGAAGGGCATCCCGTTGGGCCTCAACGTCTTCAATTCTGTCGGCCAGGTTCTCTCGCGGCTCGCTTCGTTCCTTGACATTAACAGAGTTTGACCGAGACAAAGAGTTGGACCGAGATAGACCGGTCGGGGCACTTGGTTTTGAGCGCACACGTGCCAATGAGTTCGAACGAGACAGACCGAGTCCCGTACCTCGTGCCGAAGACATGGTATCTTCCTCCGCGATGGAGGCGAACCGGCTCCCTTGTAGTTGTGCTAGGGAGGCATTCTCTATCTTTAGTGCCTCAATCTCCCCCATCAACCGCGCCACCTCGGAAGGGTCCGACGATTGCTGGTGGGAGTTATTGGCACTATTTTGTAACTGAGGTATTACATTCTCCTTCAGATGGTCCCGCTCATTTCGGAGCTGCTCGAGCTCGACACGCATGGCGGTGAGCAGATCTTCGAAGTTGTCTTTGATCTGACGCTCTTCAGCCAATTTCCGACGAGTAGCTTCCAAAGCTGTCTCCAGCTCTTTGGTACGGGAGGACATATCTGAGAGATCGACTCTTTCCCGTCGCAGCTAGAACGATGCGTTAGCGCTAGCAGAAGAAGAGGCCTGAAGCATTCATACCTGGTGCACTTGCGATTCCAAAATCTGAACGTGGGCCTCGGAGGCCGCACGTCGACCGCGCTCTTCCTGCAGTTTCTGAGACAGCTCTACCTTTATCTGGGCCCGTTCCTGCTCTGCAGTACGCTTGTATTTCTCGATGTCCTCCACTCGACCACCAGACTCATATGCATAACGAATAGAGCTACTGCCGGAGTCGGAGAAGTAGTCGCTGGTTCGACGGTTAGGCGTGTCGAAGACCGAATCCGACTGTAGTCGCTCGACCAGGTCCTCTAACTCCATCTCCCGGCGGATCGAACCCGCAAGCTCTGAGCTGATCTCCCGCAACTCATTCTCGAGCTCTGCCACCAGGGCTGGGGCTCCGGACTTCTCCAAAATGCTGGCGCTGCTGAGCGACGAATTGCGATGCGGAAGAGACGTATGCGGGCGGGTAGGGTCGAAGGGGACCGTTGTGGATGGCGTTATAGAGAAGGACGCGCTGGGCAGTGACGGCGGCATGGGTGATGGAATGGGGGATCGGCCAGACTCGGAGATCTCGGTGCTCGAAGATTCGGCGCCAGGTGAGGAATTGCCTGCCCGCCACCCAAAGAAAGAGCTGATCTTATTGCCGGGTGTCTTGGGTTGTTTGCTATCCCCAATAGTGGACGAGGTGCCGGTGCGGCGGGGAGGGTCAATCTGCAGCGGGGCTGGACCGTTTGACGGCAGGTGCAGAGCCATTGTGGTAGCGCGCTTCGGGTTTATAGCCGGGGATATACGTTTATGGACGAAGGATTCACTGACGAGACGGTTATGTACCCGAGTCGCATTCGTGAATCGCGTGGAGTAAGCAATGTCGTAAACGGGGGTCTCGTCGTCGCTGTCGTTGACAGGGCTCCCTATGGACGAAGTCGTGTCTATGCGGAGATGGGACGAGGATGGACTACCACGCGGGAATCTGGGGCAGACAAAGAAGAGCACGGGGTTAGTCCTGGAACGTGCGCGGGGAGCGTTGGACATAAGAAGCCCTCCCCAGAGCTGCGAAAGGCGCGCAAGGCGGAGCGAGTGTACCAGCCAAGGGGCAAGGGTCCTTAAGGGAGAGCTTCAGAGGGAGAAGGGATGCGACGGACTGCCATACCTATCCAGGTCCCTGGGAGGAGAAACGGGGTGGTGTATGTGCTGTTCTGGTTCGTGAGTATATTCGGAGTATGGTTCAGGCGTGTGTTGATATATATCGTCTTCGTCTTCGTCGTCCTGATGGTCATATACGTAATCCAGAAACGACGGCGATGAAACCGGGGACAAGGCCAGCGTCTGGCCGGCAGCCAGAGGGGAGGCCGGGTGAGAATCCGGATGCGCAGGCGAGTTGCCCCGAGGAGAGGCAAGTAGGGACGAAGAGGAGGAGAAAGGCCTAGCTGCGTGCGAGGGGTTCACAGCATCCTGGGGAAGCGGCTTCCTGCGCACGGTGAAGGGAGAGGAGAGGGAAGGGGTTTGGGTATGAGATGCAGATGCTAAGGTGGGAGAGGAGGGGGAGAGGGGGATAGGGACAACAGACGAAGGAGGAAAGTCGGGAGGGGGGTAGGCGGAAGAGGAGGTGGAAGTAGTGGAAATGGGGAAGTCAGGGAGACTTGGCCCCGGACCGGGGTTGGGGTCAAGACTCCCTGGGTGATAGGAGATAGTAGTAGTAGAGATATTATTGGTGTCCTGATGCGTGGTAGTGGTTGTAAGAGGCGGCGGCGGCGGAGGAGGAGGAGGAAGTGAAGCGGTAGTAGCGGCGGTGATTGTAGTCGCATCGGGATGGTCATGGTGATTGCCATGGTCATGGTCATCATGGTTCTGACTATGGTTCGATGGGGGAGGACTCGAGGGGAGGAAACCGCCCGAGGCAGGAGGCGGAGAAGTCCAGCCGGGGGCCATTGCACTCTAATTGGGTGAGGAGCAGACAAGTGACACGAACAGGAACAAAGCAGATCAAAGACAATCAGCTGAGGATCGACGCAGGCCTCATGGCTGACGGGAAAGTTTGGGTTTGGACTCAGGAATGGAAAGGCTGCTGCGTGTGTGAGGTGAGACTAGGACTAGGACTGAGACTGAGACTGAGACTGAGACTTTGGGGTTGGAAAGAATAGGAGAAGTTCCATTGATTGGAAAGAAATTGGGGGGGGGAGGAGAAAAGACGGAAAATCTGGAGGAAAGCTTGAAAAGGGAAAATGCAATAATTAATTCGAATTAATCCGGAAATCAACTAAAAAGAGGAAACGTAAAGGAAAGGGGGGATGAGATTGGCAGAGGAAGAGAAGGCCAGAAGCGCGCGGGAAAAAGGAGAGCCAGCGAGATGCAGAAAGAGGCAAAGCTGGGATCCACTTGGCCGTGGGATCTATACAATGATGTTGGTGGATTGACACTGCTAACTGGGTACTGGCTGGAGAACAATAATCTCCATTGTGAAGCTCAGAGCACTCTAGTTCATGCTGAGGAGATCAATCCTTTCCCACTTCTCATTCTTCCTTCATACAATAACACTACCACTACAACCATCATCACCACCACCTTGTATGAGTATATTGTCTTGTCCAAAATATGTGCCAGACTTGACGATAGCCGGAGGCCCAGCCGGGTGGCCGATCGGCCCCACCAGCTCTCGGGCGGCAAGGCAAGTCAGGGGTTATCCGGCTGTCTGTCCCGTCCTGCTTGCTGCTTGCTGCTTCATGATTATTCCATTCTTTCTTTCCCACCTGCCACCACTTTGTTAGTCTGACAATTAGTAGTACCATCAAAAAGTCCCGACCTGGATCCAGGGTAAGGGCATACCAGTATCTATAAAAAGCACAAACCTGCCAACCATTATGCACGCCAGTGTATCACCATTGTCAAGAACCAAAAAGCCAAGCTGTTGGCCCGAGTCAGCCTACACAATCTCCCAGGGCGGAAAGAAAAAAAGAATAAAAAAAGAAAAAGGAGAGAACAGACCAGCCCCCCCTCCCTTCCAAGCAACTAACGCCGACTAGTGGTCCGTTACCAACAGTCGCCTGCACTCGGACCAAGGATTCACAACCCTCCTAGAAGTCTGATCATGACTATCCTTGCTGAATCGGTTCACTCGCTTGTCGATGGCCCAAGTAAAGTTGCTGCATGTGTTTTTGGGAACTTTTGAAAGATCGGCCCTGGGCAGTAGTACCCATCTCGGCTCGGGAGTTGATTGATATCCATGCAGGGTTCCACTTGGGGGGGGTGGGAGAGGATGTATACGCAACTCGGTAGAGTAGCTCAGCTAGCTCTCATCTACAGCACTATAGCTACCTAGTAGTTATTAACCATTAAGTTGACTAGCCATCCAGTTATTCATACGTAAGACACAGAAACAAAACGGAAACGCCATGACCCCTGCCCCTACTGCACCTGCATATACTAACTATGTAGTAGCTTGAAGTTACCAACAAGACCATAGCAACTACTAGTTAGTTATAGCAACTAGTAAGCGCCCCCAAAGGCGGACGGACCCAGGGACCAGCCCCGAACTCCAACGGCGGCTAACAAGTTTCGTATCCAATGTCTCCCCACAAACAAACATCAGCAACCAAAAAGCCCACTTCCTACGGAGTCTCCGTAGTCAGTATCAAGTCCATCTATAGACACTCACCGTGAAACCTGAAACCACCAACGCCCACCCGCCTACCAACCTCTACTTACCTCCCAGTCTTCAATCTCCATCCCAGCCAAGCCAAGCCGGTCCCAACCCGCAAGCTATTCTTAGCCACCAAGCCAACGTTCCGGCAACTCAACTATCGCGGTGGCTGCAGGACAATCATGCATGCACGTAACCTAACGCACGCACGCGCGCGGTTCCCCCCAACCCTGAGACGGAGGTTGGCAAATGGGAACCCCTGCGGCAAGGTAGTGTCAAGGTAGTGTAGTGAGTGGGCAGGGTATTAGTTAATTAGATGGCTAGCCGCCGGAGGAGGCATCTACTTACGGAGTACTACCGTAAGAAAGCTACAGCTCCGTACGATGTAGACTACAATCAACGCTCATGAGTGGTGCAGATAGATTCTTGGAATATTTGTGTCTGTGTTCGGGTCTAACGTGGCGGCTAAGGGGCAGTTTGTTGAACACTATAGTTCAGACTCTGCCGCAGAACAGGGAATAGTGTTCTAAGTATAGAAATAGGATAAAGTGCGCACTGTATTCATATATATGGAGCACAATTCGAACTACATACTAATTGTCTGTATGTGTCTGTGCTCGTTCCTTGGGAGGAAGATAAAGGTTCAGACCTCAGAAAGGAAGGACATAAGCACCAGAATGGGAGGCAACGTAGGCGCGAGCTCTGAGCCTCACACCACCCAAGAAGAAAAGGGTTCTTGTCTTGCTGTTCCTAGGGTCATATGTCTCGCAGAACAAGGAAGTAAGTTAGGAGTAGAGTAGGGTTAGGGAGGAAATGCCGGTGACACAAAGAAAGATGCGGTGCCCTGGACTTGACCCTCTCTCCCCTCCCCCCTGAAATCCCTGGGGGATCCCTTTACACAACGGTAAACCTGGGTTTCTCTTTATCATCCCCGCCTTTGTGTGTAACAACAGCAAACCTCGCCATGCACTAATTAAATGCATAATGTGACACCAAAACAGCAGCAGAAGGAAATAACGCCATCAACTCATCGCTAAAATAGCACAAAGCAGGATACCTCAATGCCTTCCAGTTCCAGGAGACATTGTCAATCCTTAATATATACATCAATCATACCACATAAAAGCTCGCTGTGGACCCCGATTTCCACACGAATAAACCCCCCTCCCTCAACTAATATGGGATGAAATCAATCCTCATACGATCTACTCTCCGGGTCAGCAAACAGCTTCTTCTAAGGAGAAGGCAAACATACCCAGGAACTGAGACCACCCCTCATTCTCATCCAACTGATTACCCCAATACTGCTCCAACAATCTCAATGACTGCAAGACATTTGGCACCCGGATAGTATCATGCAGTGATGCCAATAGCTGGCGGACCTGTTGTCGATCCGCCCCGCGCGCCTCGCATCCCGCAATGAACAGCGGTGTTGTGAGCATCACCCATGGACTCAAACCGGGAGACGGCCCGATCTGCGCCGTGCATTCCAGGATCCGCTTGACTGAGTCCTGCACCACCGGTGCCGACGCGGGCGTCTTGTACAAGCGGCGGTGGATCTGAATCAGCGCACTGCGCTGAAAGGCCTCATTGCAGAGCATCAGCTGCCGAATGCAGTCCGGCGACAGTCCCTCCATGACACCCGGGTAGAAGGCCGGCTGAGTCCCAACTTCTTCGGCAGCCATTAGCCGACGGAGGGCGCCTTCAAGCGTGGCTGCTTCGTGGGCGACGTCGATGTTAACAACGGTATCTCCTACCGCGGCTTCCTGTCCTGGTTCCTGTTGCTGCTGCAATAGATACTGATGCTCCCGCCAGGATACCGCACCAATCGCGCGAAAGATCGCGGCCAGGTTGACAGTGAAACCCCAGTAGTCATCCAGATAATCAGGGGTTGCGGATTCGGTTTGGTTGTCCGCGACCGCTGCTTCCACCCCGATCGGTGGCCCATTTCCAGTCAACGCTGTCAACGAGACGATCGAGCGGTGCCATCGGTCAAGGTACCGACGAAAACCCTCAGGCGATCCCGGTGACAGGATTCCGCGCTGACTCGAAGAATCCATGAGGGCCTTTGCTCCCGCGATATGCGCGCGCCACGAGTTGGGATGAATAGCGCCCGAATGAATCTCGGCTAAGCAGAGAGTACGCGCTGTGGCGAGCAGGGCATCCGACCCTCTGCTGGCAGGATTCTCCAGTTCCTTGCGAAAGTGTTCCAGGCTGAGCGCCATGAAGCGCGCGATTTCCGGAGCCGACTTGACATTTTCCGACTGGTTGTGGAGCGCTTGTAGGTGAATGGCAGAGAGGGCCATGGTTGCGTATAGGAGAGACGGGGTTTGTAGGGCCATGGGGACCAGCATCTTGCAAATGTCCTGTTGCATACCGGAATGACAGGCAGTGATCTGCGAGGCATCATTGAGAAAGTGGTGAAGAAGGGACTTCTGGTCGGTCGAAAGGGAGGCGAACGGGTCAATGTAATAGTTTAGACTAGTCGTAGCGGTCGTCGTAGTTGGGGTACCAGCGATTATCGAGCCGGGAGATAGGGCCGTAGAGGATGAGTTCGTGGTATAGATAAATTCGCCGGGGGAATACTCTGGTTAGAAACAGGCGCTTCGTTAGCGACCGAGACACTAGAGTAGAGTAGAGTAGGGCTCTTACGTACCCAGCTTATGCATGCCTCCGTTACCCACACAGGCTCCGAATCGCGAGCGCGAGAAAGCCCGCCCACCCCACTGCAGCTGCATCGCATATCGACAAGGCGTGTTCGCTTGCTGGCATCGGCCACAGCTTGGACGCTGCTCGTCACACTTCTGCCGACGCCCTTTACATCGCTTGCACCCAGTAAAGGAACGCGACATGTGTGTCGGTGGTTTTATTTGTTTATAGGCTGCTTTCGGGAGGATAAAGCGGGTGTTCCTGGGAATCCTGGTAGGCCTCGGTGGGGATCTCTCTTTTTTTTTCTCCGCAGATGACTGTTCGGCTACCCCAAGGGGGGGTCTCAAGAGGAGAGAGAGGGTCCAGATCGACCGGATTCCACAATCCACAGCGGATGAGGGGCAGTGGGGGTGAGACAAGTCAACGAGAACAAATGCAGGAAGAAATGAGAGGGAGCGTCAAAGACAAATTTGTAGAAGCTTAAGTTGCCGTGCGAGCACGAGGGCAGTCGCCCACTCGTTCACTCGCCCCTCCACAGCCAGCCTGCCGGTGGCGGCGATAAGCAGCAATTCCCGACAATTTCAGTTGTTGACGGATGATCGATAAGGGGCGGTGGGCGGCATCCTCCGCTCCAATCGCCGAACCTGCGGGTGATGGAAAGAAAAGATGGGCACTGCAATATCCACCCACCATGAAACATCACATAGGAACGCATATCAAATTCAACTTGAAGCAGACGAATTACGCTGAAAAATACAGTGCAACATTTACAAATAATTCATACAAATGTAGCCCCAGCATGGCTCGTCTAGACCCCAAATACATACAGACGATAGCGACGTGACAAACCAGAGCAAGGATAGCTCGAAGTTGGAACGGGCTTCGTCCCCCATTAGTCGTCAAAGGTATAACGCAGCCACTCTCCAACAGCTCGCAAGCTCTCCCACCTGACGGCTTCGTCCTTGTCTGCCATCAATTCCATCACCCGCGTCTTCAAGCCCAATTTCTCCAGCTGTGCCCGCCGTTCGGGAAGCTCTTTGACCAGATGACCCACATCATTACATCCGATCGCCAGCACCTGCTTATCGTTGTCCCAGTTCTTAGACAGAATCTCTGCGAGCTTCTTGGGCAATGCGCCATTGTTGTCGTCCAAGATGCGCCGTGCGTTATCCTTCCAGAACGTGGGGTTCCGGTGCGGGGGCGACCACCGCAGGTGGCCCGACTGCAGTTCAGCCGCGTACTGATCAAACGTCGTTTGCGTCTTTGTGTATTCATCCAGGAGCTCCTTCAAAGCCTGAAGGTCCTCCAGCAAGTCTTCATCGGTCAAGTGGCGACCCGAGAGATTCGTCAGCAGCGCGGGCAGGCGAACAAAGACAGCCACTGGAAGAAGAGTCGTGCGGTTACTGGACAAGAGATTATTGAGCGTGGCGAGGAGTAGACGGGTCGTTTTCTCTTTCGGAGACAAGCGGAGGAGGTTTGTGTAGAGCTGAACGAATTCGTAGTCACTAGAAGGCGTACGTATTAGCTTCACCGCTCGCACGGACTACACGCACATCACGTACTTCTGCAGATCTTCCCCGACCAAACTACCCTCAAAACTCAGCTGCCATAGCACCAGCAAGACTCTGTAGAGGAGTTGGAGGCCGATGCCACCTGCAATACCAGGCTCGATCCCGCGCGCACTGCCCGCCAGGGTGCTTGAACTGCTGTCTTTAGAGCCTGTTGCGGCTCGCAGAATCTCGATCAGAGGATCGACAGTCTGTTTCCGTTGCTGCCAGAAAAGTTCACGCGCTCTAGCAGTGCGAAGAAGTGCGGACAGCTCTTGGACCCCGATATCCTGCAGCCCGCTGTCTTGGTTCTGGGTCAGAGTGGAGAGGTAGGTGTACAACTGCGGAAGCGCCTCATCATCCCGCGGCGCTGGCTTCGAAGAGGAAAACAGGCTGACCGATACCAGGTTTGTCAAGAAGGTGGAAGTGAGGAGAGGAATCGGGTCTTCAGCGTTGGTCGAATGACGCAAGAGGGGAAGGAATGACTTGTAAGGATTGGGGTGGGCAACCAGAGCTGTTGCGAGGGAGGGAACATCTAATAATCATTAACAACCGTTGCCACAATAGCTGGAAAGACAGAGACCCACCGTTGATCAAGTCCGCGGCCAGCACGAGGATGCATTGCACGATGTCGGTTCGTCTGGCGGCGGAGTCCAGCACACTCTTGCTCTCGGGCCCGCCTGCCAGCAGACTAACATACCCAGCGAGATCGCCCTCAACCGTTTGACGCCGTTGCTCTTTGCGAACCTTATCAACTGCCTTGATCTTCTTGAGGTGTTCATCAGTGATGTTGCCAGCTCGAACAGCTCCCTCCCAAGGGATAGGGCGAGCTCGGATGTTGTTCTGCAACGAGCTGAGATACGTAGGCGGCTCCAGGGGCAACGAAGACATGATGGATCCTGGGAATAGATGGGCAGGAATCCAGGTTGAAAGAAAATGACAACAATCGGAAGGGAGTATCAAAGCAATCCAAGAGGAGTGGGGGGAAGGGGGGGGAAGGTTGAAGGAGGGGGTGGGAGAAGGAAAGATGGAGAGGTGAGTGGGTGGAGGACAGACGGAGGTGGTTCGGGCCCGTCCGAATGATGATGTGGGATTGATTGATTGATTAACGCTCATCCATTCCATCGATCGCCAAGCCCGGCCGGTTGCGCTGCAACTTCTCCGTCCACGCAAGCTGCACCATCCCAGGCTGCCATCTGGCTTCCCGCGCAGGGACAGCGTTCTCTTGTCGTATCTCTTGCATCGCCACGTTCTTTCTGCTCGAATTGACTCTTCGACGTGCCGTTCACCCCCCGAAATTCTCACGTTCATTTCCTTCCAGCCTTGCCTTCCCCACTCGGTGACAACAACCAACAAGCACATCGCATCGACCTCTTGAAATCGCGACTATTCCTGACATACGATCTGATAGCTACTGAACTACACAATAGGCGATCGCGCCATTCGCACATGGAATAAAGCAACGGCGGAAGTTGCAACAAAGCACCTAGGCCGTCACCATGGCGCAGAATTCACAAAGCAACAAGCCCAAGTGGAAGGTCGGGTCTTTTTTACAACAGGCTGTCGCGGGCGTGGAGTCCAGACTCGACCAAATATTAGCGGAGGAGGAGGATCAAAAACAAGTACAAGCGAAGAATGCTGCTACAAAACCCAAGCCGACGGAGCAAACCGGAAGTATGATCCATTCTGTCCTCTGCAGATCCATCGGATTGCTAATTGTGACCAGACCTTTCCCGCAGCTCCTCCAATGCTCGGAAGAATGACCGGCTTCAGGAGCGCCTCGCCCGAGCAATGGTGAAGAATTCGCCGGGTCCTCTCGCCACACAAGGCTCCAGTCGGACCTCATCACCCGTTACTAGTCCGGTTCCCAGCAACGGCACCCGATCTAGCATGGACATCGATTCCAGCCTCAGATCATCATCTGTGAATCCAGGGAGGCACTCGCGAAGCTCGAGTCAGGTCGAGGATGCCTCGGTTGCAGCCGAGTCGCGTAACAGCTACGATTCAGGCCCCCCGCGAGAGTCAAACGACACTAGTAGGCTATCAACCGAAAGCGCATTGCCTCCGCATGCGCTTGCAGAGAATGATGATAATGTCGCTCAGAGCCCTACCCTTGAGGAGGCACAATCGTCTGCAGATGGATCGAAACTCTCTGCGCCTACAGTATCGGTTTCGTCGATGGAGCCTGCTGAGGAGACTAGCAATGGTTTATCGAATGGTCAGGAAAGGCCTGTCCACAAATTGCAACCCGAGGCCGAAACCGCTGAATCTCAACGGCAAGAAGAGATATACGGTTACATCGAGCGGATCGATGCACTGCAGTCGAAGCTCAAATACCTTGCGAAAGAGGCTGCCGAATCCGCCAAGCAGGCTGCGACTGCAGCGGAGCCTGGCAGCGTAGAAAGACAGCTAAGGGAAAAGGACGAAAAGATAGCCCTTCTTCTCGAAGAAGGTCAAAAGCTGTCCAGGACGGAAATGGACCATCGAACGGCTATCAAGAAGCTGAGGCAGCAGTTGATGGATAATGCGAAAGCCCAAACTGAAGTCAAGAAAAAGACCGAGAAACTTGAACGCGATCTTGCTAGCGCAGAAACTCGAGCCAAACGAGCAGAAGCCGCCGAGAAGAGAGCCAATGATTCTCTCTCGATACAGACCAAGACGTCACAAGATCTCGAAGCGGTGATTGCAGAACGCAATGCTTTAAGTCAGACCGTGCAGGAAATGAAGGGACAGCTTGCACGAGCCGTCGCTCGAGCGGAGGCGGTTGAAGCTAAGGCACAATCCGAGGCACTCGAACAGGAAAAGCGCCGCGCCTCTCAGTTGGAGGAGGACCTCTCTAGCGTCAAAATAGAAAGAGATATCAGCGAAGGGAAGATGAGGCGCGAAATCAGTGGTCTGCAGGCCACCATTGAGCAGGAGAGAGAGCGCGCTCGCATGCTTGAAGTAGAACTCAAGGGTGAGCAATCGATGCTCGAAAGTAAGATGGAGTCCCTTCGCTTTCGAGCCGAAGAAGCTTCGACTGGAGTGGCTGGCGACACTCAGGTCAAACTGCTCCGTCAGATTGAAACTCTTCAGACTCAGTACGCCGTAGCTAGCGAAAACTGGCAGACATTGGAGGGTTCGTTGCTTGCTCGGTTGGCGAATGTTGAAAAGGAGCGGGATGAAGCCGCACGGCGCGAGAGCGAGATGCGACGGAAGATCCGTGAGATGGTGAGCATCGTACTCGTGTAAAACTTTATCAGGTGACTGTGGGCTAACCAAGCGATGCAGAATCTGAAAGTCAAACGTATCGAAGAAGAGCTCGAGACCGCGAAAGAGACTGGGCACGATCTCGAGAGTAAACTCGAGGAGGCAACTGAAGAGATCAAAAAGCTGGAACAGAAACTCAGAAAAGCCACGGAGGATCTGGACTTGGCTCGGAAAGATTTTGCAGAGCAGCAGAAAGTGATCGATGCCACATGGACACAGAAGCTCGAGGACGAGCGCCTAAAATTGCGTGAGCAAATGTCTCCACCGCCGGTCTTCTTGCAACAGCCTCGAACACAGTCTCCAGTGGCCTACAGTCGTCGGCCGAGTGCTCTAGAGCCCATCGGAACGTTGTCCGATTATCGACCAAGCAGTCGACGTCCCTCGGCGTTACCAACATCGCCTGACATGGGCAATCTCTCACGCCAGAACTCATTTCCTTTGTCCACTCAGTCCATTCTCTCGCCCTCGACTGCAACCAGCTCGATACATCTACCAATCCCAGAGACGCCCTCAATAAACTTCGAGCACGATGAACTCTTCAGTCGCTCTGCCACCCCCTCCGCCTATGGTGGAGCACCCACGCAGCACTCGCGCGGCATTAACGATATCATCTCGGAGTCCACAGTTGGCGCAGGGCCCTCAGTACAGTTGGTTGAACGTATGAGTGCCACCGTCCGCCGGCTCGAGAGCGAACGCGCCGCATCGAAGGACGAGCTTTCTCGGATCACCGCGCAGCGCGACGAAGCCCGACAACAGGTCGTGGATCTAATGCGGGAAGTTGAGACGAAGCGAACTTCTGATACACGTGTGCACGAGCTTGAACAGCGGCTTGATGAGCTCGACCAACGGTACCAGACAACCCTCGAAATGCTGGGAGAAAAGAGCGAGCAGGTGGAGGAATTGGAGGCAGATATTGCCGACCTCAAGAAGATTTACCGCGAGTTGGTCGACAGTACGATGAAATGAGGCTATTGTCTCTATTCACCCCGCCCTGTATTACTACTGAGATCTTTCCCTTTGTACATAGAGAGTCTTTTCTCCGGGCTAGATCACTCTAGACGATGTTATGTGATGCATGTCTGCTTGTTGAAAAGAATCATTGAAACAGTCTTGAGCCTGGAAAAGACTCCGGGTATCCAGTCTAATTATTTATTGAGAATCTGTTGGTCTCGGACATTTTTTAAACCCCACCGCATCTTTAGTCCGCAACCCTATAAATCAATCCCCTCTCTCTCAGCCGTTTGTAAGATGTAGCTTCGGACCTACTCAGTGGTTAGCATGGGGGCACCCTGACTAAAAATACGCAAGCCCTACCTTGTTATCCGGTGCCATATCGATTGCCAGCATTCCGCTGGAATCTCTCTTGTCTGCCTCCGCACCGGCCTTGAGTAGCGTGATCGCCGCATCGCCGTGTCCCTCCGAGATCGCATGATGCAACGCCGTCAGCCCGTCAATATCGGTCGCATTGACAGGACTCTTGCCATCCTCGAGTAAGACTTTGATAATGGGCGTGGAACCGATAGCGGCAGCCCGATGAAGCGCGAGCTGGCCGCGTCTATCCTTGACCCGAGCGCTGCATTTGTTGGCGATCAGTGTGCGGACAGTGGAGAGATTGGCTTTGGAGGTCGCAAAATGAAGGGCGTTCTTCGACGGGCGTTGTTAACAGCAGTTCGGTACCATTTCCAATGACAGTAGGAAATCTAGCTCGCTGGATACGCACCTGTCCGGATGAGCTCTTAACGCTGACATCTGCGCCCTTCTTCAGCAGAAGATCAATGATCGGATCTCCTTCAGCGTTCTTCAAGCTAGCTGCAATCATCAATGGAGTCCAGCCGGATCCATCCTAAAAGGCTTCTTTAGCAGGCTTGAGCTATCATGCGTTCTTTCTTGAATGCCGTACCTCGACGTCGGGGTCAAAGTGCTTGTTCGAGATGAGAAGCTCCACAATCGGCAGGTGGTTGTAGGCTACAGCCCAGTGGATGGGAAGACGCTCATCGTCATCTTTGGTAGCAGCGAGCTTGGGATTTGCCTGACTATGCTGTCAGTTGACATATTTCCACTCGTCATTCCGTGCGGGGACAGCTCTTACGCTTAAGAGAGATTCGGCCGTGGAGACTATGTGGGTTAGCTAGAGATCTGAGTTTGACGGTCGGGCAGGATGAAGAGACCTACCTTTTCCCTCTCGAGCAGCCTCATGAAGAGGATACTTAGCTTCAGTGCTAGCGTTCATGATTAATGCAGGTGGGTTATTGCTTGTTTCTTGTTTGCGGCGGGGTTGATTTGATGATCCGATGGTTGGCCTGAAGATGCGGAGAACCGCTGCCTCGACACCTCATATTATGCCTTAGGCATCGACATCCGCGGAAAACCAGAGCTTCGCTTCTTCAGTCCGCAGCTCTGCAACTTCACCACATCTTCGAACTATCGACCATTATTTTATTCAACGCCTCTCCGACATTGCCACGTACACTAACTACAATTACACTCTTAGATCCTATTTTGCTGTGTGCAACTCTTCTACGGAATCTCTCAAGTTTGAAAGCCACTGTATCCCTGTCCTCAGGGATCAGGACGCCCCCGACTAATCGCCCACGCCATCACCTCGAATCTCCTCCTCACCTACCTACCTACACAATGGACGTCGTTCCCTCCACATCGCCCGACGAGGCCGTGCGCTTATCGGCAAAGCGTACCGCTGAACTCTTTGGCCCCGACTACCTGATGGTCACCCCCTCGGTCGCAAGCGGCTCCATTGGACTTTCCTACCGACGCAAAGCAGAATACGACGATGTCAGAGAATTGCCCCCCGCCCTCGCCGCGAAGCAAGCCGCTGCAGCGGCGGCGGCCGCCAGTGGACGCGCCAAACGACCCAAGATCCAATCTCAGACCAAGGCCTCGGCCGCAGACGGCAGCGGCGCGTCGATGGCGCTGGTCAAGAAGGCCCCCGGGCCGGCGGCGGGCGGCGTCGGCGGTGAGAACGAACCCAAGAGCCTGATCCAGCGACCCTCGGCGACGCGACAACAGAGGCCCGACTGGCATGCGCCGTGGAAGCTCATGCGGGTGATATCCGGCCACCTGGGCTGGGTGCGCAGCTTGGCGGTCGAGCCCAACAACGAATGGTTCGCCAGTGGTGCGGGTGACCGGACGATCAAGATCTGGAATCTGGCCACCGGCGCGCTGCGGCTCACCCTCACCGGCCACATCTCGACCGTGCGCGGCCTGGCCGTCTCCCCGCGGCACCCGTACCTCTTCTCCTGCGGCGAGGACAAGATGGTGAAGTGCTGGGACCTCGAGACCAACAAGGTCATCCGCCACTACCACGGCCACCTGAGCGGCGTGTACACGCTGGACCTGCACCCGCGCCTGGACCTCCTCGTCACCGGCGGTCGCGACGGCGTGGCCCGCGTCTGGGACATGCGCACGCGCAGCAACGTCCACGTCCTGTCCGGCCACCGCGGCACCGTCGCCGACGTGAAGTGCCAGGAAGCCGACCCGCAGATCATCACGGGCTCCCTCGACTCGACCGTGCGGCTCTGGGACCTGGCGGCCGGCAAGTCGATGGGCGTGCTGACGCACCACAAGAAGGGCGTCCGCAACATCGTCACCCACCCGCGCGAGTTCACCTTCGCCAGCGCCAGCACCGGCTCCATCAAGCAGTGGAAGTGCCCCGAGGGCGAGTTCATGCAGAACTTCGAGGGCCACAACGCCATCATCAACACCCTCGCCGCCAACGAGGACAACGTCCTCTTCTCCGGCGGCGACAACGGCTCCATGTGCTTCTGGGACTGGAAGACCGGCTACCAGTACCAGACCATCGAGTCCACCGCCCAGCCCGGCTCCCTCGAGGCCGAGGCCGGCATCATGTCCTCCACCTTCGACCGCACGGGTCTGCGCCTCATCACCGGTGAAGCCGACAAGACCATCAAGATCTGGAAGCAGGACGACGAGGCCACCCCCGACTCGCATCCGGTCACCTGGGCTCCCACTCTTGGGCGGCAGAGGTATTAGTCCCATTTTAGGAACTATGCATCCCCTTCTCTCGCACGATCAATTCCCCTTCCTTCCTTTTTCCATCTACCTCTTTACAAACCGCATATCCTCCTTTGGAAAATACCCCCTTTCCGTGGACATTCAAACCTGTTCACGGTACTCGAATATGACAAAATTTCTCATGCTTTTCTGCTTCTGCTCCGGAGGTGGTTCCGGATGTTATCCTTCGTGTTTTGTTGTTGTATGCACTATGGCGTCCAGCGTTTGTGGTTTGGATTTCTCTTTCTTGCTGGTATACTATGGACTATCTAGATGTATCATAGAATGATAGGCTGAGCACCGATCTCGAGCTCTCAACCTTCCCATATCCCCCGAATTAGCTCGTAAGCTCAAATCAACGTGTGTCTACGTTATCGATCCAGTTATGCCTGTGCTCAAAACCGTGGGTATCATTATTCCTATGCTAATATCGTACAAATACAGTGGTCTATCACGTGTGCTCATCTAACCGAATGGATTACTGCTCAATGCCCAGTCCCAACCCCTTGGCCTCTGCATCATCACAGAACGCCGAGCGCACATCTTCCGCTGCAACCCGCAATCGCACCTTCCCGCTACGGTCACCCCGATGCGGAATGGCCGCGCTACCGAGAGGTCCCTTCGCGCCCGCACTATGCTCTAACGCCAGCACACCGGAGTTCATGAGCTCCATGGCCGCCGATCCCAGCGCACGCACCCGCGCGCCACTGCCGCCAACAAGCAAGAACTCCCGGATGCCGACGCCGGCCGCACTGGCGACGGCGACGGCTGCATCGGCGATGCGCTTGGCTTCGTCGATGACGTCGCCGACGGTGGACTCGGAGATGCCGGTACGGCGGACCCGGGCGAGGAGGGCGGCGAGGAAGAGTTTCGCGGCCAGGGGGAGACAGCGGAGGGACTGCTGTAGCGGGGTGGAGGTGGCTTCTTGGATGGCTTGTTTGATAGTGGCGATGGTGACGCGCCCGACGATGGGTTTGTTGGTGCCAGTGGTGGTGGGTTGGGGTCTCTTCTGCGGGGACGGGGGGAGGAGGGCATTCTTGTTGGATGCCCGGTCTTTGCGAGCGGGAGTTTTACTCGGGGTCGGGGGCATCGACTCGGTGTCGTCTTCGTCGATGGTTTCGAGGGGCTCTTTACGAGCGGCCTCGTTGGCTTGCTGTTCGGCGATCTCGACGGCGCGGCGGCAGATGTCCAGGGCGCGACGCGCATCACCGCTGACGGCGGCGACTTTGCGGCTGGCAAATTGGATGGCATCCGCGTCCACGATATTACCTGGCACGTTGGCCAGTCGTGTACTTATGATTTCCATTAGGTCGGTGTGTTTGTAGCCAGGGAAGGTGATACGGGTGAGGCCGAGACGGCTGGAGATCTTGTTGCTTAGGGTTCGCTCGGGGAGATCCATGGTATTGGCGACGGCGAGGACGATGAGGCGGGAGTGTCGTAGGGCGGGCCAGTTGAAGAAATTGTACATCACCGACTGGTTCTTGGTGACGAGCTGGTCGAGTTCGTCCATCAAGACGACGCAGGACACTCGCCGGGGAGAAGGGTGCGAGAACTCCCGTTCAAGAAGATCTAAAGCGTGAGACGGAGATACACGATCACCTTTGAGGGCCTCCCAGAGCAGAGAGTAAGACTGATGAGGGTCAGTCACCTTCATGCCGTTGATCTCAACGAAGATGAAATCGTCCATCTCTTCCGCCAAGACGGCGGCGTTCAACTGAGCCACCACCTCGCGAACGGTTGCTGTCTTACCCGTTCCGGGTGTGCCAGAGATGTAGATACAAGTACCCGTTCCTTCCATGATGGCTGCGCTGAGATGGCTGTAGACTGCGTCAAACTCCGTCTTCCGGCAAGGGAGCGATTGCGGCACGGTAGACACATGGAGGAGAGTCCGCGCTTGTCGATATGGAGAGGCTAGTTGTGATGGTGAGAGGATACGGGTACCAAGAGGAGTAAACTCGAGTGGTTTTTTGACAACGATCCTATGACGAACTGTGAGACTGGCAGGATGTGTTTTGATGTCGTGCGTTCACATACCTCTTATGAGTCGGGGTGGTCAAGGATTTCTGACGTCTGGATTGAGGGGTGGCACTCGAAGCCACTTTCTGCCTTTTCCTGGGTGTACTCGGAGCAACATTCTCTTCACTTTTACTTTCCACATACTTCAAGTCATTAGCTTGCGAAGTTGTGACAAAGCAACCCGTTGTACTCACATCGTTATCAACCTGCTTCCGTTTCTTCGCAACCTTGAGCCCAGACTTGATCATATCAATGAGGTCAAACAGTCTATCCTCTCGATAGACCTCTTCCCAGATGAACTCTTCGGTATATCTTCCCTGAACTTGGTTCACTCCTCTGCGACACACAATGCACTTGTTGAAATCCGCCAGAGCTTCCTTTCCCTTCGGAGGGACACCACCAGGATATTTGGCGTAGAACGCATCCTTCGACATGACCGTGGCTCTGCCGTTGATTGAGGTGAGGGGGTTGACATTGAAGTCCGCCGTCAAGTACTGTTCGTTGGGCAGCGCGTCCGATCGTCTCTTGTTCTTCGTCGACATGAACTCGTCCGGAGAAGCGAACCACATGATATTGGCCGACTTGATGATCTCGTCATCATCATCATCTTGTTCCAAAAATTCTGTGATGATTCCGATCCAATCCTTGCCAGGCTCTGGGGACTTGAGCAGCACCACCTGGCCCAAGGCGCATTCGAACGAGCCCATGCGAGCACCGATTATCTTCCGTGAGCGTTTGGCATTCGGACGGACGGAGCGTCTGCGCATCGATTTCGGGGTATCCTGCGTAGAGTCGGCCGTCGGTTTGCTGTCCTGATCATCAGTGTCCTCTGTGTCGTAGATCCACTCCCATGGGTGGTCTTCTTCCCCCAGCTCATCATCGGAGTCGTCTCGGACAAGGCCACCCTTGGTCATCCATAGCTGGGCACGTTTCCGTGCATTGGGCTTGCGCGACTGCAAGCCAGGTGCTTGGCTTGAGGAGTCGGAGGCCATTGTCTTGTGATAGTCGGAGTCCCAGCCAAGGGAGAGACAATTGATTAATTATGATCAATATGTTGATGGGGGAAACCCGAAAAGGCGCGCCTGCCGCGCGCTTGTGCCGCTATTCCCCTTTAGGGTTAGCGCCCGCACTGTGATCTCCGCGCCAATAAGATGACGTGCGCTATACTTCGCTGCTAAACGAGGCAGCAAGCGCTGTTACTGCCTATCCGTAACACCTCAAGCTTGCAAAAGAGTTATCGATGAAGGAAAATCATATTTGCAGGTATATTGTGACAGTCTTCGAGGTCCACGGATACAGCTCCTGGTGACATTCCGGAGAAGGCAGGCACCAACTTCACTTTTCTTTGCGCCAGCGGTGAATGCAGGCTGCCGAGACAGCCACTGGGTGATTGGATTACAAGCAGTTTCTCTCATCGATTAATTCTTTCACTGGCCAATTGCACTTATTGAACAGAATCTTGGCTTGTGAAGTTCTCTGAGTGCTGTTTGTCTTGTGGCTGTTGTGCCCCTCTGTCCTTCCTCTTCGTTGCCCCCCGCCCCCCCAAAGTCACTCCGGTAAGTTCCCACTCTGTTGACATCTTCCTTCTCTCCTTCTCCCATCTAACAACGCCTCCCCGTCAGCAGGCGTCAGCTCCATTGCTCATCCACTCAATAGTAGTTCTTCATTCATCCTTCTCGGTCTTTGATCAATTTGTTCAGTGAGTGCTTCAGTCGAGGAGTATCCCCTCAGTCCTCGCCCCAATTTCGGCTGGAAGGTCTCGTTCAACATGGAGTAAGCTGTCCTGTTGCCGTCAGATCAAGAATAGAATACTAATAAATCACCAGCTTCGAGGCCACTGGAGCCAAAGGTAAAGTTGTCTGAGCCCTGCTGGTTCCATGCTACGGAGCAAGATACTGATCCTCTACTCTTAGAATGGGCTCTGCCCGGTTACGGTCGACCAGCTCCTCAAAAGATCCCGTCTGAGACCGAAGCGTCACACGTGCAAAACATTGCATCACAGCCTGAGTCTACTCCCGGAGCCGAGCATGTTCATGAGGCATCTGTCACATCTGTGAACAAGAACACTACATGTCACAACCCCGCCCCTGCCCGAGGAACAGCTCGCGCTTACAGAGGACGCGGTGCTTCAAGAGGCAAAAGAGGCTCATCTTCGCCCCAGACTCATCTTCCCGGGGAGTCTCCCGCGAAGTCTCAATGGAGAAATGGCGCCCAGCCTGCAGGTAAGGATCATTCTCTCGTCCAGCTTGATTCAAACTAATATCGGTTGGTGCAGGAACTATCAGGCTTCCACGCACTTTCAAAGAGATCAGAGACATGTAAGTATTAATTCCCGAACCAAGACATGAAGTAAGTGCTGACTGACTAGATTTTGCACTGCGGCTCGGTCGATCTCATCTCGACGCCCATTTGGACAGCAGGGACGCCATGATGTCTTCGAAGACATCTGTCGAAAGACCGGAGCCTACGTCGACCCACCCGCCGGTAATCATGATGTATGTGTCTTGCCCAACTGACTCTTGTCCAAGTGACTAATAGATAGCTGATGTATATAGGTGATTCACCTCTGGGGGGCATCATATCAGGTCTCTGAGGCTACCAATCTCATTCAGAGCATTCTTGCTAGATGCGACACCATTACCATGCCCAAGAAAAGGGAATGGACGAAGACCTCTGCCTATTCTGCTGGGAAGGAGGATCTTGCGGATCAGCTTGAGCTAGAAGATGCCTTGATTCTCGCATACCGGAAGGCACCTGAGCTCGACTTTATGTTCTCTGAGAAGGTTAGTAAAGAGTTGTCATGACAACTACCAAATCAATCTTCAATCTTCTGACCTCAAGCTCTTAACTAGTTACTCTTTCTGTGGCCGAAGGAGGGTCCCTCCATGCGTGATGCCCTTGGCACCGACCTGGAAGCTCTTGATCCTATTCGTATTAGGTTCACGTGTCACCTGTTCGTTGACAAGGAATTGCCTGATCACATCTGCGCTCTCGGCTACGAGCAAGCCAAAATTGGCCAGCTTGTCCAGCTCCTGCGCAACAAATGGGCCGAGATTATGGCAAACAGTCTCGTCAAGTCCAAAATCTACTTGGTTGAGCCCCTTGGAAGCGGCCATGGTGAGGTCTCCGCGAGAAAAGAGGCGGGCTTTGTTAGACCACTGTTTCGCACAATTCCAATGAGCAAGGCCGATATGGATAGTTGGCCGGGCCGAGCTGAGCTGATCCGGTCAAGGAACAATGCCCATCTTCTCAAAGTGATTGACAAATGCTTGAAAAGTGTAGTTTACGTGCGTGGACACCTTCGCATGAGAGCCAATATCGGCTTGTTCGTGCTCGATTACTACCGTCAGCCATCGCAGGGAAAACCGGCGTGGGGCTTTGAGGAGTTCCGTGAGATGTTGTTCCATGAGAATACGAAGGGTCGTTTGATCCCAGGGTACGCGAGTGATTTTTTCTTGTCTTAAATCCGTGATCCAAAGCTGACAAATTAACAGTCTGAAGATCGACCAGTCTGTGTTGCTTCCTAGACTGCTTTCTGCCACCAATCTTCTTGAGCCGTACGACCGTACCATGGACTCCCTGAAACAGCCCGAGCCAGCATTCTCTGTGAACTTCGAATTCTCCGGTCAAAAGAATTCTCTGCTACGCTTGGAGGCCGAGTTCGCGAAATGTTCTGGAGCACGCGATTACGCAATGACGCAAAGCCGCTGGCTTAAACCACGCAAGCTCGGCCAAGTCAAGGACTCGCGCTCACCCTTGCAGGTTGGAATCATCGACTTTGAAAGGTGAGTCTGTCTGACATGCTTTGTGTCCAGTATCCTGTTCCGCGATTTCTAATCATCGTGATAGGTCTGATTGGCAGCTGGAAATTGCATCGCTGGAGTTCTATGAAGCAACTGCAATCGAGAGAGCTTTACGCGAATTTTCCCACACGATCAAATTCAAGAGCAACGATGTTATGGGTGACATCTCGGCTAATCCTGTTCGCAAAGTCATCTTCCACGCCTCAGCACCAGTCTCCCGCTTCATCGAGAAGACGGCTATTCGTTACCGCCTGAAGGGGACCAGATATATTCTGGAGATAGCGCGATACGACGAATACACCCGAACCTCCGCAAATGATTCGGCTTCTCTGAACCTGGCAGCACCCTTTGGAAAACCTCGAGTTTCTTGGGGAGCATCGGTTTTCGACTTCACTTGGGACAACTTGCTGGGTAAACATGCCAATATGCCCGTGGGACATGCAGCCAAGTACGATCCGAATCTTCAGACCTTTTTCCCGGCCGCAAATGAGTCAGAGGACAAGTCCCAGGGTCTCTGGGAATTCATCGATCTGATCAAACGGGTTGCAGCCCTTCTAAGGTCCGGACCGCCCCGCACCCTTCCAGCCACCGGAAGTGCCAAGGCTAAGTCTGATGATCGTTCGACAAGCCCGGCCTCCAGCGGTAATGCTAGAGCTCTAGATGCAGACCTCGGGACTTTGTTCTAAGTCACCAGAACGCCTGCCCTTCGGGGTAGTGTGGAGAGCTACGTTCTCTTTTTTCAGAATGTTGTTTTAATACCATGGCAAGAGGATTGATTAATGCCTGTTTTTTTGTTCTTTGCTTTGTTTCTGTACCTAAACCAAGTGGCATATCAACTAACCTGCACCGGCGGTAGCGGAAGCGGAGGATGCAGCCCCTTCGGCCAGCAATTTCTGTCTCAAAGCTGATCACGGAAGCGTTAGCGGTAGTAATGGTAGTGATTTTAAATTGAAATGAATTTTCAGAAACTCCTTGCCGGATGGCTGACAAGTAGGGCAACGCAACATACCATCTTCAAAGAGCCTCTGCTGCTGACTCTTAGTCTGTACAATCTTCTCCAACTCGGTGAGGTTGGTCTCCAGATCCTTGACCTTATTCTCGTAGAACTCGATGGCTTTGGGAGCAGTCTAGCGAGAAAAACAAATTAGCCCACGCGTTCCACCACTTCCAAAAAATTCAAGCTCCCAAATCATCCCCAGTATCATCCCAAACCCAACCAATCCCCAACCCATCCCAGCCCAAAGCAACCAACTCCCACAAAAAAAGGGGGGAGAGGAAATACCTTCTCAACATAGAACCCCGTCCCGACATCAACGAGCACCTTCTCGCGATCCGCCAGCCTGCCGCGCACGTACAGCGAGCTCGTCAGCGGCACCAGAATCTCCTGGTCCGGGCCCCCCGCGGTGCCCTTCTTGGCCGACCCGACCACCCCCTCGTTGATGGAGCGCACGCAGTCCCGGAACTTCAGCTGGGCGGCGCGCAGCTTCGCGTGCGAGGTCGTCAGGTGCTCGAGTTCCGAGGAGAGGCGGGTCTGCAGGGCGCGGAGTTGGGGGACGCTCAGGGAGGCGATGTTTACTTTTAATTCCCGGGGGAGTAAGGTTAGTATGGGTGGTTTTGGTGGGGGGAGGGGATTGGGGCTTGGGGAGTGGACGTACCTGAGCCTGGTGGGGGGTCGGAGGAGTTGGGTTCGGACATTTTGGGGGTGTTGTGTCTGTCTGTCTGTCGAGTTTGGATTATGGGTCGGGAGTGGAGGTGAGGCGGTTATAATGTGGGTTGTGGGAGCGCTGGTGTAGGCGCTGGTGTACTGCACAGTAAACCTGAACCTGAACTGTAGCTTGGGGTGGGAGTGCGGGTGAAGCTTGGTTTGCGGCTGCGGTTTGTAGACTATGGGAGGTGGGAGGTGGGGATGGACTGTTTTTTTGTGCTGGGGTTGTGATGCTTAGTAATTGTGCAGCTGGTTCTATTGTACATTGATGGCTGCGCCAAGACTGCCAGCCGGAGTCAATGGTTATGCGCGATTGTACAGGAACTCTTTATCGGATGAGGTATGAGACTATTTACATTGTCGATAGCTACTCTTAGAAAACTGCTTGAAGGCCTGAGTGTTCTAGACCGCTTTCACGAAGATTTGTACTGTTGCTGCCGCAATCTGTAGGCTCTGACCCCTTGGTTCGCTACTATTTCCTTCCGAAGTATATACATAACAAAACAACATCAGATCCCTCCACATCCTCAATACCGTAGCCTATAGCTCCGCCCTCAGTCAACATAAGCAACTTAATCTCCTCCAGAACTACAGCAGCAACTACCTCTCTACCACCCGGTTATCCTTGATAAAGCACTCCTCATACCCAACAGTCCTCTGGCACGACCGGGCCGAAATAAACTTCTCCTCGTCGGGGACGACCACCTCCCTGTAGAACGGGTCGTTGAGCGCGTTGGCGATGCAGTCCAGGGACGGCACGTAGAGCTGAACGTGACCATCCCAGTCCGAGATGGAATCGGCACCCAGGAACTCCCACAGGGCGGTGGCTTTGGCGCGGAGTTCGGGCAGTTGGTGGTACTATACAGTACATATATTAGACCAGACCTTGGAGAAACTAACATAAAAACGGTAAACAGAAAGATGCTTTCAAATTCGAGAGGGCAGGAGAGGCCAGGTACCATACCTGGACATATCTGATCACCCCGTGACGGCGCAGCCAGGCACTGACGAGCGGTCCGTGGACATGGGTCCAGTGATGGTGGAATTCCTCGTGGGTGATGTCGTTGCGCTTCTTGAGGAGGAGGGTTAGGCGGATGAGGGGCTCGGGGGTTGGTGCCATTTTCCTCGAGGGGTGGGTTGTTGAGTTAGAGCAAAGTAAAGTGGGTTGGTTGTTGAGTGGTGAAGTGCCGTGGTGCAGCGAAGATAATAGCGATTCGTGCCGCTGAAATAACCGCGGTATTTGGCAAGATGACGAACTTGCTGGTAATTCTGGATTTGCAGTTCCTTCTCTCTATGGTAAATATACAACACAGTTATCCGTGCGTAAGCATTGGTGAGCGGGTCTGTCCATGGTTTCTTCTCCGGGTTCCAGTTTTCTCCAAATATCTCCAATTTTGGAGAAAAGGTCCATTCGGGACAATTTGTTCAGCCCGGTTGGAAGATTGCGGGAGTTCGCGGATAAGGATCTTAGGGTGGTGATTACTGTCAGTTTGAAATAAATCGTTGCTGGTAGGCAATTATGGACCCAGGTCAGTACCAGCGTGGCTGGTTGTGGGACTGTAGGCCGAGGGTCCAGTGGAGGGACGCATCAACTATATCTGTGATCCCAGAGTTGCCATATTATGACAGAGATGATAAGATGAGAATTAAATACATTGAAAGTAGTCTGAATCTCCGTCACATGTATACCCTCTCACTCTGATCCACTACTCACACATCATCACTGACAAAGCTGCTCCAAAATCTCAGCCGTCTCATTGGGCATACTCAGAAACGGCGAGTGGCCACTCTTCAACCGGAAAACTTGAGGGTCAATCAGAGACCGGATCATGTGATCCTGGATCGCAGGCGGAAGCGCTCGGTCCTCATCGCAGACAATATACGCACTTGGAATCGTATGCCACGGCTCGTCGGTACTTGGCTCAAGAAATGCAGCGAGGCAGATGTGGCCGTGCAAAGCTGCCGATAACTTCTCTTTGACTTCGTCCGGCACATCTTGGATCAAGTCTACGGCCGGGTCGCGGCGAACATAGTTTCCCTGGCGGATATTTTAGTAAGGTATTCCGTCGCGATCGCAGTGAAAAGCTCACCTGGACGAGCATCCACGGCCAGAGTTCCCCATCGATCATGTCCTTCAGGCTCCTCCCTCGGGGCGCGACAAATGCAGCCATGTAGACCAAGCGGATCACACCTCCGGACTTGCCAGCCTGCGTGCGTTCCGCCAAGCCCAGACCCGTAGATGCAGCGGAGATGACCATGCCACCGTAGGAATGACCAACTAAGAGGATTCTCTTGCCTTGGTCGGCTAGGTCGGTCAAGATTTGATGGAGGTGTTTCGAATCGTCGCGCAGCCCTTTGTTGGGAGGTTCGGCACCGTTGGAGAGATGGTCTATTGCGACGGACGAGATATCCCTCTGGGATAATACTTGACGGAACTCATCGTACGCACTGCTGGGGTTCCAGGCCCCGGGGGCAAAAACAACAATGGTGTTGCTCGGGACCCTCATCATTGATTGATGGAGGAGAGAAATTTGCGCTGTCAGGGGTTCAATTTAGCTTGAGATAGTTTCTGAAGAGTAAAGAAATGATTAGGAGGGGCTGTAATGCCGTATTTACGAGAGAGACTGGGACAAACCAGCCAATTTGTGGCCATTAGAGGCTTCAAGGTCATCCGATTGTCGCATGACTTAGAGGACTGTCAGGGCATGTATGGACGTCATCTGTTTGTCGAAGCTCTTCCAGTCTTCCTGTGTCCTTGGAATAGGTATTTGCTCCGGGAATAGCGAGGGATTGTCTCTGATCTTGTGCATGACCGTATGAGTCTGGGAGGGTTTGTGAAGCGGTGTTGGAGAAGTTGGGGAGATGTTGGGGGTTTTGGGGAAGTAGTCACCCAAGCAAAACTACTGCCATCTGTTTTGGAGGAATCGGAACATCAGTCAAGCTTGGGTCGTAATGCGTGGAACCCCCTTTGCAACCTAAGGGTCTTCTAGGAGTCTATTGAGAAGCTCTTCAAGTGTTGAGCGCTTTCACTGACCCCGTTCGTACGGCTTATTTCAGGTTTCTTTTTGTGCAGTGCTATTGCTAGAGCTGCATGGCAGAACCAAGGCTGTGGCATTCTCTTCTGTTCTCACCAAGAAAAAAGGTAGGGGTCTCTAGTCCTTATGGTGACTGTCTCGCAAATTATTCTATAATTCGAGCACCCTATCCTACTGTGCCGAACTGGTACAAAAGACAATGCCTTGCAGGACTTGAAGTCTCCACAAACAGGCACAAGATACATGCTATATTGATGCAGTAACCTGAGAGGCATACCAGATATGAACCTTCAAGATGGGTGAATGGTACAAGTATGTACAAAAGAGAAGAAGGCACATGCGTCGTAGTGAGGAGTCAAGTAGATGGTTCATTGTCCATCCATTAGTTATGTCAGTTAAGGCACAGCTTACTCACCATACAGTGCAGTAAATAAAATTAACTCCCAGAGCGAAGTAAATGTCAACAAAGCCATCAACAAGTCTAAAAGTACAAAACACTCAAGGAAAAAAAAATACAGTAGAATAAGAAATCCATTATCAGAAACATCATGATATTCATAACCTCATTCCCCTAACCATCACCTAGCGATTCTCCTCCCACCCAGTCAACAACTGATACTCCTGCAACGGCAATCAATACTGCTGCTGCCGAAAGAGGTTCATGAGCGGCAAGAACAACGGATGCTCGAGCCCCAGCTTAGCGGGATCCCCAGCGGAAGTCCTTGCAGTGAAGTCTGTGGCAGCCAGTTTCTCCGCCTCGTCCTGCAGCCGATACCACCGCGTGACCTCCTCCCACTCCACCCAGCGCCACTCGCGGCACTTGTCGGGCTCCATGACGGGCGGCGGCGCCCTGCAATCCTCGCGCCGCGTCGGCGTGCACCCCAGGTAGATGGTGATGTAGTGCTTGTTCTCGGCGGCCATCACGTCGTTGGTGGCCGTCAGGAAGCGGAGCCCCGAAACGGCCAGGTTGGTCTCCTCGAGGACCTCGCGGGCGGCGCACGCGGCCCACGTCTCGCCGGGCTCCAGGTGGCCCCCCGGCAGGGCCCAGGTGCCGGCGCCGTGGCTGCCTTTGCGTTCGCCCAGCAGGACTTGGTTGGCGCGCCCGAAGATGAGGACGGCGATGCCGACGCGGGGGATGGTTGTTACCGCTGGCGGGGCGGCGGCGGCGGTGGGGTCGGAATCTGGTGTTGTGGACATGGTTGTCGGTGATTTATTAGAGGTGCGTGTGTGTTTGTGTGTGTGAAAAGAATGAAGATCGATCGATTGGTGGTGATCGGTCAAGTATTGATGGGCTTGGTGAGTTGCGTCAATCAAGTGGATTGGTCGGTCGCCTTATATAGTTGAGGTTTGGTGATTCTTTTCCAGGCACGGTAAACAATACCCTGTACCCGGGGATGCCAAGAGTTCAATAGTTCCAGGCAGACTGCCTAAAACTTCTTTATGCTCTGACCTTTCAATGATAGATCTCACCAGTGCTCTAAGAAGTTGACTCATCTTCTTTATCAGCACATTTGAAAGGAGTGGGGTATAATTTGCGGTCAATCTACTTCTACTTTTTCATTGAATAGTCTTTCTATCTTACAAAGCTCCGTGCCACTCAGCCTCGGGAAGAACACAGCATAGCCCCGATTTTGGATATCAGCATAGCCTACAACCCACGCGAAAGCGCTTACAATCGCTGCAGCAGAGATTGCACAAACGCCGGAAGAGCCTCAAGTGTGACATCTTCACGCACGCTCAGCCGACGGCATTGCACCTCCAAGGTTTGCTGCTTCTTCCATCCCTTACCAACCACAATGATGACCGGGTATCCGATCAGGTCCGCATCGCCGAGCTTCCAGCCCATTTGCTTGTCGCGGTCATCCAGAATCACGTCCAAGGCAGAAGTAGGCGCCACGGTCAGTGCGTCGTACACCTTCTCCGCTTCCGCCTCGAGCCCCTTGCCCGGCACGATGATGACTTCGTACGGCGCGATGACGCGAGGCCAGTTCAGTCCCTTGCCGTCCGCCAGGCTGTCCGCTACCGCAGTGATCATGCGCGAGACGCCGATTCCGTGGCAGCCCATCTCCATGGGTACGGTCTGGGGGCCGGATCTGTTGCTGTCTTTGTTCTTGGGCATAGCAGATTGGTCGACCATCACGGTGGCCTTGAGGACATCGCTGTAGCGGGTGCCTAGATGGAATGTGTGACCGAGCTCGACTGCCTTGTGCGTCTGTGCCAGACCCTCGCCGCATTTGGAGCATCGGTCGCCCTCGTGGACCCGCACCAAGTTCAGATGGCTGTTCGTGCCTGGGAAGCGATCCAGCTTCGAGAAATCCACGTCCTCCGCTGTGCAGCCGACCTCCTCCAATGTGTCGGTAAGCGGGGGGCGCTTGTATGCGCGCACGCGCGAGTCATACAGATCCACGATCCGCGGGCGCTGAGCGGAAGCCTTGTGGAGCTTGACGTGCGTTGCCCATTGCTGGAGCGGGTTCTCGACGCTGATGTCGATTTCCATCCCAGCGGCGTCGGCGATGGACTTGACGGCGTGGGAGTTCACCTCTCTCTCCACAGGGCTTTCTTGGATGGTGTACTGCGGAAACCAGCACCGCAGCAGCGTGTTCTTGTCTTTCGAGATGGACATCCACAGACCGACTGAGACGGCGGGCGTGGCCTCACCGGAGTTCTCACCGGTGTCGAAGCCAGGTCTCTGATGAGTCTGAGGCTGTTCGTCCACGCCAGCGTGAGCCTTTCCGTCCGCGAGCTCCTCGTTGTACACATTGTCGCAACTGGTGCAGCTGATGACTGTGTCTTCACCCTTCGCACTGGGGAAGTGGAACTCGTGGCTCAGGCTCCCGCCCATATTACCCGAGTCCGCAGCAGCGACCAGGTAGGGGATTTTGAGCTCGTCGAAAAGCCGTGTGTAGGCGCCTTTGACAGCCACGTAAGTCTGGAGAGCGGTCTCGGGACTGTAGTCGAACGTGTACATGTCTTTCATGATGAATTCTCGACCGCGAAGAAGACCCTGCCGGGGTCTCTGCTCATCTCTGTATTTTCTCGCTATGCTACGATTAGACTTGGTCGAAAAGCGTGGGAAAACTTTACTGACAAATCTGGTACACACGCACGGGCAGATCTCGGTACGACTTGGTAAGACTCCCGACAAGAGTCGTAATCTCCTCTTCATGAGTGGGCGCGAGGATGAAGCGTGCTTCTTTGCGGTCAAGGAAACGGAAGACCTGCCGGTTGATTAGGGAGAGCTCACAGCTGAGAAGAGAGCAAGAGGCTTACATCCGACCCCTCTTTGAGGCGTCCCGATTGCTCCCAGAGCTCTTGGGATGATATCGACGAGAGTGACACCTTAGATGCACCTAATTATTATGAATTAGATGCCTCAGTAGGAACACAACAATCATGATGCCGTAGACTTACCGACTAACTGCATGTGCTTATCTATGAGTCTCTCAAGCTTATCCTGCACGCGCAACCCCAATGGCAGCATGTGAAAAATGCCCGCGTACGCCTATGCATTTGATTAGCCCAGTACTTGCCAAAATGAAAGCTGACAGTACCTGTCGCAAGAAGCCACCCCTCACTAGGAGGTCGTTTGTGTCCTCTGTGTAGCGTCAGTTGCATAGAACGTGATCGATGATTCAATTTAGTAGCGTACCTCTTTCACCCTCAACCGGCTTCTTGGTGATACCCCCCGTCGGAATCCAAAAATTCGATATCCGAGTCCTGCCATCGGTCTGACAGTATGACTAGTTAGATCTTATACAAGCTATGGCGGAAGATACCTCATACATGAAAGGCGTTCTTGGACGTTCTATACCCGAATTGAATGACGCTAAGGTGCACTCGAGAGACTCCGGGCGCTCGGCCCACTGTAGGGCGTATGCGCGAGAACATGAAGAGCCAAAATCCCGAAGCACAGCCTCGAGGTGTTTTCCAACGGGGAAAGAGATATTCACATCTCCGCTGGCAATGCGCGGCAATCCCCAAGAAAGAAGCGCGGTTCTTATCGGCCCAGGCACTAAACCCAATGGGAATAATTGACGTGGTCCGAGCGTCGGGCACAGCCAGTAGACTAACTTACTACTCAGGCTACGGGCAGATCGGCCCGCCCATTTCTCCGGCGGCCTGGAAAGAAGCGGACCCCCCATAATTTTTTGGGCGGCAGAAAAAAAGTTGAAGGAGAGCAAGCATTTTGGCCATTCATCCCACCCTGTCAATATGGCCAAAGGCAATAAGGGCAAAGGCTCCTCCTCCTCCTCTGGAGCGAACAACATCCCTCTAGGTAAGGGTGTGGGTGGCGGTGCTGCCGCCAAAAATCCCACCCCTGCCGCTGAGTCTCTCCCCCAGTTGGAGGAGAGTGCATTCGCCGGCTTGCGACAGAAGATCGAACAGCGCTTGAAGGATCAGAACAACGCCAAGCAGAAGTCGAAGAACGGCAAGGGAAATTCGGCACCGGCTGATACCCCCAAGAAGAACCAGCCGGTTGCGTCGAAACCTCAGCCGAAGCAGGCGTCCGCCGACGATAAGAACAACAAGGGAAAGAAGCGCGATCGCAATGGTGATGTGATTGCTGGGGAGGCGACGAAGGACATTGGAAAGGGTAAGCCGAAGAGCAAGGAGGATGGTGACGATGTTCTACGGCAGGAGATTCTGGCCCTGGGGGGTACGGAAGAGGATTTGGATCTCTTGGCCGGTGTTGACTCCGAGTCCGAGGTTGAGGATGCCACCGAGAAGAAATCCAAGGGCAAGTCTGAGGATGACTTCCTGAGGAAGGAGCTGGCTAGCATGCTGGCTGCCGCAGGCCAGGTGGTTCCGGATGACCTTGAAGACGACGAAGTTGAAGAAGACGAGGAAGTCGAAGAAGACGAGGAAGAGGAAGAGGAAGAGGAAGATGAAGATGGAGAGACAGGAGGCATCGAGGTCGATGCTGAAGATGATGAGGACCTGGAAGAGGACGAAGAAGACGCCTCAGAGGATGAACCTCCCACGCCAGCCCCGAAGGAGGACAAGAAGGCCGCCAAGCAGGCCGCTTCTGAGAACATCTTCCCAAAGGAGTTCTCCAAATTGGTGAGTCAACTCATCCATGTTTCCGGTAAAACATGCTGACTAGACGACAAGTCCGTTCCTCCGAGGTCCGACTGGTTCATGATCGAACTTCCACCCATTGCGAAGAAGGAATCGAACCCTGTTGCCCGCCACCTGATCGAGCGATTTCACACTTACGCAAACTCGCTTCTCGAAAAGGAGGCTAAAGAATACGCAGACGCGCAAGCAGCTTCTGCCTCTTCATCCCACAAGTTCTACAGTACTATTATGTCCACTGGTACGCTTAGCGATAAGATCTCCGCTTTGACGCTTGCCGTACAAGAATCGCCCCTTCACAACACCAAGGCTCTGGAGAACTTGATTGCCCTCGGAAAGAAGCGCAGTCGTGCTCAGGCCGTTGAAGTTCTTCGGTCGCTCAAAGATATGTTCGCCCAGGGAACCATCTTGCCCAGCGATCGCAGACTCCGGGCCTTCGCCAACCAGCCATCGCTTGTGGCTGCCTTGCAAGGTGTGAGCAACCGCTGGGCTGAGGGAGATGCTCTTCCCAATGGTCTTCAGAACAGCCACCTGATCGTCTGGGCCTACGAACATTTCCTAAAGGATCAGTACTTCGAGGTTCTCAAGATTCTCGAAGTCTGGTGCAACGACGAGATCGATTTCTCTCGCTCTCGCGCTGTCAGCTACGTCTACGAACTGTTGAAGGAGAAGCCTGAGCAGGAGACGAATCTGTTGCGCCTGTTGGTGAACAAGCTTGGTGACACGTCTAAGAAGATTGCCTCGCGGGCCTCTTACCTACTTTTGCAACTCGAGCAGGCGCATCCTCTCATGAAGTCCACGATTATTTCAGCTGTCGAGGAGGTCCTCTTCCGGCCTGGCCAAAGCCAGCACGCCAAGTACTATGCTATCATCTCGCTCAACCAGACGGTCCTGAGTGTCAAGGAGGAGAAGGTCGCTGAGAAATTGCTCGACATCTATTTTGCCCTCTTCGTTTCGCTATTGAAGCCTGCCAAGGAAGACAAGGGCAAGGGTTACAAGGGCAAGAGGCATGGCAAATTCGGAAACAAGGGCAAGGGCAAGGGCAAGGACGACGACAAGGGTCAGGCGCAAACTGAAGAGATGCAAGACAAGTTGACATCCGCGGTCTTGACCGGTGTGAACCGAGCTTATCCCTTTACAAGCTCGGACAGTGAACGGTTTGTCCTATATTCTCCGTGCATTATGACCAAGCTAACGCATAGATCAGCCTGACGAAGCACCTCGGCACTCTTTTCCGCATCACGCACTCTTCCAACTTCAACACGAGTATCCAGGCCCTCATGCTGATCCAGCAATTGACGGCATCCCACCAGGTCGGTGCGGATCGCTTCTATCGGACTCTGTACGAATCGCTGCTTGATCCACGCCTGGCAACGTCCTCCAAGCAATCCCTTTACCTCAATCTGTTGTTCAAGTCCTTGAAGAATGACTTAAACACTCGCCGTGTCAAGGCCTTTGTCAAGCGTCTCCTTCAGATCCTCGGAATGCACCAGCCCGCATTCATTTGCGGTGTCTTCTACTTGATTCGTGAGCTGGAGAAGACGTTCCCCGATCTCCGCGCCTTGTTCGACCAGCCCGAGCTGAACGAAGACGATGAGGAGGAAGTCTTCCGGGACGTTCCTGACGAGGACGATGAGCCTCAGGAACAGCCTGAAGAGACCAAACCCGAGAAGCCGTCTACTCGTTACGACCCCCGCAAAAGAGACCCCGAACACAGCAACGCCGACCGCACGTGTCTCTGGGAACTTGTACGTATAGCTTTTCGGCCATGATTCTGCAGTTACTGACTTTCGCCTTCCAGCTGCCCTACCTGTCGCACTTCCATCCCTCCGTCTCGGTCAACGCGGCTCATTTACTTGATCACCAGGTGATGAGCGGACAGCCCGACTTGACTATCCATACTCTCACCCACTTCCTCGACCGTTTCGTTTACCGCACTCCTAAGGCGGCTGCGGCCACCCGTGGAGCCTCGATCATGCAGCCTCTTGCCGGCAGCGACGCCAAGGATCGCCTTGTCGCTGCCGTCAAGACTGGCGCGCAGCTGCCGCTCAACTCGGAAGCCTTCTGGAAGAAGAAGGCAGAGGATGTGGCGGCGGAGGATGTCTTCTTCCACGAGTACTTCAACCGGATCGGCAAGGGCCAGGAGAAGGACAAGGCTCGCAAGAAGAAGGCCGACAAGGATGCGGGTGACGAGGACGAGGACGGCGAGCTCAGCGACGCCGAGTCCGAGATCTGGAAGGCCCTGGTGGACTCTCGGCCCGACCTGGAAGCTGGCGTCAGCGACGACGACGACCTGGATCTGGACGACTTGGAGTCTGCCTACGACCAGAGCGACGATGAAGAAGCCGGCGGCGACGATGAAGTGGAGATCAACCTCGACTCTGACGACGAGATGGAGGACATCGACGAGGTCCCTGCCCCGGCGAAGAAGACGAAGAAGGCCAAGGCAGAGGAGGAGCCCTCGGACGACGAGGATGCGTTCGACATGGACGTCTCGGACGAGGAGGCGTTCATCGACAGCGACGAAGAGCTGCCGTCGGACGTGGAGCTCGACGCTCACCTGCCGAGTGCGTCCAAGGACGAGAAGGAGAAGGAGAAGGACAGTGGACGCAAGAAGCGGCGCAAGCTCAAGCACCTGCCTACCTTCGCGTCGATGGAGGATTATGCGGCCCTGCTGGCCGGGGAAGACGAGGGTATGTGAAACCCAGGTTCTTGTTGTATTTAGTCAATCGCATCCTGCAGATACCACAAAAGCTCTATGTAGTATTTCTTTTTTACTTTACTTTCATAACTTTCACATGGCGCATCTCATCAGTCCGACGTAAACATTCATATAAACTTCATATGAACAGTGACAGTAGAGACGGACGGTCTAGAATTGCAGAGCCGTTGGCAGTTCCAGCCACTAGTGTGGGATTGTGGCGCTGCGCTTCACCCACTCGATCGGGGCGGATGACATCATAGCGGTCAGCCACAACTTGGCCAGTTTTTCTTCCCAGCCAAAATCGATCTGCTCGATTCGGACATCCCCGACACCCGGGCGAGTAACCTGGTTGTTTTGGAGGTGTGTGTGTGCATGGAGAAACATGGTAAGGTCCGACATCTCACACGTGGAAAGGCGATGTGAACAAACAACAACCTTGGAAGCACGCCATCAACTAGCGCATAGCGTGCTAGAGGTTAATTCGAGGTCCAACTTCCGTTTGCCCCTCTTCCTACTTTTCGATTTTTTTTTCTTTGATGCAGCCCTGGTCAGCAGAGATTTCTGATAGGCTCCACTATGGACTGGGATTTAAATCCTTTAAAAAGTATTAGAGCAATGATCGCATGATGCGCTTTGCACAGTCGATGTTGGTATCATTGGAATGCTGTTTTAGCGGAAGAAGTATTGCGATTGAGATTCAAGCATAAACTATTATCTCTGCAGGAGCAAGTCCAGTGGAATGTCAACAGGCCGAATGCGGGGCGGGAGGTTAGACTAAGAAGGAAATGCATGCTGATCGGGTCCATCCGCCCCAGAGAGCGTCCGATAACTGGTGTGGAGCGGGGAATTGCCGAGTGCGGCGGGCGGGGAGGAAACTGTACCGAGTACTTCTAGCACTATGGAGAAGACAAACGGTTGCTGAAAGTTCTTGTTACTCGATATCTTCATGCCAATGGCAGCGAATATTATTACTATAGCAATACTCAACAGTTCCAAACCTTACTATGGAGCCCAATTGTCAATGCTCAGCCATACATACTGCAGTCTGCTGTTGTTGTTCCGCGGGATGGGCCTGCTACGTCATCTCATGAAAGCAGAACTTCCGAGTCCGTCGCTGCAAAATCCGAACAGGGAACAACCTTAGTTGGGATCGGAGATTGCAACCAGTCTTTCTTTCATCTTATTGCTCATTGATTGACTGCTTGGGAACTTTCTGCCTGTTCCTTCGGGGCTAGCCTAGCCTCGACCCGGGGCGATCGGCGCACCCTCTTGTCTGTCTTTCTGTCTGTCTGTCTCTCCGTCCGTTTGTCTGTCACTGGGTGGAAAGATTTCAGCTGCCCAGCTCTTGCATCTTTCCTGCGCAATCTCTACTTCCCTCACTCTGACAACTTACTTCTGGTTTTCAGTACTTCATAAGAGTGCTGTTTCCATTGCTTGTCAGTCACTGACTGAGTCAGTCAGTCATTCTCCTCAGTCTAAGGTAAGTTTCCTCACACTCTATCCATGTGCTGATGCCGCGACTAAGACTCTCTCTTCCCACAAAACCAGACTCTTTTCTTCCCTCCAAGCGCAGTACATGCCTCCGAAGGTTTCCCTCCTATTTTCAGCTTCCATCCTCGCTCGCTCCCTACACCAGCGGCTTGTCCGCTCCATAAAATGGCGGAGTCCACCGTCCCCGAGCCCACGGGCCGCTCCTCTGTCCCCGAGCACAGTCTGACCGACAAGACGAAACATGCGGACCTGGAGAGCCAGAAATTACAGCCCGGGTCGAGCTCGGACTCTGAAGGGGAAGTGGGCAGACAAATTCAGATGGAGGCAGAGAACTCGATCAAGTATCGCACATGTAGTTGGCAAAAGGTGCGTGGCCGCGAAGCTATCACTGGGAAGTGAGTATCCGTGCTAATATGAGCCCTGGTCTCTAGACGGCGGCGCTGCTCTTCTCCGAGTACATCTGTCTGGCTATCATGTCGTTTCCCTGGTCCTACTCCGTTCTGGGGTTAGTACCTGGGTTGATCCTGACAGTGTTTATTGCCATGACTGTGCTGTATACTTCATTGATCATCTGGTACGTCACATAGTTTCACGCGCGCCGCAGGATATAGCTCACATATTCAGGCGTTTCTGTTTGCGACATCCTCACGTACGCGATGTGTGCGACATTGGACAGATGATTTTCTGGGATTCGAAGGTGGTCTGGTACTTGACGGCTGTCATGTTCCTGCTGAACAACACCTTCATTCAGGTAGAGACAATGTCGCACATCAGACCTTGCAAGCTCTGAAACTAATCGTCCTTAGGGCCTCCATTGTCTCGTTGGCGCAGAATATCTCAATACGATCACTGGACATGGAGCCTGTACAATCGTCTTCTCCGTTGTGACAGCGGTCATCTCATTCGTTTGTTCCCTCCCGCGGACCTTCGACGCGCTCTCCAAGGTGGCCACCCTCTCCGCGTTCACCACTTTTATCTCCGTCATGCTCGCCCTTATCTTCTCCGCCATCGAAGACCACCCGGCTGGCTACACTCCGGCCAAGGGCGACCCCATCGTGACCGCTGTACCTGTGGCCGGTACAACCTTCGTCTCGGGCGTCAGCGCATTCCTCAACATCAGCTACACCTTCATCGGCCAGATCACGCTTCCGAGCTTCATCGCTGAGATGCGCGAGCCCAAGGACTTCTGGAAGTCCGTCACCGCCGTCACCATCGCCGAGATCATCGTTTTCTCCCTCGTCGGCGCCATCGTGTACGCCTACACCGGTAACCAATACATCACCTCGCCCGCGTTCGGCTCCCTCGGCAACGAGACTTACAAGAAGGTCTCCTTCTCCTTCATGATCCCCACACTCGTGTTTCTGGGCGTCTTGTACGCCTCCGTCTCCGCCCGCTTCCTCTTCTTCCGCCTCTTCGACGGCACCCGCCACAAGGGCAACCACACCGTCGTCGGCTGGGCCGCCTGGGCCGGGATTCTGTGTTGTCTGTGGATCGCCGCCTTCATTATCGCAGAGGTCATCCCCTTCTTCTCCGATCTGGAGTCCATCATGAGCGCCCTGTTCGATTCGTTCTTCGGGTTCATCTTCTGGGGTACGGCGTACCTGCGCATGCGCCGCGAGGAATACGGGCCGGGATTCTATATGAATCGTGGGTGGAAGGGCTGGTTGGGTTTTATTGTGAACGTCGGGTTAATTCTCGCGGGGTTGTTCTTCTTGGGACCGGGTACTTATGTAGGTTCATATCCTCCTGCCTCCCCCTCTTTTTTTCTCGTCCCTCCTTTGCCCCGTCCTTGGAAGCGCGCAGTTCATCACCCATCACGCCTATTCTCCGCAGAAGAAAAACTAACACTCGAACAGGCCTCCATCGAAAGTGTGATCATCAGCTACCGAGAAGGAACAGTCGGGAGTCCATTCTCATGTGCGGACACAGGCTTGTAAAAATATAGCAGAAAGCGGATGCAAAGATGCAGAGATGCCGAAATGCTGAAGCCAACCCAACATGAACCTTTTTTTTGTGAAGCTACTTCCACCCTTGAGTGGGTTACGACCTGATTCACCAGCCGCCCGCCCCCCCTCCCCCATGTATACAAAAGCTGTTTGGTGGGACTTTTCTTTCGCTTCAAATGGGTAATGCTGAAATGATGTCCATCCTCTCCCTTATTTTCTCCCCTTTCTGTGTGTGTCTTATTTTCTGGGGCGGCGAGCGAGGGGCATGAAGACAGAATGACGAACTATATTCTTTTTTTAATGTTTGCATGGGGAGTTATGGGTATCACCCTTGGATCTTACATTTCATGTTCCCTGAAAACGGGGCTGAGAGACGGTCTTCCGACAAAATATATGTGTATTATCGAACCCTTCTCTAGGGGCTTATTTCCCAGTGTATGCTGTGCGCATTGCAATGTAATGCGGTGCATTGTCCAATGATGAGACCAAAAAAACGTCATCATCTTCGTGAGAAGATAAGAGAAACCGAACGCTTCTGTCACCTCAAACTTCCAACTAGATGCAGACTTCTACCAACTTGTTCATTTTCGTATTGGCCCTCCTCCCAACCCGGACCAATCTTGACGATGTCACCTGCCGACAGCCGCGCCGGAGCTGATCAGGGCCCCGCGTGAGGGTTAGAACCAAGGTAGTTTTGGTCAGGTTCTGGATGCCGGGCCACGTCGACTCCATAATGGTGCGCCGGTTCGGGCGATCACCAGATCCACGCGCCGCCATGGGGTAAGCCGCTGCCCTTGCAGGTATCCGTGGTCTGCGGGACCTGTTATCAATGGTACGAATAGCTCGTGGTGGAGAGGTTCGTGATCTCCCGCTCGGACGGTTAGGGCTAGTATACTTCGGCGGTCCCGCTGGAGGCGGGCGCTACACCTGTGCCCTACATAGAAAGAGGGCGAATAAATGCAGCAAGGGAGTTTCCACGCATGACTCGGAATGAATGAATGGGCTTGGGGGGCATCGAGGTTGGATGGAGAGAGAGCATAGTAGGACGCTATCACAAACGAAGGAAGGAGGCATGCAGTCAATCGCACGTCTTAGAAGGGCCATTTTGCCATTCGCCCGTACATAGTATAGTGTCTTCCGCTTATCGGCATGTTGTAGATCCAAGATTACTTTTCGAGTGCGAGTCAGCAGTTTTGAAGCCATGTGAGTCTAAACCCTCATACCACAGCTTCACGGTATAAGAACCATGACCACTAAATAGTTAGCGTGTAGGCTACCATTACTACCAGTGGCTTAAGTAAACGACACACTATACCTGCATCCGGCTCTAGCTTCTCACGCCGTCTTGGAGTCTCCGTTCTTTCTTCTCTTCTGCATTGACACATGTACAAGGCAAATGGGGTCGACTTCACACTTTCGGGTATCCTGGAGCTGGTATCTCATACTCCTATGATGAGTGGAAACTAGGCAGAACTGGGAAGCCGATTGTTGATATAAGGAAACCTTCTAGAGTGGTGTTTGAGGACCCCCCTCCACCACCCCAGGATCACCAGTATTGATCCGCCTGTTTGCAGAGCCAGTTTCGTAAGCAGGGCTTGTAAGTGATTGTGTGTGTTAGTAGTGTTGAGCTGAAGGCAGAGAACCCAGACTTCTCTGGAGATGCCGACTACCATATTGATGAGCGCCTAAATGAACATGTGGTCGCCGCAGCGCGATACTACTATAACGTCGAGCATATTACCGATACGCGCATCTACTTCCAGCAAGAGGTCGATCTACACGCGTTCGAGATCACCCTGGACCCCATGCGACGTAAAACATCTTTGGTCTGTCGCGGACGGACGAAGACTCAGCGACTTACCGTGACGCCCCTCTGATGCTACAGACTCTGGGATCAGTAACTGTCACCCATCAGGAATACTTCCTAACCTAGCCCAATACCCTGCGATACCAGACACTGCCCTCCTTACTTTCAGACCCTAATCTCCCGGGTCACCAGCGATTTATCACCATCTGGCTGGTCGACCCGCACTACCGCATTTGCTCCTCCCGCAACGTGCCACCACAACAGCATACCTGGTGAAGAGAGAACGCAGTGTTCGACCAATTCGGCACCCAGTTCGGCTTGCCACAGGAGCTATGAGACCTCGTCATGCGCGAAACAGGCGATTGGCCGATGGGGTTGGACGAGGCGGCGAGGCTCAAAGAGCAGTCGTCTGTCGAGCGTGAACGTGCAATCAGCGCGCAATTCCAGGGGATACGTCCCATGACTTCTGGTTCCCGATCCAGCTCGGGGAGCAAGGTTGAATTCAATTCTCACACGTCTCTACCATCCGCTGTCTTCGAAACATTTCGGACGCCTTGCCAAGGGGCGCAACAACCTCTGCCCAATACTGGTCTCTCGCCCGCAGATAGTCCGCTCGTCGGAACTGCTCCTGTGATGGAGACATCCCGGGAGTGACTTTCCAGCCATACTGCAGATAGATTTGCTTAAGATATCGGGTCGCTTTCCACTCCCCATAGTCGATGTACCAATTCAACCGGTCCCAGGGCCCCCAGTCCTCGGGCGGATGCCCAGCCATGAACAGCTCCCACGCACAATCCAACTCCATCGGGGTGATCAGATAGTGCAGACTCCTGTATTTCTCGATATAGGGCGCCAGAACCTTGGAGGGCAGATCGGCCGGTACTACCAGGGGGTCATCCTCATTCTCAAAATCCCAGTCGCGCATAAGTCCTGGGGTAAGGTAGATCAGGACCATGAAAATCACAGAAAGAAGAGGTAGAAAACAAAAAATTAAAAAGAAATGAAATGATACAGTTTAGCGGGGAAAGAGAAGAGGAAGAAGACACACCAGTCCCCACATCATAGAGCCAAGTCCTCCCCCCACCCGAGGCTTGCGTCAAGGCCACCGTGTTCTCGGGCAATTCGATCTCCGGGGAACAGGTCGATCGCCACGCCTCGAAGCTCCCTTGGTCGGAATGCTTCTCACTTCGATAGTTGACCAAGAAGGTATTGGGGCAGATCTGGAAATCCAGCACCCCCACATCGAGATATGGGATCTGGTGCATCACATCAACCACGGCCGGAGTGAATCCGGCGGCCAGAGCCGCAGAGCTGTTTATAGCGCCCTCGGGATGTCGACTTCCTATGCTGCTGCCGTCTGGTCGGAGAATCTTGGCCTCTTCATAGGCCCCGAGTTGATATAGTAGGGTATAGAGCTTGTTCAGACTGCGAATGAGATCGGCGTGGTGGGGTTGCATGGCGGTGCTGGGGTTGGAATGAGGTGAAAATGAGGTGTTGAGAGAGGAGTGGCGGGCGAAGAGGGAGGACTGCTCTTGAGAAATAACTAAGTTCTCCGCAGTATGTATCCTTTGTTGTCGTTCAACCAGCAGGCTGGATTATGCTTTGTGGGCGGTGTATCTTCAGAAATACAGTAAGCCTCTTTAGGTTATGTATCAGGGTTATCTGATCATGGTAGATGGTTTCAAAATGTAGGAGTTTCAGGTGAAACAATGGATATTTACACTGCCTCAGTTGCGGAGAGAGATAGCCTGCTTGCTTACGTGGCCGGGTTGCTAACCAGATATGTCACCCAATCAGTCCACGGTTCGTTCTTAGAGGTTACTTTTAGTACTTGTAGCTTCTGCATATTCCAGGAGTTTTTAACGGCTCATACTCGTTCTACTGACCATGATGTCAAAATCAAATCGAATATTCGTTCTCCGAACTCAGCACCCAAGCTTGTCATGCCACGAAAGTCCCACCGCAAATCGCGGAATGGCTGTAGGACTTGTAAAAGCAGGCACGTCAAGGTATTGCATATCCTACAACAGAAAAGTCTCGGAGAGAACGCTAATTGCATCTCAGTGCGATGAGATGAAGCCTGAGTGCTCAAACTGCCTCAACCATTCAGTCCAGTGCGTGTATGGCCCATCCCCGAAGGACGCCCAACCAGCCGTGGCGAACACTCGAAAACCCTCAAGAGCAAGAGCAGAGCTTCCAGGAATAAACACCTTCAAGGTACAGTTTGTTGAGTTCAATTATGTGAACGTCTCTGCTGCTCCAGCTGCCCCTGCTGCCCCTGCTGCAAGTCCGGCTGAAGAAGATCGTGAACCTGTGTCCACAGATCCAGCTTTCTGCCTCGAAGATTTCGAGCTCCAGCACTTTTTCCTCACTTCAACATGCTTGAGCCTAATGGAAGACGCCCCAAGCCTCACCTTTTGGCAGTCCGTGGTGCCGCGCACGGCATGCAGGTTTCCGATTGTTCATCACTTGATGCTCGCGCTCGCCTGTCTGCATATGGCCCGGAGCCCGAGCCCGAGCCCGGAGCCGGAGCATCACCACAATCGCAATCGCTGTCCCTTGCGCTTTGACTACCACTACGGAACTGGTCTGCAGCTGCTGTCGAATGGACTGGCTCAACCCCAAGCCCTCGCGAATGCGACTCATGGCGCCGACGCGATCTGGATCGGATCCATTCTCGTGTGTTTCATCGGCCTGGCCCGCGGGCCCCGAGCCGACGAGTATCTGTTTTTCAACCGCGGCGGGGCCGCCGCCCCCGTCGAGTGGCTGACGCTGCTGCGCGGGGTCAACACCATCTCCACCATGTTGCGCAAGGGGCGTGCTGCTGCTGGCTCCGCCGAAGAAGAGCGGCACCAAGATCTTTCAGAAAATCAAAGACATCCAATCCAGAATTCCGCTGCTGCTGGGACCCACTGCACCGGGTATCAAGAGGCCCTTACCCGGGTGCGCGAGTTCACTGAAGAGCGGGCAGCCGCGGATCCCCTGTTGCCCATATATCGAATGGCCATTGAGCATACTCTCAGGGCGTTTCAAATGGCCTTTCCCGGTCGAATTGAAGATCGTCCAGGCTGTGCACTACCGGCAGCAACTGCAATGGCAACGAGACCGGAGCCATTTGGGTTCGTCCTGTTTACGTGGGTGACGCAGATGGAGGAGTTGTTCTGGGATGCGTTGCAGGAGAAACGGCCCGTGGCGTTGGTGATCCTGGCGCATTTTGTGGTGCTTATGTATCGGCTGGATAAGACGTGGGTCTCGCATGGGTGGCCGGAGCATATCTTACGGGGGATATGGACTTTCCTGGGGAAGGAGGATCGGGTGTTGGTGAGATGGCCTATTGATGAGATTCGGATTTTGGATTTGTGAATATAATTTTTATGGATGCGTGATACTTTATTAATTCATAAATATTTTCGTGAAGCCCACACTGCTAAGGAAGGAAGTAGAAAGGAAGTTCTGTATATTTGCTTTTCTTGTGAATAGGACGGTGTATATGATCATATACATGGAAAGAAATTCAGAGAGATGTTGTTGCCTCTCCTCAGTACGGTGTTCGCTAACGTTACCAGCAACTCTGCTAACTCACACTGCGCGCGGGATTGTTTGTACTGTACTGCAGGGTAAAACAACAAAAGACCGTGACAAATGATGTGACATCTAGGCAAATATGATCAGCTTCTCGATCGTGAAAAGCGGGCCCAGAGGAAAAGAGCTGAGACTTGTTGCTGTGATGTATAGGTTATTCTACCTGCGGAGACCGCGCGGCGTTGATAGGCTTCGAGATCCACAAGGGCTCCAGTGGACCTCGCAAACACGTTGGCCGTAACCGCTTTGGTCCAAAATGGAACACGAGTACGGAACATCGCTACTTGCCCTCCTTAGTTCTACGATACTTGGTCTGGAGATGCATGGCAACAATGTTCATAGGCAGCGACTTACCCAACAGAGCCCGTGTGCAGACCCGACTCGAACAGCATCAATCATGGATGAACGATTGTCCCACATCCCCTTAAATACTTCTTGTCCTCACCTCAATCTTGGACTTATTCTATCACCCCTGTCAATTAGAATCGCTTGATCAGTCCTGAAAAACCGGATCATGGAAGGCTATAGTCAAGACACATGCCACGCATATGTGGCTGGGGTTGAAACGTCCTACGGCTATGTACCCTCACTCACGGCCGCATCATGGTTTGTGGCCTTCTTCGGCCTCTCGATGCTGATCCATACAGCACAAGTGATTTACTATCGCGCATGGGGGTGCGCTGTCTTCTCAATCGGCTGTTTAGGTATGGACAGTACACCTTGCCCAAAAAAGCCCGCTACCACTTCCTCATCTTTGGCGAAACTCACACATATACGTACCAGTTGAGCTACTAGGATGGGCAGCACGAATCTGGTCCGCGAAATGTCCTTACGCCCAAACACCCTATATGATACAAATCACCACCCTGATCATTGGTAAATACCACACCCTCTCGTACCCCCTTGGTCGTGGTGGGCGTATTTGCCCTTTGCCTTCCGAATCAGACGCTAACTGGATCATTCTACTGGCAGCCCCTACCTTCTTCACCGCGGGAATCTATGTCATCCTCGCCCGACTCGTTTCAATATTCGGACGCAGCTCCTCCCTGATGCCGCCAGAACTCTACGTCTGGATCTTCTGTATCTGTGATGTGATTGCCTTGGGAGTCCAAGGTGCCGGTGGCGGAATGGCCTCGTCTGGCGGAGCGGGCGGTACGACCACCGCAACCACCACAGGCTCATCATCTTCCACTTCTACATCGACAGGATCCGTAACCTCTGCACACGCAAGAGGCCTCCTTGCGCGCGCAGCCGAGAGCTCCAGCAGCAGCGGCAGCAGCAGCCAAACGACAGGCACCCACATCATGGTCGGGGGCATCATCTTCCAGCTCGTGTGCATCACCCTGTTCGTGGGCCTGGCCACCGACTTCGTGCTTCGCCTGTCCAAGCAGCAACCGAAACCGCATGCCACCATCCGTTCGAACACCCCCTTGCTCTTCCTCGGAGGCGCGACCGTCTTCTCCCTGCTGCTGATCTATATCCGGAGTGTGTACCGGACGATCGAGCTGCTGCACGGCTGGACCAGCGCGACGATGCGGAATGAGAAGTTGCTGATTGGCCTGGATGGCGCGATGATGGTCCCCGCGGTGTGGGTGTACAATCTCCTGCATCCGGCGTATCTGCTGCCGAAGATCCGGCAGAATGCAGACTGCGTGGATGCTGCGCAGGGATTCCAGATGGAGGGGCGTATGGTGAGTGCTGATGGAGTTCCTGCCCAGGAGGTCGTGGTGGGCGGGAAAGATGACTGTGTGACGTTGCTGAAGCGGACTTGACGGGCTGGGTATCTGGGGTCTCTTGCACTGTGGGGCAGTGGTCGAGTTTGCTTAGATTGAAGCCCGGTTAATGGGGGAAAGAGAGAAAGATACAGAGAATAGAACTCTTGGGAATGCTTCCGAGACGGGAACGGAGCTTTTGGAAATAGGGCAAGCATTAGATCTGAAACATCAATTAGCACAAATAACGACGAGACTCGTGGAAAGCACGGGATCCTACTTTTATCTTCAATATGGCAATGTTATTGATATTTGGCTTATTCTCGCTGGAATAGCCCTTAGGCTTAGTCGGACTCGAAATCAATCGTAGGTTGGGTTGTGCTGAGTATCGAAAGGCTCTTGTCCCTACTACACCAAGAGCCTATCACTACTGTCTATTTCGCCATTTCGTCCGACTTTCAATATAGTGTGATATGATATGACTGAGTTGGGTATTGCTCCAGCTATCCCGCATGAAGATCACCCCGCCGAATCAACTCCCCTTTCAACTCCTCCGAATGACCGCTAGCATTCCCAATCCGCTACATCATGCCCTCCAGGTCGTCCATCGAGATGGACTCCTCCCGTGTAGTTCACCCAAGCTCGGAGGGAAGCCGCTCGTTCTCTTTATTTCTATCATAATTAACTCTGGTTCTTTCTGTCTGTCGAGTGAGCGCGTCAAAGAGCAAAACCGAGCCCAATGCTACTTGGGCAGCTCGCATGATGTTGTTCAATTTGCGGGTTCGCACCCGACCTAACGTAGACAATGTCCCGTGGCCTACCACATTTTAGGGCACGTTGTGCGGACTGGTATTTGTGAGGTGAGCCTTATCTAGCCGCTTGTGCCACCGCCTCTGTGGAAAGAAGGTACCCAAGCGGGCGGAATGAAAAGCAGTGCCAAATGAGAGATGAAGTGGAAAAGAAAAGCAGCTTGATTTTCGCAGCAATGCTGTTCATTAGTGTTGCAGTTCTAGTAGTACAAATCCTCATGTCAAAGGTGGACAAGTCACACGTGTTGAGCAAGGATACTGTCACTTACAACCGATCTACACACCACCACCCTGACCTTCCAAACACTAGAGACCTACAGTCGGTACACCTCACCTATCTACCGTACACGTTTGCCACACACAGAGCGAAAGAGACATAAAGAGAGAGCAAGAGTCTCTACTCATACCTAAAGTTCAAAGTTGCATCCCCTTCCGTCCCCAGCGAAGGCGGCAGATCCCCAACTCCCTGGCCCCAAGAACTCTCATTCCTTCCCAACCAGAGAACCAACTCCCTTCCCTCGGTGAAGAAATCGTGCCCCACATAGCTCTTAGTGTACGGTTGTCCATCCAATGTTGCCGACTGGATGTATACCGCCTGGTAGCTCGGATCGAAGCCCACCGTGCGCACGCGGGCCGTCTTGCCCGTGAGCGGGGAGGTGATGTTGACGCTCTCAAAGAACGGGGCCGTGATCAGATACACGTTCTGGCCGGGGTTGGGGAACAGGCCCATCATCGTCATAGCCACGAACGAGCCCATGGCGCCCGAGTCGTCGTTGCCTGGCAGGCCCGTCGGCGTCGGGTTGAAGAAGGCCGGAATGTAGGTGTGGGCGCGCGCGGTGGACTTGCCCGGTCGGCCGGCGTAGTGGTACTGGAAGACGGTCAGGAAGGCGGGCTCGTTGCCGATGTAGGTGATGCCGCGGTCGTGGAGGTAGTCGAGGCGGTGGGTGAAGGCGTCGGGGCCGCCGAGGAGGGTGATGAGGGTGGACATGTCGTGGGGGACGAAGCTGCGTCGTGTTTCGTCTTAGTATTGATTCGTAGAAGAAGCACTAAAAAGCGAGAGCGCAACTCACAATTGATATTCCCAGATGCTGGATTCAAAGGTCTCGGCGGCGTTGTTCTGCAGGGAGCAGGATCGGCCGCTTGTGTCAATGTTGGAACATGTTAGGGGGTCCTAAGCCAGGTATTAGTCTGCCATATCAAGAAGCTATCGGTGATTGTGTCATGGTAGCGTGTCGTAGGTATACGAACCTGGTATCCCCATGTGCCGTTCAAGTATTTCGGCTGGAAGAAGCCCTTGAATCCAGTATCCGTGCCGTTGAGAAATGAGGTCTGATCTGCACGAAAGAGATTCTGCCAATATTTTGCAGTCCTTTCGTACTTTTCCGCATCGCTCGTCTTACCCATCCCTCGAGCCATTTGTGCGATAGTGAAGTCATTGTAGGCATATTCTAGCGTGCGGGATATACTTCGTGTCAGGGTTCCGAAGCCAATGTAGTCAAAGTCCTCCACGGGAATGTAGTTCAGTGCCTTCCAGCTCTGCAACCCTCCCCGGCCTTCGTTGGACCAGTCAAACGGCTCCTCTTCCGCATCTTTCTGCACCGCTGCATACCCAGCTTCCCAGTCAATCCCGTTGCTAATGTTCTTGACGTATGCGTCTGCAAGCACAACATCTGCGTTGGAGCCTCCCTGCGTATAGCCTACACCTCTGTCAGCATTAACTGCGCCTCAATACGTCAGTGCTTACCTTTGCAGAGTGACATGCGACAGTCAGGTAGCCATCCAAGATGTCGTTGCGTATCAATCAGGGAACGAACCATCCGACTCAACGATGCAGGGTCAAAGATTGTCAGAAATGGAAGCTGAGATCGGAAGGAATCCCAAAGGCTGCCCACGTTAGAAGAGACAAGATTACTGCAGCGACTGGCTTACCAGTAGAAAGAGTCAAAGTATGGCTCCTCACTTTCCCACAACGGATTCTCTCCGGTGTAATCTTGAGGGTTTACCATAGTTCTGTAGATCCCACTGTAGAAATTGGTCAAGGTAGATGCATTCACCCCGGTTCTGGATACTCTAATTGGTGCCATCTTCTCTGTCCACTTATTGACTGCTGCCGCACGGGTCTTATCGAAATCGAAATCGGGTAATTCAGTCTCTGCATTCTGACAAGCCTGCTCGCTACTGATAAAACTTATGCCCACGCGGGCTTGAACCGTGATCTCAGATGCTGCCTTGAAGCGTACAAAAGCACCGCCCTAAAACTGTCAGTTCAATATCCAACAGTAGCTGAAACGACATACCGGAAGAGGGTAGCCATTTATGCTGCGCGAGATTGTGAGGTTCTTGACAACACTACTAGCCCGCGCATCTACAAAGATACCAGTGTCTCGAATGTCGGCCGCGCTCTGGTAATCAGCACAGAAGTATGGCACATAAGAGCCACTTCCGAAGCTTGGCAAGAATCGTGCGTGGCCAGTCATGCGTCCTGTCGTGGCATCAACGGAAACAGTCCCATTGTCCTGGCGCGTGTCGGACAAGTCGGAAAGATCTAACAAGATGAGAGGACTCGATGATACATTGGCAGGAAACCGGAACCGGAACAGAGACACATGATGAGTTGTAGTCATATCCACCTGAATCCCAGAGCTCATTGTCAACCCAAAATATCCCGGACTTGATTTGACGGAAGAGGGGTCATAAGCCGTCTTTCGCTCCTTCTTTGGGTAGACGCAGCCATTCACGTCGTCATTCTGGCACGTCGTATAAGGGAACAGAGGGAAGTTCCCGAGAGAGGGTTGGCCGCCGGTGCCTGAGTCGTGAAAACTGGAGAAGCCGGTGATACGACTCCCGTCGAACGCAAAGCCCCCTTGATTGTTTTGCGAATCTGTATCGGCTACGGCTTTGGCCATACCATAGGGGATTGTCGCGCCTGCGAAGACATTTCCTAATTGACACTGTCAGAACGACGCTCACAGGATAGAGTATTTGGGAAGAGTTTGCGGGACATACCTCCATTGGCACTCCCGATGAGAGGATTGATGTATTGCAGGACATCGTAGTCATCAACTGCTGCCGAGGCAGGGTCAGACGAGCCCAGAACAACAGGTAGGATCAAGAGGAGCGAGATCGAACTCCAAACGGCCATCTTGAGTGCCATAGGAAGAATGAATCGAGGGATAAGGCGCGCGTGTGGGCGAACTGAAAGCCGAGACGAACAATTGTTCTGGCATGCAGGCGCGAACTGTCAAGGGGCGCGCTGATTGCCCCTGCCACAAAATGAGCTGCGCGAACATCTTGCCGGCCTAGCATAATGCCCCTGACAGCCTTGACAGGGAATGCAATGTAACCATTGTAGCTCCATTGGTCTGATGAGATTCAATGAGATTATGCAGAGCGAAGTCGCTAGTCACACTTCACGCAGAGAAGCGCTAATCAGCTTGCAGGGGGGGTACTCCAGTTCAAGGTGTTTTTTAAATTTTGCCCGGCCCATAAGAGATCCAAGGAGTGTCGTACAATCTGTCAAAGGCATTGAGAGGGACTCATTGACGGTAGAATAATAGTAGTGGTTGTCGGGGGTGGGACGAAGGGAGGGAGAGGCTCATTGTGTACTCCGTACTTCACAGTAGGAGAGAATTGACATGTGGGTTGTACAGTACATACAGTACTGTACTACAGACAAGCCACGGTCCAGTGACTTTGTGACTGCAAAACAGCTAAACATTTCCTCTTACAATTACTCTGGCTACTTTAACTCCTCCCATGACTCTCGTTATTCCCAACTACCATTCCCCCATCATTTCTGGCCTAGAAATTCAAACAAAATTCCCGAATGACGATGATGAAATTATACCACGATGCTTTGACCTCCGAGAGCGATGAGCCTCGGCTCCTGCTGCTGCGCCGCACCAATCAGCAGGGCGGGCGGGCGGAGCTTCTGGAGGGGATTTGGCAGCGGGTCTCTCTTTCTCATCCAGTTCCAGTTCCAGTTCCACTGTCGCGCCGACTCTCGATGGATCCGCAACCCTCACCGCGATAGTCTTCAGCAATCTGGTTCGGTCCGAGGGATCCATTGCGGCTTTCTTTCCCAGGCCATCCGCTTCCCCTTTTTCTTTTGCCCCTGCCCGCGCTGCTTTTTCGCAGAGTCTCGCCGCCATGCCGCAGGTCCCAACAGTTCGCCTGGGATCCACTGCGATCCTCAGCAGTGTCCAACAGCCTCTTCGCTCTTTATCTTCTTCTCGTCTGCCTGCCGCAGCTTCAAACCCCACAGCTTTACTATCTTTTCGCTTCTCTCCGCCTCCGAAACCAACGTGTCGGGCATATTCTTCCACAGGTTTGTCCCGTCCATGCGATCAGCATGAAAGAATAGCCGAACTAATCTGACACATCTCTCTGCGAACCATACAGCCACTCCTCCCCCTCCTCGATCCCGTCTCCGCCGCTTTATTGGCTTCACGTCACTCGCCGTTTTTGCCTTCATCGCCGGAGGATCCTACCAGACCTTGAAGACCGCCTCGGGCATGATGGACCTCCGACTAAGCACCGACGAGGAGACTCTCTCCGCCTTCATCCCCGGCGATGAGTTCACCAAGGAAGTAGACGACTATATTCGCAATCATCCACTGGCCGTCTCGCTGCGCGAGGACCCCGCCTTCACCGAATCCCGCCCACACTTGAAGATGCCAGCACAGATGCGCGCGCGCAGTCTCACGGGCGGAACGTTGGCCGGGCCAGAGATGATCGTCGTGCCGCCGTTGGTGTTCTGCGAGGAGGGCGGGAAGAGCCTGGTCTCTTTGCTCTACCTTGGCCCCAGCCTCTGCGGGCATCCCGGAATCGTGCACGGCGGTCTCCTGGCCACCTTGCTGGACGAGGCAATGGGCCGCTGCTGCTTCCCCGCGATGCCGAACCGCGTCGGCGTCACCGCCAACCTGAATCTCGATTACCGCCTTCCCGCAATGGCGGGTAATTACGTCGCGCTGCGAGCAGAGACGGTCAAGGTGGAAGGTCGCAAGGCCTGGGTGGAGGCGCGCATCGAGACGCTGCCGGAAGATGGCAAGGAGCCGAAAGTCCTGGTAGAGGCGAAGGCGCTCTTCATTGAGCCCAAGCAGGCTGCGGTACGTTCGACTTCTCGGGAGTGCGTGCGGGACCAGTAAAAGCTAACGAAACCTCCACAGGCAATGTCCTCCCTGTACAACGTCACCGCTTAGACCATTAGACCCCCGATACATATTTCCCTTACGTGCGGTTTTTGTTGTCCCATGGAAAGCACTGGGATTCGGAGATCACCATGACTAGATCGTTCTTCAAGCGCATAGACGATATTTCCAGATTTATATAAATGTTTACCGTTTCCAGATCAATGTGTATGTATATAACCTGTTCTGCCCGGCCCCGTTGCGACTCTATTGGCATCTCGCATATTTACTACTGAACATGACCTGTCCGCTATGACAGACTTAGAGACCAGCTTAGAATACAGTGCCGTTAAGAGATGTGGGATTGGCTATCACTATACACTGCCAGCAACATTGGTACCTTCAGGGTCATGGGCCACTACCTCGATCTCCACGCGCATGTCGTCTTCGCCCAGACGGGTCACCCCAACGCAGGTCCAGAGCGATCATGATCTGGCATATACTTCTTGAAGTTGCGAACCATTGCTTCCAGGGCTTCGTTATTGATGGGCACATGGTATGAATTGACCCGGTACACCTGGGACCACCCTTTGCCTCCAGCGTCTTTGAGGCAGAGCTCTACGTTGGAGAAGGCGAGGTCAATCTGAGCATTGATCTCTTTCTCAAACTCTCCTGTCTTGGGATCCCAGCCGCCTTCGGGATTCTGGATCAGCAAGAGTGTCTCATACCTGGGACAGTAAGATTGGTAGTCTCTTTCTTACCTTGGCCAGAACATTCGATCCGGTCTCCAACACGGACGGCTTGGCTGTAGCGGAACACCTTCTGTTGGCGGACTCCATGGCCCTCGTATGCGTAGAACTTGAGGTGGGACATAATGGTGGATTGTAGATGATAAATGAATGGAGTTGATGTGAGAGAACAGAGGATTGTGTCTTGTGAGAAACTAATTTTGCAGTACCTCTTCTAGGCACTCTTTGAACAATGAGGGTTAAATATTGGCCCTAGGGGTAAGTTCGCCGCCGGGCCCGGAATATGAATTCCTATCGAGACTATCACCTCTCCCCGTTATCGATTAGCGAATGCCACTCCATGTCACTTTCCTTCCTTTCGAATTGCAGAGTCTCCACTCACCCCAGCACTGCAACTCGTTCAAAAGCCTTGGACTGATTGAGACATATTGATGAAGATGTCAACGGAAGCAAATCGCCAACAGCGCTACTCAAAGAAGCGATCGGCCACACCCCGAGCTCAGTATGCGGCACAAGCTTGTCAGGAATGTCGGCGACGGAGAGCAAAGGTATAGCTTCAGGCAAATCATGCGACATGCAGCAGGGCAGGGCGAAACCAAACTTAGCTCACTGTTCTATAGTGTGATGGTTCACAAGCCGTCGTGTGCTCGGTGTCTGAACCGCGGCATGGAGTGCGTGTTTAACACCAAAGATGACAGCCGTGGCACGGCGCCGAAATCGTTGGTGATGCAGCTTCAAGCGCGCATCCAGCAGGTCGAGCAGGTGTTATGGCTCCATTCCATCGATGTCGAGTCATCTATAGCTCAGCTCAGGGCCGGGCATCTTCCATCAATCTCCCCCTCCCGTTCCCAACAACAGTCGAGAGAAGAGGAGCCCTTTGGGGCACTGTGCGCGAATGGACCGTTCGGTTTGCACGACAGGGTTGGCGATGAGGAGGAGGTGCGCTTCTTCAGCTCCAACTACTGCTATCCACTCCTTGTATGTCTCTAACCGAGATCCATCTGAGTCGTGACTAACGAGCATGATCACGCTTCACTGCTTCTGCTGTTGCAGTGCACAGCAACTTCGAACTAGCCTCTTTACCACGCGCCTCGCTTCGCTCGGGCCTGAACCATCTCCTTCAAGACCCTGATCTAGTCCCTCCTATCGACGAGGAACTACAAGAACATCTAATTGCGCTCTATTTCCAGTGGGAACAACCGTGGCTTCAGCTTGTGGATGAGCAACTTTTTCGACAGAGCTTGTGCCAAGAGGGGCAATATTGTAGTCCATTGCTGCTCCATTGTATACTGGCTATGGGCGCTCGCTACTCGGAAAGACTGGAAGTGCGCTCCACGCCGGACGACCCGAACACTGCAGGCGAAAGTCCCTTGGAAGTTGCCGAAGTACTGCTTCGTTTTGATCTCCGGCCCCCGAGCACACCACCATCCAGTCCCTTGGCATCATGGCTATATTTTACGTTGTACGTGAGTAACAGCTCCTCGGGCTGTTATTTTGCCTAATTGACATGTTTCGAAGCTGAACTCCGTTGTTTTGTTGAGGCGATTGGGTCTGACTCTAAGGGCTGGCTTCGCCATGGCATGGCCATCCGCTTGGCGCTGGATATGGGACTGAATCTAGATTCTGCGACGCTGGAAAGGACCCATCAATTTCCCGAGGTCGAGATCAAGCTCCGCAAACAAATATACTGGTCACTTTACTGTACCGATAAGCTCTGGGCAAGCTACACCGTGCGGGTCTGCACCATGTTGGTAGGGTTGCCTACTTCTCCTCGCCATTCGACTCCTTCAAAATTGGATTACGGGACTGATTTGGTGTTAGGACTCCCAATCTTCGGTGGAATTGCCCCTGTCAGGGATTGCGTTTGACGATTCCAAGCCTACGCAGATGCTTCCAATGCTTCTCCACTCCCTGTCCGCCCACTGTCGGATCCTTGGAAAGATACTTATGAAACTTTACGCTCCGGGCAAATTACCGCCTGCTGTTCAGAGAACCACATTCTTTGGCTCATGTCTGTCTGAGCTCAAAAGCTGGAAATACCACCTGCCCGTGGCGTTGTTCGAGGCGAGGACTCCGGCGCGGAAGTTTGTCTGAATGTGAAATGGAACCAAAATCGGGTTTAATGTTGAGAGAATCATTGTACATCCATTTAATTTCTGTCGGCTCAGCCCTAGTCTTAGCAGACTTGTTTTGCAACAGCTTCTCATGGTTTCCTGGACGCTTTGTTGTATCTTCTTTGGCGGAGGCCTCGGTTACTAACTAGCATTACATCTATAGTTCATTGTCTCATGAGACTTGCAAATCGAGCCTCAAGACACCACCGTCGAGGACAGAATCACAGAGCCTCAGGAATGTATGGATATATGATTCAGATGGCTGCCTCACAAGAGCACACTGACTGCTGGACAAAGACAGCCCGCTGGAGATCGTCCACATTTCCATTCAGCCATGGCTTTGTCTTTCGGGTCATGACTCAGTATGAGGAATTGGATTTAAAGATAAAATGAGCCAAGATCTCCACGGATACCAATTTCAGCGGGTCTGCATGCTTCGCGAATTGACATACCCACCAGGTCATAATCACACTAAGCATATACCACATACACCCCCATACACCATCATGGACGGTCTCAGGAGTCTCCCGCACGAGCTGCTAGCCATGATCATCGGATACGCAGCGGACTGGGTCAGTCTCGAGAGTCTGATTCTGACCTCGCCGCTGCTGGCCGCTCTCTTCGAGCCTGGGGAGTTCCCTGATGCACTCGCCGACTCGGATGCGATCTACCTCTTTAAGGAGATCCTGCAGGCTAATCCGGTTATGAACTCCGGACTAGACCGTTACGTCTTCATGTGCGCCGCGCTCCGGCGGCCCTCTGTCACTGACAGCAGTCTGGCCGACTTTCTGGCCCGTGACTTCTCGCTCGAGACCACAAGAACGACAATGACCCGCGCCTCGCTGCGGGAGATGGTTGCTGTAGCGGCCAACATCCAGCGCCTGGCCTGCATCTGCCTGACCAGCTTTCTGACGCGGCTGCGAGACCTCTTTTCGAAATACCTTGCCAAGGCCCGGATACTCGGTGGTCTCCCGGATGTCGGGCCGTATCGGTTGCAGGACGTAGGCCCGCCCTCGTGGATTGAAGAGTTTCGCGTCTACCGTGCCCTTTGGCATCTACAACTTTTGGCTGATCTATTGAGTACGGGCACCGCGACCCCTCCTACTCCTCCTCATCCCCAGCAATCGAGCAGCTGGTCACAAAGCGATATCATGTATCTACAGAACCGTCATCTGCGGTGGAGCGGCGGGGGACAGCTGCCCTCGGGACAAGATGACGCCTGGTTTGAGATTATCGAGGTGTCGGGTTGTCTGGAGGCGCTTTACGGGCCCGACGATGCCCCGGTCACCGCGATGGCTCAGTCCGCCGACGCGAGTAGTCCACCCCAAATCGAACCCCAAAGCAGCATCAGGTACTATACCAGTTTATACAACCCGCCTCTCATCTCGAAGATGCCGGTGGCTTCCCGTGACACCGCCGTGTGGGCGCCTCCGGAGCCGCCCATGCACCTCTCGGATGATGTACGATGGTGGTGGGGCCAGGACCTTCGAGCGACCCAGGTTAATGATGCGCTAGAAGATATGCGGGAGGTTGAATGGGATTATGTGGGTCATTGGGAACGGGAGCGCCCAGCACTGGACGGGCTGGGCATGTCGGTGTGGGATCTCTGGCGATTGTTCGGCTTGGGACTCTATGACCGCTTGCACATGGAACGGAAGACCTTTACCACGCCGGATGGGGTGGAACATCCCCGAGATTTCTTGGAAACACGCTTTTGGCTCGTTGAATATCGTTATAGACGTCTTCTGAGGATGCATGGAGTGCCGGAGTGGCAGTTAGGGCGTGTTTTTTCTAGCAATATTGGGTAAAGGTTGTGATCTATTCCCCGTGCGCATTTTACTCTTCATTCCGAATGACTATTTTGCTCATCTAACTTTGCCGGCCTTTTGGTTGTATTGCGGCATTCTCTCTTGAAATGCCGCTGCTGGTCGTCCTTTCTCCAAAGCTTCAAGTTTCAATGCAGTTCTCCCCCCTCCCCTTCCCTTGGTGGGCGTAGGAGGAGAGGAGATTAGACGGTCTCAACCACCATGAAACAAATGTGCTAGGACAAAGTATGTAAATAGTGTGCATCGGCCTCATAAAAGCAATAGACAGACTATTTGCACTCTATGACCGAACTCACTTCATGTATACACAGTAGTGTTCTGTAGCTCCTATAGGAACAGCTGCATTTACCACGAACTAGGTAAATTTGACGTCACCCGTGCCACATCACTGTCGCGGTCTATTAATCTATCCCTCTATCAATCAATCATCCATTCATTCCAGCTAGCATCTACCTACTCCCCAACCCCCATCTCCAACCATTATACCTTTCGCAATCCCCTCCCGTTGTAATTATTGATTAGTCCAATACCCAGAGCAACCAAGATGCCAACCTCCACCCCCCAAACCCTCACCATCGACCCAACCCACCCAGCACCACCAACACGACACCACCACCACAACGACAACGACACCACATCCTCCATCCCCACAAGCCTCCCCGCCGCCAAAGCCACAAAGGCCCACCCCCGCAACCCCGGGGCGGAGAATGCTTCAATCTACTTTGTCGGGAACGCGACCACCATCATGTATGCTCTTCCCCTTTGCTATCGTCCTGATATGGGAAGGAAGTATGCGAGAGTAGAACCTGGCTAAGCTCTACGATAGACAATGGCATGGTATTCGGATTATGACTGATGTATGTGAGGCCTACTCTCGCTACATGACTGACTGATGAGGGCTGTGTGATTCAGTATAGCGGTGGCTAATGATTTCGGCTTGAAAAAAAGCCCAATTTCCTGCATGCAGGCGACCATGTGCATCTCGGGCCGGGGGTGACCTCGACCCGGAGGAAGGATCCGGCGGTGGATTTGGAGGATCTGCCCCGGGTGGATCTGGTGCTGCTGTCGCATTATCATGAGTATGTTTTTTTTCATTTGGTTTTCTACTTTTTACTTGATTTTACTTGGTTTTACCTGGTTTGATAGGGGGGTTGAACGCGATTCAGTGGGGTAGTCGGACGACAGGCAAGCTGTTTGAACTAGGGTTGTTGTGCCCTGTTCAATTCACAGGTAGGTGCAGTCGCTAAGGATGGCAGCGACAGGGTTGTCTAGCACATACGACCACAGGGTGTGGAAAATAGGGCTTCCCGTCCGCTCAGCCGTACTCAAGCCACACGCCGGGAGGTTAGTAGTTGGGTGGGTGACCACCAGCGAATCCCTTCTGTTGTATGTTTTTTTAGTCTGTTTGGGGGCATTTTTGGCACTCTTTTTAAAGATACTTGCTTTTCCAAGTCAGCCAGACGGTATGACACTGATACGATGTATGCAGAGACCATTTCGATCGACATGTAGAGGACTCCCTCCGCCGGGACCTCCCCATCATCACCACGCCGCACGCGCAATCGATCCTCACCTCCAAGGGTGACGACTCCTTCACCCGGGTCGCATCCGTGGATGTGTACAAGCAAGCGATGGTCGATATCCGCGGCGAGCACCCGCCGGACAAACAGCCCCGGTTGCGGGTGACTGGTATGCCCGGGAGGCATATCCCCCTGGCGAAGCCTCTGGAAAAGCTGAATGAGCTTGTCGGCGCGGTAAGTCTGCGTCATCGTCGTCATGCCTTCTCCTTCTCCTTTGTTCTCTTTGTCTGTTTTTGCTAGTTGTTTTCAACTGACTGAAACCACCAGATCCCCCCCACAAACGGCTGGATGCTTGAACTCGGCTACAGCAGCAGCACAACGACGACCGCCGACTTCACGCCGGGATACCGGATCTACATCTCCGGGGACACACTGATGTTCGACGAGCTGAAGGAGATCCCGCGGCGGTACGAGGGCCAGCCGATCGACCTGATGCTGGTGCATCTGGGCGGCACGACGGTGCCGTCGCCCGCCCTGGGCCCGTTGGCGATGATGGTGACGATGGACGCAACCCAGGGGGTCGAGCTGATGCGCTTAATCCGGCCGCAGGTGACGATCCCCATCCATTTCGACGACTATGACGTGTTCGCCAGTCCGTTGGAGGATTTCAAGGCCCAGGTGAAAGAGGCGGGGTTCGAGGGGGATGTGGTCTACTTGGACCGGGGGGATGAGTATCGGTTTCATGTGTAGAAAGGACTCTCAAGTGAGGAGAGAAAGCGAATCTCAGGGAAGTAAAAAGTACAGTACATCCAAACTACTGAGCAAGGTGGGAAGACGCATGGGCTCGTGTCATTGGCGGGTTGGGTTGCCTCCCTTGGCCAGGGTTTCGTTTGTGGAGTGGATCTTTCGAGTGCAGTTAATGGTCAAGGGCGGGCAAGGGGGTGGTCGGATAAAGTACCGTGGACTAGGACTGGGGAGTTGACAATGAAACTCTTTTTTTTTTGCCATCGAAATGGAGTAGAGAGGGACTTGTGTCTTGGCTGATGATATCGGGGGCACGCCCCCTCCAATCAACTGGGGTACGGTCCTCAGTGCAGGGGTTATGTCGAAATAATCCTCGTAACTTCGCCCTTCTGAACCAAAGTTAACGTTAACAACGGACCCAGGTTGATATTCACGAAGGGTCTGGGCGGAGAGTGGCAGATGGAAAGGAGGAGAAGGTGGAGGTGGAGAGTCATCCATGATGTAAGACTTGAAGGTTGAACGGGTGAATGAGACGGTCCAGTCAGCTGCAATGCGCAATGCAAACCAGCCAGCCCTGCAGATTCCGTTCGTCTCCAATTTTATTTTTATTTCCTGTACTGTACATCTTGCAGCGGGATTATTGCATGACCCTCGCTTCCTGCTTTCCTCCTTTGTTTGCCATCCATCCATGCAGTGGTGGTTTGAAGCATATCCTCGTATCTTATACTTCTCCTCCCTTCCTTTCAGCCTCGTTTCAAACGATCAGCGTCCCCACGCGTCATAGTGACACCAATCGCAAAAGTTCCTTTATGTGAATGTAAACTAAGAAGTGAATGATAAAGCGAGATCAGGTCGATCATTCAATCCGAGGACCACAACTTTTTATCTTCACGTCAAACTTATTTATCTCTGGAGAAGAAACCCAACGTTCGCTAAAGTGTCACCTCAACCAATTCAAATCATCTCTATCGCAAACCTCCACAACATACAAATACTTCAACGAAAGAGAAACACAATGGCCAACGCTACCTTGAAGAGGGAGCCCGCCGCCTCCGCGAACAAAGTGCCGACCTTGCACACCATCCACAACGTCAAACGCTCCGTGTCCTACTCGCCTGCGCAGAACGGCGAGCACGCCGCTGCTGCGAGAGCGGCCGAGTCGACCCGCGGATGCGATCACATGGTCAAGTCCGCGTTGACGGAGTTGCTGAACGACGACGGGGTCAAGTCGAATGCCCGTGGGAGTCGGTCGGTGCAGAACATGCTCATGCAGAACGAGAAGAAGCGCAAGTCCCAGCGGCGGCAGTCTTTGCTTGAGCAGGGGAATCATAAGTGAAGGGGTGGAGGGGGTATGCGACAGGCATGATGAGTTAAGCAATCTGGGATCGTGTTGCTGCTGCTGGCATGGCTACTTTCATTGACTGGGAGGAGACGTTGCAATCTGCCTTGTCGACGGTGCAGACATGGTACCGATCTACTGAAGCTGGGGGCGATTGTATGGAGGCTCGGTGATGGTTTGAAGATTTAAGGATGGTCAGTACACGATGGCCGATTCCAGCAAGATACCAAGTTTGGTCAGCACACGACGACCGGTGTCGACTCGGATGAACTGCAGCTCTAAAGACGCTGGAGCAGAATTGCAGAAGGATCAGAGGAAAGCTGGAGGTTTCGTTGTCTTATTTTTCAGTTCTGGGATTTCCAAAAGGGCGGGTTGCATTGCGTTATGATTCATGAGTACGATAATGATAATGAATAATGAGCTTCGGGTTTCGACTTTATACTTTTGGTAACTTCAAGTGTGTTGTAGACTGGTCAGTGGGCGGCGCATTTGGCCTACAGTATGCCAGCTCTGTTTAGTGCACACAAGTATATATCTGCTGCATGAGTTTTGCTGAATGTGTCCTATCTATTAGTAGATATAGGCCAAGCAGCTGGCAGACAAGCCAAGAAAAGCACTATTTTTCCAGCAATGTCTGTGTAACTGACAAGCCTTGGTGGTTTCTGGGTTGGTGAAACTAAACGATATTCCCCGGGTTAAGCCACTCGCGCACTCGCCGACCGCCTCCGAGTGACTGCCCGACAAGCACTCGGAGCCTCCGCTCCGCAAGCTGCAGCTCCACCTCCCCTCTTCTCTTACCTCCAGTTCAACTTCCGTCCCTCTCTTCCTCTCCTCATTTTCTTCCGATCTTATCTGCACACGACTATCGCATGCGTGGTCCCCTCGCAACTCTCGAAATCTTCCGATAGTCAGTCCGCGCAACTCCTCGTCCCGTGCTGCTGCCACCATGTCCAAGTCCACCAAGTACCTCCTCGTCTCGCTCCCCACCTCCATCACCCCCTCCCACCACCGCGACGACGCCCTCGATGCCGTCTCTGCCACCGTCGCCCCTGAGAATGGCTCCGTTGCCCCCTTCCCCATCCCAGAATTCAAGATCGGTACCCTGGATGCCTTAGTGCAGCAGGCCGATGAGCTGGCCAAGCTGGAGGCCGCCTGCCAGGGGGTCGTCGCCAAGGTCGGCGATGCGCTGAAGAATATCTTGGAGGGCGACGAAGCGCAGATTGAGAAGATGAAGACCGTGAACGATAGTATGCAACCCTGCCCCCGCTCTACCATGACACATCCTTTTCGGAGAATCTGCCGGTTAACGCAATGACGCAACCCTTCTGCCTTCGTAGAGCCGGTGGACCAATATCTACGCACATTTTCCTGGAACAAAGTCAAGTACCGGGCCGATAAGCCTCTGGCGGAATTGATCGACTTGCTACAAAAGGTGAGGGGTATTTATGTCATGTGTCTGGTACGAATGGAATAGGCAGGGGACGGCGATTGTTGACGCCCAGAGCAGGAGGCCGCTAGTATCGATAACGACATCCGCACAAAGTATACCCAGTACAACCAGGTGAAGAATACGTTGGCGACGCTTCAGCGGAAGCAGACGTGAGATCTCCCTCTTGTCACACCCCTATGTCTTGATCTAAAAGGCCGCGTGCTGACATTGGCGGTAGGGGTAACCTGTCCACTAAATCGCTCGCCTCGGTCGTCGACCCTCGCACCCTGGTCCAGGATTCGGAATACATCGAGACGCACCTCATCGCCGTGCCTGCTCAGCAGATCAAGGAGTTCCTCAAAACCTATGAGACTGTCGCGCCGATGGTGGTGCCGCGGTCGGCCACGCTCGTGGCCTCGGACAACGACTTCACGCTGTACGCCGTCACGACGTTCAAGAAGCACAGCGTCGAGTTCGTACACAAGTGCCGTGAGAGCAAGTGGATCCCGCGCGACTTCAGGTACGTCGCCGGCGGCAAGGAGGAGGAGCGGCGGGAGGTCGAGCGCGTGGGCGGCGACGAGCGCAAGCTCTGGGGGGAGACGCTCCGGCTGGGCCGGACGGCGTGGAGCGAGGCGGTCATGGTCTGGATCCACGTGCTGGTGCTGCGGGTGTTTGTGGAGACGGTGCTGCGATACGGGCTGCCATTGGACTTTGTCTGCACTTTGATCCGGGTGAGTTTTCTTTCGATAGGAATTTTTTGGACAGCCAGCGGAGTGCTAATTCAAGACAACAGACCGCGAGCTCGAAACAAGCGGACAAGGCGAAACACAACCTGGACGACAAGTACTCGTATCTGGCGGGCAATGCGTTCGGGCGCGACAAGAAGGGCCGGGTGAAGCGTGACGACCCGAGCGAGATGCACGGCGAGGGAGCCGCGGCGGCCGATTATACGGCATACGTGTATTACGACTTTGAGTTCCAGTGATTACTGCCATGGTGTTTATTCTACCTGAGCTTTCTTTTTTCTTTGTGTTGTGGATATGTATAGCGTACATAGAGTCGAATGGCATGCTTGATTGAGCCTTGCGTGTCTACTTCAACCATCTCCGGATTCGGCGAAAAAATAAATCTATTTGTATATATACAGATTCAACGCAGCCCACCTTTCTTCTGAAGCTCCATCTGCACTCTATGCAAGACAGCCAAAATTATCAACAAGAAATATTCTATATTTCAGGCACCCTATCCACCGCCCCTCTTTTGCCCCCCACCCCCTGGAACAAATAGATCTAAATCTAAGCAGACTTAGGAGGGAGGTACCCCTTGGAATCGAGATACTCGATGATCTGGCGCACAGCCTCCTGCACGGGGACCTCATGGTTCTTGATGTGCACCTCGGGCTTCACCGGCGCCTCGTAGGGGGCACTGATCCCCGTGAACTCCTTGATGACGCCCTCGCGGGCCTTCTTGTACAGACCCTTGGGGTCGCGCTGCTCGGCCACCTCCACGGGCACATCGACGTACACCTCGACGAAGGGCAGCCCGGTCTCCTCGCCGGGCGTGGGCACCTCGTGCAGCTGCCGGGCGGTATCCCGGTCCTTGCGGTAGGGGCTGATGAACGAGGTGATGGCGATCGAGGCGCTGTCCGCGAACAGCTTGGCCACCTCCGCGATCCGCCGGATGTTCTCGTTCCGGTCCGCCTCGCTGAACCCCAGGTCCTTGTTCAGGCCGAACCGGATGTTGTCCCCGTCCAGTCGGTACGCGTGCACCCCCCGGTCGTGCAGCAGTTGGTGCTCCAGTTCCACCGCCAGAGTCGATTTGCCCGAGGCGGAGAGCCCCGTCAGCCAGATCGTGAGGCCTTGTTGTTTGCGCAGGTTGCTGCGTTCGCTGCGCGTCAGGGCGCTCGCGTGGTAGGTGATGTTTCTGTGGGGGGGTTAGTGGTGGTTGGTGGGTGTGGTGGTTGTGGAAGGGGAAGGGGACTTACGTGGCCATTTTGAAGAAGGATTGAGGGTTAAGGGGAAGTTATGGGATGAAGGATCTGGGAAGAGGGAGATGTTGTAGGAAGAAAAAGAGGAGAAGAGGGGGAGTCAGAGAAAAAGGGCGAAACCTGGCCTACTCACTCACTCATTGGCACGGCGGCGGGGCCGCCGATCGCGGGGTGGATTAAGAAGTTGATTTTGCCAAATTGCGTTATCGTTGGGCGGTGAGCCCATTGCGGGTCTCTTTGGTTGCTGCCCGCAACTCTCACTTGGCTCAGGCACGCTGCGACTTGTTAAGGTTGGGTTGGTTACGTATGCCGCCGCGGGCCTGGGCCCCGCTACTACGTACAGCCTGTACAAACTGTACACGACTCAGGGGACTGTGGACCGTCGATGTGATTCAGTGGCCTCTATCGTTGTCTCTGGGTGACTCCTTGTCGGAGATCTATATTTATGTGATGCATACTAATGGCATGATCTTGTTTATCGTTGCCCTGCCAGCTCTATCACCCGCTTCGCCGCGGCCTCGAACTCGTCAAATGCCTCCAGCGGGAGTCCACTCTCCGCGATCTGCGATATCAACCGTTAGCAAATAACCTCACGCGAGCCCGGAGCCGGACACCAAGCATTTACCATTCGTTGGCCCTCTTTCTCGTTGGTCCCCCGCAGCCGCACCACTAAGGGGATGCGAACGTCCAGATCCTGGAACGCCAGCAGAATTCCCTCCGCGATCATATCGCACCGCGTCAATCCCCCAAAGATGTTCACAAAGATGGCCTTGACTCGCGCGTCCGACAGGATGATCTGAAACGACGCCTTCACCGTGGCCGACGTCGCCTTGCCCCCTGTGTCCAGGAAATTGGCGCAGTGGCCGCCGTGCATCGTCAGCGCGTCCACCGTGTTCATGGCCAGCCCGGCGCCGTTGACTGTATGCGGTTAGTCGGTCACCGTGTCGCTTGATGAGAGAGGTTCCTTACCTAGTGTGCCTATACTTCCCTCTCCATCTATCCTACAATTAAGGATGAGCATCATGTGCGGAGAGAGAGGGTGCGAGCACAACTCACTTAACGTAGACGATACCGTCTTTCTCAGCTAGGACCTCTTCCGGCACCTCCTCTGCTGGGTTCCTCAGGCTCTGAATATCTTCCTGGCGTCCTGAACTTCGGAAGGCAGCATCGTCGAATCCAAACCGTGCTTCACGCACTTCCAAGGCATCCGTAGCATTCGCTCGGACTTCCAGGAGGTATGCCTCATTCTCCGTGAAGATCTGCCAGAGTGCCTGGACGAGTGCAGCCAGTTTCTCTTGCGACGCGCTCGGAAGCTGCAGGTGGGAGGCGACAGCCTTGATGAGCGGACTTGTGCTCTCGAGATCCGGGGTCTCGTAAGGAAACGGAAAGCGACCGGTGTGTTCGGGGCTGAAAGCGGCGGTCGACGATGCAAGGATGCATGGAGACAGCGCGGCTCTGTCAACGGTCAGAGTCAGGAAGAAGTCCGCATCCGATGAAGCGATCTCTTTGACCGCGATGGACTTCGCTCGGAGCATGTCGAGCGCCTGGAACGGCTTCACGTAGAGGTTCCGGGTTTGCTGTTGTGGCGCTTGGTGACTGACATCTACCGTAGCTCTTCTCATTGTGTGAAAGCCTCTTTGTTGGCTTACGCCCCTGGCAAACTACAGCGGTTGAGTATCTTGATGATTTTTTTTGCTCCAAGACAAACTCACATTGGTATCATGGGCTAGCCCTCGACTCTTCAGGAGAGTCTTCATACCCTCCCCGAATTTCTCCGGGTGGTTCACCATGACTGCACCGGCACTTTCGAGCGCCTGATACTTGGCTTTGGCGTCCGGCTCTCCAGGAGCGGTCCAGGCACCGGCATGACCCATCACGCGTCCTGCGGGCGCATGCTGACCTCCGACCAGAGCCATGATGGGTCTATTCGCAGTGTCAGCATTTGCAAGCTGACATGGCACCTCAGATCGCACACATACTTGGGATTGGCGGTCTTCCGGTGATAATCTCGGATCCAGTCGGCAGCATCCATCTCGGCCGTCCCCCCAATCTCTCCGACCAGGACAATACCTTCGGTCTCGGGGTCACTTTCGAAGGTCCTCAGAGCGTCGACAAAGTTCGTCCCAGCCAGCACATCCCCTCCCATGCTAATACAAAGAGTCTGGCCCAAGCCCGCACGGGTCGTAGATGCAGCAGCCTCATAACTCAAGGTACCCGACTTGGCTACGATGCCAATCTTACCTGGCGTGAAGCATGGCAAGGGCTGAAACCCAATGCGGCATTTCCCTGTCACGGAGATGATACCCGGGCAGTTGGCCCCGACCAACCTTGTCTTTGATTGAGTTTTCAGCATCGAGTGCACCTGAACAAACAATTAAGCAGTCGGCCAATTTGCACGGAGAGAAAGGTCCTTACACGTAGCATATCGTGAATCGGAACATGCTCTGCTACAGCCACAACCAGCGGCACCTCCGCCTCAATGGCCTCCTCGATAGCCGCGGCAGCTGAACCACCAGGCACGTAAACGGCGGACGCATCCACCCTCACATTATTCTGTGCCTATAACCCAACTCAATTCGTCCGCTCTGTCTGAAAATAAATCCTCGGGATCCAGCAAGGCCATGCTACATACCTCTCTAACGGACCGAAACACCGGAAGACCCAGGTTCTCCCCCCTAGCATTCTGCTTCACGCCTCCGACGACCTTCGTCCCCCAAGCCAGAGATTCTCTCACATTAGCAGTCGACTAGAAACAGAATCAGCCATTCCAGTCTTGCCAATCTCGCGTCTGCAAACCTAGCACATGGTACCTGTTTACCTACATGAAATGATCAGTCACAGCCAAGGTCCATTATATACAGGCAGAGCACGTGACCTACCAGGAAAGCCCTGGAACAACACATGCGTATGAGCCCCGATCTTGAGATTCGGTAGTGTAGCTGCATAGTTCTCGGTTCTGCGTGCTGAGGTCGTAAAACGGGCTCTTGGGCTGAGGGATTGGAGCCTTGAAGGCGTCGTTCGCCGCGCCTGCGCGGGGATGCAGCATAAGCGAGTCATGGGGTTCGTCGCAACTTGGGTCGGATCTCAATGGGGATTAGACAAGGCAGTCACGCAATTGAGCCAGCTAATGCTTATATACTGTTTCAAATCTATGATGTTTTGATGTGAGTATCCCAAATGCCAAGGTAGTAAAGTAAGTGTTTACAACGGCACCGCCAATAATGCGGGGAAGTTATAAGAGAAGAAGCACAAACATTGAAAATCGGAAACGCTACTGGGGGGCCTCGGAGGATGGGCGGCCCCTTAAGAATGTACTGTAACTTACTGCGCTACGAGTACTTACAGTGCCGATCCCTACTCTCTGACTTCACATTGGGCGAGAGTTTCCGAGGTCATTGTGGGGACTTTGGGGCCAGAAGAAGACGTTGTGATTGGGTTTCTCGGAAGTTGCTGGGCATCGGGTATTGCCTTGGTAGCCGGTCTCGGAACGACGGCACTTGGGTGATGGGTTGGCTAGTGTCGGACTGGCGAGCTGGGCATTGGTACGGTACAGATTTTTGGGGAGGGTGACGGTAGGTAGAGTCTCGTTGTTTATCTGAGGTATGGAAAAACTCATATTTGTTCAGGGGTCTATGCAGGTGGGTGTGCCAATACTCGTCGTTTAAAGATACAATGATATATTTGAGTCTTTCTTGATCCTAACTTGTCTTAAGACTCAAGGCACTTACTCCAAGGTACATTGCCTTTCCGTGATCGATCAACTGGATCAAATTATGAGATACGGGTTGGAGGCTTTCCCCAAGATTTTTGGCAGTACCGGACCCACGGCATCCGCGCGCAGTCGGCTTGAATGAGACGCCTGAGTGGGGTATCTTGAGATGCATAGGTCATGAAACACAGCCAGAGACTCTTAGCAGAACAAGTAGGACGGACTGGGGTGATCTGCGACCTGTAACAAAGTATATCTCTTCGGCAGATATTGGGAAGACTTCAAGTAGGTTACTGTAGCGCTATCATCTAATGGTAGAGAGTATGTTGCATGTGGACATGAGCTCCAAGCAAACAGATACGAAGACGGAGTCACCCTCCGAGATACAGATGCATACTGCTGTAGTCCATCATCCTAGAGGATTCAGACGAAAGGCATCCACGCGCTCATAGATCCTTTCTATTCTCTCGACCAAGCTCATGTCTGTAAAACAAGATGACATTTCCCAAAAGAACCCCCACCCCCGACTCGGTTTAAGACTCCCTTATCCCCTTGAAAAAAAAAAAGCTCCGCGCTGAAGTGGGTTCGAAAGGGTCCCCCACACCGTGCTGAAAACACCGATTTGCGCCTGGTTTTTTTAATGTTGTACCTCCTTTCAAATGCGCCACATTCAAGAAAGAAGGCGTATAGAAGAATGTGGAAAAAGGATGACTGGCTAAATGTTGGTTGGAGAAAGATGTATGTAAGGGAAGAAAAAGACCATATTCGTCATTAATTCATCGGGATAAGAAGAACAAGAGGTTTTCTCTACTTAACCACCGATCTGTTCCTGGTGGACTTCAAGGGTGTCTCCATCGGCCATTTCGAGCTGTTGCGGAAGAGGGAAATGTTAGTCGGATGTCTATTTGCTTGTGTATGAGGATCGAAGCGGTGGGGGGGGATGCCATTTTGCAGGGGGGGGGGGGGGGGAAGACAACCGCAAACGCTGAGCACCACCGGCGGTGGCGCTAAGGATGATAATGATGAGGGGCAAGAGTGCAGTGTACGTACAGTGTCTGGCGTATCCTCAGGACGCACACGGGTACCATCGAACAGGAAACGGACGGTCGAAGGCTGTTTACCCTGACGCTCGCAGAACGCATCCATCAACTTCTTCAGCTGGGTTGACCGCTTGATCTTGAAGAAGACCTCGTTGTTGTTGTCGGTGACTTTGATGTTCAGGTGCTCGACGGGAGCCGGGGCATCACCGCCGGCGGGCGAGGCGTTCGCGTCGGCCATCTTGTTTGTGGATTGGTTGTGATCTGTAGGTGGCAAGGTAGAAAGTCAGCGCTGCAGAGGGATTCCTGTCGCATTTGACTGTGGATTGCTCCGGGGTTGGAGGATGAGAGACAAGTGTAGGAGGAAGGGTTTCTTACTTCTTGTTGTTGATGAGTTTTCTGGAGAGAGATGAGGTCGACGGGCAGAAGTCAGGATCGAGATCGTTGGAGAAGTGAGAAAGTGACAGAGGGAGGAGGAAGCACTGGAGTGGAGAGAAATAGATCGGGGTTATTAGGTTGGCGGCGATGGCAGAAGCAACCCTCTTCCCTCCCCCACCGGTGATGACTGACGGAGAATCTATTTTTGCGGCGCAGGTCCAATCGGCCGCAGTAACACCTTGGAGGCTTATAGGCTGCTTGCTGCTTGACTGTACACTAACTACCTGGCGCAGTGAATGGCATTGCTTTCCTCTTCACTCCTTCACCCAATCGTCGCTTTTTCTTTATCTCTGCTTTGTTGCTTTGTGCATGATTAATTGCAATTGCCTCAGTCTCTCCTGCTCTGTCCGATTGTAACTTTCAGCCTGCGTTTGCATTTTACTGCTACTCAATAACTAAGTTATATATCATTGCGTCATGGTAAGCAAGACCGCATTGCTCCGTTGGACATCTCTCGTCTCTCAGCCTCGAACATAATGGATTGACAGTTGACTAGGGCGGACTAAAAGAGGATCTAGCATATGACCCCCCCTGCCATCCACGAGCAGTAAGTTTGTCTTTCAGCATCATGTGAGAGACATATCCATTGACACCCTGCAGTGTGCCATTCAAGGTGACTTCACCTGAGCCCTGATCCCAGCAACAACATCACTGACTGAGCCCCGACAGCTTGTCTGACCAAGAACTCATACCAGGAAGAGAAGTGCCAGTCGCAAATCAATGCCCTCTACGAATGCTGCAATTCGTTCTACAAGGAGCAAGGCGAAGAAGCGAAAACCCCGAGCTGTCCCAAGCCGAGTCTTCTGCGACTGAGGATGAAGCAACGAGGCCAGGAATCCTAGCTTGAACACGAGCTCCTGACGGTTGCTTTGTGTTGCTGTGTAGACATGTATATATTACCACACCGAGCGTTGCAGATGTCGAAACACGAGGCCAAAGACCCTTGACCCAAATACTACTGTAGAGTTGTGCGAAAATTCCGGGTCGAGATTCGAAAGCTGAATGTAGCAATTCCTTTGCAGTCTGAGCTCTCATATAAGTGAAGAGCTAGGCTAGTTGTAAGAACTGCAACTCCCTCTAAGACAATCGTGAGCACGCAAAGAGGCCGATTGACCTGGACGAATATTGAAAACTCTCGCCCCGAGACTCTAATGACTGCCTATATGACATTTGTTGAAGAAAAAAAGAGAAAGGAGAAGGGAAGGAAAAAAATCCACGATATTTCAATGCGCGGATGTGGCCGCGCTAGACCTGGTTGGGCCTAGTGGCTGAACGGCCCCAAAACACGGCCAAGCCGAGCAAGAGAAGGAAAGAAGGTGCAAGTTCACTGAAGTTCCAGTTCTTCCTTAAACCCTGCCTGGGTGCTTAACGCCTATCCCGCGCCATTCCTCTCCCCCCCATCTCTCCTCTCCCATCACGCCTTTTGATACAGGGTCGCATCGAGCGCTACTTTTCAATTCCTTCGGTTGCGCTCATGGCTCCCCTGACCACGGTGGCTGGCCCGGGCGCCCCGGCCGGATTTACCTCCATCAATGTAAGTGTTCCCTGCGATTCTGTTGACACGGCCGTCCAGCCGGTGCGCTGACGTTGCGTCCAATATCCAGCACCAGCAACAAGCGCTAAACAATGCCGATGTCATCGAGATTGATGATAGTGATGACGAGCCCATGGAGGAGGCAGATGATATCGAAACTAATGACGACGAAGGGGACATGGAAGATGAGGAGGATGAGGAGGACGAAGAGGATGAAGAGGAAGAGGAAGACGACTACGGCGACGAAGAGGACAGCCCAGACAACGACTCCGCTGAGGATTCGAATCGCAGTGAATCGCCCCTGGACCTGAGTCCCCCTCCCACCGAACAAAGTACGACGGATACATCCTCTCATGACGGGGAAGTTGCTAATCGTATGCTAGATGGTTTGGCCGCTGCCGCTACCCCGGACCTCTTCACTTCAGCAGGCGCACAAGAAGCTCTACACCCTCTTCGTCGCACGGCGGACCGCGTGACGCGTCAGATCGAAGCCTTCGCCGAGAAGTTGGATCGCTTCAAACAGCAGGGAAACCGGTCTGGTGAGCTCGAGGACTACAAAGCTGCCTACCAGCTGGTGAGAAGCTACCAAGAGCTGGCGCGTGGCACGATCCAGGATATACAGAAAGACCATACTTTGAAACGCGCGAAGCTGGGATTTGGCGCCAACCGGGCCAATGGTCCAATGGACGCCAAGGCGCAAGAAGAAATCCAACGACTGCAGCTCGAGGAAAGCACATGGCAGCTTTTCTGCAACCTCATCACTATCGCCAACCCTCACCGCATAGCCAAATCCAAAGAGAGACAAGCAACTGCTTTCCAGAACTTGCACCGCTACTCAACTGACCGCGAAGTTTGGGAGCAATTCCTCGATTCGGACGCGTACGCGGTGGAATGTGTAGTGATCCTGAAATGGCTCGAGTACACCGCCAAAAACTCTTCGCAGGATATTGACGATCTCATTTCGGAATTGGAGACACAAGCTCAGCGGGGTCAGGGCTCTTGGTCCTTCGGCTGGCTCTATACAAAGGAGACGATCAAGGGACACAAACGACTGCGAGCCTGGCCTCAGCCACTTGAGCCTAACGACCCCGGAATCACCGCCTCTTTGCTCAAGTCAGAAGACTCCGAACCCTTGGTTACTCAGTTGGATCCCGATGCGATCACGAGACAGAAGCAGAATCTCCAGAAACAGGATCAATACTATGAGCGCGCTACCTGGATGACACTCTGGAAGATGCTCAGACAGGGTGAGAGTTGGTCAAAGATCCGGGAGTGGTCTGCGGAGAGGCTGGAGCCCTGGAGAGCGGTCAGTATCTGCGGTTCCAGTGTTGACGTAGAGACTCACAAAGGACGCACACCCGTTGACGATGGACACACGCGCTTGATGAATTGGCGGTCCCAGGAGACTTGGAGTGCTGCTTGTATTGCTCTAGCGCGGAACCCAAAGATTGAAGACTATGAGCGGGCTGTTTTCTCGTTACTTTGTGGCGAGACTGAGGCCGCTTTCAAGATCTGTCAAAGCTGGGATGACTTCCTCTACGTCTATTTCAACCGTGCCGTACTCTCCCGTTACCAAGGCTTCTGCAAACAGCTCCAGCGGAAGCTAAGTCACTCGCCCACTGCGCAAGTGCCCTACGTTGCGGAGCCGGCAGGTCACGATGAAGTGAAGAAGTTCATAGAGTTCACCCGGGATCACGACCGCGTCGGCTTTGAGGCGCGCAACCCATACCGCACCATCCAGGCAGCCATACTGTCTCGAGGGTATGACAAGTTCTTCTTGTCACTGGCCCACGCCGTCTCTCAGGTTGCGAACAATCCATCGGACGGGTCATCTCTGGTTCCTGAGATGCTACATATGTCGGTGGAGGATAGTCTCCTCATTACTGCGACGGACCGCGACGCCTTACGTATTGCAACTCACTTACTCATTGTTACCCGACGTCTCGGAATGGTACGGTCGGATACCACGTTCTTTGACCATACGTCTGTCAACATCATCGGGTATATTGCCAACCTGGAGGACGCTGGTCTCGTTGATCTTATCCCTCTATATGACTCTCTCCTGCCCACTCATTATAAGCGTATCATTCTGGCGCGCGTCATGATTGAGGTTGTTGACCCAAGAGAACGGAGGCTCCTCGTCCAACTCATGGAAAAACATGGACTTGACGTTGAAGAAATCTTGGAGACCCAGTGGGAGTATATCAGCCACAGGACTTCCGCCATCGACCATTCAAGGACAATGAAGTTTACCTCCAAGGTTGTAACACGGAAGGATGGCGACCGCGAATTGGCTATCCCAAGGCACGATCTCATTGGAACAGAGATCTCCGACGTAGATGAACGAGTGATTCGAAGCCTGGAGTGGCTTCGTTTTGTTGACGGACAATGGGGCAAGATCTGTCAGCTGGGATCCCAGGTGTACCAGAAATACTACAGTACGTCCGTTGTCTCAATATTTCGTCCGCCATTCTAACAAAATCGCAGGAACCGGAAACCTGGCCGCTGCGAGAGAGCTGAGCAGACGCATGAACCTTTCCGACATCTCCCGAGAGTCCTTTGGGTTCGATTTGGCGATAATACTCAAACGCGCTATGTACCCCGAACGGGACTTTTCTGCCTCAGAGCCCTCCAGTCCTATCAAAAGCATACTGTTCACTTCTCCACACAAACGAAGCCGCTCCAAGACAAACGGCAACCCAATTGCGGGTGACACAGGCCTCCTGCTGCAACAATCCCAAACTATGCGTGATTTGGAAACCTTGATCATGGCGTTCGACGGCCTCGAGAAGTTTTCGCTTGCTTTGGAGAATTTCGAAACGTAAGTCCCGGCGCTTGTTCGTCATGCAAAAGAAGCGATGCTCACTAGACAATAGGGCTAGGCAAAACCGGGACTCTGGCACTATCAAAGATCTTCGAGAGAAAGTCCAGGCTGCATTAGCTGAAGCCAGTGACCCTGTCGACTTGATGCTCAGGGATTGGCTAGTCGGTGCTGAGACGGGTAAGCACCAGCCCTCGCCTATGAATGAGAGACCATGCCCAACTAATTTACTAAACCCCTCACAGAATCCGAGCAAGCAGAGTTGGAAGAAATCCGAAACATGTACATTCCTGAGGTATTCCTCAACTACCACAACGCCCTCTTCTTCTCGGCCCGAGTCCTCAACAGCGAGATCCTCGTGCAGTGCATGAACCTCGCGATCCAGGTCTCGGAGAACAGGCTACTGACGCAGACCTTTGTGGCCTCGCGTCGTATGCAAGAGCTGGTGGTTGCGCTGGCGCTGTCTAGTAAAGCCATGGTGAACACCCGAGCCAAACCCGGGGTGAAGGTACCGGGAGGCGAATCGTTGGGGCTTTGGAATGTGGAGACGGTTGAGGGAGAGGAGCTCGACGACGGCATGGCGCAGTGAACTACACCCGGGCTCAGACGTGTACTTACTGTTGTAATATGACACAAGAGATTCACGACGGATCGGCATGATGCATGTATGTACATTAGCCTTCTCTTTGCTTTTATTTTCCCATTTACGCCCTGTCTGTCTCGGTCGTCGTTTGTATGTTTCTGCGATTGAGACGCAGTACTTTGCTTGCATGTATGCTGGATTAGACTGGGGCTTTGAAAGGCGGTCTAGGGAACTCATTATCAGGCGTCTTTGACTAGGGACTTCAATGCAATACGGACCTTTGCGTGGATGGAAATGGGATCCATCACATACATACAGAACACCTCTTTTGTCTCAATTACTGATTCACATCCCGTATCGTAGTGGCGCATAATTGAGGGTCCAAGAGTACACATAGTCTAACCAGCCAGCCGCACCGCAGATTCAGAAACACCCCACAGCCCAGCGAGCACTAGTCACTGGTCGGCTCGACCAACCCGTCGGAAATCCGAGATATGGGAGCTGTATTACACATACTTTGCGGGTTTATGTGTACAGTTATATGCAGGTGCGGGCAATTGTGGCAGTGAAAGCGCGGACACAAGCCCGGGAGAGGGATTTAGGGTGGCATTAGTTTAGTTGGACTTAGCTTGGATGATTTAACTTTTCGATATTTATGAGGATTATCATTTGTTGGGTGGACTGATAGCTCCTCCTCCTGTCTTCCATGATTATTCGGTTATTTTTGCGGTGAGGAATCAGGATTCTTGTCTTGTGATAAGACTTTTTGGGGGGGAGATTACTTTTGTCATGGAGAAGGTATACGTATACTCCGGATGTGTCATGGATGTATGAGCTGTGTCGAAGATCGCGAATTCCTTGCTTTTTCTTTATCATGAGGAAGATATCCAAGGTTATCAAGGTAAAAGGACTCAGCCAATATTATGATCCTATCTGAATGGGGGCAAGTCCACTGAAGAGGAGCTGAGAGATGGATCCGATGGTTCCCACCCACGCGCAAACGCGCGCGCGCGCGAGGCAGAGAGCTGACGACATCTGTTTGTGGCTATGCTTTTGCGGTGAAGGGAATGTCTAGACGAGAGGGTGGATTAGGTGCTATCGTGGTCGGGTGTTGTAATACGGTCTGGATGGGTAGTGGTCTATGTGCACCTGTGCCTTACTTGTCTTACTTTGTTTGGGTTATACGGGGTGGTGGTGGTGGTACCTGTGCTGTACATGGGCACGACACTAACTATCGGATGGGTTTGAGTTTCAGGGCGAGAGGTTTGTCCACGGGTATAGTATGGGGTAGATGTCATGTCGGAGTGCTTTGTCTGCGTAGGAGATGATGGATATCAGATGAGACTTCTGGGATGTACTGAATGGATGGGTGGTTGGGGGTTGTCTATCGGTTGACGAGGTAGAATAAAATGTGTCCCCCTTAGTTTGATTAGACAATTGGTAGGCAATCGATAAAAGAAAAGATAACGAGTTCAAGAAAGGTAATGGCATGTGTACGGAGTATGTCTGTGTATGTGTATGTGTATGTGCCTCATGATATCCTTTCCTCCAAAGTCAACGTATGTGTGTCGGCTGATGTCACGCCGCCGTCAATAGGCCGAACAGGAACAACAACCCAAAGTGAACTAAGGTACTACCGGCTGAAGCCAGTGCAATAGATTTTAGTCACATAGCCAATCCAGTCAAGAGTCCCAGACCAGAAGTCACAACCTTAACTTTCTACTATGAGTGCACTAGACTCCTACTAGTGAGGTGTCCAGAACCCGAAGTTGCGTAACGACGTGGAATGGGTCCCCCTCCCTTTTGCACCGCCCCCTTCTGCCAAGGTCCGTCTATCCGTATCTGGGTCGTTGGCCCTGAGAGCTTTGGACTTGGGTTTGCCTTCTTTTGGGTGCGAGGGCAAGGTCTTCTCACTTGTGAGGAGCTGGGGGTGAGTTTGTGCGTGCTGTTGGTTTTTGGGAGGGAAAGTCTCAAGGTGAGGAAGGGATACGTGTTGTTGAGTATTGTAGTTTTGCGTGTTGTAGGAATAAGATAGTATACGGATAGGATGCAGATGGTGCTTCGGCGTCTTCCTCTCCTCGTCCTTTCCCCCGTCTAATAAGTTCGAGGGTGGGTATAGCAATCTTGCAATGGAGGTGGATCCGGTCTCCACCGGTCACAGCATGGCAGGTACGGACGGATATTACATTAGTTGCATGGAACTATGGTGGCATCGAGTCGCGGTCGTCATTGATGGAGCATTGGTACAGTGGATTGAAGTTGGTTTTAACTACGGAGTACTCCGTAACCATATGTGATTTTCCGTTGAAGTACGTAGCAACTAGCAGGTAATGATTCTTATACTTTCGATCTAGAGACTTTATGCGCGCGGGGTGGGACCCTCCCTTTCCGGGTCCTGGCTTCGGTTCGGTTGGCTGGGGGGGAAGGAGGAGGAGTTAATCAGTGGCCGGGTTCGTTCTCCATCATGGCATGGAAACTTATGCTGCAGCACGCACGGAAGGTCGTTGACGGAGTCGGAGCGAGGGGTGATGGATGGAAGCTACGGAGTGCAGTATTATCACTTGGCAGTGGTGAGCTAGATAGAGGGCGTGAGACAGGCGAGATCGCTCTATCTTGCCGAATGCGAGGTGGCAATAACCCTAGTACCTAGCGGTGATGCTACTGAGTGTTATGATAGGATGGACCTGGTTAAGCTGGCTGTGACCTGCTGGACGACTCATCCAGGATTGACAGTGCTAGCTAGACCAGTGTAGATAGAGAGATACGTACTGTACTCCGCTCGATGGGCGTTTGTCATGGAGCATGATTCCATGGTTGCTTCCGGATGGATGCTGAACTAACACTACACAATATTGAGTAGTGTATGTAATTATGATTGAAGTTAACCTCACCTGCCTAACTGGCAACAGCACTGGCACATGGACCACACCAGACAGACATCATTAAACAAATGCTATTAATTCGATTAAGCAAAATGCAAGTCAAAGTTCTAGAAACGGATCCAGCCATGATAATAACATGAGATAATCAATCCGAAAGGACGAAAAGGGCAAAAAAAGGGGAGACAGAAGGAAAAAAAAAAAAAAAAAAAACTTCGATGACGGGAGGAGGTCGAGTGAGGCAGTGCAAACCGGAACCGACGAGTGAGGTTACAGCTCGGCCGGGGTGGGAGCTTCTGCAACAATCGTTTGTTACCTTGTTAGCCAAAGCGCGTCTATCTTGTTACTGAAGAGGTGGCAAGAAGGCGTGATTGGGACTCTCGTGGCTCCAGCGATAACATGCTACTCCCACAGTTCTCCTGTGTGATGCTGTTGATGCTCACTATCAGATATCTTCTTCACAATTTGTATACTTCCCTTTCAATTGATGGTATCTGCAAACGAGAAGATGACCGGACCGTTTCATGGATGGGCCTTGAAATCTGGACCAATCCGTGGACCCTCGGGTGGGGCTGACGGCGACTCACTTTTCCTGTCGAAGCTGGGATTGGCTGCTGGGAACAACAAGTGCAGGGTTCTCTTAAACCTTTCCGAGCACTAGTGGTAATGGGTCTGGTAACTTAAATTAAATTACAAGACGCATAACACCGACCTTGAACCAAGCTGCTGCTGCTGCCGCCGCTGCTGCTGCTGCTCCTTCCTTCCCTTCCCTTCCCCCCGACCAAAAAGAAGAAAGACGTAATTGACCGAGGGACTGGATCCCCTTCTAATTCCACCCTCTCTCTCTCTCTGTCGTTCTTCGTCCCTCTTTTCCTTTTCTGCCAGCTGGTGGTGCCTTCGTTCGCCCTGTTTATACCCAATCCTAATTATCCCCTCATTTGTTCATTTCCTGTTCGCGCCTTCTCTCTCTCTCTCTCTCCAAACCCTCCTCATCCCTCCTTCATCCCGCCTCTTTCCCTCCTTCCCCCCGGTGTGCCCGCGGAGCTACCTGGTGTTATTCCCAGTCCACCTATCCATCTCTTCGGACTCCAGACCAGACCATATCAAATTCGAGCCTGGACTAAACAGTGATATACCGATGCTTTGGACCTAATCTCACCGGTTATCAGCAAGTTGTCACGGCCTGGGCGTTGAAATCGTCGTTTTAGAATCTTCCCGCTCGAATGCGCTCCTGATACACATTACGGGGTCCGGCTCTTTGCTCCTGTTAATTTGGTCAACCTCCGGCGCTCACGGCCCTCGTTCGCCTGTTTCCCTTTGCCCTCCGCCCCATCAATCGCTTCCTCGACTATTCTCTCGGGCGCGCCTACATTCGGTGACTTCGGATCATTGCTGGTTTGGTAAACGCGGACGTTGATACACGACCGGGACCAGACCTGCGGCTACAGCGCGACAATCGGTAGACTTCGTTTCACTTAGACCACATAGGATATCCTATACGACCGTTGGATCCCATGATTTACTCTTGAGCTTAATTGTCTCATTGTGCGCCGTGGAATGAGATTCGTCCCCTTGAATGCCTGGCATCGGAAATACATGATACCGCAGCACTCGACCCATCCTCTCCTCCCCGGATCGCATTCCACTCAACACTAATCGATTATCCCCTGCCCATTCTTGCCTTGTTCTTTACACTTCCAAGACCCACCCTGTCCTCGGTCGTATCCTCCCCTGGACGACCATGCCAGACTCCGGACCCGATGGCCAAGATCCCAGGCAGTCGGGGTCGACTCCCCTGCGCCGGGAGCGGGCCCCGACAATCACCATTGACACATCGGCCGTGACCTCCCCCTCAAACGAACAGATTCGGCCGCCGGTGCAAATCTTGCCCATCCCGCCGCAACCTTCGCTCCAGATCTCAACCGACAATGTCGATGCGCATGACACCAGTGCTCTCCTGAATAACGGCGGAGTCTCGCCTACCTCCCTTCGCTCGGCTGCCTCCTCCGAAGCCAGAGACTACGAAAGTCGGCCGACGTCGCCGCATAACTTCTCCTCTCCCGCGTCCAAGATGGCTGATTCCATGTCCAATTCGAATTACCTGGCTGTACCGGGAACAAGATCTCGTGGAAATTCGTTGGAGTCGCAGGACTCGAATCAATCGTCCAGCTCGTACGGAGGAGATACCTACGCACCGACTGCATCGCATGGATCCAACACAGACTTGACGCAGAACACGATTGTGAACGATGAGGATGCCCTGAAGCCCGACCCAGGCCGGGAAGCTGAGTTCGAAGTGGAAGACAACAAATTCGCCTTCTCGCCTGGCCAGTTGAACAAGCTTCTAAATCCAAAGAGCCTTGGAGCCTTGCATGCTCTCGGCGGGCTTCGTGGAATTGAGAAAGGACTGCGCACCGACACTCGCAGTGGCTTAAGCTTAGACGAGAACGAACTGGACGGTGTTGTGAGCTTTGAAGATGCCACGGCCTCACAGACGACCCAGGCCACGCCCAAGTCCTCTTCTCCCCCGCCTCAGCATCACACATCAGAGGGATCGAACGCCGCGAAACCTTCCGACGGATCGTTTACGGATCGGATCCGCGTCTATGGGACGAATAAACTCCCGGAAAGGAAGGCCAAAAGTTTCTTGGAGTTGGCCTGGATCGCATATAATGACAAGGTGCTGATCTTGCTGACGATAGCTGCCATCATATCCCTTGCTTTGGGCATCTACCAATCTGTGACAGCCACCGGCAAAGAGGCCCGAGTGCAATGGGTTGAAGGCGTTGCAATCATTGTGGCTATTCTGATTGTCGTTATTGTAGGAGCTGCGAATGACTGGCAGAAAGAACGTCAGTTCGTCAAGTTGAATAAGAAGAAGGATGACCGCCTAGTCAAGGTGATCCGCTCCGGAAAGACCTCAGAGATCTCGGTGCATGATGTCCTTGTGGGCGATGTCATGCATCTAGAACCCGGTGACATGATTCCGGTAGACGGGATCTTCATCGATGGCCACAATGTCAAATGCGACGAGTCCTCCGCTACTGGCGAGTCGGATGTTCTTCGGAAAATGTCTGCCGATGATGTATACCGCGCCATCGAGCAACACGACAACGTCTCAAAGCATGATCCGTTCATCGTTTCTGGTGCAAAGGTTTCCGAAGGTGTGGGAACATTCCTGGTTACAGCGGTTGGTGTCAATTCGACGTACGGAAAGACAATGATGTCGCTTCAAGACGAGGGCCAAACGACGCCACTGCAGTCGAAGTTGAATGTACTCGCCGAGTACATTGCGAAGCTTGGTCTCGCCTCTGGATTGCTCCTATTCGTTGTTCTTTTCATCAAGTTCCTCGCACAGTTGAAAGACATGGGAGGTGCCTCCGAAAAGGGTCAGGCTTTCCTACAGATCTTCATTGTTGCTGTGACTGTAATTGTTGTTGCTGTTCCGGAAGGTTTGCCGCTCGCGGTCACTCTTGCGCTTGCCTTCGCTACTACTCGAATGCTCAAGGATAACAACCTTGTACGATTGCTGAGAGCATGTGAAACCATGGGCAACGCAACCACTATCTGCTCCGATAAGACCGGTACCTTGACAGAAAACAAGATGACTGCTGTCGCTGCCACTCTGGGTAAGAACCTCCGCTTTGGCGATAAATCATCAGGGCCAGCCCTCCGTGCGGACGATGACCGAGGCCGGGACCCGGTGACCACCGTCTCTCCCTCGGAATTCTCTTCCAGCCTTTCTGGCCCAGCCAAGGACTTGTTGATCAAATCGATTGCAATCAACTCAACGGCATTCGAAGGAGAGCAGGATGGTACCGCAACCTTTGTCGGCTCTAAGACCGAGACGGCACTCTTGGGATTCGCTCGGACGTACCTAGGAATGGGCTCAGTTAGTGAAGCACGGGACAACGCGACTATTGTGCAGATGGTGCCTTTCGATTCCGGACGTAAGTGCATGGCCGTGGTCATCAAGATGGAGAACGGAAAGTATCGGATGTTGGTCAAGGGCGCATCAGAAATTCTGGTGGCCCGTGCGACCAGAATTGTTAGTGATGCGAGGAAAGACCTTACCGAAGTGTCCATGTCTGATGAGGACCGGTCTGTTATGGACAAACTCATTGATCACTATGCTTCTCAATCGTTGCGGACTATTGGTTTGGTTTATCGTGATTTTGACCAGTGGCCTCCGCGGGGTGCAGCCACCCAGGAAGAAGATCGCTCACTCGTTGCCTTTGATTCAGTCTTCAAGGATATGGTCATACTAGGCGTTTTCGGTATCCAGGACCCGTTGCGCCCAGGCGTAACAGAATCGGTGCATCAATGTCAACGTGCGGGCGTTTTCGTGCGGATGGTGACTGGTGACAACATTACGACTGCAAAGGCTATCGCTCAAGAGTGCGGGATCTTCACGCCAGGAGGAATCGCCATTGAGGGGCCTAAATTTCGTCAATTGAGCAGTCGACAGATGACCCAGATCATTCCTCGATTGCAAGTACTAGCTCGATCGAGTCCCGATGACAAGAAGATCTTGGTGACTCAGCTTAAGAAGCTTGGTGAAACTGTCGCAGTGACTGGTGATGGTACCAATGATGCACAGGCTCTCAAGACCGCTGATGTTGGTTTCTCCATGGGTATTTCCGGTACTGAGGTTGCGAAGGAAGCTTCCGACATCATTCTGATGGACGACAACTTCACCTCCATCATCAAGGCTATGGCTTGGGGCAGGACTGTCAACGACGCTGTCAAAAAGTTCTTGCAGGTACAGTATCCCCTTGGTTTATTAATAATAGCAAGCAGAAGCTAATCGTCACTAGTTCCAACTCACTGTTAACGTGACAGCGGTCCTCCTTACATTTATCTCTGCTGTCGCAAGCGGTGATGAAGAGTCGGTCTTGACCGCGGTGCAGCTTCTCTGGGTCAACCTCATTATGGACACTTTCGCTGCTCTCGCTCTGGCGACGGATCCGCCTTCTCCTCATGTTCTCGACCGCAGGCCCGAGCCAAAGTCCGCGCCTCTCATCACTCCAACCATGTGGAAGATGATCATCGGACAGAGTATCTATCAGTTGGTCGTCACCCTTGTCTTGAACTTTGCTGGAAATTCGATCTTCCATTACCACACAGAGAAGGACACTTCGCACATGCAAACGGTCGTGTTCAACACGTTCGTCTGGATGCAGATCTTCAACCAGTGGAACTCTCGCCGTCTCGATAACAATCTTAATATTTTCGAAGGAATGTTAAAGAACGCATGGTTTATTGGAATTCAGTTGATCATCATTGGAGGACAGATTCTCATTATCTTCGTTGGTGGTCAAGCATTCTCGGTTGTGCGGCTCAATGGGCCTCAATGGGGCGTGTCTCTGGTCTTGGGAGTCATCTCCCTTCCAGTAGGTGTGATCATTCGCTTGATACCAGATGCTCTCATTGCCAGGCTTATCCCCACCTTCTGGCACCGCAAGAAGGGTCCTGAGCTTTGGGTCTCTGACGAGGATCGCCGCTTCGAGTGGAATCCTGCTCTAGAGGAGATCCGGGACCAGTTGAAGTTCCTTAAGACTGTTCGCGGAGGCCGTCTCCGGCACTTGAAGCACAAGCTACAACACCCCGAAGAACTTCTTCCCAGATCGCGAAGCGGATCACGGTCCTCCAGATCTCGAGAGAATTCGATCCCTGGAACACCTGTGGAGAACAATAGTGACAGCACTCCGCCCATGCCAGCGACTCCGGAATCACGATCCAGACGACGCACACGGTCTCGCTCCAATTCAGCATTCGGGCCAGCGGCTGCCATGGCCGGTGTTGTGGCGGGTAGTATTGCAGGCTGGTCCCCAATCGAACGAACGCAGGGAGATGGCGAGCCTTTCAGGATTCAGGCCGACAGCCCCCACGGCGGCCTAGACAAGCAACAAGGCATCGAGATTCATCCGGACACCGCTGCGGATGACCAAATCGTGGGCAACTTCAAGGGCCCCTCGAAGACACCTCCGAGCCAGAACCCTGATCTTTTACCCCATTTTGATCACGTCCCGCCTGAGCGTGCGCCATCCAGCCGCAGCCGACGGTCTACGTCACGTCAGTCTCAATCCAGTCAAAGCCATGTCTGAGCGTCCCGCGCTATATTGCCTGTGCAATACTAGATTCTGTTGTCCTACTTCACTTCAAATGATTCCACGCTCGGTTCATTCTCGCCTGTGTATACTTATTTCCTCTTCCTCATACCCTGTTGTCATTCGAGATTCGTTGTCTTGCCCACGCCGAACTTTGCTGTTTTGCCCGTCTTGAACTTAATTTGCGTACTTTCTGCAGAGGTCCCTCTAGCCTTGCTTTACCTGTTTGTGTCATAGCATCGTTGTCTTCACAATTCCAATCATATCCCAGGGAAAGGTGTCTCGGTCTCGGCGTACGTGGCTTTCAAAAGGGGATTGGCTGTTTCTGCTTTTTCACTTCGTTTGTTTGTTAGACACTCCTTCCTCTCGCATAGGGATGGGCGGCGACCTGAGCGACAAAAAGGGCAAGATTATTCTAATTGGTTTTGTGTTTTCAGTTTTCAAAGATAGCCTATCTTACCTTGTACATAGTGTACTTTTGCTGCTCACTGATATGTCTATATGCCCTGCTTGATCTCTACTGCTTGCAAGCAGGGCGAGGGAGAATCCGATGGATGATCTACTACGGTTCTCATAGTGTTCATGTTGAAATCACTATATCTAGGCCATCATTCGTATGTCTTTGTAAGGTTTTCGACACCAAAATCTATGCACACCGAAATTGACAGAAAGATATAAACTTGCTTTCACACTAGCCGCCAGAAGTAACCACCATAGACGGCATCCACCAAGCCACTGCCATCAACGTATCTCACATCTCACCAGGTGGTCAGCGGCCCATGAACCTGATCTCCAGCAGTCTCAAGGGCGGGAAAGCCAGGGCGGTAAAGCCCATCCCCAGCCAAATCCCCAAATCGCATCCCTCCGCAATCGCTGCCGCCACGGGGCCTGTAAAATAAGCTTGATCCTGATCAAAGTCATCAGCAATCATTGAACTTGACAATGTCATGCACAGAGGCAGGACTGGGGAGAGAGAGAGAGAGAGGGTGAGGTACCATGCCAACAATAGCTCCTATCCAACCGACGAGAAAAGCGATACTGGCCGCAATGCCCACGGGAAGTCTGAGTCGATCGTTCCACGCGTCCCAGTCGTAGCCCCGGCCGCGATTGAAGAGGAGGTCCTCTTGCACCACGATCGTGAACCAGATTACCGCCCAGTATCCGATCAGCGGCATCACGCTGCGGAAGATGTCGTACAGGGAGTCTCGACCGCCGATGGCACACGAGGCGTACACCAACGTGCTGGCGGTGGTGTAGACGGGGCGCGGGAATCTGCGCCAGACATTGCCCAGCATCTGGAAATTCATCCCCGTCGAGTACGACGCCGGCGCGTTGTTGGAGACGATCGTCAGGACGTTGATCACGGCACACAGCCTCCCCAGGGGCCCCAGGCGATCGTACCCGGCCATCAGCAGGCTTCCCGGCGTACCGTCGTAGATCGACCGCCACCGGGCACTGTGTGCCACCCCACTGCCCAGACCCGCACCCAGAAGCAGGGTCACGGTGAACGCGAGGCTGGCGCCGATGGTCGTCACCGTCCAGATCTTCCATCGCTTGATATCCGGCGAGTAGTACACGTGATAGTCGGCCGCGACGGGCACCCACGACAGGGGAATCGATAGACAGAGCGAGAAGAACGCCAGCCGTTTCGCGTTGATCTGCGTGGTCGTTCCGACTGACGGGCTGTCGAAGTCGAACTGAGGCCCGGCCGACCCGGTGAGGAGCGAAAAGACGATCAGCTGTGGGAACCATGCGTACCTTTGGGGAGGTTTGCGAATATGAATGTCAGTCGGGTGGGCACTCGGAAATGTCAGGGATTAGTCAATTCCTTACCTCTCATAGTATTGGAAGATCTGCATCCCGAAGGTGGCCATCGCCCAACTCGCCAATGCTACGATGACGATTCCAACGATCACTGATACACCCCCGCCGGATAGCTTGGATAGTAGTTGGCCTCCTACCGTCGCGCTCATCATCCCGGTGCCCAAACATGAGAGCACATTCAATACGCAGCATACTTTGGTGGGGTAATACCCCATGAAGAACCGGGACACGATCTAAGAGGAAGAGAGGGGCTGTAAGTCAGCTGCATTGATGGTGGGGGAGGCTTTTCAAACAGTGCAATATCCAAATGTTTCTGATATTGCTCGAGAGGTAAGTCATACCAGTGTGCGATTTCCACTTCGCGGGCCCCAAGTGCTCATGTAGCCAATCGCCAGACTCCCGAGTAGCGTGCTGAATATCACACATAGCGCACAATCGGTGAAGCTCAGCTTCATGACCAGCGTCCCTAGCGATCCGGTGATCGTGTTATTCATTGCCATCCCCATGCTCAGCCACGTCAGGAACATCTCAAACGATGTAAACTTGGTGTTCTTCATTCGTTCTTCCAACGGTACCGGCTCGATGCCGCGGGTCTCGAGCCCTTTGATGCTCCTTGTCCATCGTTGATATCTCGACTCGCGTTTATCCGGGAAGGGTCTTTCGGCTCCGGACTCGTCATGTGTCACAGTCACACTCGTCTGCAGAGACGAACATGCTCCCTGCTTTTCGATCTCAGGTTCCATTGGGGTGGGCTTCGGAGGATTGTTTCTCTGGTGCGTGCGAAGGGGATGCCGTCTTTCGCACAGCCTTCCTTTTCGCTTTTTTTCCCCGCAACAACAATAACAAGCCGAGTACAACCAGGAACCAACCCCAGTATATAAGTGATCTTCGGAGACAAACCACAATCAGAAGCAGGATCAACGGCAGACACAGCAGGCGGGTGCAACTTCACCTTCTTTTTTTTTTACCCCCGGGCAGGTTACTAGACTGACATCACCCTTTGTCCTTGGTCGTGCAACCCCGTCCGCGCTACTTTCTCTATCGACATTCCACAACCCTCCCGCTAGAGCTGGGCCCTGTCCTCACCCTCCTTAGCCTGATCAGAAGGTTGCGTTACACCCGCTTACCTCCCCCAGCTCTATACTCTCTAGGAGACGAAGGGGTTAGGTATCCATGAGGAACATCGAAGAAGAACCAAACCCTGAGAAAGGGGACGCCTCGAGCCCCTTTCTACGCATTGTCATCGCGTGTGTGAATGTCACCAGCCTTTTTTTCTTGCTTTCTGATCTCATAGGTTGAAGGGTGGTGTGGTTTTTTTCTTCGCAACGGAGAAAGTCATGTGGCTGGAGGGTGACCACATACCATTGTTGATATTGCCATTTTAAGCTCTACTATACATTCCAACGGAATGCTCCAACCATGTAAGGGGAAGGAGCCATTACACCGTGATCCTGGGAAAGCAACAAACCTGTTTGGCTTTCTTATGAGTACTAGATGCATCTCTCTTTTGGGGGGGGTTCCCTTAATATCGCGTGGAAGATCATAGATTTGCCCCCAATCGTGGGGTAAAAACAGCCGGAAAGGTGGGTTTACTTTTTGGCTGGATCATGAACCGGAAAATCGGGAGGTATGGAAGATGAGCTCATGGTGTTCTTTTGACTCTCTTTTGAGAGAGACTCACATGGGCCTGTGACGTTTTTCACCGAGTTATCGCCTACTTTCAAACGGTTGGCTGATCGCGTGAGGCCCGCTGCGGCATCGGATCACTATGCCGCGTCAGGCTGGACAACCTGTGCATACTCTGATGTCGACTCGCCAAGCCCTGTCTGTACTGGGAGTAAATGTTCCGGGGATGCATCCTCGGTCTGTGGGATATTGTGTCCCTGCTCTCTGCTTTCTACTCACGTGCTTTCTCGACCATTGTTCCCAGAAAGAGTCAAGCTCTTAGTTGTCGGCCCTGACGTGATATTTCAGCCTCGTCATTGGATGTTGAGGTGCTTTATAGTATGTGTCTACCTAGAGCGGGATATTCATATGTTATCAGCCCCAATTTGTCAGTTGTACAATGCTAGTCGTCGAGAGGAGCTACTCTAAGCTGGTGCAGCGCACATCAGGCGATGCACAAACTCTGGAGCAGTTACTTTCGGGTTGAACAGGGGAGTTGTCTGTGGCTAAAAGCTTGTATTGCTATGGTCGCTTCGCATCAAGGAAAGTAGCTTGCTTTCGCTGAATGGGATGGAAATATGGAGGCATCACCAGTGTCTATTACCACGACGCAGGTGGAGGGTTCGCAATGTGAAGAAAGCTCACCGCCTTGACCCGCCGGCGGATGCGGGGACTGAAGATGCAGCCCCAGGCCCCAGGGCAGCCACTAACTTACCTACAATTACAGAACTATTGCCCCAGACCCGTGACCCCGGATAATCCATGGAACTCCCATCGGTCCTTATCCGCCACGGTACCCGCTAATCTATCATCCCTCGGAGCCTGTGCGGAGTCTCCACCAAGGTTATCTTAGACTTGACATTTCCATATCATATCAGTGTACGAGCCTCTGTCAGAGCAATTGAGCAGAGATTGGGAGCCGGCCACTGAAAAACTGATGGCGAATGCTACGGAGAACTCTTCCGAGTGGAAGGGGCCGTCGCTGTTCTCTTCAGGCGCCTCGTCTCATCCCTACGTGACATACTTCATTCTCGCCATAACTTCGTATGTCACTGTGGTGAATCTTCTGCGGTTCCGCATAGTGAAATGGATGCACAAGCGATACAAATATCCCACGCGCGAGTCCTTCGCTCGCATGACCGATGACGACGCGTGGACGATTCAGAAAACCATGCTAGAGCAGGAATTTCCTTTCTTTTACCTGAAGTCCCTCCAATTCGCACTATTCCGAGTTAGTGTTCTTTTTTTTTGGGTTGCGACATTCTGTGCCATCTTAGACCACTGACAGCCCCCCGTACAGACCTACGGCATCCCGACCATCTCTAAGCTGCTCGCGGGCACGGCACAGTTCTCGAAGCCGGAGACCTCCCTGAAGCGCTACGCTGACACGGTGGTCTTGATCCAGGAGTTTATGGGCAATGCTCCATCGTCTCACCGTGCTCGTATCGCCATCGCGCGCACCCGCTGGATGCACAGTGGGTATCGCGCCTCGGGTGAGATCCTCGAGGATGACATGCTGTACACGCTAGCTCTTTTCGCCGTGCAGCCCGTCCGATTCCTGGAGAAATACGAATGGCGAGGCGCGACTGACCTGGAGAGATGTGCCATCGGTAGCTTCTGGAAGAGCGTTGGCGATAACCTCAACATCAGCTACGATGCCCTGCCGTCAGGCAAGAATGGATTCCAGGACGGCTTGCATTGGTTGGAGGAGGCGATGGCCTGGGCTGATGCCTACGAAGCGAAGTGCATGGTACCCCATGTCAAGAATCGAGAAACGGCCGACCAGACCACGGAAGTGCTGCTGTACATGGTACCTGAGGCGTTCAAGCATGTTGGCCTGAAGTTTGTGTCCTATATGATGGACGATCGTCTGCGAAAAGCTATGATGTAGGTTTCCCATTCGCCCCCCTGGGCGCCCCTGTGCTACCTCAAGAACCGCGACATCATCTGAGTAACGTCGCTGACCCGGTTGGATGTTATTATCAGGTACGACCCGCCTCCGACAGCATATGCTCGGGTCTTCGCGGGCTTACTGGCCGCGCGCCGGTTTGCGATGCGCCACCTCGCTCTTCCCCGGCCGTACATCTTGCGGTATAAGACTTTCACGGATGTGGATGAGCATGGTCGCATCTTCTCCACGGAATGGGATGCAGCGCCTTACTACGCGAAACCCACGTTGCGGAACCGCTGGGGTCCAGTCGCCTGGTTGACCTGGGCTTTCGGCCGCCCTTTACCTGGTGATGAGGGGAAGAAGTATTATCCGCAGGGCTACTACGTCCCTGATGTAGGCCCGAAGTACTTTGAAGGACGGGGCCGGAAAGATCTGCAGCAGATTACAGAGGAGTTGGAGTCTTCGCGGAGGGGACAATGTCCTTTCATCTAAGATACTTTAGCCAATGAAAGAACTGACCTTCTGGAGCTCTGAACACAGCTCTGGAATTGATAGTATTCAACCTGATTGTTTGGTTTTAACTTCCAGGCGGTTGTGACGAATATCGAAAATCGTTCATGTCTATCACTCTTTCCAACTAATACGATGCCTGAACTCTAAATCAGCAACAACTTGCCCGACCCCCCTAGCGCGAGTTGAAATTATCCAAGACCGCAAACTCCTTCGCGACCTCCCAGATGGCTTCGATCTGCCTCACAACCTCATCTTCGAGGGGCCCCTTCTCCAGGGCCGTCAGAGTCTGATCCAACTGCTCGACACCACTCGCCCCCGCAATAATCGCATCACCAAGCTTCCCGTCCAACGCGGAATGATACGCCACCCACCGGTACGCCAACTCGGCCTTGGAGATTCCCGCCTTCTCCGCGACCTCGTTCCAGGTGTCCAGGACCCTCAACATCTCCGGCTTCATGTACAGACCCCGATAGACCTTTCCGAACCTGGAGTCCGGATCCCAGCGGCCGCCGGACCCGCTCGCAGTCCGGAGCTGCTCGCTCGTCTTGGTCAGGAACCCGCCGGCGATGGGGCTGTACGCGTAGAACCGGATGCCGTGCTCGCGCAGCAAGGGGAAGAGGCTCGACTCGATGAGACGCGAGATGGCGTTATAGTTCCCCTGGTAGACGGTCGGGCGCACGTAGTCGTGTTCCTGACAGAGGCGGAGGACTTCTTCGATCTCCGCCGCGGTGAAGTTCGACAGGCCGAAGTGCTTGAACTTGCCGGCGTGGTAGAGGTCGTTGATGCCGGCGAGAGTGGGCTCGATGGGGGCGGTGCGGTCGGGGACGTGGATGTAGAAGATGTTGACCTGGGCGGGGGTTATGGTAAGCTTCGCTTATCTCTCTGCTGTGACTATCGACAGCTTGGGGGAAAGGTGGGAGGGAGGTGCATACCGAGTCAGTGTTCAGCTTCCTCAAGCTCTCCTCTGCATCTGCGATGACCGCCTCTCGCGATGCGCGTCCCGGCCGTGCTCCCCCGCCGTGCTTGGTGTCGATGTCGAAGTCTTGGGCTGCGGCGTTGGCCTGGCCTAGGAGTTCCTCGCTGCGGCCGTAGATCTGCGCCGTGTCGATTTGGGTGACGTTGTGACGCTTCAGAATTTGGAGGATCTCGGTGGTCTTCTCCGCGGTATTGAGCTTGCTGTTGTCGTTGACGAGGCCGGCGCCAAAGACGATGTTGGCTCGCGAGGTAGACATTATGATTAGAGGTAATTGTTTGTCTTGGTGATTGATGCTGTTAGAAGATCGCTAAAGAGGATGCGCTTGGGTAATCTCTGATTCCGGCTCATGGTTTGTACAGAGTGTGATCCTTCCCTATTTATACATCGTGAACTTGGTACCAATACTCGTATCTTTGGGAGTGGTATAGATGTGGGCTTGGTATGGGCTAGTTAAGCGCAGTGTCATTTGTAAGCTACCACTTTCGATTTCAAAGCACGGTATAGTGTAGCTAGCACCTTCTTTGTATTCTGTCAGATTTTGCGGGGCTGTATAGAGTGGTTCTCCTGCGGGGGTAGAGGAGAAAAGATGTTGTTTGGAGATCCTCGATTCGAGGTTGAGTGTCTACATTATCTACATAGTACATAGTATGTCCTTTAGCTAGTATGTGGGTCTGCACGGAGTTGCATACATAGGGATTCTAGGCGATTTCTGAGTTGAGACGTTGGGAGTGCCTTGAGCTATCGGCATGACTTGCAACTGTCCTTTACATATGAGTGCCTCTGATAAAGCTCTTACCTAGCCCTACTGCTAATGAAGATATGGCAACGGAATCTGTAGCAGCGGGGTGGGTGTGAACCGAAAAGTTCTTGCGCAGAAGTGGTTGAGGAGAACTATGTACAGTACTGTACTGCAGAAGCCAGCCAGCCAAGGCTGTTCCATCGTTACGGAAGCTTCGAAGAAGATTACATAAACCCAACAAGCAAAGCATCTCCCCGCAAACGCAAACGCCGACGGGGCAATCGGTGATCTCATCCAAAACCCATTAACTCAATTCTGGCATTGCATCTTCTCATACAGCTACACCCTCCCCCAAACAATTTAATAAGCAGCCCGCATACTAGCTACATACAGTCGCATTGCAGAGCGCTGGCTCCAGCACACACATCCGCAAATGGCGTCACCCTCCTCGAACGACGCCGCCTCGAACCCGGCGCCATTCGCCAATTTCCCGCAAGACCCCTCCGAATTCGACAGCGACCCGCGCATCTCGTTCTCGAAACTCGACGATAAGTTCATCCTGGAGACCGACGACGGTCAAGAATATGAATACGACACCGCTCTGAAGCGGTGGATCCCGACGGTGTGTAGCGCGCTCTCTCCATCTGTCTCTCTTCGGCCTTGGTTGGCAGTGACCTGTGGGCTCTGTACCTACCGGGCTGTTGAAAGTTCCTTCTCCCCCCCCCTTCGGTTTTGCTGCTCCGGCGATCCGGAGCACTCTTTTTCATCTATGGAAAAATCGGTTCGCGTGCGTGTGAAAAACAAGCCGGGAAAAGGGGGCTACTTTTTTCTGCCTGGTGTATGGTTGGTTCGTGAAAACTGATTTTTTCGCTTGGGTGGTGGTGGGTGTTGCTCTCTCCAGGTCGACGATGACTTGCTCCAGAAACAGCAAGAAGCCTACAAAGTACACGGGGTGGATGAGGATGAACAGGTGACGGCGTCGCAATTGAAGAAGAAGCGCAAGCAGCAGGGCAATGGTGAAGAGGTCAGTTTGCAACTCAGTCCTACCTGTCAACCTTTTATCTTGTCGTTCCAAAGCCAGCAACGCTAAGCAAAGCTCGGGGTTTTTCGATCTGTGCAGGGCAATGGACAGAAACCGAAGAAACAGCGCGTCAACACGGCCGTCTTCGTGACGTCCATCCCCCTCGATGCCACCTTCGACGAGATCCGCGACCTCTTCTCCAAGTGCGGCGTGATTGCGGAGGAGATCGACAGCGGCCGCCCGCGCATCAAGATGTACAACGACGACGACGGGAAGTTCAAGGGCGAGGCGCTCGTGGTCTACTTCCGGCCGGAGTCGGTGAACCTGGCCATTCAGATGCTGGACGACTCGGACTTCCGGCTGGGCGTGACGGGCCCGCAGGGGGCGATGCGCGTGCAGGCGGCGGATTTCTCCTTCAAGAGCCAACAGGAGGCCCCGACGAAGACGAGCATGCGCGATAAGCGGAAGATCATTCAGCGGACCCAGAAACTCAACAAGTAAGGAGATTCCCTTCAACGGTGGGGGTGGTTGTCGATGATGATGCTGATGATACTAATTTGTCGACTGGTAGTAAACTTGCCGATTGGGACGATGACGATCCGTCGGCCCTTCCAGATACAAGCTCTCGCTTTGAGAAGATTGTCATTTTGAAACATATGTTCACTCTGAAAGAATTAGATGTACGGAATCCGTTCTCGTGCTGCGATGTTCATGAAAAGGTCTGACTCGTTATGACAGGAGGACCCTGCCGCTATTCTCGACATCAAGGAAGATATCCGCGATGAATGCTCGAAGCTCGGGGAGATTACGAATGTTGTTCTCTACGACAAGGAGCCGGAGGGGATTGTGAGCGTCCGCTTCCAGGATCCGGAGGCGGCTCGCAACTGTGTCCAGGTGGGTTGCATCCGCATGAGATCTACTTTCTCCAGCTCAAATGGTACATGCTAACAGTTCATGTCGCCCAGATGATGGATGGGCGCTATTTCGCTGGCACGCGAGTGGAAGCGTACATTTCCGATGGGAAAGAGAAGTTCAAGAAGACCAATGAGAAGCGGGCAGCGCTGGAAGATTTGGCCGAGAAAGGGTTGGATGCCGAAGATTCGGAGGAAGAGCAGCGCTTGGATGAATTTGGCACGTGGTTGGAAAGCTCTCACACGGTGGAGAATACTGCCAAGTGAGAGCAGCGGCGGTAGCAGGAACAGCAGCAGCGATATGGGGAGACGTCTATTTTCAGGTATCATGGACAGCAAGCAGATCTGTATCCCCCAACGGGCAATTTGCTGAACTATGTGGGCAAGGGACTGTGATTCCCGTACTAGTCATATTCAACCTTAATGAAGAACATGTGTACTATAGCAAAAGAAATATTCAAAGAAGTAATGACCTCATGCAGCGGGGAAACAAAGAACGACCAAATCCATATCCATAACAAAACACATGCCATGAACCAGAGGCTCGGTTGTAGATCAAAGTTCGGTTCGCGTGTGCTGGTTGCGAGCCTGACTTCTGAGGCATAAATTCGTGCTGGCCAACTGACACGCCAAACCCGATCGGGCTGAGTACTTTCCTTCTTGGGATTTTCCCCTTAATATTTGGACTGCCGGAAGAAAACAATCAAGCCACGGTCCAACTCAGCTTGCGTTCACTGTTGACTTTTGTGTTGTTGATCCGGGGGTACTCAGGTAACAGTTCACTGCTACTGCACCACTAACTCTCCCTAAACAACTTACCCCCCTCCTCCCCCCTTCCCCCCACCACCCTTCCTTCACCGCTCTCCTTCTCTACCCAAACTCTCCAAACTAACCCAATTCCTCGTTTTCTCCCTTCCTCCTCCTTCCACTTCGACTGTCTTCCCCAGTCTCCTCCACCTAATCCCTACATTCCTCCATTCTTCGACATCTGTCAACCCACTCTTTCTCCTCCTCAACTTCAATCACCTTTCACAATGCGCGAAATTGTATGTGGTCTACCCCCCTCCGTTGTTGTCCGCCACGGGAGACGCGTCGTTTAGACTTGACTCCCCTGATGCGCCCCCACCAGTTGTTCAATATAAGGATCATGCAGCTAACCTAGTCTTTTCCCACCCAACAGGTTCACCTCCAGACCGGTCAGTGTGTAAGTGAATTCGTGCTGGGACACACAACCTTTGCGGTTCGATATAATTATGCAGTGGACTAAAACATGGGTGCTGGTGACAGGGTAACCAAATTGGTGCCGCTTTCTGGTATGTCGTCTACTCGAGTGAATGGAACCATGACATGTTCTGTAGACTCTCACCCAGAGTCAAGAAAATTACTGTCAAAGCTTCTCTGTGGTCAATTGAGCTAACAATCTTCCAGGCAGACCATCTCTGGTGAGCACGGCCTCGATGGCGCCGGTGTGTAAGTGCAGACTTCCCGGGCGGCAGGACCAGCGGGTCGCGGAAAATGGTGAAGGATATTAATGGAAAGGACAGTTACAATGGCTCCTCCGACCTCCAGCTGGAGCGCATGAACGTCTACTTCAACGAGGTTCGTCTTCGAGTCCTCCCTCCGGCTTTCCCGCATCAGCTCCTGACTGCTTCACCAGGCTAGCGGCAACAAGTATGTTCCCCGTGCCGTCCTCGTCGACCTCGAGCCCGGTACCATGGACGCCGTCCGTGCCGGTCCTTTCGGCCAGCTTTTCCGCCCCGACAACTTTGTCTTCGGTCAATCCGGTGCTGGTAACAACTGGGCCAAGGGCCACTACACTGAGGGTGCCGAGCTTGTCGACCAGGTTGTCGATGTCGTCCGTCGCGAGGCTGAGGGCTGCGACTGCCTCCAGGGTTTCCAGATCACCCACTCCCTCGGTGGTGGTACCGGTGCCGGTATGGGTACTCTCTTGATCTCCAAGATCCGTGAGGAGTTCCCCGACCGTATGATGGCCACTTTCTCCGTCGTTCCCTCCCCGAAGGTCTCCGACACTGTTGTTGAGCCGTACAACGCCACCCTCTCCGTCCACCAGCTTGTTGAGCACTCCGACGAGACCTTCTGTATCGATAACGAGGTATGTTCTGGGAGATATGGCTTATATGGGTGACACGGCCGGTATGGGTGAAAGGCGCATAAATTGACCGGATGATTGCTGTAGGCTCTGTACGACATCTGCATGCGTACTCTCAAGCTCTCCAACCCCTCCTACGGTGACCTGAACCACTTGGTCTCCGCCGTCATGTCCGGTGTGACCACCTGTCTTCGTTTCCCTGGTCAGCTTAACTCCGACCTCCGCAAGCTGGCTGTCAACATGGTTCCTTTCCCTCGTCTCCACTTCTTCATGGTCGGCTTCGCTCCTCTGACCAGCCGTGGCGCTCACTCCTTCCGCGCCGTCTCTGTTCCTGAGTTGACCCAGCAGATGTTCGACCCCAAGAACATGATGGCTGCTTCGGACTTCCGCAACGGCCGTTACCTCACCTGCTCCGCCATCTTGTACGCTGCCCGTATCCTATTGCGTCGTGACTTTCGTACTGACTGAATCTAGCCGTGGACGTGTTTCCATGAAGGAGGTTGAGGATCAGATGCGCAACGTCCAGAGCAAGAACCAGACCTACTTCGTCGAGTGGATTCCCAACAACATCCAGACTGCTCTCTGCTCTATCCCTCCCCGTGGCCTCAAGATGTCCTCTACCTTCATCGGTAACTCGACCTCTATCCAGGAACTCTTCAAGCGTGTGGGTGATCAGTTTACTGCCATGTTCCGTCGCAAGGCTTTCTTGCACTGGTACACTGGCGAGGGTATGGACGAGATGGAGTTCACTGAGGCTGAGAGCAACATGAACGATCTCGTCTCCGAATACCAGCAGTACCAGGACGCCTCCATTTCCGAGGGCGAGGAGGAATAGTAAGTTTCCCGACTGTCGCGCCGGAGATAGAGTGACTAACTCTGTCGCAGCCCCGAGGAGGAGATCCTTGATGAGCAGGAGTAAACATTTGGCCGTCAAGAATGACGCAAAGCGGGACATGCGCTCGTTAATACCCTTGATAAGCTTACATTCTCAAAGGACGTTGGCTCGTTGTACCGGTCATTGTCGGTGAACTATTTCGTTTGAGCGCCTTTAATTTCCCCCTTCCTGTTTTTTAATTACCGAGGCCGATGGAAGCCTGAACCAATCCAAATCAATAGCACATAGTTCGAAGCAATTTATAGTTTATTGCTTCATATGCAGCGTATGTGAGCCGCTTCTGCTCGCCTATGGGTTTTCTGCGGTGATAGCATCCGGGCTTTGAACTTGTAGGAACACCTCGTAACGCCTATTGAGACATGTGGAAGGAGTAGAAAATACCGGGCTACGGATAAGCGGTTGGCACACAGTGGCTTGTACATTACCCACAGGAGGTGAAGCGATACAGGTGATATCAGTCACGTGACTTGCTTTCGGCAAGCAAGCATCAAGTTGGGTATACATGAAGTCCCCACCAATCAGCACGCTGCCATATGCTGCCGGCGCTAAGCAGAGCGCCCCAGGCTTCAAGGTTCTTCAGGTTCGGGTTCTTAAATCCCTGCCGGGCCTTTTAAGACTAGCTACTACGTAGCTGGATTACCGTACAGACTATGAGTATATGGATCATCTGTCCGCCCACCCGCTACAGCTTTTTTAAGCGGGGCCAAGTGATGTATATGTATACCTTTAGGTTATGTACTATACTGTACATGAAACCCTCCCGGTGCCACTCCGGCGACAACTGGCACTGGTTCGAGTGCTTGAGGATTATTTGGAGGTAGGCGCGGCTTCCTGCCTGCTTAGCTTTGCTTCTTAATTGTTTTGGTGGGTGTGGGAGTCAGTGGGTGCTGCGAGCACGGCCAGGTACAGTACAATCCAATCCGAGCGGGTGGTGGTAAGATGCCAATTGTGGGGGGGGGGGGGGGGTCATTTTGAAAAAGTTAACTAAGTAGGTGGGTTCCTATTGAGTATTCTGTAATTGAGATTATACGGGATGGCTCCAAGAGGGGGTAAGTAATGTACTCTGCGTAGTATGTTCCTCCGTCTGAGAAGACATCCGCTTCTTGCTGTGGCTCGTCTATCTCCCTGATCGTTGGGGAAGGGGATATGAAGAGGGTTGAGGCTTCCATACAAGGCACGTCAGGGTATTTCTAGCTTTACCTGAGGGTGAGTGAGGGACCGGGATGGAAAGTTGTATAGTTTTGATTACCCTTCTTCATTCAATTATTTTTTTTTCTCCAGAAACATTGAACCGATAACCAGTCACATTAGGTAAGAAAGTCAAATAGAGGAAGCCTTGAAAGGGGGAATAGAACCAAGAAAAGAAAAGTATATACATATTCACAGTAAAAGAGGGGGATATCAAAGTGGTAGAGACCTGAGAAAAAGAAAAGGGATATAGTCCAGAAAAAAAAAAAGAAAAATTAGGTAGAGTGGTGGTTTCACCCTGTCCGAGAAGTAACTGGTCCAGTCACCATTTACGCCTTCAGTTCTACCGACTCCTCGTTGCCGGCGGGCGTGATGCTGCGCTTGGAAGAGCTCTCGGCGTGCTCGGGGCTGGTGCCGGCGATGACGTCGCGGGTGATCTCGACATAGTCGTACTGTTTGCTAAGGGTTAGTTTTTCTGCTCAATATGATGGAAGGGCTCAAACATTGGGAAGACATACGGCAAATTCACCGATCTCGGCGTCATCAGTACCCAGGATCTCATCTTCCTCGGAGATGCGCAGGTGGAGACCAGGGATCAGGTTGATCAGGAAAAGAATGATGCAGCTGCCGAAGAAGGAGTAGGCCATGCCGGAGACAGAGTCGGCGAGCTGGTAGCCGAGCTGGACGTAGTTGTGGTTGATCCATCCACCGTCGATGACGGTGGAGCCATCGAGATGAGCAATGTAGTCACTAGCATAATGTTAGTGGGGTGCTGGCAGCGGAGACATAGAAAGAGACATACGCCGCAAAGATTCCGGTTAAAAGGTTGCCAACAAGGCCGCCAATACCGTGGACAGCGAAGATGTCCAGGCTGTCATCAATTTGGATCACATATTTCAGCTTGGTGGCGTAGTTGCAGGCAACAGCACCGACCACGCCGAAAATGAAGGCCGCCCAAGGTGTGACGAAGCCGGAGCCTGGAGTGATGGCAACCAAACCGGCAATGGCACCGGAGCAGAATCCAACCATAGACCATTTCCTCTCAAGTCGGTAGTCCAGGAGACACCAGGTGACGCCGCCCACCGATGCAGCCAGATTGGTGACAACGGCCGCCATCACGGCGCGCAGGTTGGCAGCCAGAGCGGAGCCTGCATTGAAACCGAACCATCCAACCCAGAGGAAGACTGTGCCGATGACAACATGGGTGACATTGTGAGGGCGGTAGTTGAGCTCGTGCGTTCCATGGCCACGACGCTTTCCGAGCATGAGAGAGTAGGCAAGAGCGGCAGAGCCGGAGGCAATGTGGACGGGAGTACCACCGGCGAAGTCGAGACCTCCTAGCTTGAACACCCAACCGGACGCGTTCCATGTCCAACAGGCAAGGGGATCGTAGATGATGGTGGTCCAGACAAAGCTGAAGACCATGCAAGGAAGCATGCGACCGCGCTCAGCGACGGCACCGACTGCAAGGGCCACCCTGGTGTCATACTGTCAGATATGCAGCCTTATAACGGATCGTAGCAGGGGTTTACTCACGTAATAGCTGCGAACATTCCCTGGAAGACGGCGAACAGAAGATCCGGAACTTTAGTGCTGCCCACGGAAGGAGCTCCCAGCACACCCTTCATACCGAAGTTCTGCAAGTCTCCAATATAACTTCCAGCAGTGTGGGAGAAGGCTAGCGAATACCCCCAGAAGAACCATTGGAAAGATACCACCCCGACCGACATTATCGAGAGCCAGATCAGCGACAGAGCTGACTTGCGTCGAGCAAGACCGGAATAGAAGAAGCTGGTAGGGTTAGCTCTGGAGTTATTATATCGAACACTAGGAATGGTCCCATACCCGACACCCGGAATCATCAATAGCACCAGGGCAGTGGAGGTAATCACCCAAGCAATGTCCCCGGACTGATAACAATTAGCAAAGGCTAAGTATCAAGCGCCTAAGGAGCTTACACTATAATAAATGTTGAGGTCTTCCGTCAGGGAATCACCACCCGTTGCACCCGTGCCATTGTAGGCAACGGGATACGCCGACATCGTGAATCTCACAAGATGCACGGAACTTGTTACAGGATCGAAGAGAAAGAACTGTGGGTTGCAGCCTGTCTACCACAGCTTGGCAAGAGGTTCAAGTATTATCGAACGCGCAGGCGGTGCCCAAGCGTAGGGGGTCTCGAAGGCAATGGAAGGAACAGGCACGTATTAGACCGACAGCAAGGAAAGCAAGTAGGGGAAAGTCCGGGCACTGATGGATGAATAATTGAATCTGAGCTGTTACCGATTTAGGATGACTCGGTTGCTGATCAATAATAGAAAGAAAAGTATAGATTTCAAATATAATTAAGAAAAAAAAGAGAGGTCAGATCAGGGGGAGATGCAGGAGTGATAAATAGTGGTGATGATAGTCGGCGGCCGGAGATATTACCAGTCAGATGAAAAGCGCCATCGTCTCACTTGCTTCGAACCCTGGAAGGGCTCCACATCATCGGAGCCATTCTGGGGGATGTCCTCTTTCTTGGCGACAGGATTAGTTTGGTCTTAATACGATGCGATATCTACTGATAGATATCGGAGGACTGGCCATGGCGGCGGATCCAGACGGGTGGAGTTGCTGGAGGAGAGCCATCACGGACCAATGTTATTTCTCACATTGATTGACTTGGCAGTATTCCTCTGACCTGCAGCTGGCTGGGATGACTCCTTTTCATTTTTCCGATCTGTCGAGAACGTGGATGCGCATGTTGGGAGTAGAGTTCCACGGCATTGGCTTGTTCATCGTGCATGGACGCCTAATCCATCAGCCATGGCTGATGGCTGCATGTCGGTTACATGTCGGAAGCGGCAAACAGGCCGGTAGACTCAGAGTGATAGCAGTAGGTATGCTTCGTGATGCGAAACTCAAACGCGGAGGGAGATTAGGGATTTCATTGACAGAAGAGGGTCAATAATGCAAATGCGCGGGAGTATGGATAAGGAGAGAAGTCTATTCAGCCCGGGAGAAATCCTTCAGTTTCAAGCAGCATCGGGACTGGCTGGAGATAGTCATCCATGTGTCTTATCAGTGGTAAATTAAGAGTTAGTCAGGTAGACAATTGCATGCACAGGTGGTAAGGGGTCAAAGAGAGTTCCTTATCTCCCGCCAGATACGTATGTTGGTATGCCATTGAACTGACAGGGCTGATTCTTGGATCCTGGCGGACTTGCCATCCTTCGTGAAGCTCCATCGGGAGGCGCAGTAATGACCACGAGGTTTTTCCAAACCTTGCAGATCTGCCCCACTGGCGTTCTGAACTGTAGCTGTACAGTGAGTACGGAGCACAATTGAATGAGTTGGTGCAATGGGATGGGAGTCTGGTGGTTGTTCCTAAACCTTCCGAGAATGAAGATGAAACTCCTTATCTTCCTCCGTTGTGGCAACCAATCACCATCGGCTCGGGTGGAAGTCTTATCTACCACACAATCTACAAGGCTGTTGATTACGAACGAACCAAACTACCTCCTATTGAACTTATTATCACTCGACCTGCTCGTCCTTGCCTTGACTCAGTCACCATTGACGACGCCAAGAAACCAGTCACATTACGGAGTAGGTAGTTCGCTATATCTGACACCGCAACTATGCTGCCAGGTGGTAACTTAACTGCTTATGCAGCTCCCGAGTTCCATCTACAAGTATAGCTAACTACAGCATCAATGTTCCCCATGTGGTCCGTTCATCTGCGAAAGCTTGATACGCCACTCCGTACGAGTAGAAATACATACTCAAGTCTACCAGACAGGAAGCGCTCCAATGTTGTGGTAACTCGACGATCACACGGTGCCCGACCCGATCGCTTCGGCCGCTTCCAGCGCAAACGCAAACCGAGCCTTGAGATCCTCCACAATCTCGACCCCGACACTAACGCGCAGCAAATCGGCCGGTACGCCGAACCCCGCGGCCCACTCTAACTCCCGATAGTACGCGAGAAGAACATAAGGCGACGTCAAGGTGAACTTCGTGCCGAGACTCGGCCCTTTGGCCGTCTCGATGCGATCAAAGGATGCCACCGTATGTTCTTCTTGTGAAACGTGAAAGACAGCAAACTTCCATACCCGCCCGTGGGGTCCGACACTCATCATAGAAACGTTTCGTCGGAATATACTTGGGGTGACAGACGTCCTTGACTAGCGGATGGGCTTGCAAAACTTGGCAGATGGCCTCAGCATTGTCGTTTATTATCCTGATGCGCGCCACGACGTCCCGGCTATTGCGCTCCATGAACAAAACGTCCTCGACCCAATAATTGTCATCCTCGAAATCCGCTTCGAACGCCCGCTTCAGTGGCCAATAATACCGGCTTTCGTATTTTAGGATAGCGCTGCCACCCATCACGTTACAGTCGCCTGAGAATATCTTCGTGAGACTGTTGACCACCACGTCGGCCCGGGCAAGGAGCTGGACATTGACCGAGTTGCCAATCGTCTCGTCCACCACCACAGCGAAGTCATACTTGTGGGGCAATTGGCGCATGCGCCGGAGATCGGAGCTCTTCAGCATTGGATTCCCGGGAAATTCGCAGAACAAGGCCAGGTGCCGTTCGCCAGCCCGCAGGCGGGCTTCTAGGTCGTTCAGCTCATCCGAGGAGCCATGCCCGTAGAGCAGACATCCCGGGCCGAACTTCTGCAAGACTTTCAAGGTGTCGGCATGCGGGAAACCAAACGAGATGCTCTTCCGTTGGCCTCGGACCGCGAGCAGCAACCAGTGCGTATTGAAAATGGCATCCATGCCGCACGGGTAGAGGTAAACGTCGTCGTCGGACAGTCCGGTCACTCCCCGTGAATTGGTTTGTGAGCTCGATTTTTCGACTGCAGCTGTAGATGTAGGATCCATTTCATCTACCAGGTAGCCTGCTAGGCGTCGACGAATCGCTATTCTGGCGTTGTCGACAAATGAGAGATCTAAGTTTGGTCCAAATCGCTCCTCCAGGAACTGCGTTTCTTCCCAGCTCTCTGTTGCGGCCTTGTGCTTGTCATCAAGTCCAACATTTCTTGGTCCAGTATTGACGTTCTTCTCTGCTTCGGGAGATGTTCGACGACGATCTATGGCGGAATCTCTTTGATACCCTCTTGGGCGTCTTCGTAATTCGCTATCGGCTGCGACTGTTCCTACGTCTGCGATGCCGGTGCGGTGTGCGCAGAATCCATCACTAGATACCCTCCTCAGAAAGTGCGTGACAGAACTCTGCTTGTCGACTTGAGATCCTGTCTCCGAAATTGCCAGTACTGTTTCGCAATTGGGAACAGATCCTCCTGAAGTATAACGGCGGATATTGAGGATGACACCTTAGCAATGGCTATCGGTTGAGTCGCCGAGCTCTTACTATCGAGACACAAATCAATTATCTTGACATTCCCAGCCAGTCCCTTCTTCGTCGCTTTTGCCTCGATAGTAATGATAATGAAGTCACGACATCTTTCAGTAGCCTTGTGGGCTGTGAATAACATCATGACAGTAGTTCTTGTTCCTTCTGAGCAGTATCTGGTCACGATGTCATCTGCAAATGCAGCAATGAGTTTGTGGATATAGGATCATGGTCAGCCATTGAAGACTCCGTCCATCACGCGCTTGGCACCTTTCTCATAATCCACGTTATCCATCCATATTGAAAGGGACATGCTCACAGCATAAGCAGTAAGAGAAGGAATTAAGTCACCCGGGTCTATGGTTGACGACACTATTCAATAAAATAAAGATAAAGCTGATAGATTCCGAAGTCACAATGCAACTGAAGCAGCCAACCATTGTATATGTTGATTCAAGCTTATCAAAGCTTTTCAGAATACAGATATTCACTTTTTAAATGGACTATGAGAGCACAATTCTTCTGTCTTTCTGTACGTCTGTACGCAAATGAGAAAGTGCAGGGTTAAGTACTTGGAGGAACTAATGACTGTAAGCAATAAGCATGTCGGGGCCACTGAAGTGATTCGTTATATCTATTCTCTCCACAACGCTCTCGCTCTCACATTGTTATCTCAATTTTCTGCCTGCTGTTCGACCTGACAGATCAATCAACGTGATACTCGCGAGTGAACGGGCTTTAGGCTGATTCGGTTTGTGTCCGTAGGCAAAGGCTCGCTTTTCTCCCCGGTTATTGCATGGTGGGATATGACTTGAAAGCATCAAGAGCCCGTCCGACGACTGACATTCGAGATTATCTCGCTTCCTTGGAACCATGACTTTACCGACAGTCGGGTTTAGACAGACTTATTCGTCACATCATTCAATATGCTTGGCTTATCATTGGGATCTTTCTTGCTTTATAGCCTACTGGGAGTGTTGCATAGGGGAACCCACCTCAAGCCCGCAGCGCTACCTTCTCAACATTGTTGTTCCCCAACCGCTGGATCAATTGACCTCAAACGAGACTCGTGCTTGCATCTCTGTAAGTTTTGCGGATAAGTGCCTTTTCGCGCCCCAGCACCCGAATGTGTAAGGATAGTTGTGTGTCGCCGTGGAACCCAAGACGGCGCGGCGCGCATAACGTCACCATTGCTGGGAACTTCGGCCAGCGCTCTGAAGATGAAAGTACCAATTCTTCCCTGCGCAGGAGCATTGACCATGCACTTGGGCTTCTCTATCAACTGCAGCGCGGGCTTTCAGATCTGAGGCACTAATGCACGCCCCTCGCAGTCCATGCGTATGGTGGGTTGATCAATACCAATATGGAAATTGAGAGACAGCCGTCTATTTCCTCAAATGCAGATCATCGAAGGATCATCGGGATCAAAGAGCATGCGCCAGTGTTGATCTTCCGGCATTAACTAGAATGAGCGCTGATGTGGACAACGGGGATCTGGTATCATGGCATGGCAAATAATTTAAAGTATACAAAGCACTCCGCAAACCCCGTAGTGTCATGAGTACAGTACACTCGCTGCTCCACACTGGTGCTTCGCTTGTGAAGGCTCTGAATAAGCTTCAGGACCTGGTGGCAATGTCACGAGAATGATACACGAGTAGTGACCTATCATCGCAGACCACGCGTCCTATCCAAGTCTTGAAAGTTGATTTACTGTGTACATTGTTCTCAGTGATTGCATGGTACGAAGGTGGACAGTCACAGGGAGATTGGTGTGGCGGTGATGTGCTTAGTCATGGGCGGTGGGCAATCCTTGATTCCGCTTCTAAATGAAGCTCTCTTGATTCTCCCTCCGAACAGCGTCTCCGACGTCGCCCAGTCATTGGCATTGAGTGCTATGTCACATTTCTCATCGCGCTGAGCACCCATCGATAGTCTGAAGTGATTGTTTTAGCTCAAGCCACACGGCTGAAGACGCAGACGCGTTTGCCAAGGACTTTTTGACCGGTCCAGCAGCAGAAGCATGCACCGCCACAGCCCCTATCTATCCGCTTGAGGCTTTCCCTCCCAACCCGCTCTCTAGCACTGGCCATGCGAGATGGAGTCCCAGCAAGATCGTGGGTTCCAGATCATGGAGCATCCTGATATGAACAATCATGACTCGGATGGCTCCGGCTCCTCCGACGAGCTGCTGCAACAGCCCTACTCACTCCGGTCGGACTCCAGCTTCACGGAGAATTTCGACGGCCAGATCCCAACCCCCGCGTCGACCATCGCCAACTCTCCTACTCCATCCCTCCCCAGCGGTATCCCTCCATGGGTCACGGGCACACCATCACGCCCGCGGGGTGCGAGCGTTGGTGCCTCCGCTCTCGACAAAGCACAACCTGTAGACGGTCTGCCAGGTGACTTGAGGTCGCAACGCCCGTCCGGCCCCGCTCGGACACCTTCCAACACCTACGCCCCTCAGCGCCGCCCGCCCCAATACATCAGCTTCCAGAATGACCGTCAGAGATCCTCGTCAACGAAGCGAACCCCCCGCAGGGACCCGAACGCCCAGTATCGAGCGCAGGAGAAGGCGTATGTCCAGCGCATCCGGGCCGACCCACAGACATGGTACAACCATTTCGACGAAGCTCAGAATATGAGCCCGGGAATCGGTGACTCGGACCTGGAGGAACCCTCACCGTCGTCAGAAGTTCCATTCGAAGATGATGCCTACGACCCTGACATTCAACTTTTCCTCAACGACGATAACCTGCCGACGATCGATGAGCTGAAGAACCCGAGAAACCAGGAAAGGCTGGAGTGGCACTCCATGTTGTCTTCTGTCTTGAAGGGAGATGTCGTCAAGCAAGAGAAACAACGTCTTCTAGGGTCTACGGACTCCAAACGGTCCTCCGCCCAGAATAATGCGATATGGCTGGGTGTTAGGGCAAGAACGTGCGGGCGCAGTGTAGCTTTGCAGCGGAAGCTGATCGAAGAGGCCCGGAGTGGACTGGGACCTATCATCGAAGAAATCATCAAGTTTGAGATCAAGGGTGAGACGGAGATTGGGAAGCCTCCCATTCAACAGGTCGAGGACATTGTGGGACAGATCGAGAGATGTGAAAGCTTGTATTCTACTCACAAAGAGCTGGAAAGCGCCCACCCCCGCATTGCTTCTGATGAATTCCGATCCAGTCGCGATGCTGTTCTTGCCTGGCACAATACAACGATCTTGATCAACACTGAACTTGCCATTCTGCAAAAGTGGGTCGGCAACGACGAGCTTGACTTCAGCAAGCCAAGGACAAAATCAATCAACAGTGATCTTACCGACGAATCCTCTTTCTTGGACCGGATCATGAAGGAAGACGGGCTGAGAACTCTCCAGGGGAGACAGAACATGCTCAACGGTGTGGGCGAAGTGATTCAGAAGGCGAAGAACACCTTGATTGAAAATGCCAGCTCGTTTGCCAAGCGTCATTTGCCGCCCTATATCGAGGAATTACTTACCTTGATCAACTTCCCATCGCGTCTCATCCAAGAGATCATCCGCATGCGACTTTCCTATGCAAAGAACATGAAAGATCCTGCTCAGCAGTCCCCAATCTTGGTGGATCAGATGCTTTCACAGTTTCAGATCTTGATGAAAGTAGCGGTGGATATCAAGCAACGATATATGGATATCGCCAGACCTGAGCCTGGCTGGGACTTGCCCCCTTGTATCGATGAGAATTTTGACTCGGTTGTCCTGGACGCCATGAAGTACTACTTCCGACTCCTCAATTGGAAGCTGAATGCAAACAAGAACACATTCAAGGAAGCGGAAATTCTGGAACAGGATTGGGAATTCTCTAATGAGGTCGGACGTCAACTTGATGGAGGTGACATTGAGGTTGCTGAGCAATATAGGTACGGGATCTCTCGGACCACGATGTGCATGTTTGCTAACTTCTGATCAGTGCCTTGACTGCAAAGTCTCTTCAACGCTTGATGATCCATTTTGAACGGGAACTGACGATACGTCCGAATGAGGATCCCATCGACATGGATAAGCGGTATAAGAGCGTTCTCGATTCTACACGTATTCGCCAACGGAAGCTCTATCGTTTCTCCCGCTTCTTGCGCCAATTGTTTGAAAATGCAACGGAGTACAATTTGCCAGCCGACATTGCCTATGACTTCCTGGAAGCGCTCCTCGTATCGGACCATTTCATTATCAAGTCTAACTCTACCACGGGCCAGAAGAACGTCTATCTCTTTGCGCATCCTGCCTTGTGGGGTCGGCCCGCAGATCTACAAGCAATCATGGGCACATCCTTCCGTGATGAAGATGCTTCGAAAGACTCCCCTCACGTGCCCTATATCTTGGTCATTCGTCCAGAGAAGCCATTGGCTTGGGCTGGCAAAGAGATGCAGCTCGAAACCATGGAACACCCCACAGACTTGCGATTAGGGAAATTGCGCCTCGTTGTTGAGGGCACTCAGCAGCGCCTGGCTAATGCTCGGGCTGAATTGGCGCATCTGACTGGAACGCATCTCGACATGGCCATTGAGCAACGGGCCAATCTCGGTCGCGTTAATGTGGAACTCAATAAGATCAAGAAGATCTCATTCAAGCTGTCCATGACAATTATGGATAGCGTTGCAATTATCCGAAATCAGCTGAGAGAGAAGGGAGTAGAGAATCATGACCTGGTACAAGCATGCTATGCTTTTGCCACGGAATTCGGAAAGCGTTCTTCGAATGTTGACCCTAACAGACGCGCTATGAATAGTGCGAGACTTGTGGATTTGTCTCTTGATTGGGTCTCCTTCGTTTGCGACGACTGTGATGCTGCTGATCGAAAGACTTTCAAGTGGGCTGTCTCTGCCCTTGAATTCGCCATGGCTATTACCTCCAGCAGACATCTACTTTCCATGGACGACGCGCAGTTTGCTCGTCTACGACAGAAAGTGGCGGGGTGTATGTCACTCCTCATATCTCACTTCGATATCATGGGCGCTCGGTCTTCTCGTGCAGCTCAGGCAGAGAAGCAGCGCTTGGAAGAGCGCGCCGGCTCTAGAAGAATGGCCGCAGGCCGAGTTTTGACGGATGAGGAGGCGACCAAGCTTGTGCGAGAACAGCGTCTGGCTCACTTGATCGAGATTGAAGATCGGCGAGTCGATGAAGATGCGAAGCGTCAAGCACTCGGAAGAGTTCTGGAGGGATCCAATGAGGCTGATAGATCTCTTACCGTGCTCTCGTCTTCGGCTACGAATGTCACTCTGCGCTGGCAGCAGGGTCAGTTCATTGGAGGCGGAACGTTCGGATCCGTCTATGCTGCAATCAACCTCGACAGCAATTACCTTATGGCTGTCAAGGAGATCCGCTTGCAGGATCCTCAGCTCATTCCTAAGATTGCACAACAGATCCGCGATGAGATGGGCGTACTGGAAGTTCTTGATCATCCCAATATTGTCTCATACCACGGAATTGAAGTCCACCGTGACAAAGTGTACATCTTCATGGAGTACTGCTCTGGCGGGTCTCTTGCGAGCTTGCTCGAGCACGGCCGTGTTGAGGATGAGACGGTCATCATGGTCTACGCTCTCCAGCTTCTGGAGGGATTGGCGTACCTGCACCAGGCCGGCATCATCCACCGCGACATCAAGCCCGAGAATATCCTCCTTGACCACAATGGAATTATCAAGTACGTTGATTTCGGTGCCGCTAAGATCATCGCCCGCCAAGGAAGGACTGTCGCCCCCATGGACGCCTTTTCTGGCACTGGTCACAAGGACGCCATCGTACCCAAAGACTCTCAGATCCCCCAGAACAATTGGGGTAAGAACCAGAAGACTATGACCGGCACCCCGATGTACATGTCCCCCGAAGTGATCCGCGGCGACACCTCCAAGCTCATCCACCGCCAAGGCGCAGTTGACATCTGGTCTCTGGGCTGTGTGATCCTGGAGATGGCCACTGGCCGTCGACCCTGGTCGACCCTGGACAACGAGTGGGCCATTATGTACAACATCGCCCAAGGTAACCAACCACAGCTGCCGAGCCGCGACCAACTCAGCGACCTGGGTATCGACTTCCTCCGTCGTTGCTTCGAGTGTGATCCGCTCAAGCGATCCACCGCGGCCGAGCTCCTCCAGCACGAGTGGATCGTCTCCATCCGCCAGCAGGTCGTCCTTGATGCCCCCACGCCTGGCAGTGAGAACAGCGCCAGCAGTTCCACCTCGGGCAGCCGCCAAAACTCAACCTACGGCTAGTGCAGCCTGGTTTCCGTCCCCCCTCGACGCCTACCCAAGCTGTGTCGAATGTTTGCTTTCTGCCTGCCCTTCATGCATTCTCTCTGAAAAAAGCCGCATTTCCCCAGCCCCATCGCCATCATTGTTATCCCACGCAACACACTTCTTACCCCTACTACGCCTTTGATTCCGCATCTGATACCCTGCATACATTCATTTCTAATCCACCAAATCACTACTGGTCTTGTGGTCTGGTTTGCTCTTTTTTTTTTATTTTGCTCTTGGCTTCTCTCCTCCCTATACGAGTTGTCGGCATATTATACATACATATATTCTGGCCCTCTTTTTTTGCTTTTGTTTGGTCATCTCGACATACTACTATGAAAAGAGTTTGTCGACCTGCGATTTGTTGTTATAATTCCTCTATGGGAGGGGCAATATGTGTGTGGCCCTCGTCTTCGGCAATCATGCTGGATTCTGGGATTGTTTTTGTGTCTCGTATTGGTTCTTTGTTCGTACCACGCCCAAGCATACGAAGGAGCGTTTTCTTTTTGGACTTTTTTTGTGGCCTCTTGCTTTTTCGTTAATTATTCAGCATTATCTGCATTGAGAGAGAGAATACAAGTACAATACTTCTATGTTACCCAACTTGTTCACAGATGCTCTATTGATCACTCAATGAATTGGTAGAATCGGATTTATAGATGTTGAAACAATACATCCAGGATCAACGAATCTCTTATTATTATCTAGCTCCACTGAGTGGTAACTACTGCTCGGTGCTGGCGAGGCGCTTGATAATGGTAAAGGTGAATCAACCTTGGATTCACCGTGTCATCGCGTATTTCATAACCGCGAACACTATTGTTCCTAACTAATGCTCTTCGATATAGAAAATAAGAATAAAAAAGCGGATTTCGTGACCGAGGAGACTGATAAGTGGGGTAAATGGAGAGACCCAAGCAAACGATGATAAAAGCATACCATAGAGAATGGAATGAGAGTACATGCCCGACTTTCGCTCTGCTCGTGATAAACTGTTCATGATAGCCCTATAGAATGAGAAGAAGAAACCAGACGAGTAAGCATGGGTGATGGAAAAAGAAAACAAACAAGTCATGACCCGTAAGTGTGGTGTGTTGGGAGATAAAACTTTGACAACCATCTGTACGCCGAGCTGAAGAATTGGAAAGGCAGAAGAGAAGACTGGAAGGACAAAAGCGTGTCTTCATCAAGGTGACATGAAACCCCTATTGCGTTGGGGCCGATTGGCCGCTGGGATGGTAAAGCGGTCAAGAAACAACTCGAGAAGGGTGAAACGCTCCGCATTTCCGAGGTTCGAGACATCATATAGTAAACAGGAAGGTCATTGCCGCCGAAAGGCGGGGTATGGGTGTGAAAAGGAAGAATAAACAACAATTAAATGAAATAATGCCAGGGAAAGGGTTGATAGCCTGATTCAGGAATCATTCATGACCCCGGGCCAAAGTTGCAGGAAAGGGGAATTTAACGGAATTCCATGGCTGGAGTACAGCCATGGTCTTCCACATGCTTGAGCTCCAATTGTTGATATCTGAAGTAAAGTGGCTCAGGTTAGCACTAAAGATGTAGGTACTCTGCTCGGATGACTCACTTCTCGCTCTTCGCATGGAAGTATATGCCAGCAACAGTTCCCTCTACTTGATTGAAGCAAATGTAGTAGAACCCCTCAAAGCTTGCACCAGATATGGATCTAACGCGATGGTCGGGCACCAAGAAGTATTCTTTCCAGCGCATGAAGATGTGTTCACGTTGGGCGTAATTGCGATACGTGAAATCGGGTTTCCTTGCTTGCTTGGATAGCGGACGCCACGCAGGAAACCTGTTCCAATGCTGCATATCGGTCTTCTCTGTAGCGCCCCATGCTTCGTTCTTAGTCTTGAAGGTATGTTTCGTGCCGATAATTTCGCCCTCAAAGAACGTCGTGAGAGTGGGATGATCTTCCGTCAGACCTGCAGGTGTGGTTTACGTGAGTCATGGGCGGTATTAGACCCTTATGTTGCGGTCCACGCACCTTGTATGCGAAGATATCCACATAGATAAGAATCTTGCATGTCGACATGCTTTATCTCGACATCGACATTGTAGACTTGCCGATCGGATTGCTGCGTGCCAGTAAATTTACTTCCCGGGCGCAAGAAAGAGGAGGTATAGTTAGGGAGGAGCTACTAGAGTCAGACCAAGCTCGCGACCATGCCATTTGTAGTCTAGAACATACCCGAATATTAGAAAACTCGTAGCTTAACAGCGAGGTGTTCGATGATGAAGTGACCGACGGAGGTTGGCTGGTCGAGCATGATGGCTCTGCAGCCGGACTCAACCTCCCCGCGGCAGGCTCATCTTCGGGTTTTGCCACATCTTTCATCGGGCTACCACCGGACGAAGACTCGGCGGTTGAGCCTGTGGTCGCATCTATCAGGGCATTCTGCGCCGTGTGGGCCGCAGAGATGAGCTGAGACAAAGAGCTTTCGGACTCATCCCGATCGGAAAGAGTGGAGGGTGCTCGAGACTCTCTCCAGGAAGGCAGCCTCTCGACCTCGGGTGGGCAAGTGGAACGAGCGGAGAGTTCCTCTAGGCCTGACGAAGCATTCACACTGGATGTAATGTCACTCGGGGTCGGCATTGAAGGCGAATTAAGAAATGAATGACATCGGATCCGAAGCAGGTGCACTTATAGCAAGCGTGAGGGAGTGCAAGGAGACGGAGGGGGAGTTCAACAAGCAGGAAAAGCAAGCATGCAGTTCGTAACCAGGGCGTGGGATTCGGGAAGCCCGCAGGGTAGGAAAGGAGACTAGGATCAAAAGGGAATTATTCAAGGGAATCGGATAAAGAACCGAGCGAAGGTTGCAGGAGTAAGCTTGGGGTTATTGAGGGGAGTGGAAGTAGGAAAGGAGGAATGAATGGGGGGGGGGAGGGGGGAGGGGGCTCAAGAGGAGATGAATAGAAAGGGAAGTGTAGTTCAATTGATTTGATTGATGAGTCCGGGGGTTGCGCACCGCAGCCACTGCAGCAGCCAGCAGACATTGCCCAAAAAGGATAGGGCGGCTTTTTGTGATCATGCGAGCGCGGGGGAGGCGAACGGGGCAATCGGCGGCGCCTCGGGCGGTTAATCGGAGGGCTGCGCGCTGCTTTGATAAGGGAATAAAAAAAGGGGGGAAAGGGACAGATGAAGATGTGATACGATGCGATATGATATGATATGATATGATATGATCTTCAGCTGCTTCCCGCCCCAAGCCCTCTCCCTCGTTCCCTCACCCATCAACATATTTCACATTTTGTTCTCTGATATCACATAAGTTGGGCATTGTTCTGGTAGTAAAAGCCGTGGCCAATTGTACATGAAGCATGCTACGTTGGCTCTCCTGGCACTCCTGCATTGCGTCATTTCCCGCTTGCAGTTTCCGGACCTGGTCTTCGCCAGTTGCTACGCGCTACTACTAATTGGTGCTGCAATGAATGAAATCAGGTATATCCGCTATCATTTTGGGTGTCTTAAGCCAAATATCAAGTAACGCCTATGCCAATTTGTGTCCTTCTTCGTTCAATCATCGCGTGTGAATTCAAATAGGCTTGATCTGGACGAGGGACTCCTATTAGCCGAGATGCCTGGGGGGTGCGCACAAGTAAGGCCCAACTCACCTTGAAGTGAAGCGAGATAAGAGAGAAGATGAGAGCCTTCAAGTCTTGCACCAGATAGTAGAAGACACGGAGACCTTCAGGGTCGGCAGATTCGGTCACGTCCACCAAGGAGCCGATTTTCGCGGTCTGTCCAACAGTCAGGATGTATGAACCACGGTCAAGGATTGCAATACAAGAACCCACCTCGAAGGAGATATGTTCATTACCCAACCTAATTTCCAGTTCCTGGCGTCCATCCTTGTTCTTCTGAGGCCATTTGGAGTCGTCCTCCCTGGGTCGTGTGAGTATACCCAGCTCAACCAATATCCGGCAGGGTAAGGTAAGGCTTACTTCATGATCTCACTCTCCTTGATGATGCGCTTGACCTCCTGGATCATTGCCGCACTGACACACACTATACGACTGTATCAGCTCTTGTAACCCAGTATCACCGCACCTTGTTGGGAACTCACTTTCTTTGCGGATGAGGGAGTCATTGCGGTAATTGGAGTTGTTGGCATATCGGACGGCGGCACTGCGGCCATCGCCAAGGGTGCGGAAATCAAATTCTAGTGATCGTTAACTCATACATTCGCCAGCTGCAATGCTGAGAGGATACCAACCTAGAAACTCATGTCCAAACCGCCCAGAGTGACCTGAGCTGCATGGGCTGTCAGCAGCTGAGGAAACCTGGGCTTCATGCAGGCTGTCCTTACTAGTAGCGGAGATAGAAGGTCTCGCCTTGGCCTGACATATTGTGTGTATGGTTGACCTGCAACTTGGTGGCCGATCCAACCAGTCCGTCGAGAATGCTCCGGAGCAAGTGAAAATGATGGGCGCGTTCCTGGTGGGTGGAAGTGCCTGGTTTGTCGGGTTGGTCCAGGCGGGCTTAGTCATTCACACACTCCGGACAGCTTGCTCCGCCGCGCAAATGGCCAGGTTGAGCCTCGAATGTCCGCACCCCCTCCGATTGTCAACATCTTGCACTGATGAACGCTAGGCAGGTGAGGGGAGCCCAGCTATACTAATTCATTTCTTTCTGTCAGCCCCGAGTTACCAATTGGGGAGAGTTGACCTGGTGCGCAGCGCTGCCATCCCCTGAACCACCAACCCCAAACAACCACCTGTACTGACCACGCCTAAGCTCTCCTCCTCCCTCCTGACTTTCCCCTGTTACGGCCTTTCGCTTTCACCCACTCAATCACGATGGCCTCCTTCTTGGAAAATGCATACAGTCTGGTCCATTTGGACAACACTGCAGATCAGCCCTCGTTGCAGGAGCTGAAGCTGCAGTTGGAGAAGGGTACCGATGAGACGAAGATGGACACTATGAGGCGGATCATCACGATCATGCTCAATGGAGATCCCATGCCACAGCTGCTCATGCACATCATTCGCTTCGTCATGCCCTCCCGGAGCAAGTCTCTCAAGAAACTGCTTTACTTTTACTACGAAATCTGCCCGAAGCTCGACGCCAATGGCAAACTCAAGCAAGAGATGATCTTGGTCTGGTAAGGAAATGCGTACTTCTCTCGCCGTGGTCTAGACTTCCAGTTCTTGTCTAATGGTTGCTTTGTTCTACAGCAACGGCATTCGCAATGATCTCCAGCACCCCAACGAGTACATCCGAGGCAATACACTTCGTTTCTTGTGCAAACTCCGCGAGCCGGAACTCATCGAACCCCTCCTCTCATCCGCACGCTCCTGCTTGGAGCACCGCCACGCATACGTGAGAAAGAACGCTGTTTGGGCTGTCGCTTCGATCTTCCAGCACTCCGAATCCCTGATCCCGGACGCGCCAGAACTCATTCAGACTTTCCTCGAGACCGAGACCGACGGCACCTGCAAGCGCAATGCGTTCGCGGCCCTTATGTCGATCAGCCATCAGAAGGCGTTGGAGTACCTCTCGTCCACTTTCGACAGCATTCCCAATACTGATGAGTTGCTACAATTGGCGGAGCTTGAGTTCATTCGTAAAGATGCTGTGCAGAACTCTCAGAACAAGGTTGGTCGCAGAACATCAATGGTTGCGCAGGCTACTAACGGCTGCTTATAGGCGAGATATCTGCGTTTGATCTTTGACCTTCTGGATGCCTCGACTAGCACTGTCATCTATGAAGCTGCGACCTCTCTGACGGCACTCACCAGCAACCCGGTCGCCGTGAAGGCTGCGGCAAGCAAGCTGATTGAACTCTGCATCAAGGAGGCCGACAACAACGTCAAGCTCATTGTTCTTGACCGTGTTGATCAGCTGCGCATTCGCAACGAGGGTGTTCTGGATGACCTCACCATGGAAATCCTACGTGTCCTCTCCAGTCCCGACATCGACGTTCGCCGTAAGGCACTCGGCATCGCTCTGGAGATGGTGTCAAGCAAGAATGTTGAGGAGATCGTTATGCTGCTAAAGAAGGAGCTCGCAAAGACTGTTGATGAACAATATGAGAAGGTAAGCTTATCGTCCTGCTTTGACAAATCCAAAGCTAACAGCATATGCAGAACAGTGAATACCGCCAGCTGCTGATCCAGTCGATACACAACTGCGCCATTCGTTTCTCGGAGATCGCTGCAAGCGTTGTCGACCTTCTGATGGACTTCATCGCCGACTTCAACAACAACTCGGCCGTCGACGTAATCTCTTTCGTGAAGGAGGTTGTAGAGAAGTTCCCCGCCCTCAGACACTCCATCGTTGACCGGTTGGTCTCGACCTTGAGCGAAGTTCGTGCGGGCAAGGTCTACCGGGGCGTTCTATGGGTTGTTGGTGAATACTCTCTGGAGGAACGCGATATTCGCGAGGCGTGGAAGCGTATCAGAGCAAGTCTCGGAGAAATTCCCATTCTCGCCTCGGAACAACGTCTCCTTGACGAGGTACCGGAAGACGCTACTTTCAAGGATCAGCCCAATGGTCACAGCAAGCCGGCTGCTCCGACCGGATCCCGCAAGGTGCTGGCTGACGGCACGTATGCCACTGAGAGTGCTCTCACTAGCCAGTCGGCTGCTGCTGCCCGCCTTGAAGCTGTCAAGGCCGCACAGAAGCCTCCTCTTCGTCAATTAATTTTAGACGGTGACTACTATCTGGCCACTGTCCTTTCTTCCACTCTCACGAAGTTGGTTATGCGTCACTCGGAGGTCTCCCAGGACGCCGCCCGTACTAATGCTCTGCGGGCAGAAGCCATGCTCATCATGATCTCCATTATCCGCGTGGGCCAGTCTCACTTCGTCAAGGCACCTATTGATGAAGACTCAGTAGATCGCATCATGTGCTGTGTGCGCTCACTTGCCGAGTTCTCTGAGAAGAAGGAGCTGGAGACCACCTTCTTGGAAGACACCCGGAAAGCGTTCCGCGCCATGGTCCAGGTTGAGGATAAGAAGCGAGCCGCCAAGGAAGCTGTTGAGAAGGCCAAGACTGCTGTGCAAGTAGATGACGCTATTCCCATCCGGCAGTTTACGAAAAAGGCAGCTCTTGAAGGCGCGGAGGAAATCGAACTGGATCTCGCCAAGGCCACTGGCGGTGACTCGACCGTGGAGACTGTCTCCTCGAAGTTGAGCCGGGTCGTCCAGCTGACCGGCTTCTCGGATGCCGTCTACGCTGAGGCTTACGTTACAGTTCATCAGTTCGACATTGTTCTGGATGTGCTGTTGGTTAACCAGACCCTCGAGACCCTGCAGAACCTTAGCGTCGAATTTGCAACCCTGGGCGACCTCAAGGTTGTCGAGCGACCTACTACACACAACCTCGGACCCCGCGACTTCTTGAACGTGCAGGCTACAGTCAAGGTATCGTCAACGGATACTGGTGTGATTTTCGGCAACATTGTCTACGACGGAGCTAGCTCAACGGAAACCCACGTGGTGATCTTGAACGACATCCATGCAGACATCATGGACTACATCCAACCCGCGCACTGCACTGAGACTCAGTTCCGTACTATGTGGACAGAGTTCGAGTGGGAGAACAAGGTAAACATTAACTCCAAGGCCAAGAGCCTTCGAGAGTTCCTCAAGCAGCTCATGGAGAGCACCAACATGGCTTGCTTGACTCCCGAGGCCTCCCTCAAGGGCGACTGTCGGTTCCTGAGCGCCAACCTATATGCCCGGAGCGTATTTGGTAAGTGTCGACCCTCTCCAGCAATACGATTTGTGACCCTGTTGCTGACCGTGGATGTACTACAGGCGAGGACGCTCTGGCGAACCTGAGCATTGAGAAGGAGGGTGATGATGGACCGATCACCGGTTTTGTGCGGATAAGAAGTCGTTCTCAGGGACTGGCTTTGAGCCTGGGGTCGCTGAAGGGCCTCAAGGCATCTGCGGCATGAATCAAGTGTTGCCTTTGACTCGTATTTGAATAGCCATTACCCTGTTGTTGCTGGACCCACCGATTTATCTGAACTTATGCACCTATTCACTCTTCTGTGTTCTTCTAATGGACGAATTTTTGTTGATTATTATGCCTCTTCCTGTTTTGTACCGGATGAGAAAAGACCTTATTACTCAATGAAAGATTTCTTAGAATTCCACCCAACCCAGGATCGGTTCATTGTTGTCGTACTGTAGGCTGTTCGTTCCAGTTCTGGGCCAAAAGTATGCGGGATGGCGAGCTGAAACCAATTGGTCCGATGGTGCAGCAGTGGAGTGTTTCCAAAGAGGCGCTGGTTTGGTTCCGCAAATGACAGGAGAAATCCATTCCACAAAATTTGGGAAATTCTGGAATCGGATCTGGGGATCGTCTAGAAATCGAAAGGTACGTACTCGTAGAACAGAGGGAGCGGGAGAGAGAGCGAGAGAGAGAGAGAGAGAGAGAGACGCAGAGGCGAAACTGACCAAGTGGAGAGAGGGTCCGGTGGAGGGACGGAGGGACCGTTCGTTCCTGAGCCTTGCTCGATAAAGACCGGGCATAATCTCCGTTCCGCTTTGGTCTGGTTTGGTTAACCTACTTCTCTCTTTCTCTTTCCCATTTTCCACCTTAAACCCTTCATGTCGCTTTCCTCCTCACCTAAGACTACTACTACTTCTTATCTATTGCCCGCTCTGCTCTTATTCTTAGATTATTCTTATCCTGTTTTTGGGTATTGTTTGTTCCCGTATCCTTACTTTGCCTTTTGTTCATTGGCAGTTCTTCCGAATCTCCTCCGTCTGTGTCGCCCTCTCTCGGCTTTCCTGCCGGGCTTTATCATGGCTACCACGACCGCCGATAGCAATTCGCGGCCCTCCTTCAACACCGCGGATGTCTCGGATCAGCTCTTACAGCACGATGCCACCCTGGCAGTAGGCGACTCGATCACCCTAACACTTGGAAGCGATTCTTTGCTTGTTGTCGGTAGGTTTAGATGCTCAATGGCTGGCTTGAAATATTTGACTCCTTCGTTCCCGATAACTAACGACAACTTCGGGTGCGCGCAGACGAACGCTCCGGCCGCAAATCCGAGCGCGGATGCTGTACAGTGCGGATTCGGAAGGATGCAGGTAACTCCACCTCACAAAACCCACGACTGTAGTAAAAGCCCAGCAACCCTGGCCTGACAATTTTCCCACGCTTCTAGCTACCAGAATTTCCCACACTATTTCGCTGTACAATGTCTTGGACGCCGATCTATCGCCGGTTGGTTTGACGATCACCTATGCGGAGCCGAAGCACAAAGACGAAGTCTCCGTGGCCGCCCTTCAATACTCGATCCGCGAGGAGGAGAAGAGCGCCGCCGAAACGTGGATGAAGAAGTTACTCGATGCCGCCTACGGCTCCGCCCAGCGTAATAAGAGACTCAAAGTCCTGATCAATCCTTTCGGTGGCCAGGGTCACGCTGCCAAGCTGTATTCGACGTATGCAGCGCCCATCCTTGCTTCGGCACGCTGTCAGATTGACGTGCAGGAAACCACGCACCGCGGTCACGCAACGGAGATTGTGCAACAACTCGACATCAACGCGTACGATGCGATTGTATGCTGCTCCGGCGATGGGTTGCCGTATGAGGTCTTCAACGGATTGGCGCAGAAGCCCAATGCACGGGAAGCGCTCGCCAAGGTGGCCGTGGCCCTGCTCCCTGGTGGATCGGGCAACGCCATGACGTGGAATCTGTGCGGAACCGGCAGTGTCTCGGTGGCAGCTTTGGCGATCGTGAAGGGCTTGCGGACACCGCTGGATCTGGTGTCCATCACGCAGGGGAACACCCGCACGCTGTCGTTTCTGTCTCAGTCCTTCGGAATTATCGCTGAATCTGATCTGGGGACAGACGATATCCGTTGGATGGGGGCTCATCGTTTCACATATGGGTTTCTCAAGCGGCTCATGCACATGACAGTCTATCCATGCGACCTCGCGATCAAGGTGGTCATGGACGATAAGCAGGCGATCAAGAACCATTACAACACCTATGCGCAAAGCCAGACCGCTGGACGCCCTACCGAGCCCACTGCAGACCAGTCGGGTGGCTTGCCTGAGCTCGTCTACGGGACTGTACAGGATGAGTTGCCCAAGGATTGGGAGGTGATTCCGGCTGAGACTCTGGGCAACTTTTATGCGGGCAACATGGCCATTATGTCGAAAGATACCAACTTCTTCCCTGCATCGGTGCCCAATGACGGGCTTATGGACATTGTCACCATCGATGGAACCGTCAGTCGGCTGAGGTCTCTCAAAATGATGACAGAGATCCCCGAGGGAGGTTTCTTCGATATGCCCGAAGTCAACATCCGAAAGGCGTTAGCATACCGACTTGTCCCTCGGGAGAAGGAGGGATACATCAGTGTGGATGGGGAGAGCATCCCTTTTGAGGCCTTCCAGGGGGAGATTCACAAGGGTCTCGGTACTGTGCTGTCGAAGTCCGGGCACTTGTACGAGGCAGAGGGACCCAGGCCTTAGAGGGCCGAACCGGTCGCTGGAATACCTTTTTTGCTTCAGTTTTGTTTTCCAGTTTTTGCACTCCGATGATACCCTGGACTTTTGAGGAAAGCACTGGCTTGCTTTCTGTTTCGGGTTGGAACAACCTGTCCTGACAAGATACATACATAGTGTACACTACCTAGAGAAGAGAGAAGAACGGGTAGCTGATAGAATCTGTATAGATATTGTTATAAATTATTCAATGTTCAACCTCCGCATCTGCCGGATCGGAGCATCAAACAAGGATGACTTCCCAGAAAGAAAAATAGCATATACAAGTACAGTACATGAACCAAACTCCGAGTCGACCCTTTTCGCAAAGAAACTTTTGTTGTTGTATGTGTTCGTTCTCTCATCTAATCATCCCCGAACCCACCCCATTCCGCATCCTCATCCTCCTCTTCATCCTCCTCCTCATCATCATCACTATCACTCTCGACCTTCCGCTCCTTCCACCCCCATTCAACCAACCGATCATCCTCCAACGCCTCCGCCGCCCGCACCCGCACCGGCTTGTACGGACTCTCCTTCCTCAACCTCTCGAGCGGCCGCAACAACAACTCCGGCGGCACCTGCAGACCCTTAGGTTTTCTGATCGTCGTCCCCTCCTCCCCCGCCGTCGTAACCTCCTCAAACTCCAGCACCTTCTCCAACTCATCCACCCAGATATCCATCACATGGTACCGCAACCCATCCGGCCCATGCGGCATGGGGATGAAATCCTCCGCCTCGTTGGCCGGGGGCTGGTCCGGGTCGAAATTGAGGGGGCAGAGCGGCCCCTCCTCCAAAATGGCGAGGTAGGACTCCAGCGCGGCCAAATCCACCTCCCCGTCTTGTTGCTGTTCCTCTTCTTCCTGCGATTGTTGCTGCTGCTGCTGCTGTTGGCCCTTGCCCTTCCGCTTCTTACCCCCCTTTTTGCTGCTGCTGTTGGTGCTTTCCTCCTCCCGCTTGCGCTTCTTCCCGTCCGCGGTGGTCTCATTTCCGGAGGGTTGGGTGCTGGTGCCATTCCCCTTCAGAAACACCTCAAACGCCACCCCGACGTAACACCGGATCAGAAACAGGTACTTGTCCAGCCGGAGGCGGTCGATCGAGTGGAAGTCCCGCCCGATGGTCAGCCAGAAGGCGCGCAGGAACTTGTGGAGTGTGGGGCGCGGCAGCGTCGGCACGAGGTTGTAGGACAGCGTCCGCGCCAGGGCTTGTTGCGTGAGCGGGCGGTCGGAGTGGTAGAAGCCTTTCGTTTGTCAGTACTTTCATTTCGTTGGGGGCTCAGAGAGTTGGGGTGTAGGGTTATGGGGGCAGGGGGCAAGGGGCAAGGCTGCGCACAGAAGAAAAGTCCCTTCCAGAGTTTGAGGAGGTCGAGGTTGGAGAGGTCGGTTTTGGCGCGCAGGAACAGCGTGAGGGAGTTCGTGGCTTTGTCGCGGAGTTTTTTGTCTACCGGAATATTCATTAGTATTGGTTTTGTTGGAGGGGGTAGGGAGTGAAGGCGTGAGGGCGTACCGCTGGATGCGAGCTCCTTTATGAAAGGAGTTTTGCCGACGTCCGTCATGGTGGGAGGTTTCCGGGGACGATGCGCGATTGCAGTGGAGGTGTGGGTGGCTTTGAGGGGAGAGTCTGCTGGGAGTAGGCCGCTGGTGACGATCTTATTGTAGGATGACTGGAAAAGCTGGTGGGCTGCGTGATCAAGGATTGGAGTTTGTCGCGATACGGCGAGGACTTTGAAGCCATACACTTTTTTTTCTTGGGGAGATTGTGTCGGTGTTTGCAGTGTTTGATCGTGAGGGGCTGTTGATTGGTGGGCGGGAAGGTGCTGGGGCTGTGGGGCACGTGTGGGGCTTTTTAGTTTGAGGAATGGACTGCACTGCACTGAGTGGTGTAGCCCACCATGTAAGTATCATAGCTCATAACTTCTAAGTGTCTAGTATATACTCATATCTCACAGGTATATTTATATCGAACCGGAGATAGCCTAAGCAGTCAGACTTCTTCAGAAGGTGTACTCTGCCCTGACTCGGGCTTGATCTGACGGATCTCGAATCCACCTTCATCCTTATCCTCGCCCTTCTGCGGCCAGAGGATCTGCCGCGTCACGATCGCCCGAACCATCATGTAGCACACAAACAGCCACATCAGAATCAGAGGCGGCACCATCACGCATCCGATGATGTTGATCGCCTTGCAGGAGAAAGCCTTCCCAATCGCAAAGGTCGCCGTGATCAATGCTGTGTTCGGGAATACGAACGAGAACCACGCCATCGAGAAGACCATCTTTCCCGGCCCGATCGCCGACCAGTGCGCGAAGCTCGCGATGAAGAAGAAGAAAAGCGCTAGCCTAGAAAATGGACACGTTGGCTGGTGCAAAAGACAGGGACAAGGTATGGTATGCACTTACCCCCAGAGCCATAAACACGAGAAATCCGCGACCACCTTCACAATGTCCGCTGCTAGAGGCCCGTTGCCCATGAAATCGCTGGGGAAGCTTCGCTTCGCGTGAGACGCCATGTTGACGATGCCCGACACGGTGAAGCCACTGGGACCCACGGATACAAACATTCCGGGGCGGACGTTCTCCCGAGGAAGCTTTTGGGACATGAGCCGATAGATGAAGGCGGAGTAGACCATCAGTGAGACAAGGAACCCCACGCCTTGAATGGTGGTGCCCCCAATGATAATGCGGAGAGCACGAGAGGGTTCGAGGGTCGAGCTTAGGACTCCCGCGTGAGGGCCGATGATTAGCATAGGATATGCGGGGAAGATCCAGATTGGTGTCATCTGAGCGATCGTGAACGTCTGCGTTGACCACCTGCGCGAGAGAACATTAACTTTGCAGCCCAAGGAAAGGACGCCTGGGGTGCATTTACAGGATTAGATATATGGCTGCAGAAGAGATGACGGCTAGGGCGGCGTCAATCCAGAAGAGAATTCCCACCGCGTACGTGAGCCACGGACCGGTATGGTCGGGTCCATATTGCGAGATGTTGATCAGGATCGTGCCAAAGGAAACCAACGATGCAGGAACAAACAGAGACTCCGTCGGATGCAAGAACGATGCTTTGAACGTGTAAGGGTATAAGTAAAAGCGCGTAAGCAGCAGACACCAGATTATAACGTAGAAAACCAAGTTGAGAAGGAAGAATATGATGCCAATCGTCTCCAGGCCGCGAAATCTATAGGGAACTAGGACGAGATTAATTGACGAAGCGAATGTCCAGCGTGAAAATATTTGACTTACTAAAGTACAGAACGTTCGCAATCCCTCCCGTGGCCATGGTCAATGTGAAATAGGCCCATGTGAAGTGACGAAGCCGGCCTTTCCATCCGATTTTCGCCGTAGCCCAGTCCATTTCCCGTGGCCGGCGTTTCTCTTTGTTGCCGTGCGCTTCAGCCCGTTGATACGAAGGTTGGTTCAGCGCCTCAAGAGCCGAAGTATGCGCCTCGCGCACTTGGCCCCCTCTAGATGGGAATGGAAACGCCCCGAGATCATTCTGTGTGTCTTCGATCGTCGGTGTGCGATATCCTTCCTCCCCGCGATTGCGCGTGTGTCGGGGAGATAAAAGTTCGCTTGCCATTGCTGAGATCCCAACCTTTGCTTTAGTTGTCTAGGGACAATTGACATTCCACAGAATCAATCAGAAGAGAAAATGGTATCTTTCCTGGAAGCAGAGTTCGAAGTTTCAGGGAGCGATGAAGTCAGAACAGCCAGAGTGGAGACTCGTCCTGCCTTGGCTATAGGCTATACCTGCTGATACCAGTGAGGATCGAAGTCTACCGAGCACAAGAAATTGATAAAAGAACTTGGGAAGCCGGATCATGCCTCCAGAACGGCAGCAAGAGATGATAGTCGATCGCCTATTATACCGGATCTGTTGTGGCTGGTGCTTGCAAGCGTGCTGTTCAGGTGTTGGCACCAATCGTTTGCAAATGACGATCTAGGCCGGTCGATAAGTGGAGGAGCGAGCGAGCGTGCGGTAGGACACGCGATTCAAGCTTCTTCCCCTGGAGAAGTAGCGACATTCAAGAGTAAAAATACTCTTGTTGAGCCAAAGTTTGCTACGTAGGAACAGTTCAGGTTGAGGATTTTGTCTCCATCTCGGTTACCGGCACACGCAGCCTCATGGCGGCGGGGAAGCGGGAAAAAGGTCAAGGCACCCAAGCTTGCGGATCAATTGCAGGCGCTGCGTCATTGCCAAGAGACGGACGGATTCAGTTGCCCGCCTGTCTTTGATATGCGGAGGTGGAGGTGGAGGTGCGTGTTGCTCTGGCACATATTAAGTACAGTACAGTTTCACTTGCTATCAGTATTCCTCTCCCAAGTCAATGGTGAGATGAAGATTGGTGCGCCTCTTCCAGTTTACTTTCCCCAAGGGTCAAGTTCTTTGTTAGTCCCATGGATTGTGCTGTCAGGCTATTGGCTTCATTAGGTCTTGCTGGGCGAATGGCATTTTGCGAAAAATGGCTTGAGGCACTTTTCGACGTAGGACCTATGATAGCCCTGTGATTCTCCAGTGACAGACAGCAAGCAGGAAGTGGGTAGCGACCTAAAGATGTAAATATGTGCATGATTGCGTTGCTGCATGGGGGTGCATGCATCATTTGTTATGGATTCTTTATGTGCATTGTTACATAATCGGATGCTTTGCAGAACATCCGCTTACGTACTTGACACTCCACTCCGTTCCGGGGCCGGGGGATCTACACCTGGCACATACTTCACAGCTTAAAAGATATCGTATGAGTATCCATGATAACCTTTCATCAAGCTACTATGACCCCATAATGCTTTCCAAATGTGTATTCTACAAGGTTCCAGTTCTTTAAACACAACAGATTGTATCATTTTGTCGCCACGGTCTTCGACTCAAAGCCTGAAATTGCCAAGCATACACGAGACCGCTCATTTGAGCTCAAGAATGAGGAGTATTATACTTGTGTCCCCTGTGAATCATAATAGGTACAAGGACTTTAAGCTCTGCTCAAAGCCGTCTGGGGAGCATAGCGGATGATATGGTTGGGTAGCAACGACAGGGTCCATGAATAAGTATCTGCAAGCTTAGACGGATCTTCCGCATCCGGATCTTTCTGACGCAGTTTCCCTCTAAACATAGGACACAGAGCGGCTCGGCTCAGGAGCTGATTTCCGATGATTGCCTTCAAAACAGGAGATTCCAAGTGCCAGAGGTGCTCTGTGGATGCTACCTAGTTCGCTCCTCGTTACGACAATTGGCCCATTGTTACACATGGTTTATCATGACATCACCACTAGGAGCACTCGAAGCGAAGAGGTTTAATCAGTCTCCCGGCAGGGGATGGAAGGAGATTTTACCCTACCATGTACTGGCGCAAAACAAGTACCCCTGCTATTCATGGACAATCCCTGTTGCTCTGGTGGGGCACTTCTCTCGGCGAGCGAAGCAGTTCATATACCATCCCACCCTCTGACCTCTTTCCTTACTAACAATATTCCCTTCTATGCGCGCCTTCATCGTTCTACCTCCTCTCTCTCATCATCAGCGTTGACTCACCGGTCTCTGATCGAACGCTAAGCACCTCAGGCCATGGCTAGCAACAAAGAGACCAGTGACATCTCTCCCACCTCTTCGGCGGGAAACGGTCAGGATGACGAGATTACTCCCCTCAGATCGCCCAAGCTGGAGCGTGAGAATAGCACATTCTTTGAGCAAATGGACCCCGACCGCAAAGCCGAGTTGACTCGCATAGCCTCCAACTATCAGTCCACCTTTTCCCGACGTCAAACTACCGACTCAGGCGTTGGCGGGGCGAGCATTGAACGCAAGGATACTGTTGAGAACTTGGAAATGGGAGACCCTGTTCTAGATCCAACGAGTGGTCAGTTCGACCACAACAAATGGGTTCGGAAGGTGCTCAGGCTGTTGGACAAAGAGGGCATTCCCCGACCTCCCTCCACTGGTATAGTCTTCCAGAATCTGAATGTCTCTGGCTCCGGATCAGCTCTGCAGTATCAGAGCAGCGTACCCTCCTTGCTGATGGCCCCATTCAGGCCACAGGAATACCTGGGCTTTCTACGTCATTCACCAGAGAAACACATCTTACGTGACTTCGACGGGCTGTTGAAAAGTGGTGAGCTGCTGATAGTCTTGGGCCGTCCCGGGAGTGGATGTTCGACATTTTTGAAGTCGTTGTGTGGAGAACTACACGGATTAAAGCTTCGTAAGAGCTCCGAGATTCAATACAACGGCATTTCGATGGAAAAAATGCACAAGGAGTTCAAGGGCGAGGTTCTTTACAATCAAGAGGTGGACAAGCACTTCCCTCACCTCACAGTCGGGCAAACACTGGAATTTGCTGCTGCTGCAAGAGCTCCTGAAGTACGGTTGCGCGATATTACTCGTCAGCGATACGCCAAGTATGTTACTCAAGTTGCGATGACTATATTTGGTCTGACGCATACGTACAACACGAAGGGTATGCCTTCTCACCAAAGGGCCCTTAAGCCTCGTAAATTGCTAACACAAAGTCTAGTTGGCGATGACTACATCAGAGGAGTCTCGGGTGGAGAAAGAAAACGTGTCAGGTGGGTTCCCCTCCACGGGCCTTTCTTTTCCGTGTTATACTGACATGCTCTTAGCATTGCTGAAATGGCACGTAAGTTAATTATGCTTACCCAGTGTATCCGCACGTATTGACTTCCCATAGTCTCGGGAGCCCCTGTCGGCGCCTGGGACAACAGCACTCGAGGATTGGACTCGGCGAGTGCGCTTGAATTTGTGAAGGCGCTGCGAGTCAGTTCTGACCTGGTTGGTACCTGTCATGCAGTCGCAATCTACCAGGCATCTCAAGCGATCTACGATGTCTTTGACAAAGCCATTGTTCTATATGAAGGCCGGGAAATCTACTTCGGACCTTGCAGCGAAGCTAGAGACTACTTTCTCTATATGGGCTGGGACTGTCCTCCACGCCAAACAACCGGTGATTTCTTGACATCGGTGACCAATCCTCAGGAGCGCAAAGCGCGAGAAGGGATGGAAAGCAAGGTTCCTCGGACTCCAGATGAGTTTGAAGCCTATTGGAAGAAAAGTCCTCAGTATGCCAAGCTACAGGAGGATATTTCTCAGCATATAAAAGAATATCCGCTGGGGGGACAGTCAGAGCAGATGTTCCATGAGATGAAGCATGTCAGACAGGCAAAACATGTGCGGCCGAAGAGCCCTTATGTTATCTCGATACCAATGCAGGTCAAGCTCTGCACAATCAGAGCTTACCAGAGGTGTGTTCTCGTTTTCCCTGGGACTATCTGTCTACTGACTGTTATAGAATCTGGAATGATAAGCCCTCGACCTTGACAAATGTCATTGGTCGAATCGCAATGTCCTTGATCATCGGCTCGATGTATTACGGGTACGTTCATCAGTCCTTCTAGCTTCCGTATTCACTGACGCGTCTAGGACACCAAATGCTACTCAAGGCTTCCAGAGCAAGGGGGCTGCTCTTTTCTTTGCAGTTCTGTAAGTTTGCCTGGGCCAGAGCGCAATCCTTCATTCGTCATCGACCACTTTACTAATTCTGCTTAGTATGAATGCCCTGATCAGCATCACGGAGATCAACTCACTTTACGATCAACGTCCTATTATTGAGAAGCAAGCCTCTTATGCCTTTGTCCATCCATTCGCTGAAGCATTCGGTGGTATTGTTTCGGATATCCCTGTCAAATTCGTCTCCGCTGTCGTATTCAATATCATTTTTTATTTCCTGGCTGGCCTCGTGAGTGAACCACCTTGCTAATCTTGCATAAAGCAAGATTTAACTAACGAGCCACAGCGATATGCGGCATCGCAATTCTTCATTTTCTTCCTCTTCACGTTTCTGAGCACACTCGCGATGTCCGGCATCTTCCGCACCCTTGCAGCAGCAACTAAAACTCTGGCCCAGGCCATGGCTATGGCCGGTGTCATGGTCTTGGCCATCGTTATTTATACTGGATTCGTGATCCCTACGCCGCAAATGTCAGACATTCCATGGTTTAGCTGGATCCGATGGATTAACCCGGTATACTACACATTTGAGGCTCTCATAGCCAACGAGTTCCACGGTAGACGATTCACGTGCTCAGCATTTGTGCCAGCTTACCCCAACTTAAGTGGGGACTCGTTCATTTGTTCTGTGCGGGGCGCTGTCGCAGGAGAGCGGACTGTGTCTGGAGATGCTTATATCGAAACCCAGTACAGGTATACTTACGCACATGAATGGAGAAACCTGGGTATTTTGATCGGCTTCTGGATCTTCTTTACCGCCTTGTACCTGGTGGCAACTGAGCTCAACTCTGCTACTTCGTCAAAGGCCGAATTTCTCGTGTTCCGACGAGGCCATGTGCCCCCACATATGCGCAACCTGGACAAGAAGTCAGAAGCCGAAGAAGGCACCACGGATGCCGCCTTAGCTCAGAGGACTACTGAGAACGAGAAAGATGCATCTGCCATTCCCGAGCAGCATAGCATATTCACATGGCGGAATGTCTGCTATGACATACCCGTCAAGGGAGGCGAGCGGCGCCTTCTCGACCATGTTTCGGGTTGGGTCAAGCCAGGAACTCTCACGGCCTTGATGGGAGTCTCAGGCGCCGGCAAGACTACTCTACTTGATGTGCTAGCAAAACGTGTCTCAATAGGAGTTGTCACCGGCGAGACTTTGGTAGACGGTAAAGCCCTTGACAACAGTTTTCCCAGAAAGACAGGCTATGTGCAACAGCAGGATCTGCACCTGCCTACAACGACTGTGCGAGAGGCATTGCGATTTAGTGCCCTCTTACGCCAGCCCAAATCTGTGTCAAAGAAAGAGAAGTACAAGTATGTTGAGGAAGTTATCGAAATGCTTAACATGCAAGACTTTGCCAGCGCTATCGTGGGTACGCCAGGCGAAGGATTGAATGTAGAGCAAAGGAAGTTATTGACTATTGGCGTTGAACTTGCCGCAAAGCCTGCTCTTCTCATCTTTCTTGACGAGCCGACAAGTGGGCTGGACTCCCAAAGCTCATGGGCTATCTGTTCCTTTTTAAGGAAGCTCGCAGATCACGGCCAAGCAGTCCTCTCGACTATCCATCAGCCAAGCGCGCTCTTATTTCAGGAGTTCGACCGTCTTTTGTTCTTGGCTAAGGGAGGGCGAACGGTATACTTCGGTGATATTGGAGATCAATCCCGCACCCTGTTGGACTACTTCGAAGTCAACGGTGCTAGACCGTGCGGCTCATCCGAGAATGTGAGTAGCTTGTCCGCCAATCTTACAGTGACTAACATGACATAGCCCGCTGAGTATATGCTTGAGATTATTGGAGCCGGAGCATCGGGAAAGGCGACTCAGGATTGGGCGACGGTTTGGAATGATAGCCAGGAGGCCAAGAACATCCAGAAGGAGATTGACAGGATCTGTCATGAGAGATCATCAGCTCCCGAGTCTCAAGATAACACAGCCCAGAAGAGCGAATTTGCTATGCCCTTTACTAACCAGGTTTGGCATGTCACGCATCGAGTGTTCCAGCAATACTGGCGCGAGCCTGCTTACGTTTGGGCCAAGCTCGCTCTAGCTACAGCTGCATCTCTTTTCATTGGTTTTACATTCTTCAAACCGAACAGCACTCAACAGGGGTTCCAGGATGTCTTATTTAGCGCCTTCATGATGACCTCAATATTCTCCACACTGGTGCAACAGTAAGTTACATGTAGAGTTCCATGGGCATCGCCACTAACGAAAATAGAATCATGCCCAAATTTGTGGTCCAGCGATCTTTGTATGAGGTTCGAGAACGACCATCGAAGGCCTATTCATGGGCGGCCTTTTTGATTGCCAACGTTCTTGTCGAGATACCTTACCAGGTGATTGCGGGTATTATCGCATGGGCGTCCTACTACTACCCAGTCTATGGAGCGAACCAGGCATCCGCCCGCCAGGGACTTATGCTGCTTCTTATCACCCAGTTCTACGTGTTCACTTCGACTTTTGCGTCCCTGATCATCTGTGCCCTACCCGACGCCGAGACAGGAGGTTCGATCGCAACGCTATTGTTCATCATGGCGCTTACCTTCAACGGTGTCATGCAGGCTCCCTCCGCTCTCCCGGGATTCTGGATCTTCATGTACCGGGTCTCTCCCCTAACGTACCTGATCGCGGGAATCACGGCGACGGGGTTACACGGGAGAGCCATTCGCTGTTCCAGCGAGGAGATGAGCGTGTTCAACCCTCCATCCGGCCAGACCTGCGGAGACTACATGGCTCAGTACCTGCAGGTTGCCCCGGGGCAATTGTACAACCCCACAGCGACACAGGGATGCGAGTACTGCCAGTTGAGAAACGCCGATCAATACCTCGCGTCGAGCAACATTTGTACGTACTGATTACCTCCTCTCGTCTATAATGTTGTTGACTAACCAGTTAAAAAGACTACAGCGAACGCTGGCGCAACTACGGTATCGGCTGGGCTTACATCGGTTTCAACGTCCTCGGTACCGTGGCCTTGTACTACATCTTCCGGGTCAAACACTACAATCCCACCAGCCTGGTGCGGGGAGTCGTGGATGGCGCAAGGGTGGTCTGCCGGGTATTCAAGCGCCGGTCTGGACGCACGCCCAAGGGCAGAGAGGCCGAGAACGGGAGATTGCTGTAGATTGCTTACTTTCGTGTCCGGAAATATGTGTTGATGGGGTGTATGGTCAGGCTTTGCTTTACTCATGGGTGGCTTACTACTGCTACAACTCAGATAGCATGGATTCAGTGTCTTTTCACAAGCAGTCCCCATAGTCAAATTTGTTCCGAAACTCGGTTACGAAAAGTAGCCCTAGGAATATCGCGACCCTGTCACTGAAACTGTTAGTCACCCAGTAATAGATCTAGGGATCATATCAAGCACTTCTCTGAGTCATCTGCATCCTCAACCATAAGCTCCATAAAACATTTGACATCATCGCGCAAACCGGAGAGTACGGTACAACATAATCAACTATATACTAATCCAGCTCCCCACCAACCTCCATCCGAGGTATTAACAAAAATCCTTAAAGTGTACCATGCATTTAACCACAATCCCCTCCCTCCCCTTCCGGAAATCCACTCCGACACCTCCCAAAAACCACGCATTCGAGCACACAAGAGCATCATCATTAGCCCTTCAGGAAGACCTAACTCAGGAACCCTCGAATCGTACCCAAAGGTTTACTACCACAGCTCGTCTAGACTCAACAAAGCCTAGCAGCTCTTCAATTTTCATTCTGTGTATAGAGGATCGTTGTTGTTTCACTTTCGCGCAAGATACTTCAACTTACGTCTCTCCACCTTGTCCCCCAACTAGCTTTGACAGTGTCTGTATAAGCCAAAAGTAGAGACTAGTTTCCAACAGCGAATCAGATGGCGTACCGGTCATCCGCTCCAGCATCATTGGTCTAGTGGTAGAATTCATCGTTGCCATCGATGAGGCCCGTGTTCGATTCACGGATGATGCATTCTTCTTTTGTTTTTTGATCTAGTGCACTTGCGATAGATACAGAGAGGGAAGACACGTCTTTTCTGTGTTTCTTTTTATTGCTGCTGTATATCAGTCATAGCCTGTGATTCTGGATGGTACCGTGGTTACGAAGGAGCTTGAACTGAGACTATGCCTGGGTGGGGGGTCCCGATGGTTCCTCGCGATGATATATGTACTATGCGTCGCAGGTTAAGCGCATTCGAATGTGAAAGGAGTTCTCTGCGAGCGACACACTGCTGGTAATCACTTAATCTGCTAAGATAGCTGGCTGGCTAAATACTTATCAACAAACCTCAATGCATGTGCCAGAAGAAATTTCAGAAGCTTGGGAAAAAAGAAACGAAACCAATATAGCCGTTGAATCGTACGTAGCGGGTAGAATCTCATGACCCATAATTCATCACGCATGATACATGATCGTAACAAGCTCAAAAGTGTCAACATACATTACCCGTAGGAGACGGGTATATCGTCAAATAGAAACTTTGACTAGACTGGGGCTCGTTCCAAACATTTGATTAAGTCAACAAGTCATTGTGCATACCACGCAAGATCCATCCAAGGAGCGCGCAAGGACGTAAAAGACCAGGGAATGAGTAGGAGTAGTATGCGACATGGGGTAAATTGAGCACAAAGAACTGGAATCGACGAATTCATTGGCATCGATAGGGGAATCAAAACAGCGGAGAGGCGGGAAAAATCAGCCAACGTAGGTGGGGGTATTATGCGAAGAGCAGGGAAAATTAGATTAAAGCATTAAAACAAATGTGATGAGAGGAGATGAGGGTAATATGCAAGGCTGTCATTAGTTGCAATGTAAAATCGTTGTGTAAAGTAGGGCAATGGTTGAAGCTGGCACCCACAAATAAATGCGGTTAAGACGCTGTAAGGGTTGAAGTCAAAGGGTCCGAAAGGTAGAGTCTGACCCACGGAGTCATCTCGAATCAGCCATCAATGTGACATTCTGATCTGTCGAGAGAGAGCTGCAGAAGCCGGTAGATTGTGCATAAGCATTGAAGATGTCAAATAAACCAGGCACGTTCTCAACCGTTTATGAGCTGTCATGAAAGGACATGTCGCGGGACCACTAATGCGTTGACGACATGGCCTGGGTTCCAACCCTGGTCGATCAGGGGCTCGTGTTCTTTCAGAATCCTGCCCAGGTAGGCAATTCTTACGCGGTAACTGCGAGGGATCTTCATGTAAGGTTAGCGATACGTTCGATGCAGTTGCATACGATTGAAGTATAATGCGTGATGACGTACCACCGCCTCCTGCTGCAATTTGCGTGCAATAAAGCCAACATTCTCGGTCTTTCCCACCGACAAGTCAATGTCCGGACCTCCGCGGTCACTCAGTCGTGCTCGCACTCGGATCAAATCCCGCTCGCTGGTCTTCCCCTTCTCATCACGGCGGCGTTCCAGGTCGACGTCGGTTGCGATCAGGTCATCCCCTGAAGCTTCGTCCGAGGACAACCTGCCATCGTCGGTGTCGAATTCATCCTCCTGGTCATGCACTGATCGAGCCATGTTCTCTGGGTCGCTCACAATGCACTGTGGTAATCGGTAAAGAGCGCCTTGTTCGTCGTAGCAACCCTGGCAGAGATCGCCGGTTGGGACTGTGATTCCAGCTGCATCAATAATGGTCTGTGCTGTCGACATATCACCAGCCCGCATTAGAGATACTGCTGCAGACAGAGCAGCCCAAATTTCTGGGCGACCCGTGACTCTGGTCTCGAAGAATGCCGTGCGCTCCTGATCGAGCTGCGCCCGACTCCACAATCGTCGCTTGCTATACCAGACATGACGACGGATGGGGGCGTTGTAATGCTGGCTGAGGGAAAAGTGATCATTCCGGATAGTCCGGGCGCCGCGTGTGCTAGTAGAGGCGTTGGTGCCAGACAGCGCATTGCTGGTTGTAATCGCTCGATGAGGAGACGATTCGCGACGCCGCTCTTCCGTGGCTACCCGCGCTGCATAGGCCGAATTATCGCTGTCGCGCGATGAGGAAAAGCAGCAGCCCTGGTCGATGACATGATATTAAAGTTAGACTTGCCGAGACTATTGTACTGTAGAAGCGAGGGAGGGGTGTGGTATGGTGAGTATGTGAAGCTCCTGGCAGAAGCATGTACAATTCAGGCATGACACACGAAAGAACATTCCAGAAGGGGAGAAAAGACATACCATGTTGAAAGAACAAGCTCCATCAGCTGAAAGGAAGCACTATAGTTGATTAGTGCCAGCGACGTCCAGACTAATTGCAGGACAGCGAAGGGGTATTGATCCGACGAAGATAAGCGGCGGAGGAAGAGAGAGGAGAGGGGACTGAGGTTGCGGGCGAGGTACCAGAGGAGAAAGACAAGCTTATTGGGGCTAATGCGCCGGTGTTCAGCGACAGAAAAAATGATTTGTTCAAGCCATCTAATTGGGAAGCCAGTCGTATGACCCGAATAGTGGTGAGAATTGGCTGGATCAAAGGGCTACTACTAATGTTTAGTGGTGGCAACGGAGCGGCGGGTTGCAGCTCACTCGCATGACGACACCGCGGGGGGGGGGGGAGCAACTCATCACAGTGAGAAGACACACTCCTCTCTGTTTTGCTAGCAATAAGCAATAAGAGCAGTAGCAGTAGCAGTAGCAGTAGCAGAGCAGACCCCTAAGGGAACGTGACTTGGAGGCTTAGGGAGGAAAGACTGGGCGAGGCAAGGAAGATGTAAGTTAACGGTTGAGAAGAGGAGAAGAAACAAAGAGAGGAGGAGAACTTACGAGGTTCAGAGACTGAAGAGGGGGAAGGAAGGAATGGAGCGAACGCCGGGTTGACCGTGAGGGGAAAAAATATAAGGGAATCCCTCAAATACACCTTCTCGGATCAAATCACCTATCATTCAGGTTCATTCGTCCATTCCCCTTCCAATGTTATTGATTTACACCAGTGGTGTTTTTCTACTGTTCCCTGCTGTGTGACAGACTTTCCAGCCAGACCGTTAGGCTTGACCGCAGACGAGATGAGATGGTGGCGCAGCCAAGAATGAGGTTTGCGGAAATCTTCCGGCATGCGAAATACAGACTGAATTATCAGTCACCAGCTCATGCTATACAACAATCTACTGGAACACTAGCGGTCAGGAATCTGGCAGGTCGTATCATCCACTCCAAAGGGTGGATGTCACAATTAAGCTTCTATAGTCAATGGTGGTATACAACACATACAATAGGCTAATTACTCAATACCAGCTCAGCTTAGTTCGTCGTCTTCATCCTCGTCATCACTACCGAAGATAGCCTTGAATACCGCCTCTCCTGGTCGCTCCGCCTCCAAAGCTTCGTTGCGTTCCGGCTCAATGACCACAGGCTCGCGAAAGACCACCGACGCTGCTTGCGCCGACGATGCATCTTCTGCACCAGACGTAAGAGATCCACCTCGGCCGGCGTCAATCATAAGCTGATTCATGACTTCGCGCGACACCAATTCTTTAGGTCCTGGAACATTCTGGTACCCAGCGGACTGGAAGCGCCCGCCAGATGGCGGGGCATCCGTGCGTCCGCTTGCTTCTCCAGGATCTATCTGAACGTGATCCGGAGGCTTGACGTTAAATCGCTTACACAGCAGGCGCGTGGGATAGAGTGAAATGGTGCTTCGAGTCATCGGGCCGAACATGCCAATCCGGGCAGCCTCTACTGCAGGGTCTTCAGGTTTTGCGGCAGGCTTGCTGAGGAGCGGATCAGCCGGTGATGCATCGAGTTTATCGGACGACTCTCTCGGGCCAGATGAAGCCGAAGTAAAACGAGATGCCATCAACCCGGACATGGGTTTGAAGACCTCTGCAGCTCGGGCGAACTCGTCCAGCTCCAGGGCCCATTCATCCGTAGTGGACCCTGGGACTCGATCAGGCATCGTATCTCGAAGCCCAGCTCGCACCTCGAGGAAGGTTCGATAGCGTTTTCTTTTCTCCAGGTCTTCCGAATATGGCATCCAGCCACTTGCCGCTCGGGTCAAAGCCTGAACAGCCACCTGCTTATCTAGTTTCGGCACCAAGTCCCACAAGTCCTTTCGCTTCTGCGCCTCGGAGAGCTCGTAGCCCTTTGGCGCCTTCTCACTCAAGGCTGGCGGTAAGTCTGTCTTCCCGGTCAACTTCGCAATTCGCTCTCGACCTTCTGGGGTCAGCCAGTCGAATATAGATTTTCCTGGTAATTGCGCCTCGCCCAAAAGCGCAGCTCGAGCGGCTGGGTCCAGAGTTGAGGCCTTGGCTGCCTCTGCTGTAGAAACATAATTCGATACGTCTTGTTTTTGAGTCGGTGTTTTATTGGATTTCCAGCCTGCCGGTATTTCAGGAGCCGCATACTTCTTTTCTTGGGTGGAGATAGTCATGTTGGAGATGCCATCGACAAGCAAAAATCCTTCCAGCGGTAAACGGCCATCGTGGCATTTCCTGAAGCCACTTGAGCTTTTGGCCGCAAGAACCTTCTTGGGAATATAGATCGGTTTATTGCTTATCAGAGGATTCGAGGATCCCGTGACTATTTTTGCGTCTTCAATGGACTTTGCCTTTTTCTTCTTCTTTTTATCTCCTCCAATGACACGATTGTAAGAAATTTGAGGCCCCATCGAATATGGGTCTTCGTCATCTGACCCAGTATCGTTGAGTACTCCAACGCCAAAGCCTCCGCGACGAGTTTCCTTGGCTTTGGGCTGTTTAGGCTTTCCTGGAGCTATGAGTCGTTTGCCAAAGAAGGAGTCATCTTCCTCGCCGTCCGAGTCACCGCGTGTCAACGCGCGAGCGTCAAGGCGGGCCTCCCCTTGGAAGCCAAGTCCCTTGTGATCGGTTTTGTGGATGAAGGCCACCATTGGCGGATTCTCCGGGGCAAACAAAAACGTCTTGTTGGCATCCTCACCACCCTGCGTGGTGCCGTCACCTAGATTGGCGCGTCGTCGCACTTTGGGACCAACACCTTGACCCTCCCTCCACCCCATCTTCTTCAAAAGTTTCACACCCATGGTTTCCCCGGTGGTTTTGAGAAGGTCCATCAACCCCCCGCGGCGCGCCAATTCGGCATCTGTCGTGCCAAACCCTGCAAAGTCATTATTTGTGGAAACCGTCTTTGCTTCTTCTGCTTCCCGGATATCCTCCTCATCCATAAAATCTTCAATCTGTTGTTTCCGGTTGTCCTTGGCACGGTTCTGGCGTGATGAGACGAAGGTTGCAGGGGTCCATCCCTCCTTCGACCCGACAGTATTGAAGTACCTGAAGAGGGTCGACCTTTAGTGTGCTGTCCACAGCGATCCATGAATCGTGAGCTCACCCGGCACTGAATCCACCGGTGAAGGCGCCATGCAGGCGTTTTCTTCCCCGGTCATCGGTCACTTCTTGCTTCCAGATGGGCGCGTAGGAGCCATCGTCACGGACGCCGGCATCTAAGGGTGGAAGAGGAGTTCCGTAAAGAGCGTAGGGTGACTGCTGCGCCTGTAGATCGGCCTCGAAGGCGGCTCGAGTTCTTTTACCAGCCATGCGGGGCGTGAATTCAGTCAAGAATTACCATGGCTGAATCGAATTGATACGGTCAACAACTGTAAATCTCAATAATGTATATGGTTTGGAAGCCTACCTTGAAAGAGCGAATAGGTGATGTTGGTAAGATATGGAGGATCAGAGTGACTTGGAAGCAGTTCAATATTGCGACTGCCAAGGACGAAGACATGTGACGGTACGGAATACGTACGGTCGGCTGCTCTGCGCACCGCCACTGGTTGTGGCTGGTACTGTAAACATGGGCGGGTCTCATCTCTGGAATCTGTAATGGAGTTGCTGAGAGCATCAACGCTAGACACACAAATCCACCCCCAAACCTTATGTTTTCAACGCGGATGTCTAAAGAACAATGTCATTTAACAGCCGCCAGTGACTTCTATACTTTCCTACTCGATAATTACAAACACACTCCAAGTCTGTGTGCACTACGAAAACAATTATAGCTCATATTATGCTCCGCACATGTAGAACACACATACACTCAGGAGCATGTAACAACAAGAAGAGGCAATATTTTTTGCTCTGCTCCAGAATTATCATCAATCAGCGAATAATGCTTGGCAAGAGAGGTGAGCTCATAGGACCAATTTAATTTGGACCGATCGTCTGGGAAATCTCCAGTGATCAGCATCTGCCTCCCTCGTCATTCTGCCCATCCATGCCCAAAGGAAAGAAAGGATTGAGGACCAAAAAGTCCGACGTGCCACTGCCTCGTGGGAAGGCAACGGCACAGGGCGACTCTGCGTGACAGCTTACAAATAAGGGCGAGCGCCCCGTGGTCACTGAGGAAATTGAGGGACTGACCCTGTGTAGGTACTGACTGTACTTAACCGCGGTTTATTAGCCCGAATCGAAGTGGTGGAAATGAATTGGCTGTATGGATGGATGTAGTGTCTCGTTTCCCCTGCGTGACTTAATGAATATCAATGAATCCATGATCCATGCAGAAACAGAATACGAGCCACAGTCATGTCTAACATCGAAACGCAAATCTACCGAAATATCGATTTCTTCGTTTCGTTTCCCACCTGCTCTTATTATTATCATTATCATTATTATTGCTCTTGCTGTGGGGGCCTGGCTAACACCAGAACACTATTAATATATCGTTCCAATCTCTAAATTTCTTAAATAGAACCAGCAAGCGGAGCGACCCAAATGTCAGAGTCAGACCCATTTGTTTGTACTTTGTATAGACTAGTTTACTCCTAGTAGATGTACCTAGTACTACATAGTACTAAGTAGAAGGAATTGACGGCGCCATACGGTACCCGAACCAAACTTCCTTCTCTGGTTGCGGTGCAGTTGCGGTGCAGTGGCCCCTGTCGTTGAGAAAAGTCCAGCCAAAGTTCCGTAGGTACGGAGTTACCTGATAGTCTACGGAGTAGTAGTTACGGTATGTACCTATGTGTGTCTGTGTCTGTGTCTGTGTCTGTGTCTGTGTCTGGCTGGGACTGGCTGTCTTTCTTCTCCGCAGCCGCATCCATCCATCGTCACTTTCCCATGACTGTTATTCCCTCGTGCATTCTTTCTTGTCTTCCATGTCTTTCTTACTTGCTTTCCTTTGCCTTGCCTGCCTCTTCCTTTCCCCCCCCCCCCATTCCCCTCTTCCTCTTCCTCTTCCTCTTCCTCTTCCTCTTCCTCATTCCCCTGATCTCATCATACCCTCTCCTCTCTTCTCTTCCCGTCCCACATTCCCTAGATCTCACACACTCTCTTCCCCTGCCATCCATCCTCCCCCCCCACCCTGTTTCTTGGTCCTTGTCTGTCCTTCCTTTCTCCTCCACCTCCCCTCCCCTCTTCCCCTCCCCCTACTCCATCTTGGGGAGCCTTTGTACATACAGTACTCACATGGGTGGAACTGCAGCCATCAGCAATCTTTTTTTAAAAAGTCACTTTGGCTGTTTTTATCCTTTCCAGCGCTCGCTCCGTCAGTCAAAAACGTCACAAACTACTACGCCCGTTTTCTCCTCCCCCCCACTTGTTCTCCCCTTCTTCCTCCCGACCGGTCGCTATTATTGAATATCCCCCTCTCCTCCACTCCCCTCCCAAATCCTAGCATTTCCATACTAAAGGCGGTCTTGGGCTGAAAAAAGCACACGCTTGGCCTGTGGTTGGCTCGGAATTTCTCCAGTCCAGTGCCCACCGTGATGTCCACTACTGCCCCATCAACTGCGTCGCCTTCGGTCGTCCGCAGTCACTCGACTTCCTCCCGATCTCCCTCCTATCGTCCTCCCTCATCCGAGCTCCCTCACCGTACCCGAAGTGTTGCTGTCCGACCTGCGACAGCCTCCCAACCACAACATCAATCACCACCATCCTCGTCGCAATATCACTACCAATCCCAGTCTCGTCACTCCCACTCCCACTCCCATTCCAAGTCACAGTCTTATGATCGTCGGCCCCCTGCGAACCAAGCGGTTTTCGACACCATAGCCCGCCGGGATTTTGAGGCTTCTCGCGGAGCTCCCCCAGTTACTCCCCGAAGGGAATCTTCGCGGGACCGTTCACAGGAGCGCCCTCCCACTTCCTACCGTCCCGATTCCTCCCCCAACAAGCACCGGAGAAATTTATCAGTTCAAGGCCATCAACGAGACAGTGTCGATATGGCGACTGCGGGCCCCGTCATGCCAGAGGGCGTCGCAGGACAGCCCCAGGCTGCCGCCACTCACTTACATCCGGCTAATCCCGTCCAGTCAAGGCGTCGCACAATGATCACAACGCCAACGGGCCAGTGGGCTTTGGGCAAGACGTTAGGTGCCGGCAGTATGGGTAAAGTAAAAGTTGGGAAAAACATGGACACAGGAGAACAGGTGAGTCTCGTAATGTTGCTTGCCCTCTGTTGCAGGATCTCATTGCAGTTCAGGTGGCCGTCAAGATCGTACCTCGGCAATCGACCGAAGAGCACCGCAGCTCGCGCGAGGCCGAACGGGCAGACCGCTCGAAGGAAATTCGAACTGCGCGTGAGGCAGCTATCGTCAGTCTCGTCAACCATCCTTATATTTGTGGTATGAGGGATGTAGTAAGGACCAATTACCATTGGTACATGCTGTTTGAGCTCGTCAACGGGGGTCAGATGCTGGACTACATCATCTCCCATGGAAAACTCAAAGAGAAGCAGGCACGCAAATTTGCCCGTCAAATCGCGAGTGCATTGGACTATTGCCATCGCAACAGCATCGTGCATCGCGACTTGAAGATCGAGAACATCCTTATCAGCAAGACTGGAGACATCAAGATCATTGATTTTGGTCTCAGTAATCTCTTCTCTCCACGAAGCCAACTCAAAACCTTCTGTGGAAGTCTTTACTTTGCTGCCCCCGAGTTGCTGCAGGCAAGGCAGTACACTGGCCCAGAGGTGGATGTTTGGAGTTTTGGCATTGTTCTCTATGTTCTAGTATGCGGTAAAGTTCCGTTTGACGATCAGAGCATGCCCAAGCTGCATGCCAAGATCAAACAAGGCGTTTTCGAGTACCCCCCAGGGCTCACTGCAGGTTAGTATCCACAGTCTATCGTGTGTCCTTGATACTGATCTCCAACGCGCAGAGTGTCGTCATATTATCTCGCGCATGCTGGTCACTGATCCCAAACAACGCGCAAGTCTGACTGAGATTATGAATCATCCTTGGATGAACAAAGGCTTTAATGGCGCCCCTGAAAACTATTTACCGTACCGAGAACCTATCACCTTGCCTTTAGACCCCGAAGTCATTGAGAAGATGACGGGTTTCGACTTCGGACCGCCCGATTACATTACTGCGCAGCTCACCAAGGTCATTGAATCTGAGGATTACCAACATGCTGTAAAAGTCAGTGCCCGCGAACAACCCGCTCCAAGCTATACAGAGAAGAAGCGAGGGGTGTTCGATTTCTACAAACGACGGAACTCTGCCAGCAGGGACACGCTGTCCGCACCGTCCGCGGAAGCCGTTCAATTGGGCAACGACCCCATAAATGCCTACAGCCCGCTGATTTCAGTCTACTATCTGGTCAAGGAGAAGCTGGACAGAGAAAGAGCCGAAAAGAATCCTGGAGCGTTGGGAGTTCCACACGCATCCGGGGATTCAATGCTTCAGATGCCAGATCTTCCAGCACCGGAGGCCGCTCATACCAACCAGTATCACGTTCCGGGAGAGAAGGACAGTGGAAGAAGGTCGCGCCCTAGAGCACGAACGCATGGTGATGACGACTTGGCGGATGGTATCAAGAATCTTCACCTGGGCCCGCAGACCGGACATTCCCCGGGTCCTGCGTTGTCGCAGCCCGAAACCCCAGCGAAGAAAGAAAGCACGGCCGCGGGTATTTTGAGACGGTTCAGCACGCGCAGGACAAAGGAGCGCAGCCGCGACCCGGAACGTGGAAGACTTGGCAGTCCCCACACCCCGGCACTCAACGTTCAGCCACCCGCAGACTTGGCCTCGCCCCTATCCAGAGGATTCAGCGTGAAGAGGACCCGACGCGCGGATCCATCTCCAACAGCTGTTCCACCCGGGTCGAATCAACCCCCGCAAAACGATTTCCTCAAGGCTCCAGGGTCAGCGGAGCCGGCTTCGCGGTCAAATAAGTTCCTGGAAAGATCAGCCAGCGTCAACTCGGCCGACTATCGTCCTCGTCGTTCACGGCGGAACGACCCTGACGCGACAGGCCAACCCCCGCCCAGCAGTGGATCAGACTATGCCAATGTACAGAAAGAGCCGACGGCTGCGAGGGAAACAAAGCTAGGTCGCGGCCACACCGCCCGGACAATGTCATTGGGGCATGCTCGTCGCGAAAGCATTCAAGCCCGTCGAGCTAGGCGTGATGCTACCCGAGAAGCAAATGTGCCTGAAGAGACGGATGCGGATATCACTGGAGCAGGCACTGCTTTGGAGAGTGCCAATGAAGGGGAGGACCTGTCCAAGCCCGTATACCTCAAAGGCCTTTTCAGTGTTTCGACCACAAGCAGCAAACCTTTGCCTGTGATCCGAGCGGACATCATTCGCGCTCTGAAACAACTTGGTGTCGACCACACGGAGATCAAGGGAGGCTTTAGTTGTCGTCATGCCCCGAGCATTGACTTGGATACAGTGATGGATGTTGGGCCACCAAGCCCGGACCGGCAGGGTCAGATTTCGGGCCACCGTCGGCGCATAAGTTTTGGAGGGTTGTTGAGCCACGACGAGGGCAGAGAGGAGTTTCGCCAGACGCCGCGCTCCCAGCGTCGGGCTCGAGCGCCACCTGACCACAGCTTTGTGACCACTCCTGAGGGCTCTGACGATGAAGCCGGTCCTCGGCCAAGTCGCGACCTGGGGGTGGTTGGAGAACGTGTAATGGGTGAGACAACGACACGAGTCCAGAGTGACACAGGAGAGAATCTGGTACTCCGATTCGAAATCCTTATTGTCAAGGTACCTCTTTTCTCGCTGCATGGGATTCAGTTCAAGAAAGTGGCAGGTGGCATGTGGCAATATCGGGAGATGGCGAAGAAGATTTTGGACGCCCTGCGACTCTGAGTGCATCTTGATCTGCATGATACGTTATGAATCCATTTGCATGCCGATCAAAGTTGATTTGATCCACGAAGCATTTGCATGAGCATGACGTTTTTCTTTTGTGGAGCATTTCCTATGTCAATTTTCGGTTCGCATTACCCTTGAGCTGGCTCATCTATTTTAGGGGGGATGTTTTATCATGGTGTATACTAGACTTGAGCAAGGATGATCATGGACGCGGTGAGATCTTGTTCTTGTGTTGCTATCGGCCACTATTGTATATTTCGTCTCTTTTCTCTTTGCCTTGATACTTGATACCTATACAGTCGTCTGGGACTGTTGTACACAGGTCATGCAGGTAGGAGTAACTTTCAGACATGTGAACTAATACTGACAGGCATGTTTGTTACAACTGCTCAAACAACAAATAGTCTGTTAGCCATTAGACACACGCGGGTAGCAGCATTCCAAAGTTTGGATATGCTTAGGTCAATGGAGAGCTTCTAGTGTGTCCCACGAACGACTCACATCAAGGTGCTAAACGAGGTTGAAGTGAGGTCGAACTGAGGTGCAGTTATATACACACTCTCCCTGGCATCAAGATTCAAGAAGTCAGCTTCTACCTAGCACAGCTTGAAGCACAGCTTGGATCATGCGCTTAATGATATGATTGGAGCTTTCAAAAGGCTGTTCAACAAGGAATACAGCAAGCAATTGAAAGGAATCATGCATAAGGCTGTAGTTCGAGTCCTTGTCGAGAGAGGCTAAGCCGGGTGTCGAGGCCTGTGAGGTTGACCAGTTGGCGGCTTAGCACGTCCCACATGTCGTAACAACTCCCCAGGCCACTAGAAAACAGACAATTATGCCAGAATTTTAAGCTTGACAGATGTTGTATTCTCTCAAAGAGTCATCAAGGATAAATCTAATATCGCTAAGGCCACTGCTTTTTCTAAGAATGCTTAAGAATATCCTGAGATTTTGACCAGGATGTGTGCTGCTTAGTCACAATCTGATATGTCTGCGTCGACAAATAACAAGATCTATAGAGGAGGTTCACGTTGTGATCCTGCCCCACACAGAGCATTTATTTAACTTCAAACACATTATCTGGGTACAAGAGCCCCTGGCGATTGTCTTGAAACACTGGAAATGTGTTTATTTGTCTGGTGCTTGGCACATGTGCGAGGCCAATGCTGGTTGTCTTGTCCATGTGCAAACGGACTCGGTTGGGCGGGTCGAAGCAGCTCGTTACTTTTGCAGTTCATCTAGGCCACTGATTGGCCAATTTAGAATACTTGCTGGGCGTCCTATCAGCACAACCATCTTCCTACTCGATATTGGCCATTCTGGGGTTTTGACTATGTGTTAGTCTCCTGTGGTATATTTGTACTTTGAATTCACTGTTTCAAAGGAAATTGCTGATTCCGCTTCATCAGGAGTGTTTGATTCTTCGACTTTTTGGATTTTCTATATAATTATCATTCACTTGATATTGATTAGCTGACTCAGCAGAGCTTTTCTCAAACAGGCTAGACCATTTTTCAAGTCCTGTCTCTCTCCCTTCTCTGAAAGTCATCCTTTCAACACCGCCTCAACACCGCTTTCCCTGCATCTTGTCTGTTATGTTGCATTTTTGATACTACAACATCAGTGGTCTCTTGGTCTGGACTGTGGCTACCATGTCAGCTATGTTCATCGACCTGACAATAGACTCGGAGTCGGAGGAGTCCAATCAGGTGAGTTTGCTTGAGTCCTTTGGACTTTCAAATCTGTGTTTTTTGGAGAGTTATCGCCTCTTAAGGATTCCCCGCTGGCTTGAGTATACCCGTTGCTATATTACTATGTTGCTATATTGCCTTGCTATACAGCAACAGATCCCTTCTAGACTTTCTTATAAGTTATGCCTATTTCTTTTCTATCTTTTTTATTATACCCTGCATACCTTGTTAAAGTTTGTATCTTTATACATTTTTAAATCTCAAGAACAGCCCCTAAATAAGAACTATTATGTTAAGGCAGAATGCTCTGGTAACAGCAGCTGACTTAAGCTTTAGACACTATCTACAAGCGCAGCTTCACTCTCACGCAGTCTGGCTCACCGTGCACTCAATGTCTCACAGTCAGTGCCGGTGAAGAGAAGAAAGTCTGACACAAAAGATGCATTCTCTGCTCTAGCGGTGTCAAAATTCTTTAACAGGTCGAACCATTATGAGCCGGGGCGGCGTGTCTCCTCCCAGCCTGAGCCGATCAGACCAAGCTCAAGACAAAGCATCTCAAGCCAAGAGGCCCAGGGCGTTGAACGCAGACAGAGTCCACGACGCTTCAGCGCCTGGCCAGCCACTGCTCCTTCTGCCCTTCGTTCAGTAACCCCGGACTCTTCATCAGCTTCTACCCCCCATTCCACCATCCCAGATGTCCTCATTCCTACCCCGTCATCTCGCCAGTTGAAGTCTGAACTCCGTGAATTCAGCAGCATCAACGGCCGTGCATCGTCATCCTCATCATCCCACGCATCCAGACCAACCCCTCCCCTTCAACCCCCCACAGCCCTCTCGCAGACCTACTACCCGACAGACGCCTACCAAAGGAAAGCCATCAAGGGCGCTTACCCCAAGGCGAAGAAGGTCAAGCGAGCCGACACGCCCCTGGTCCTCGGCACCCCGGGCCCGCTGCTGACCCGACCCCCCAACGTCCGGCACCAGACGCACAAGACGATGGAACGCAAGCTGCGGGCCATCCGGGGACCCGAGGTCACCTACGATCCGGCCGCAGAGTCCCGCCTGGCGGACTTCATCTTGAACTTCGAGTTCGTCAACACCAACCCGCTGCGCAAGGGCGTGGTCCCCGTGTCCGAGGAGTTCAACGCGGGTTGCACCTGCGTCGGGGCGTGCAACCCGCAGATCTGCCTGTGTCTGTCCAAGGAGGAGGACGAGAGCAACACGAACATCGTGCCGTACCGGAGAGCCCCAGACGACCCGCACATGATGGTGCTGAAGCCGGAGTTCCTGACACGCAAGGCCATGATCTACGAGTGCAGTGACCGGTGTGGGTGTAATGCGGGATGTTGGAATCGCGTGGTCCAGAATGGACGTACCGTGCGGCTGGAGATTTTCTATACCGGGGACCGTGGGTTTGGTAAGTGTCCCTGTGCTTTGGGTCCACCCAGCCGGTTCTTCCTCATGGTATGAGTGATGTTGTTATTCATAATTCGTCTCAATAGGCCTCCGCTCACCAGACCGTATCCGCGCCGGCCAATTCATCGACTGCTACACAGGCGAAGTGATCACCACCGCGGCCGCCGATCTCCGTGAAGCGGCTCTTACAGCGCACGGCGCATCCTACCTCTTCAGTCTCGATTTCTTGAACGGCCAGTACGAAGACTATGAGGAGGACTCCAACAACGACGACGACGACGACGATGAAGCCGGGGAAGACGACGACGAAGCCACCGAGTCCGGCTGCAAGTACGTGATCGACGGGCGTAACTTCGGCGGCCCGACTCGCTTCATCAACCACTCGTGCAACCCGAACTGCCGCATGATCCCTGTCTCCCGCAACCACGCCGATCGAGACCTGTACGATCTGGCCTTCTTTGCCCTGCGCGAGATCCCGCCGTACACGGAATTGACCTTCGACTATAACCCCGGGTCCGAGGGCGGCGGCGGCGGCGGTATCGTCAAGGGCGCCAAGATCGATCCCAGCGCGGTGCGGTGTCTCTGCGGCGAGGCGAACTGTCGGGGCCAGTTGTGGCCGAATCAGAGGAAGAAGGGGGTTGCGGTGAGATGAACAGCACACCCGAATTTGTTGGTCACTCACCTCGTCTTCTTTGCTGCTTGCTTGCATGCCTTGCAACTGAACCTGCTGCGGTGCACCTAGTACATTGGCAACATTCTAACGGGTCAGTGTGGTATTCCCCCGAGGCGTTTGAGCAAAATGACCTTCTATTACAGGTACAGCCTGCGCTCAAGACAGAAAAGCGTTCATACATACCATCTTGTATGTCCGGACGTCTTTTGATACACCGATCTTGTTCCATTCCGTTTGATCTGGATATCCACCTCTACTGTCCTTGTCCACGCATGTCTGCATAGACCTTCCCATGGCGCGGTGTTCATACTTTCCCCAGTTCAAGACACACATACGCATACACACAACCTTGCACATCTTACCTTTTTGCACATGCTTCCTTCGACTCACGATACCCCAATCCTGTACGTACATTCCAGCCTTTTTTTCGAATATGATTGAAGCCTGCATGCAGCGCGAGGGTCTTCACCGTCTTGTCTTTACGTTCTGCTATGCACATGCAGTGATTCTTTTCTTGTTAGTTACGATTTGAAGATGAATCTCGATCGGCAGTTTACCAAACGAATCGATCATCATACCCCTTTCTCAGATACAAGTTAACTCCCCGTGTTAGATGCCAGCTCTCCCACGCTAGTCTCTAAAGGGTAGTTACAATGATATAATCCGGCCATCCAAAGGGATCAATCCTCATATCCAGAGTATGTAAATTAGGTAGCTGTAAGTAAGTAGGTAGGTAGGTATATATCCCAGTACCCAGGATCCTGGCAGAAAGTAGAGTAAAGTAAAGTAGAACAAAAGCCGCACACATACACAGTCGACAAAAATCACAAAGCATCCGCCATAGCCATAGCCAGGAAACACCGAACTCCACTGCCGCCTGACCCTTGCCCTCCCGTTTCAACGCCCGTATACCCAAATCAACAAGTTCCAACCCACGAATAAAAAAAACCAGGTAACTCCCATGCACAAACCGCCCACGGTACTCGCTATCCAAGTGTCAAACAGCCCCCCCAAAAAAGCGCCTCCACAAACCACGGGCACCGGTTGCATCGACTCACACAAGCCGCATTTAGTTGTAAACGAAACAACCCAATCCTCAACCCTTAGCCCTTTGGCGGTATTGATCCGTCGGTAGGAGTCTGTCCCCAAACCCCCAAGAAAGAGTTTGCGAAAGAAGGAAGCACATTTCACCCCGCCAAAACCTCCTCGATCCCCTCAAACGCCGCCACTACCCCTCCCCCTCCAAGGCCCCGCCTACCGATCATCCCTATCCCCCCCGCCGCATCAGTCCAAGGCAACGACGGTCTGGGCTCCAACATCCCCAACCCCACCCGCTCCACCGCATCCCCCGCCGCGCGGCCTTGTTCCTCGAGCACCTCCTTCTCGATTTTCGAGAGGTTTCTGGGTCTGAGTTGGTGGTGGTGCTGCGACTGCAGCTGTAGTGGTCGAGGAGTTTGAGGCTGCAGATTCAGTCCCAGTCCCGGTCCCGGTCCCAGTGTCAAGGAGGGCGAGAGCGCCGGCGAGGGCGATGACGATCGGGAGAGTGAGGGGGAGAGGGAGAGGAGGGAGAGGGGTGGGAGGACTCTGTCCTGGTCCTGGTCCTGGTCCTGCTGGTGCTGGTGCTGTGACTGTGACTGCGTCTGCGACTGCGTGGTAGGTGTCCTCGGCGCCGGGGTGAAGGGGACTAAATGTGGACTGAGGGGTGGGGTGGTGAGATCTCGTTGTTTGGTGGGTGGGTTGGGGTTGTATTTGTATTGCGGCTTGGTGGTGGTGGTGGTGGCCCCCGAGAAAGGGAAGTGTAAGCGGTGGAATGCGAATGGGGGCGGGGAGGCCGTCGAATATAGCGAGGCGGAGGAGGTGGAGGAGATGGATTCCGGGTTGGAGATGGGGGAGGAGGTTGGACTGGTGGTTGTGGAGCTGAGCGGGGAGATGGTGGGCGAGGTGGAGGGGGTGAGGAGAGTGGTGGTGGTGGTGGTGGTTCTTCTGGGAGCGGGTTTCTGGGTGTGGGTGTGGGTGTGGCTGTAGTGGTGGTTTTGCGAGGAGGATGGCGGAGGGAGAGCGAAGGTGGTGTGGAGGTGGAGGCTAGGGGTGGGTGTTTGTGTATGTTGGGGTTCGTTGTGGGCGGACATGGTTGTGGTCGTGGTCGTGGTCGAGGTGAGGGAGGATATATGGGATGAGTAGTATTGATTGAATTATGGTGGGAGTAAGGTGGCAGGTGGTAGAAGTATGGAGAGTAGGTGTAGATGGCAGTAGGTAGTAATGGCAGTAGGTAACTAGTAAAGATGATGATGATGATGGGAAAAGAGTGGGCAAGTACTCCCTCCGTAACACAAGTAGACTCAGACTTAGTCTCAGTCTGATGGATCCCGTGTGATGAATCGAGGGTGATAGATCAACTTCAATCTCCGGTGTATTCGTGTATTCACTCACACCAGGTAAGGTATGGTAGCGTAGTTATAAGTCCGACTCAGTCAAAGTGGAACGACCCCTCAATCACCAAAAAAAAAAAAAAAACCCCTCTTCCCAATACGAGGACACACAGACAGTAGTTAGAAAAAAAAGAAGTCGACTCCAGGTGATGATGACATCCAAGACCAGAGCAAAGCAGAGCAGGGGCTGATCCATCCATCATAATATACGTAGTATTCCCCCCACTAGTATAAAAGCCCTGCCCGTCAAGAAACTAACCGCAAACAGACACACTTCAACTCCCACTTCCCGCCCCGTTTCCGCTCCAGCCGAATCTTAACTTCTTTCCGACTGCAGGCAACACCAACATTCTTCCATCTTGCTGGTCCCTGTATATTACCGAGTATGCAATTGATGATGACGGTTTCAAAAAGTTTTTCGTCCCGAGCATGGAGAGCACCCTTTCTTCCTCCTTCGGACTCCGTCTCAGTAATTGGGGGGAGTACGGAGTAGAAGTTAAGTATACTTACTGTACGGGCTGGCAGTACAATCCAATTGCCCGATCCGGGGCAAAAAGGCCCAGAATAGACCCACCCAAACCAGAGATCACGCCCTGTCATTCCAGCTAATTACCAGAATTCACCCTGCTCGCCCTGCTTCTTGTCTTTCTTTTTCTCCCCTCTCAAAGAAGGAAAGCGATTTACTCTGCCAGTGCCAGGCAAAAACCTACTCACGTTATTTCACCACCACCCCCAAAAAAATCAACTAATTAGCAATCAGAGCAATGACAATCATGATGTAACCATTTTTTTTTTGGCTGCTGTGCTTTCTTTTTTTTTCTTTTCTCTTTGTGTTTTTGAATTCCGTAGTTTCTCCCAATGATGAAAAGTGATAGGTCATGCATTTGCATCGCATTACGTTCATTTCATCCACGTGATGGATCTATACCAAGGCAGGCAGCCCACCCAACAACACAACACAGCACAGCACAGCATCCGACTGACTGGATCACTCCACTATGCTCTATACACTTCTCTTCCGTGCTTTCAGGTTCGGTTTCTATCCTTCAGGGTCTGGATTACTAGAGCGGATGTAATGTAGTTTCTACAAGCCCACAAAGGAATTCAGAGTCGAGTCTTGCTGTACAGTACACTAAGTTAACACTGAATACACTGTATCAACTGTGTATCTTTCTTTCCACATCGCCCAGCTCACTCCTCAAGATAAAAAATCACATCATCAACATCATCGTCACTTATCATGATCCTGGCTCCTTCCCCCCCTTAATGTACATGGAACCTCTCTAGCATGCCTCCTGAAATACAGAATGTCTAGATGCAGAGCTAACAAACAGGAACGGTAGAACGCTAAACAGAAAATAGAAAGACACTAGAAAACCCTGCTCCACATCGGCGCAACCTCAAATCACGTATTTACTCGCCGGACCGTCGTCGCTGCGTAAAACTCCGCCGGATACTCTCGCCCCACGCCGAGTCGCCCAGCGACTGCATCACGTCGTTGACGTTGGGCGGCCGCTCCGACGTCGCGCTCTGGATCTCCTCCAGCACATCCGGCCCGCTACCATACGACGAGGTCGTGTTGGCCCGCTCCCGCCGCGGCGACAGCGACGGACTGATGCTCGACCACTCGGTCGGCGAGTTCGCCGCCGAGATGCGCCCGCCCATGCTGGTATCGATTGGGGGCAGACCGCCCAGTCGGGACGGTCCCCCGCCGTCGCGTCGCGTGGGCGAGGTCGGGGACAGCATCGGCTGCAGGGGCTCCTCACCACCACTACCACCGAAGGGGTCGGCAGGACCAGGAGCCATGTGGGTGAGGGCCGTGGGCTCGTCTTGCGATCCGTCGTCCACGAAAATCTCCGGCACCGAGAACTGTGGCACCGCGCTCATCCGGGCCGACTTCTTGTGCTCCACCTTGCGGCGGAACTGCCGCGACCAGTACAGCGTGTCGAAAAACCCGATGACCGTCTGCCGTCGGATGGTCTCCTGCACCCGTTGCAGGCGGGCCCGGCGGCGCAGGAACTCCTCGAGCCGGAGACTTTTGCTATCACTGATCACGTTATAATGCGCCAGGATCATGAGACACGAGTGGAACGAGATCCCGCGCACCGGGTCCGCAGACACCAACACCTCCTCGTAGAATGAGTTGAGCTGCTGTCGTCGCTTGCGGATATTCTCAACCGGGATGCGCCGCAGGATGCGAGACATCTTGTCCAGATCAAGCCCTTCGACCACTCTCCGATGCGCAAGAAGCGAGTCGCGCCTGTCAACCCGACATTCTTCCAGAATCTGTGGGATCGTGAATTCGCCGTCGTAGATCCGCATGGAGAACATACCGGACAGCTCTCCCAGCAGTCGCGGGAACTGTTCCTTGGTGATGTATCCCGTTCCATCCGGATCGTACGTAGCCCATGCGTGCTTGAAGCGACGGACATCCTCGCGGCTGATGGCGTAGAGCCCGCTGCTCTTCTGATACACGTACGAGAAACTCTCGAAGATCAGGGACGTGAACAACGAAACAAAGAGATACATGCTGATGATGTTCCACGCAATGAAGAGCGAGCGAGCCCACGGGGCGCTGCCACAGTCATCATCGAAGTAGTTGCTGCTGTACGTGCAGTAGGGCGGTTCCATGGTCGCGAAGTCTTCCATGACCTCGTTCCATCCCTCACCGGCGCTCATCCGAAAGAGTAGAATCAGGGCGCGCGGGATGTCGCGGAAATTGATATTGTCGCTTTCTTGAGAGCCGAATTTGGTCAGGCCAAACGCCTGGTTCATTGCGATCGCGAAGACCAGGAACAGCACAAACCAGGTGGCTAGCAGATTTCCAATCGCCGTGAAACTGGCGGCAGCCGTCTTGAACAGTTGGTCGAGCTGATTATTCCGGGGGATGATCAGCAGTGTAATCGACACAAGGAAGAGTTTGTTCAGCTCCGAGACGACATGGCCTGAGTTCGCAAAGGTAAGAATCGTCGTGATCAGTGTTCCAGGTACCGAGATCAACGAGTAAAGGTCCCAGGAACTTCTGCTGAATCTGTGCCAGCCAAGGCCAAGGATTCGGATCGCTACATTAGCGATGTAAACGATGTTGAACGCAAAGAACAAGATCTGTCGGATCGTGTTCCACAGATGGGCCTCCGGGTAGAACTCCAACACCAAAAGTAGAAGATGAAGCGTAAGAGTACAAGTTACAAACTTTGCCCATCGGCCGTGTTTTTTGACAGCCACGCGGTAGCACCACATCTTCCACTGTTTGGTCTTGTTGTCGAAAGACCGCTTGGAAGGGTTAATCTGCCTCAGCAGCTTCCGCAACTCCAGCCACGAACGCTGTTCCGCGGTGAGATAGGCTACTCCTGTCTGTTCCGTGTAATTGCGCATGAAAACAGACACAAACAAGGTCAAGACAAAGACGGCGCCGAGCAAGTTGAACACGATGAAGAACAGCCCGTTCTCCGGCGCAATGTAGTCCTGAGGCTGCTGTCCGACTCCAACGATGCTCATTGCACTCTGCTGCACATCAATCCACCCTTCTTGGGAGACGATCTGGAACAGAATGAAGAGGGAGTCTCCGAAATTATCAAAGTCGTAGTAGGGGTTGGCAGCGGCTCGAGGCGCAAGCACATCCCAGTTGGAAGGAGAGCTCATATACTCGCCAATGCAGGCGTCCAAGCTACCTGCTACATCGCCATCATTGCACTGGACCATCCGCCCAGCGAAAAGTGTGACCCCATAAATAGCGAAGGGAATCAGAAAACTCATCGAGACCGCAGCAGCCTAACAACGTTAGTATTTGCAACCATCCTCGTCGACAGTGAACCTACAGCAATGACCTTCCATCCTCCAACGATAATGACCGAATGGAAAGTACCCTTGGCACTATCACTAACGTTTAGCAGTCGTAGAGCTCTAAGTGCTTTGAAAGCCCCGATCGCCCGGGTCAGACCCCAGTCCTGATACAATGAACCTCCAACACTGATCCAAAGAGTGATCAAAACGATGCCGTCAAGAAAGCCCCATGAGCTGCGGAAGTACGCATTAGGCGTCCAGAAGAATCCATCAGCAATGACTTTGATGAGGGCCTCGATCGTGAACAAGATTGCAAAGCCCATATCCGTGTAAGTGAACCAGTCCCGGTTATTTTGGAAGTGAGTGCTCTGGTAAATCGGAGTAGTAATGCAGGCCAGCAGAACCATGGCGACAATGGCGGCATAGATGAAAGCAGAGAAGGTGAACCACACGGGCTTGTATGGGTCGACACCCTCCACTCGCTGGGTTCCGCGTCCAGGTCCGACCATACGCTGGCAGAACTTCCGGACTGCGTTATCCGGCGCGAATATGAACAAGGACTTGTTGTAATTGGGGTGGCGCATCAGATATTCACGTTGAGCCCGCTTTCTCTGCTCGGCGGCCGATACGACCTCCCGAGCCATTGTCCTTGGATCCAATTCATCGTATGCTCGCGAGAATTTTAGTTTGGAGTAGAATGGATTAGGCTCTCGACGCATGACCGATGTTGCGAACTTGTTCCAGGTGCGCGAGAAGATACCAGGCTGCGACGTCTCCGCTGTGGTCGTCGTTTCCAACGGCACGCTTTCCCTCCGTTCGGACTCTGGCGGCTCCTGCTCGTCGAGGAATTCCTGCACAACAGCATCCTTCAGTAGCATTTCTAGCGCCGCTGGCCCGTGGTCAAGAGGGTCCTTGTA